CCCCCCTTGGGTCGCGGAATACACGTGTAACTGACACTGGAAAATTTTTAGATGAGGAGCAGCAGGCTTATCGACGAGCGAAGGAGGCGAAAGATCGGCTTGAGAGGCTTGGTTTGGGGACGAGCCCCGGTTCGAGTTAGATCACGATGTATAGACTGGACGCGCTGGATCAGTTGGACACCACAGTATATAGACTGGACGATTGGGGTCGGCTGGTGGTGGCATGGCATGTCGGAAACGAAATGATATGTATCTACGATGTTGATGCACATACGCGAAGATGGAACATGTTCTCGACTCTATGGATTTCACTTTGAATTGAGAAAGATGCGTAATTGAAGTCTCTGGTTGCATGCTAATGGGTAGATCAACGCTCTATCTCGGTGTGAAGACTCGACTGTGTACCACTTTTGAAGGTCTCATGCCATCTATGGATGGACGGATCGTCTGCTCCTTTTCGTTCTCATTTAGGTCATTGCTGTCGTTACAACTTGCTCTCGTAAGCAGCACCACCCTCCCACGCGTCGCCGGCTTCGAGCTTCGTCCACGTACTCACGGTTCCTGGCTCTATGCACAGATATCTCTTCCAACCGTCTTTCGGTTCAAAGTCGCCCATGCCCTTGATCTTGTCGACCCATCCATTCCATACCGTCACATCTGGTAGTGAATCCCGTGTCACCACAAAGCTCTCTTGACCACCCTCCATTACGACCAGTGGCACTAGCGAGTTACCTTGGCCTGTTGGTGGTGTGTAGACACGATCGGTCTCGCCTTCGAAACTCAAAGAGGACGATTCTTCGGTAAAGGTCTTGGCTTCGCGGACTTTGTCGACGTACGGTGATGACTTCAAGCCTTTGACGGCGGTCTTGCTGATGTCCTGTTGGCGGTGTTAGTCTGCCATTAGTCTTGACATCTGCCAGTACTCACCTTGATAGCCAGGTATGTGTGGAGCAGGACATGGAACTCGAATGACTCGCTGCCCTTGTTCTGCACGTGCATTTGACACTCCAACTTGCCCTTGCTCAGTGTGACGCTGTAGACCAATCCGAACTCATATGGCCACTTCTTTCTTGTGCCGTCGTCAAGCATCGAATTGCTCAGACCAAAGTCCAACTTGACACTGTCGTCGGATTTCCGGCCTAGACTCTCGCTGCTGTTCTTGCCCAGGAACTCCCAGTAGCTGTTTCTTGCAAATCCGTGCTGTGGTAGTTGACCGGTTGCGTGTGATTTCGGAGGAGGGCCGAAGACTGGGAACACGAGTGGGATGCCACCTCGAATGGGTTTGGAGCCATCGAGAGCAGCGGCTTTGGAGAGGAATAGTTGTTCTTGCCCATTGGACGTCTTCCACGATGTGACATGTGCTCCGTAGAGGTAGACAGTGACCGAGTCGCCGCTGGGAAGACGAGCAGTGAGGACGTTGTCGGTGAGGTCGACAATGGGTTGAGCCATGGAGGGTGACACTGGAATCGACGCGGGTCTATTCTTGCGTTCCATGTTGGAGGCAGTGGGCGGGGTTGCTTCTTGTAGGTGAATGGGAGTCTGACTTTGCAGAAGGGTGGTTATGTCAATATCGAAGAGCGAGTTGGGAAGGAGTGAGGTAACGACTTCGAGTGTTATTCAGGTTGGCCGAAGGGGGAAACGCAGGAGTGATTTGAGGTGCATAGTGCATAGTCGAGGTATTCGATCGGTGTGTTTCACCTCAGAATTATGATTGGACTATGACGCAGCCTCGTCGGTGGATTCTCTCTTAGTCAATGATGCGCAATTGCAGATGCATTCAACTTACCACTTTTCTCCTCTACGACAATGAGGCAAGGGATACGCTCGATCCAGAACAGACACTGATCCAATGGGCTCCTCCTCATCCAAGGTCGCTAGCAAAGCTGCCGCCGGTGCAGCTCGTCGACAATACCCTTCTACTTCATCCATCCCGAACACCGCAACTCCCACCACCAATACTCCTGCCAGAACAAATGCACCCATCCAAACTGCCGGGCCTACCGCTCCTACTCAGGTACATCCCGATCCAGTGACAAACCCTCCTGTAGAACAAAAAACAGAACAAGTCGAGCTGGACGGCCGAGATCCGCAATTTGGCGCCGCCTTGCGGAAAATAGGGCCTGTTAAACCTAGTCCAGACGCGAGACCAGACGAATCTTTCCCGACTTCAAGCGAGCCTATGCAGTCGGGACAGAACATCTTCCCTTCTACACAAAACAATCCGGCGGTCATACTCACTCAAGCACGGCAAAGAATTGGTAAACAGTGGGAAACAGAGGATGATAATCGAGGCAGACCTAGTTTTCACGGCCGAACTATGATGAGTGCAAAGGACATTAAAGAGGCACTGAGACTACGTGATGACGTTGGGAAACCGTCGCAAGAGGTGGAGAAGCAGATGAAGTTGAAGTCGGGCATTCTGGATCAGTTGCTCGCCAAAGATGTGGTTGCCAATACTTGAATGCACCTCGCATCGCCACCGAGCCGCGGTTGAAAACAGTACTTGAATGACTCCGGAGCCTGTCATGGAGCCGCTATATGCTCGTTAGTACAGATCGCGAGCTGCTGGCTGAAAAATATGAATGCACAATCGGGTGCCATTGTCCGTTCCCTGTCATCAACCAGCAGGAACTGTGTTGGGCACGTGGTTCAGCAGCGAATGGCGGTCAAGAAGTCGCCAAGTCGCCATACTCATTGCAATCTGCCTCTTCTATCTGGCATGATAAGGGCCTGCGCACTGTTCGAGTAGCACTTGGTCAGTACGACGTTTGTTATCATGGTTGAAAAACCGTGCTAACTCACAAACATAGCAGAAGGCCACGAATGTAGCAACGGGTCAAACATGGGGTCAATGGCGCACCACTGGGGCGAAGCGACTGCTATAATGCTTACGATGCTGCATCCTTAGCCTTGTGGATTGTGTTGGTCGGTTTTCCAGCCAAACTTTATGTATTCCTTCTTTCAATGTTTGTCTTGACTACATGAAACTATTTGCTCTGCTTTCGACAGTCCAGGCAGAGCAATTCTTTCAAGGCTGGCACATCTATTGCCCAACTACAATATGGACAATGATGTTTGGTTGGTATAGCAAAACTCCTTCTTGGGTTGTATGATTGTCCAAATCGCACATCAAACTCTTTTGCTTCCTTGTTGCGTTACCACAACAATCAACAGAGATGCATCACGGGTTGCTGGGAGTGCATGGACTTGTTTGCTCCGGTTGTGGGCATTGTCTTCCTGGAAGCACTTCAACTGCAATCTATAAGATGGGTTCCCGCCTGCAAAGACTAGATAGGACATCAAATTCTCCTTCCTTGCCTCGCTACAGGAGACACAACACGTTGAACTTTTGAGAAATAGCGACTACGCTGTTGGCATATCATCAAGAATGGCGGGCGTCATGGCCAATCCCGAAAAGCTTCCATGGACCTTTGGTATTGAGATTGAAATGCTGTTCGTATTCGACGAGGAGAAAATACGCACTGACCCTGCATATCAGTACATCCTCCCAGAGAAATTCGTTCAGGGCGATGGCGATGATCTCAAAACTGACCTCGACATGAAATTGGTCCATAACCTCAATGATGACGACGTCCTGAGGAAGATCTCCGCCATGAAACAAGCCGCCAACATTCTGCGACATAAAGGCCTCGATCTGGCATTGCACGTCAAACCAAACAATCAAAACAAGAAATTCAATCGCTGGATGTTGACCACAGAGTCGCACGTCCTCGATCCGCAGGATGACGACCAGCTTGCGCGATGGTCCGAGGGCAGGCTACAAGATTCTGAACCATTGAGTTTTCATGGTGTCGAGCTCATCTCACCTATACTGGACGCACCAAATCTGCATTCGAACTCTCAGGTGGAAGTATGAGCGAAGTTGCCCGTTATGCGAACGTGATAGCCGAGGCATCAACTGTGGACGAACCGTACCAATTCATCTCAAACCCGGAAAATGCAGGTGTTCATGTCCACATTGGTTTGCGTCCGAAAGACGGTAAACAAGTTTCAATTCCCGTCGACGTTCTTCGGCATCTTGCCTGGATCATTGTCTGCTTTGAAAATGTCATGACCTTGCTTCACCATCCAGAGCGGCACGGTTACGGTGAAACAAAGATAATTTCAAGGTCAAATCGCACTACTTTTGGCAGCCGCCAATGGGCCGAACACCACTCTTGTCGTGCCCTTGATATGGAAGCGGTGTTCTTGCGTAACTTCACCAAGCACGTCACGGACGATCAGGATCTGAGCAACCTCAAGGAGGTCATGTGCTCGACTCCAACAACTTATGTACATCCCCACTATACGAAGTTTTGGTTCGTCAATTTCTTCAATATCAAGCCAGGACCTGAGGTCGCCAAACTCACTGTTGAGTTCAGACAACATCATGGAACGCTCGACGCCAATGATCTACGTGAATGGGTCATTTTCGTCACAGCATTGATGAGAACAGCAGAACGAAAAGCCAATGAGTCCAAGACGAAACAATGGAAAGAAGCAGCCGGTACCCCAAACGCCGAGCTCGAGGAGGAGGCAAAGTACTCTGGCATGTTTGACGGAAGGAGAACGCTCAAGGAACTTTTCGATCTGATGGGATTGCCGATTGAGAGGCGGTCGTACTGGTGGGAGCGTGCGAAGAAATTCAGACGTGTGGCGTTCACTTTGGAGAGAGACTACGACGCATTGGCTCTGTGCCTGGGTGGGTGTGGCGACCGTCCGCAAAGAGATTGTGAAGGATGGGCGCATGGCGAGCTGGACTTGCAACCCTGGTAGGAATCGGATGGGCGGCATGCGGAGACAGGAGCAGGCTCTGAAAAGTAAGCAGAAGGCGAAATGGGTGGCGATCCAGATGACACGGAGTTGGAATGAGTGATGAATGATGAAAGCAGATGTTACGAGTGAATGTGGGAAGGGATTGAAGCAGACATTGTCGTGCAGGAGGCGATGTTCACTCGTTGAGGGGTTTCATATGTAAGAATCAACAGTCGATACGACTTCAAGAGTGCAATACTAGTATGTTATGTCAGATCATGTTTTCATTTACAGTGCAGCAAGACACGCCACGTCCTTCACCATGCAAGCCGTATAACCTGCCCTGGACCACACGTTCTTCCTTGTGCAGCTTCGTCACAACTTCGACTTCGCTCCCTTCTCATTTCCAGCCAGCAAATCTTCAACCTCGATCTCACTCGTACACAAGATCAGTGTATCCTCCAGCGCGGGAACACGGTACTTCAAATTGACAGCCTGATAGTCCTCACTCGCTAGCATATCCGCGAAATGCAGGATTGAAGGGTACGACGCCAGCGCGAATTCATCCCATTTCTTACCCTCACCCTTACCACCTTCAGCGGCGCCAACACTCTCCAAGGGCGCTTCAGATCCGCCAAGCGGAGGCGTAGAGTGAGCGTTGTTCGAAGGGGAGGGGACAATATTCCCGACCAATTTCGCCGTTCCGCCACGTTTCGCACCGATACTCTCGGCGAACGCACGCCCGTAGGTCAAGTAGCTTTCCTTCATGCCCTCTTTGAATGCGAGGAGATTGAGCATAGATAGCGGTTGTCGTCCCGTGGATGTCTCGGCGAATTGGCGGACCCATTGGGACAATTCGGATGAGAGTTCCAAGGTTTGAGAACTGTCGCCGATGCGTGGGTTGGATAGCGAGCCGGTGAGTTTGGGGGTCCTTGCTGGGTGGAGGAGGTGCGTGTTTGTCTTGGCGAAGTCGGTGGTGAGACGGGATGGGATGCCTGTTGTGCTGGACCAGTGTGTTTGAATGGACTTGGTGATTGTGTCGGGGAGAGGGTCAGTTCCGGGAGTGATGAGGAGGATGTCCCATTTTGGCTTGAGGAGGGCGTCGACGTCGAATTTGGAGGGCGTGATGATCCAGCGGATTACTTTTGAGACTACCAGGGGTTGGACGTCGCTGGATTTGATGGTGGTGAGGAACGATGGGATGCTGGTGTCGTTTGTGAGGGAGATGAGGTGGACTGAGGCAAGGGGCATCTTTTCGGATATCCTTCGTGAGGGTTAGACGAAGGTGTGATACAAGGACAGTGGAGATAAGGGTTGAGTTGCGTCACCGATATATAGGATATAGTTATGGATTGATATATCATCAGTCTTTACCTTGGTGCCTCCCCAGTGGGTGTAATGCGGTGCTGTCATCCGCCATCCAGCCTCGGCTTGTCGAGAAAATGTGGAGTACATACCTATTTCATCAGGGCCGTAAAAGGTGGAGAACAGTGTAACTTTAAAACCTTATCTAATCTTATCATCAGAACCGTACAATTCTTTGTCCCAGGAAACTTTTTTCTCGAATGGACGATACAGACCACTGCTCGCTGCTGAGTGCATACAGACTATTGACCACGGCGTATGGTCTGCACGAACTGCGGCTCCAGTACCCTGACTAACTCGCTACCTTTGTATCATTCATTCGATCTCTTACCGCTGCAATGGCAGGCATGAACCCTCTCCCAACACACCACATCCACAGCACAAAACGGCTCACCCACCGCGAAGCGCATACCTTCCTCTCCAGCTTCCTTGACCGCGCCGAGATCGACGCCGCATACCGTCCAGACTCGACACTGACCGAAACCGGACCTAAAGCCGTATCTACGGGATCCAATCCCAACCTGACGCTACATCATCTACGGCGTATCCTCACAGGTATCGAGGGGAAGAAAGTCGGAGGAGACCTGGCGCAGAGTCTGGGCTACGGCGATGGTGAAGATGCCGGAGGAGACGCGAATCGGAAGCCCCGATCAAAACGACCGTTTGACTCACAGGAGGAAACCCCAAGAAAATCCAAACGCAGTGTCTACGAAGTTGTAGACAGCCGTGCTGGGCCGGCCGATGACAATGACGCCCCAGCTATTGGTGCCATGGTAGAAGATGACGACTGGCAAGACAAAGACACGTATGCGCTGGCTCAGGAAGAGGGCGCACTCGATATGATGGACGATGATCGACACCCTGGTGCGCACCTCGACCAGCCTGACAAGCCTGAGGAAGAGGAGGATCTGGTGAATCTGACGATTGAAGAGACCGGAGAAAAGGTGGATCCTCGGAAGCAAAAGAGACAGAACGGTGATGTCGGTACAGCGTCACGGAAAGCTGAAGCGTCAAGCAAGAAGGACAAAGAGGCCAGGAAACAGGAGAAGAAGATGCGCAATCAAGAGAGGAAAAAGAAGGAAAACGAAGAGAAAAGGAAAAAGGCAAGCAAAGATTGAGAGGACCTGAAATCTCAACGACTTGGGCTTCAAAGGTGATTCAATTTCTCCATCACCCTGCCCTGACACGAGGTCTCTGGATATCTCAGAGGGTGCCTTCTTGAACTATAAACCATCCTGCACCCGTCCTGACGCACAAGTACCAGCTTCACCAGGGTCACAGAGACCAGTCGGTGCAAGTTACCCGGTCAGGTCCACGATATTGGCACCAGGCGGCGCATTGGCCATGGAGAACCAAGCAGACATCGGCATACCGGTGGAAGGTTGCAATTTTGTGGCGGAGAAACAATTCGACCTTCTTCCACTTCACAACTCTCGGTCTTTGGCTTTGACAACATTGCCATCCGCTACCTTCTCGTTCAACTCGACAACCTTGCCATTTTCTGCTGGCTTGGAACCTTTCCAGCCCAGCGCCGCCAGTCTTTCGGCCAGAATAGGATGGCTGTAATGATAACTTGCATACATCCAGTCTGCATCCATGGTACTCAGGTTCTGCACTTGGAGTTTGATAAGGCTTCTTGCCAGTTCCTTCTGGTATCCAAGGTTCGTCGCAAATTCGTCGGCTTCGAACTCGAACTTGCGGGAGAGGATATTCATGAGCAGTTTGATCACTGCATCCATAGGTGCGAGGGCGTCGGAGAAGAGAATGAAGCCGATAATGATTGGGTGAGAGTTGTGGAAGCCGAAAGACGAGTATAGAGAGTGGTTGTTGATGAAGATGCTGAAGAGCGCAAAGACGTAGAACATATGGAACTAGTAACGGTCAGAAAGAGTAAGGTCCTAATGGCAAGCTCACATACCTGTGCAATTGCAAACAATTTTGTCGTGTGCGCGAGGCTCCAATGTCCGAGTTCATGCCCAAGGACGGCAACGACCTCCTGAGGTTCACTCTTTTCCAGTAAAGTATCATAAATGACAATATGCTTCTTCCAGGGCAAACCGAAAAAGTATGCATTGCTGTGTGCACTTCTCTTGCTTCCATCGATGACATATAACGACTTGAGAGGAAACTTGAGTTTCGAGGCTAGCTGTTCGACTCCGGTCTTAAGTTCACCGGGTTCCAGTGGTGATAGCTTGTTGAAAAGGGGCAGGATGAAGATTGGGTAGACCGTGATGGCACAAAGTTGGACCACGATGGCGAAGAGCCACAGGTAGTAGAAGAACTTCGTGCCCGTCACCTGAATGATCTTCAAGAACGCACTGAGCAGCGGGATGCCCACAGCGACCATCAATGCCTGTCCTTTTAGCATGTCGGTTATCCACAATTTAAGTGTCTGCTTGTTGAAACCAAACTTCTCTTCCAAGACGAATGTGCCATAGTATGAAGGCGGTAACGCGAGGATCTGCGAGACAAAGCTGAAGAGTAGGAAGAACAGGACTGATTGCGAGATCTCGCCGGAGAATCGTTCAGGAAGGTAGCGTGCAACCCAGAAGCCTGTTATTGTCCATAGCTTCGGCAGGATGTCGTACTGAATGAACAGGAAGTTCTGTATCTGAGAATAGAGTCCGGACCAGAATCCAAATCTAGCTTTCGCTCGACCATATGCCTGTTAAGCACGAGATCAGCATACGTAGGGTATGGGATGGTATGGAAGTCGTACTTGACTCTGGTCGAAGACATCTTGCGAGATCTCATCTTCTAATGTCTTGGGAGGCTTCTTCTTTTGCAGGACCTTATACTGCCTCAAGGAAAGTAACCCTTCTAGGACAAATTGACCGCATGAAAATCCCAGTATCAGCCTTTTCCAGGGGAAACCGGGTCGGTCGAGGAAGACTGCAAGGCGCTGTGTCGCATGTTAGCGGAGGAACTGCGGAGGGACACCAAGTAATGGAAGCACGTACAGTAGGCAAATCACCGAGCATCTTCAAAAGGGAAGCCATCTTTCCAATCCACCGAGTAATCAAACCCAAGTAGAAAAGAATTCAATGACAGGAAAGACGACAGCGAAGCTACCGCAGGGAGGATTCCAGGGTGCAGGCAGGCAGGCAGTGTGGGTTAGACACCCAGAGGCGTGGCCGGCAGCATGTGTTTCGCGAGTCGAGTGCTTGACCGGATGAGGAAAGTGCTGCGATGCACAGATGCAGATGCACTTTTTCGACAATGAGGGCACGAGGCTCTACCACCGCCTCCATCACCACAGGCTTTCTTTGTTCTCGACACAACCACCGATTGCATCTCGTCCTGTTGATATCCTGGTACTCTCGTTCAAAATGTGTCGGATCTGCGGCCGCGTGGTCAAATGCATATTTGACACGATGCCCTCAAGGGTGCACCATGTTCCCAGTCGGAGGTGAGCTACATCGAGTCATTCGTTCGCATATTATGCAGAAGCTGACCGACATTACAGAGCCTTTACTACTGTCCGACGACTAGCAACACCTACCTCGAGCGTTGCAAAACCTATTCAGTCATCGACACCCTCATTAACACGAGCATTCAGCGCTCTTTCTGTGCGCACAACCACATCCCCATTTAAGTCCACCACTTCTTCACCTCTAAGTACAACTACAACTCGTCCGTCGATACCAAGCGTGTACGCTTCAAGTCGCATACTCCCGATATACCGATCATTCTCAGCATCCGCGGGCCTCTTTGGCTACCGAAGACGATCCGATACATACAACCCTTCGCGGCGAGTACAGAAGCGAAGGCACGGATACCTTGCTAGGCTCCGGTCGACAGGTGGAGTGAAAGTGCTCAAGCGGAGGAAGCTGAAGCTTAGGAAGGATCTTAGTTATTAAAGGCAGATTGTGCGGGCGTTAGCAGGGCGAATATGGCAATGATGGCATCGAGATAAAACGTACGCTCTGAGTTGAATACGAGGAGACCATGTATAGTATCACGATGACCACATATGGAGCATTCGGGTTGACATTGCAGCAAATACAGTAAAGTTTTGTGTCATCCATTGTATGATCATTATACCTTTTTATCTATCTCTAAATTCTATGCTTGAGATTGAGGCGCCGACTCGTTCTCTCCCCGCATATGAGCGAAGCTTTGAGCCTCGAACTTGGGCTCTGCAACAACGCGGCTGGCTTCTGTCTGCATGGGAGAAAGGCCCCATCGGTTGAACATGTCCTTATCCTGGTCCCAGCCATTGCAATCCGTGGTCAACATCTTTTCTCCGGTGAAGATAGCATTGGCACCTGCCATGAAGCAAAGCATTTGCTCGCTCTCAGGCATGGTAACTCTGCCGGCCGCAATGCGGATGATGGTCGTCGGCATCACCAGACGGGCGGTTGCGATACAACGAACCATGTCCTCCAGCTTGACTGGGTCCTGTCCAAACATAGGCGTCCCCTTAATCGGCACAAGTTTGTTGACGGGGAAAGATTCAGGGTGTGCGGGGAGTGTTGCTAATGTATAAATCAACCCGACATGGTCCGTCTGGGGAGTTTCGCCCAAACCCAGGATGCCACCGCTGCATACGTGGATACCGGCTTCACGGACGTTCTCGAGAGTCTGCAATCGTTCGTCGTAGCTTCTCGTAGTGATGACATTAGGGTAGTGTTCGCGTGAAGTGTCGAGGTTGTGGTTGTAAGCTGTAAGACCAGCTTCCTTCAGTTCCTTTGCTTGCTCCTTGTCCACCATACCCAAGGTCACACATGCTTCCATGCCTAGGCCCCGTACTCCCTTGATCATTTCGACAATATTCTTCAATCCCCTTTTGCGTCCTCGCATGTCTCGCCATGCGGCGCCCATACAGAAGCGGTTGGACCCGTTCGCCTTAGCAACCTTTGCGGCCTCAATGACCGATTCGACGTTGGAGAGTTTGGTGGCGGTCAGGTTTGTCTTGTAGCGGGATGATTGTGCGCAGTAAGAGCAGTCTTCCGTGCAACCGCCGGTCTTGATGTTCATCAACGTACATAGCTGGACGGCCGAGGGTTTGTGGAAGCGGCGGTGGACAGTGCCCTATGCAGCATATTAGACATGGTGGGGTGAAACCTCAAGACATCCTCTCACCGCAGCGAAAGCCAGCTCCATGAGCGGCTTCTGGTGTATCTGAGAGATCTCCTCCTTGGTCCAGTTGTTGCGAGGGCCCAAGGCATTTACTGCTTGATCGAAGACGGACTGTCCTTGTGCTTGTGGTGGGGGAGGGGCCTGACCCAGGCTAGGTCCTCCTCGAGGGACATCGTGGACGATGCTGTAGTATCGGACCGAGTGCACTTTTCTCGCGCTTCGAGCAGCGAAACGACTCATGTTCGCCAGCTCCATTGTGTGCAGGATGTTGATGGGTTGCTTGGTGGGGGAGCACACGAGAGTGAGTATTGATAAATTATGCGGATTGGGGTTGACAGAGCCACCAATTGGTGGGATGGGGTTTGCTCGCTGAGATCACTCAGGTACCGGCTGTCTACAGTATCCAGGGTGCTAGGTAAGCTCTTGGGGGACCTGAGCCGCTTCGATTTCGGAGGCCGGGGCACTCACACTTGTTGAAAATCCCCCGAGGCACGGCAAATTACCGGGCCCAGTTTAGTTCACCAAGCATCCCGATCTTGACCGAACTGAAACATCTGAGCAATCATGTCTTTGATATTACCATTTTGCCCATCACGCTCGAAAAGCTATGCACTCAAAGTCGTGGAATCTCAATCATGTTCGGCATTGAAGCAGCATTCTTGAGGCCTCGTTCGATAGGTGTCACTTCAGGTAAGTGAGAAGTGTTGAAGTTGCGCGACGTTTCACTCGGGTTGAACATCTTCACGCCAAAGGAGAGGAGAACGAGAGGGCTATAAAAGATGCTTCATGCCTTGAGCATGCTACCATAAGCTCCTGAATATCCTGTTCATTTGTAGCCATGGATCAAACACACGGTCGATGCAACATTCTAGCTTGGATGAACAAGAGTCAAACAAACTTCTGCTTCAGCATGTTGTTGCTTCTTCTCATGCCCTTCTCCTGCTTGCCGGCGCCCTGCAAACTTCATCCGCCGCAGAGTCCAGACCAGCAAGTCCAGGCAATGTGGTAATTTCTGGAGGATGATGGAGTCGACTATGGGTTTGCTCAGTGTCCTCGGTCCCATTGCTTTGATCCACACTCTTCTCCAGAATCCGCTTTCGGTGGCGTTCCCATTCCTCAACAGGCACGCCCGTTGCAAGATGCAGTTGATACTCCTCTCGCCTATACCGGAGCCATCTCTTGCCTTCCTCTCTCTTTTCATGCCTCGAGGCAAGGATGGGATGGGTGGCCCACGTTCTGACGATATTGTGGATTTGCAGGTCGAGTCGTCGCTGTGCATCTGGTCGGTTGGCAAGGATCGGTCGATGGAGAGGTATGCTCCTGCTGTTCTGAACGTCCCAGACCAGCATTTTCATCTTGCTATCCAGTGTCCCGGTATCACGAGGTGGTTGTGGAGCCTCACCAACTTTGTGAAGATCCTCGGGACCTACAATGGAAGGCAGGTTCTTATGCGACGCCATCAGTGTCTCCCGCCGTGGGGTGCAGGATTTCAAATTTTCTGCTGCTGTCGTGCTAAGGAATGGCCGCGATAAGATATCAGGTCGATGATACAACAGCCACCCAGCCAGCTCGGCTCCGTCTCGGTCGACACGATCTTCCGTGGTGGCATCAAGGCGCCTTTGAAGTGACTGCAGAGCCATTGTCTCCGCACTCCTGTGGTTTTAAAGATACTGCAGCAAACTGTGAGCGCACGTAGGGTTCAGAAGAAAAGCATACCCTACTCGGCTGAAATGTCTGAGTGTAGCTGTGTATTGCTGAAGATACCCGAGTATGTTCGTTTGCTGTTCAACAAGACCTCGGTATAGGAAGCTTTTCAACAGTCCGACCTCGAAAAATTCTGTTCATGTTTTGGCTTTGCGGACAGCGCCTTCCTCAGGATGTTATACCAGAGTCACCGGCAGGCGCCCCTGGTCCACAGGTCCTCAGAACCAGACAGCAAACCTAGGATCCAGTTATCATCCTACAATTGATGCGACTCTGAGCTCCATTGTTCAAGCATGAAGGCATGCGAAGCCTGTGACTTCCATTCCCGGGAGGAAGCATCAAGCATTTTTGAGTGCGATTCAGCTTTTCGGAAGCTCAATAGTGCACCTGATGACGGCTCACTGGAGGTCCTCACGCTAGTTATTTCTATCGCTATAATGCCTTATGTAAGTTCTGCGATGCCTCTGGGTCCAAGCTTGGTCGATTTGAGGACTTCGCATACTTGCGCCCCACCAACGCCGAGGAATGTATCCCTTTGAATAAGGCAACTTGCCCCGATGTTACGACCGCCTCCATCACTGATTGACAAACAGCGTTGGTGTTTATTTGGGGACCATTCACGTTTGTCGAACGAAACAAACATATATTGCATATGTACAGCGCAATCAGGTGCTTTGAAAGAAGTCGACAAGACCGAATCAACCATCAGCGCCGCGCTCTCCTCTCCAGGTGTTCGGTCATAGCATCACACGATGACGGGCTTTGATCGCACTTCAGAACCTGTCCGACAGCTATCTAGCAATGTTCTGCCAGACCACGAGAGTATCAAACAATCAAACCTCGCCAGAGGTGGCTCACGCATTGGACGACCATCGTGCACGACGACTTTCGGTATCGAGTTCGAATTTGTCCTGGCATTCCAGGAAGATCTGCTGATATCGGTGATGCCGGAACACAATATCGATGCGACTATTGTGAAAGACTTGACGGATTATCAGCACCGGAATCTCCTAGGGAGATATGCAAGACATCCCATCGACAACCCAGCCTGGGATGGAAGGCTCCGTTACCCTTCCTGGGCGCTGCACGTTCCCGAAAGTGACGTGGTTTGCGAAGCAGCACTACATCGAGACATGTTTGTCAGCAGTATTTCACGAGGCAAGCAATGGTTGCGAAGATATGTTATGGAACCACTTCTGGTGGCCCGGAGATGCCTGGAGTCAGCTGGGCTCAACTGCAACGCTATCGGATGGATCGAACCCGGTTTTCACCCCCTTGACGACTGTAAAGAGGCATTGATATCATCTGCAAGCGGCAGTATAATCCTACGAAGCAGCAACGTCGACTACACAGCATGGACGATAACAAACGACCATACTCTCGTGGGCGCACTTCGGAGTCAGTTATCGGACCGTTTGATTTTGAGAGGTGTTTCTGTGGACCAGGTGCCGCACTGGGACAGTGCAGGGATTGAGGTCCTTTCTCCTGTCTTCAGACTGGAGGAAAAGGAAAATGCATTTCGACAAATCCAGAGATATATGGTTGCCTTCGAAGGAAAGCAGACATGCATGATGGAGTCAGTGTGGGCCAGCACCCATGTACACATCGGATTCGACTTTGGGAGACCGGCAGACATGCCTATGTCACTGCTGCAACATCTTGCGTACATTCTCGTCATGCACGAAGACCTGCTGGCTAAGTGCCACCCGAGAAGCAGGTCCGGAATCGGGCGTCCAAGGCAAGTTGACCCAGTCACTTTGGATGACGAAGATTCCGCTCCCGAAGAGGACGCGTTCACTGTGACCACGCCGCCACCCACCGACGAGCAACTGGACATGGAAAACGAGCGCATTGTGCTTGCTATTGAAGCGGAGTATACTGGAGGCGATAATATTGAATCCAACGCTCGATATCTGCGAAATCAGTTGCAATCCCAGAGTCCTCGAAGTCTGTCGGATGCTACCAGAAATGCCATTTTCAGGGCAAATGGTGACATTTTCGACCTCGTCAAGCTCTTACAAAGACCCAAGGACCCTTTGATTCCCGACGGCCACAGACACCGTGGATATATATATAACTTTGCCAATTTGTGGGCTCTTGCCAAAAACGAGACACCCTGGAAGCCGATCAAGCCTACTGTCGAATTCCGACAACATGCCTGTACGACGGATATCCTGGTTATCAAGCACTGGGTTACTCTACTTGAAGCTATTGTCAGGATGGCCGAGAGCAAGGCCACTTCCACCATGCGAGGCAACGGTACGTTCGCAGAAAGAGAAGCAGGCAAGTACCCGTCATCGTGGCCGTATAACAGCATGCGCGAATTCTGCGTGACGTTCTTGGGCCTCAGCGTGGAAGAGGGCATGTATTGGCAAAGTAGCTCGAGAACCGAAGGTCTACCCCTGGCCAGTTGACTTATCATGGCATTCTTTCCCGTGCGGGATCGTGTCGGCTTACACCTTCAAGATGTCGAAACGAACAGGATCAGAGTGCTCTCCCTGCTGGGCTCGGTCAAAAGAAGCGGCTTGTGCAGCCACTGCCCTATCAGAGAACACATTACTGGTGTGGACGAGGTCCGCGGCATACACGCAAGTCCTGAAGAGATTTTGCAATTGGAACGACGTGATGCACGGATACGCCGCAAGGCCTGTATCAGAGGTGCGGTGTAATCTGTCACGATAGTCACGATGTCGATCGCTATGTTCAACTACCCGGAGCTGGAGCCGACCGACGCCAATGGACAGGAGATCGCCCCTACCATCAAGGATGAGGAGCCCGCCAACGACCAGCAGTATGTATACTAATGCATACCTACTATTTCATATACTAATGTTGCCTTAGCGCGATTGAAGAAGCATAGAGTGCCTTTGAGGCGCTTAATCCTGAGCCAGTTTACATCCCTGCAGGTAATATGCCGCTAGAGGCCTCCCAGAACATCGAGTTTCCACGCGTCGTTTGCAAGACCAGAATCGAAGAGGTCATTGACCTGAAACCCCCGGATGGCTCCGAAGTGCGCCTATCACTCATGTGGGAGGGACCTGGCCTGCTTGTGTACTTCGATCACCAGTCCTACCAGTCCCCGCGTTTTCAAGTTACCATTACCCCTTGGCAAGCTCTGGGGACACTCTAGGCGACTACTCTTGAGAAGCTAGGCCGTCGGTCTAAAGTCTGCTTCGGCTCGGGCACGTTCAGAAAAGTCGGTAAACACCAGAAGCTCAGTCACTTCGACAGAGGCGAGAACACGCCCAATTATATCTAGGGTGTTTATGGATGATGGGAACGAGGAAAACCACAAATGTCTTACATCCTGGACAAATTCTTCTGATCACTTGAAAGAGATCTTCGCGCCATCATCGTCGCTATGGAAGCGACCCCGACCTTTTACATATAGACGATCAACATCGAGAGCAAGGCAGCCAAAGACCCTAAGCAAGGCTGCAAATCATGGAAGAAGTTGTCCGAGGGTTCTCGCCGTGCGCGCCTCAAACTCGCTCAGGCCCAGGCACCAACTCCTGAGGCACGCCTACTCGAAGCTCAAGGGAAACCGCACCGCCGAGGTGAACATCTCGGTTGCAGATGTGGACGAGGACGTGCCGGACGACGAAAAGGAGCAAGTCGATGAAGGTCTCACATACGGCAGTTGTTTCAAGCACCTCTTTGCCGATGTTAACTGCGATGAGGGTAATAAAGTCGACAACCCGAGTTCTCGACTCCATCAGGCCCTTTTGAAGCCCTTTGCCCCAATCGTATGGATTCAATCGGCCACTCCGGCGTTGTATTCTTGGGACGGAAGGCATGTCACTCCCTGCACGGGTTTGCTGCTGGCGGTGCGTGGTACGCGACTTTTTGGCAGGCACGCGAATGCAGAAGAACTGGGAGTCGGTCATTGAGACCATGATTGCAAAGGCCTGGGTGGGTCAAGCGGCCGTCAAGGCGTATGAAGAAGTCCGGTTTCCGTTTCAGTGACTGAGCTAGAGAGGTGCTGTGTTCCTAGTGGCCGTGGTTAGTAGGCACTTCAGAAAGAGATGGACGATAGTATGGCGCATAAAGGACTATGCTGTGGCTCCTGTGATCCTATCTGCCCATGGTACCTTGACACCTTGGAGTAATAAGCCCTGGGAGGGTGCACGTAAGGATGGATGGTTGAAGGGATCTATCTCACTGCAGCCTTGCCAAGAGGAGATATTCAGCCTTGTTCGGCACGACATGATCCGGGTTGACCATTCATGATCCACCGGCCACTTGCCGCCACTGGTTGGGTGCAGATCTGAACTTTTGCGTGCTTTGGTTTCCCAACTTCGCTTTCGCTTGTCATTTGGTTTGGTTGATCGTCGTCACCTTTTCTTTCTTTCTTCTCATATCTCTTGATAGTATATGTACATATTTTTGCGCTGCAATCGCACGTCTACAGTGTCTGACATGCGCTAAAGATCCGAACGACCGAGACTTTTACTTATGTCCATTTCATATAAGCTTTACATGGTCAGCCTGACATGACGCTTGGCCGGTCGGCTTTGATCAATGCCCTCTCCGCCCAGCGACACAGTCCAGGGTCGAGATGACCACATAGCAGCACGCGCAAAGCACTTTCGCGATGTCTCTCTGGACGAAGCCATCAGTGACACTGAAGACGTCGAGAAACCATTGAATCCAGATGGCTTCGATGCGCCCACTGGCAGGGCATCTGCCAAGGTACCTCCAAGACCCAGCCTTGCACCAGGAATCTCCATTCTTGCTCGGCGTCCTTCATATATCGACGATGAAGATGATCCCATAGCATTGGCAACAACAGCGAAGGTTGGACCGAACCAGTCCCACAAAGACGAGCCTGTGACATGGATGTCACTCCCCAAGAAGGGTCAGTTGGCGGTTTTGACCATCGCACGACTCTCGGAGCCTCTCAGCGAACGTTCCTTGGCAGCCTATATGTTCTATCAACTACGCTCTTTTAACCCCGATGCTTCGGACAGCAAGATCACAAGCCAGGGAGGTATGCTGACAGCTTCATTTGCTGCAGCCCAATTCCTCACTGCCGTATGGTGGGGACGCGCTGCCGATACACCATGGATCGGCCGAAAGAGAGTTCTTCTAATTGGACTGCTTGGTACCTGCATCTCCTCCATTGGCGTCGGCTTCTCGAAATCTTTCGCCCAAGCACTCTTCTTTCGCGCGTGTGCTGGATGCCTCAATGGAAATGTTGGTGTCATGAGGACCATGATCTCCGAGATCATCAAAGAAAAGAAATATCAGTCCCGAGCGTTTCTCTTACTACCAATGTGTTTCAACATCGGTGTGGTGATCGGTCCGATCCTAGGAGGCTTCCTTGCAGATCCAGTCACCTCGTTTCCGAATGTCTTTGGCCCAGGGTCATCACTAGGTGGAAATAATGGCGTGGGGTGGATGACAACATTCCCGTATGCACTACCGAACGTCGTCAGCGCTTGTATCATCCTCAGCGCTGCGCTCTGGTTGATTTTAGGCCTCGACGAGACTCATCCGGCATCAAGCAACAAACCTGATCGTGGCCGCATGTTGGGCAAATTTCTCGTTCGACATCTCTTCCGCCGTGGCCAAAGCGATTCCCAAGATTATGAATATACCGAGTTATCCAATCAAGTCGAGTTACAAGAGATTGTCGACGCTCAAGACGGCGAGCATTCTCCAAGAAACAGAGACAACGATCCCGAAACACCTACGGTCACGAAACCTGCAGATCCAAGCCCTGCAAAACTGCCATTCCGTAAGATCTTCCGCAAGAATGTCGTCCTGACACTTCTTTGCCATCACCTGCTCGCCCTGCACCTATCAGCGTTCAACGCTTTGATCTTCTTGTTCCTTCCTGCGCCACGGTCCAACAACGAGAATGCACACCTCCCATTCCAATTCACTGGTGGCATGGGCCTCAACACCAGCAAGGTCGGCCTGGCGACAGCGATCATCGGCGTGATCGGCTTTCCGTTACAGGTGCTGGCGTACCCAACTATCAACTCCAAGTTGGGTACGCTGTCGAGCTATAAGGTCTTCTTGCCATTCTCAATCCTGGCATATTTCCTGACTCCGTACCTCGCCCTCCTACCTAACAAGCCATTTCTGGTTTGGCCGGCATTGGCAGTGACTCTCGCACTTCAAGTCATCTCGAGGACGTTTGCCTTACCAGGGTCGACAATCCTTGTCAATAATTGCACGCCGCATCCCAGTGTGTTGGGTACGATCCATGGCTTCGCTCAGAGTATCTCGTCCGGAGCCCGTACCGTTGGCCCTACACTTGGTGGCTGGCTGTTGGGCGTCGGTCTGAATAAGAATTGTGTCGGTGTTGTCTGGTGGGGAATTGCCGGTGTCGCGGCACTGAATTGGATGTTGTTATGGGCTGTACATGAAGGGGACGCCGGCGCCAGTGCTGTGGGCGTCAAGTGATGCGGCGGGTGTCCTCCGCCATCCAAGACGTTATGCTAAGGTCATGAAGGATGCCCAATTACTACATCAGGTGTAAGCACCCTGGGTCAATATCAACTGGAATAGTTCTCAGTCATTCCGAATTCGAAAACGCCTTCGTCTTCAGTGTCTATATCGATCTGCGATGCCGCCTTATTCTTTCCCACTTCTCCTCCTTTTCCTTACGCTCATTCTTTCGAAACTCCTCCATACTTCCCGCTATGCGAAACTTCGTAAAAACTTTCACAAAGAAAGGAGACGGTCCCCCCTCGGACCAGTCGTCGTCGACCTCCTCATCCCCATCCCCATTTTCTTTCTCGTCTTCCTCACACAGTTCCCCCACCCATCGGGAAGACTTGCTCCTCATCTCCTCTTCCTCGAATTTTATATCTGCCCACCTCTTTCCCACCTCGGCATCCCAAGGATTCTCGGCATAGTCCACCGCCTCTGCCAGGAATTCACTGTTCTGTACCGCCCAAATCTCCTCTAGATTAAGCTCCTTGAACTTCCTCTTGTTCCGCTTAATGTCTCTTGTCGCATTCTCCGCTAGCTTTCGTTGTCGTTCAACGTGGCGCCTTTCTGCGTCCGCTTTATCCACCACAACATCCCTTTCTAGCTCAAGCCAGGTCCCAGACTCCGGTGTGGATTCGAAGTTTTGCAACATGATCTCCCGACACTTGTCCGTCCGATCCCATCCAATAGGCCTGTCCTTAAACTTCTCATGAATGGTGTACAACGTCTCAATATGCTTCTCGATCACCACTCTGAGATCTCCCTTGATGATCTCAGCGTCACACTCTGATACACTAGTATCCGCGAAGTCCAAGAAATTGTCAACCTCGTTGCGGTCTCGATACAAGATATCGCTGATAATGTGCGATTGGCACTTGCCCAAGCTAAGCTCCATACTCGGGTGAAAAGGCTCGGTGCTGGATGTGGTAGCGAAGTGCTCGATCATATCGAAGACTCTATCCTGGTGGACACCTAAAGTCCAGCATGCGGTACGGACGGCTCTAGACCATGGTCCGTCTTCGTACCGAAGAAAGCGCCCGTTTGCTGTGCGCTTTTCCGAGTCTGCACCCTTGTGAATCTTTGTCCAGTATGCTGTGAGTTCCTGTGCTTGCTCGGGTTGAACCCGGTACTTCTCGGCCAACTCATCGAATTCCTTACTGAACATCGGCAGGTACTTGCGGTACCGGGCTACAAGAGACCTCGCGAGAGCGGACTGTATGTGTTTCATAAGATGCTGCATGGACTCGGTCATGGTGGCAAACATATAAGTTTTCGTGCGGCGCTGCATCCAAATGTCATATTGATGAACGAGACTTGTCCAGGTTTTTAGGTCTGATTTCGTGGTGTCATCTGCGTCGACGATGTCTATATAAGTCTCCCGTGGTATAAGTAACGTGGCAGAGGAGGCCGTGGTAGTATCTGGAATGGCGATGGTCCTCCAGGTCCTCCAGGCCCTCCGTGACGAGGCCTCCGAAGCCATCTTCACCGCATGGCCATATTGATCTGCGTACTGTGCAGTTCGCGGCGCGTTGTCTTCCCTTGGCTCAAGCCTAATTACGTATTGCGATGGATCCTCCAGGTCCGGAATCTCGTACGGCATCGCAGTCGGTCCTGGCGGCAACAATTTTGGGTCGGCGGTGAAGAGGTCGCCTTCAAACTCAAACGGTGGGTCTCGTGTTTGGACCATGGTCAGTACAGGTGATGCCGGCGATGCGACCTGCGAGGAAGTCGTTGATGATGCTGTGGAAATTGGTGACAAGTGCGAACAGGTAAGCGTGTCTGCGAAGAAGAGAAATATCCAGTTTGTCAAACAGAAGTCTGTGAGACTGGCGGTGTCTTTATATGCAAAATTTCAAATGCGCCGGTAGGAGGACCTACCTGTTGAGTCACAATTCAGTGTCAATATTGACTTTTGTTCCATGGTGAGGACCGCTGGTTGGATACCGAGAGAAGGGTTTGAGAGCATCACAGAAACAGTGCATCGTGGTCACAGGCACCAACCACTGTGCCCAACCACTTGTCTCCATTTCCCGTAAGGCGATGATCCAGATCCTGCCGGTAAAAGAACCTCAGGTTATTACGAAGCAAGCTCTTCGAAACGTTCATGGAAGTCATGATCAGTTACATAAGCTCATTGGGTATCATGATCAAACCAACCATGAATCTCCTACTGTGTCTTCCACCATATGCAGGAGCCAGCGCGGATGATAATGCGTTTCTCGCACTCACCAAGGGTCGCGCTCAGAGCACATCCGGACCCAGTCTGCGCTGTGCAGCCTCGAGTCTCAACAACCTGCCAACGTCTGAGCCTGCGGCCTGCGCATCGGCCAAACCACCCATGACCTCTTCTCTCTTCTTGACACGCCCAAACAGACACGCCCAAAGATCCTCCTGATCGACCATCTCGCCGCCATTCCTTCCAGACGTAAGCATGCGCGATAGATCAGCAGCCTGCAACTCCATCGAGTTTGCGGCGTCGATGGCATTCTCCTGCAGCCCATTATTTGTGGTTGTTGGAGTGGCAGTCCCCGACCTCGAGCCCTTGCCTTTCTTGTTACCTCGCAGATGCGCCAGACGCCTTGACACGCTGATGTCGTAGATGGATTCCTCGACTGTGTCGGCGATCAGATACATCCACACCGTAGTAGGGCGGTACTGGCCGATACGATGCACACGGGCGATCGCTTGCAGCTCAATCGCAGTATTGATCAGTGGCTCGCAGAGGAAGACATGGCTGGCCACGACAAGATTGAGACCTGCGGACTGGGCTTTGGCGTGCAACAAGAAACATTCCATTGCCGGATCAACCTTGAACTTTTCGATGCCGTTCTTGCCGTCAAACCGAGTCGACGAGACCTTGTACTCGGTGAAGGCGCGTTCGAGGACATCAATGAATTCGCGGTACTGCGAGAAGATGATGGACTTGGATCCTGGATCGTGCTCGCGCAGCCATAACAAATGTCGGCACAGAAAATCAATTTTGCTGCCGAAGCTGGGCCCGCGCAGGTCGATGTTCTTGATCTGATTCAGCATCGTGGTGCTGATGTCTGAGTATATGGACTGATCGTGAGCATGGTCGGAGCTGCCAGACGCTGAATTTGTGCTCGGCGAACTTGTTGGCGATTCGGCCTGGACAGCGATCTCGGCCGGTTTATACGAAATGTCGTGGAAACTGTTAGGATGAAGATGGCTCTTGCACACTGGACAGTTGCGGTGCTGGCTCCACCACATGAGGACGCAATCTTTACAGAACTGGTGGCCGCAGGATGTCATGGTGCCGACTTCAAACTGGTCCGTGCAAATCGTGCAAATCCTAGGTGCGGACGATCTGGACTCATTCTTCATGTGAAGCAGGTACCGTAGTTTGGCCGAAAGTGACACAACCTTCTGCTGATGTTTGGCTTCTTCAACCTCGAGCTCGTGGTAGTGTCTCTCTGAAAGAGGCGTGCCAACATTTTCTTCTTGGTAAGGAGCGACGGTGTCGGAGATCTTTTGCAATGCTCGGTAGTAGTCGAGTCGGCTGTTCATTGTGTCTCGGAACTGGTTGACTTCTTGCTCAAGGCTGGTGAGAGCCTTGGTCTGTGCAGTGTTGAGCTGTTGTACATACTTGAGAACTCGCTCGAGAATAGCTAATTCGTGACCTGCCCGAGTGTGACCGTTGCCCTCTTGCCACTGTAGCGAAATGACCATTTGTCTGATTTCGGCGATTATGCCGCGAAGACAACCGAATTCGCTGACTTTGACGCGTTTCTGTTCTCGCTCGGCAAGAAGCTTTAGCATCAATTCTGGAGCTGGACCTTCGCCTTCTTTTGCGGAACGAAGAAACTGCTTCATTTCTGATTTGATGAGCGTGTTTTCTTGACCGGTGATGGCTTCACCTCGATCGGCAAACAGAGCCCTTAACGCCTCCATGTACGCATACATCTCGTCTTGGTGTTTGGTCGAGCTTTCGTACTCATCACCTTGTAATTCCACTCCCTCATCCTGGTCGATAAGAGCTTGGCTCAGGAAGTCGGCCATTTTCCTCCGCAATTCACGAAACTGCTCGGCCTGGATGTTCATCACTTCGCAGTAAGCGCCAAGCTTATCGAATATCTTGCGACTCTCGATTCCAGCAAAACCATCAGGTTCCTCCATATCTGGTATGGTCGTTAACCCCTTTGACAGATTCGTCCGTACATTAGTGATCAATTTGTTGACGTGTCGAAGGTTTTCGGTGAGCAGTTCTCCTCGAATAGACTTTGCGGCCTCATACGCTGCCGTTTCCTTCTTCTCCAACTCGACATAGGGGTCGCTTTCTTCTGTCTCGAGTGATTTGAGTTGGAAGTAGGCATTGGCCGTGAAGAAGATGGCAATATGCTGGATCTCCAGAGCAGATCGCAATCGTGTCCTCAAGGTCGTCAGTCGAGCATTTGCTTCTTCATCGTCATCCTCCATCTTTTCCGCAGCATTGGACGCCTTCTGTTCTTCTTCAAACTGCTTGCGACACTCCCCAACAATGACACATGACTCTTCGTATACGGCGTCCCAAATTTTGAGAGCCTCTTCTGTGGTTCTGGCATTTTCTTTAAGCTGGCCTCTTTTGATCTTCGTCATAAGATAAGATCGCTGCACAGTACGAACTTGACCTTCGTGCTGATCGATCATCACATCCAACACCTGCTGCACGGTTCTTAATGGGCCATTGGTACTTCTACCCAGGGCACGGCGATTGCGACCGCCTACTTCTGGATGGAGACAAGTCTGACGCAAACGTGTAAGCCACGTCCTCATTTTCTCTATGGTTTCGGAAGAATCTGGGTCCCAGTCGTCGCTCTGAGGGGCACCTGTACGATCAAGGCCACAATCTTCACAAAGTTGCTGGAAGAGCTGGGCATAATGTTGCTCCTCGATTGGCGTGAAGGGTATCGTAATGGTATGCCTGCTCTGGGGAGGTAGTCGCAGGTCTTCTCGAACAAAATCCTTGGTATGTCTCATAGCAATTGCGCTCAGCATATCCCTGAAAAGAGGTCGATGATAGCTTATGAGGTGATCCCATAATCGGGCAGATGTGGCCCATGGCATGTATCGAAGAAAGAGAAGAAGTCCATACAAGTCTCTGTGGCCTTTTCGCAGAGGTGTACCAGTAACGGCCCAAGCATTTACACGCGGAATGAGCCGGGCGACCGTGGCAGCGGATGACACTCCACTCTCGACCATCTGGGCCTCATCCAGGCAGACACGCCACCACGAGATCTGGGTGAGCGGACTTTTAGGAGGCTCAACCCGTTGTCGCCTGCGTAAGTTGCGATCTGGTTTCTCTGCCACGTAATGTACCTCCTTCGCGATAACATTGTATGTTGTTAACACCACATCTTGGTCAAGCAGATCGTGAATGAGTTTGTCGCCGGTCTTCTTGTAACTGCTGACACCTTGGTAATGATAGACTCGCAGGGCCGGTGCGTGTTCCTGTAATTCTTGTTTCCATTGCTCAAGAATGGTTGGAGGAGTGATGATCAATGTTGCTGAGGACTGTTTGAGGCCGGGAGGGTCCGCCAGGTGCGCTGGTTTGCGATGAAGACTGATGAGAGAGATGACTTCCAATGTCTTTCCTAGACCCATTTCATCCGCCAATATCCCGCCTCTAAAGGGGCCAAAGCGCTTTTGAACGGAGGATAAGTCTGTGCTGACTATGCCCATTGTGTGATTGACGAAACAGGTAGTCTGCTTCCAGGTCTTGGTCTGTTCAAATCCGGCTGGAAGAAAATCTGCTTGAGGCTCGGGAAGAAACTGGACCTCTCCGCTTGACTTCAAACTCACCCCCTCCCGAGACAAGAGCCATCGTACACCACGTCGCTGAAAAGGAAAGAGCTGAGACTCCAGTGCAGGAACTTTGAATTCGGCGGAATTCCCTGCCGACTTCTCGGGAACATGCACATTATCATAGAACTGTCGTGGCTCCCAGGGTTCGAAGATTGGGGGTCTGACCGTGTCCGCAGGAAGATAACGGCCCAAAACGTCGAGTAATATCGGTTCTACCCTGTCTCTTACTGATATCGCATCCTCCCAGAGTATGAAGGCCTCTATTTCCAGCCCATTGTCCGTGGCGTACAGAATGGCACTGGCGGTCGCCAAGGGCAGAGCGGTGCCGGGCTTGTGCCTGACCGCTGACTCGAGACGGAGGATGTCGCGCAGGATTTGCTTGTCCTGTGCGGATGGTGACTGCAGGCGTGCATGCTTCGCGATCCGACTTTTGTCAACTGTGAAATCGATAGTGCACCCATTGTCTGATTCTTCGAATGACTGTACAGTGATCTGCAAACGGCGAGTGTCAGGATGTGGAGTTGCCGACGCGAGACCGACGCTGCGAACAGAAATTGTGGCTCGCGCGATAGGCAGGTAGGTCATGAAGGAAGCGGGGAGGTCATCAGCAACATTTTCAGACAACTTACGCCGCTTCCGAGCGGATTCATCACGACACTCCATCGTCGCTGCTGATGGCACGGCGCCGACAGAGTGCAGACGTGGAGGAAAGAAGAGGCAAAAGCGCAGGCAATTGAGATCGGCGCCTTGACAAAAAGACGGGAATGGAGAATCAGATCAGGCCTCGGCGGAGATAAGATAATGACCAAGATCACGTGTGCGGGGAACAAGCCATGCTTACATGACTATCCACGTGACCAGGATTTTCACGCGGGAGGCTTCTTCGCTTGTCTCTACAAGGCCGGCAGCGAGCGCATCGACCACCCATAAACTCACTACTAGCCTCAATCAAGCACACAATTCCAGCAGCTATGCACCATCGCTTTGTGCCATCGGCCCATGACCGAAACGAATTGCCATGATAGCGGGTTTATTTGCGGTGGTCCCCCAAACAGTATACGTTGCCGTCGTGAAAGTGATTAGGAGACTCCTCAACCACAAAGTCAACACCGGCTTCTTCGACTTTCGACAGCCGACTGCGCTTTCCTCGCCCACCATGATCTCGATCAATCGACGATACTTCTTTCGCGAAAGCTTCCAGAGCAAATTGGCAGATAAGCAACCTTTCTGGGCCTTATCTCTCATACTCGTCTGCACAAGCAGCTGAGGAATGGCCAATAATGACCTACAGGGTCTGGCCTGGGCAACCAGCCGCTAAAGATCACCTTCTGCATGTTGATTAGTGCACCCCTACTGACATGTAGCCACTACCAGAGGCCTGATTCGTAACGGAAGATTCTGCTTGACCACCAGTGTCGACGGTAGTTGTTCGGAAACAATCCGCGGCCGTTGACTTCTGCATTGACTATTGTTTTTTCAGGGCACATATCCTGCACAGAAACAATGCGGAGGTCGACCCGAGATGGATCTTTGCACCATGGCAGTTCGATTTCACCATGTGGGGATCTTAGTGTCGATTGCAAATGAGCTTGACTTTAGCCGGACCAACTTGGCGGGTACCGATCTTCCATTTTCTGAAGATCGAAGACGTCATGCATCTTGTGACAAGTCTTCAGCTACGATAAGGCCCTCAGGTGGGGAGCGAGGCGCTTTCGAAGCTGGTTATCATATGCGACACACGATAAGCAGTGCAGCGATGCTGCAGCTAACAGTCCAACGGCCAATGTCGCACAAAAAGCATATCAATGGGTGATTGAACAAAAGGCAATGACCGTGCAGTGTTCAGCCAACCGCCTACGATTCTCACCGTTTATTACCCCAACAAGGTTTGGACCACCTGTCCCGCCTGTCGATACTCCAGACTAGTGGTCGGAGGGCCCGTTCTCGACGTCTCTTGTAAAGAAAATCATTGGCCGTATCTCTTACGGACCTCAGTTCCAGACTGCCGAGGAACAGATCGATTCTGTGGAGGTGACACCAGGAAATCGAAAAAAAATCCCATCTACTCCACCGGTGGCAGGTATAAGACCTCCATAGCGTAGGTGTGATCAGATCATTCTTCTCTCACATTCCAGCTGTGGTGTGAAACATCCTACTGATTGTGGATTTTTCGCAACAGCTAGCAAGAATGAGCAGTGCAGTTCGTGACTCGCGCTTCGGCGTTGAGGGCCCTGTCCTTCCAAACGAAGGAGACAACAACCATTACGCCACCGATGAGAAGATTGCTCCAAAACAAGAGATACCTATCTACAACGATTTAGAGCTGGTGTCCGAGACCGACTTGTCTCTTGGCTCCATTCTCAAGGGAACCGCAGCCGCACCACTCACCAATTTCGAGAGGAAGGCTGCTCTGATCAATGCGTAAGTTAATCAGCTCAAGCATCAAGGTACGTCTACTGATTCTCTCAGTGAGCTCGACAAGTTCGGTGTCGGCAGATATGGCTGGTGCATCTGGTTCCTTTGCGGCTTCGGCTATTTCTTGGATCTGGCATGGGCCCAAGGCGTCGGATTGATCGCTTCCGCCATTTACCAGGAGATGGACGTGCCACCCGGTCATGACGGTAACATCTGGGCATGCGCCAATGCCGGTCTGGCTGTCGGCGCTTTCAGCTGGGGTCTCATCGTAGACATCATCGGCAGACGCTGGGCATTCAATCTCACTTGCCTGATCACTTCGGTCTTTGGCCTTCTTTTGGCCGCACCGAAGTTCAACTATAGTGCCATTTGCGGCATCTACTTCCTCGCCTCGCTCGGTCTGGGAGGCAACATTCCCATCGACGCTACCATCGCCCTGGAATTTCTTCCACAAAATCGACGTTTCTTGGTCTTTTTACTTTCGATGTGGCAACCTGTAGGTGTCGTTGTTGCCTCAGGTGTCGCCTACGGCACCACGGCCAAATGGCGTTGCGACACCACCCTGCCGGCTTGCAATGCTGTCAGTAAAGGAACGGCGTGCTGTACGGTTTCGAGCAACATCGGTTGGCGCTACACGGTGATCGTTCTGGGATGCATGACTTTGTTCATCTTCTTCCTCCGATACTTCGTCTTCAAATTCCACGAATCCCCCAAATTCTTGATCAGCAAAGGCAAGAACGCCGAGGCTATCGAAGTGTTGCACAAGATCGCCAAGTTCAACCGGGCACCACCACCGACTTTAACGATCGAAATGTTCGAAGCCATCGATGCTGAAGCTGGAGCGATTGCTCCGAAAGCTACTACCAAGAATGTCATCAAGAATTTCATCGGCAGTTTGTCGCACTTAAAAGCACTGTTTACGCGCAAGCTACAGTGCTTCACCTTCGTCCTATTGGCTATTGCTTATATGTAAGTTTAAGTCCAAGTCTTTTCCCTTGTCATCCATGCTGATCACGTCCTGCAGGGGCGATTACTGGTCATTCAACTTGGCGGGCTCCTACTTGCCGATCGTTCTCCTTAAGCACAACGTTTCGAGTGGTGCAACAACTGTGACCGACACTTACCGGGAGTACATTTACATCTATCTACCTGGTGTCCTTGGCGCTGTCCTGGCTTTACTGTCGGTACAATTGCCGCTCGTCGGGCGAAAGTGGTCGCTCGTTTTGTCAGCGGCCTGTCAGGGTCTTGCAATGGCCATGTATACTCAAGTCAGGACAACTCCTGGATACGTCGGCCTGAATGCTATGGAGTATATTATGCAAACATATTTCAATGCTGTCCTGTATGCCTCCGCCCCAGAGTTATTCGACACGGCCTACCGCGGCAGTGCCAGTGGCATGCTTTCATGCTTGGGACGTCTTGCCGGTATTGTGGCACCTTTTGCTGGTAAGCCTATTCTGTCCCCTCGCGCTCTGTCCATAACTGATCTTCTTGCAGGCGAGAAATACATTGCCAACAATAGCGCCGGCATCTTGTGGCTTGGAGCAGGCGGCATCTGGCTGTCTGCGTTCACCATGATATTCTTGCCCGTCGAAATGAGGAACAGACAGATGTTCTAAAGTGGTGCCGAACAGTCAAACCAGTCGAAACCAGTCGGCAAACATACGATCTTTTTGCGATAATCCCAAAATCACAGTCCCTGAAAACACTTTTTTAGTGGCCCGGGAGTGTTTGTACAGCCTCGTCAGGGATTTATGAGTTATACTCTTTCAAAAGAGCGTCCGTCCCAACAACCCTAGCAAATCCATTCGCAAGCATACTCATCGCGGCATCATGAGTCTCCTCAGGACTATAACTCTTCCCCTTTTCTCCATAACTCTGCATCCCATATGAAGCACACGCATCCGCCACAACCGTGACCTTAAAGCCGCGCTCACACGCGCCGCGAGCATTGTCATTAATACACTGAGCACCATCCATCCCAATCACCACGACCTCCTCGCAGCCCAAGTCCTTTAGACGTTCCTCAAGTTTGAGATTGGGATCGGTAAACGCGCTGCCAATGTGCTTGACCAGCACAGGCTCGTCGTATCGCGGCTTGGCGCAGGCATGTGGCTTGGTGTTACCAGGGAAATTATCCATGTTCAGTGGTTCATCTGGGTCGAGATTGTCGTGCTGAATGTGGATGACCGGCCATTTATGTCGGCGCCAGTGTGATAATACTGTGTCCACGTTGGACATTAGGTGCGGTGTTGACCGGCGTTCATCGGAGTCTGGAAACCCTTCGACTAGAGCCTGTTGGAGGTCCACGACTAGTAAGGCGGGAGCCCTGGCCCTGGCCTTGGATGACATCGAGATGTATTCCACGCGAGTGTGATGTAGTCTTTGCGGAATACCTGGTGACCGGTCCAAATGTTTTTCCGAACTAGTTGGACCAAATAGGCGGCACTCTCTGCCCACAGAAGCTCCTCGGCTTCGTGTAGCAGTGCTTAGTCCCGACCCTGACGGGTCGTTCGTATACAGCGTCAAAGGATGACGAGCCAGCTCGTGATACGCGATGCTGGGCCCTCAAGAGCACGACGAAGGGAGGTAGAAGTATCTCCGTAAATGCAAGTAAGACGCTAGGGCTGAATAGCCTGGCATGGAATGGAATAGGCCAATCAGCGCATTCCACACCAGGCTGCCAACCACTAACTTACGTGAGGCGAGCCTGGTTCCGGAATCGACTGGCACATCATACTAACTATGGTATCATGATCGACCTTTTCGACTGTCAAGAGCATATACCTAGGTAGACATCCGTACGGAGTATATTGTCGCTGACCATCACCATTATCGTGGACCAATCTACACAGGTGGCTGGGCTGTCTCTCCAACCACCTTCCGAAGGCCTCATCTCGTCCATCTCAAGTAACGATGTTTGGCCGTTTTGCGCTTGTCTTGCATACGTCGCAAACCCCACGAGAAAAGAGAGCCAGCAGATTTCCCGGTGCTGATGCTAGAACACATTCTCAGCAAGGCAAGCAACATTCCGGGTCCATGGTTCAGCGCAGGACCGAATTCCATACTTGGCTCGACTTATTCAATAACCCAGGGCAAGAACATCGGTTTCAACTCTGTCGGCAACCTTGAAGTCCATGGCTCATCGTAGAAGGACCATGAAAGACTTCCGCCGAAGCAAATAGGGACATTTGTTCCTCGCAGTCACCCATGCGGACGCCCTGCTTGTCCGCCCTACGAGTATTGTAATGGTGATGGACTCCGGATTCACTGGCTTTGGTCCTCGCGAGCATGCTTTCTGCACGATGGACCGATTTACCCGAATGACTTGGTGGGTCGCAACGGGTCGTTTCAAGATTCGTATTGGAATACTAGCTGTAAACCAGCTTCGACTCGGGGATTTTCGTGTTGGGCGACTGACTAGAAGGCTCTGTCCGCCCTGACGGTAATAATACCGTCTTATGTGGTGAAGCGATGCCATGTGAGCTTCGTTCGCTCAACCGAGACAATTGCCATTGCCGGCGCGGATGTTACCAATCATTGCCGGCTTGAGCCCGAAAGGGGGCAACCATGAGTGAGCAAGATTCTGGAAAGAGCTGGTGGCGTGTAGTTGTCCTTACTCCAACAGGCGATGACCGAAAGCGACTGGGAGGAGTGGGCCTGAAGTGCGATGAGGCGGCCGTCGAGGATGAAGATTCTAATGGCTTGTCGACGAGAATGGGGCTTGCAAGCAGCTGACAATGTCCGTCAAAGGGTTAGCATGGCTCTCCATGACCACCAACACCGTTGAGATGCTCAATACGTTTAAGCAGGGATTCATTGACCTCCTTGAGGCTTGCGATCTCCTCGGTCTGCTCTTGCAATTTGGTCTGCAGCTGCTCCAGTCTCGCTTCGCTTCGCAGTCGATGCTTTCTTTGGGCTTTGCGGTTTTGCTCTTTCCGTTTCTGCGTGATGACCGGCCAGGTTAGCTCTTCTCCAAGTCCAAGGATACTGGTAGAGTAGAATCGATGCCGACGGGGTGACGTACCTCTCTCTTGTCGCTCTGGCAGAGCTCGCAAGATTTGGACTGGTGATGCTGGCCAGCACATGCTGGCTCGGACTCTTGGTCTTTCGAGTGCCGCCTCGAGACACTTTGATCTTGTGATTCTGAGCGTGATGATGCGTGTAACTCCAGTACCGAGGAGTTTATGCTGTCAGTGCGACCGATCTGGATGGGTGATTGAGAAGGCGTGGCGAAATGAGTCGGATTCTGCACATGGACCAAGCCCGGAAACGTCGAAGATGGGAACCCAGGCTGTTCCGAATGTCGTTAGGGACTGTTGTCTCGAAGACAAAATCTCAAAATGGATTGATTACCTGGATGAAAGCTGGCGGGATTTCGGTGCCTATCCCGTAGTAGTCTAATGACTGCCAGAGATGCCCATGGTCATAAGGGTTGTCCACTTCGGATGGTGATGTCTGTGCATGGAAGCTGTGGACTGAAGAAGAGTATGTGAGATCGTCCATCATGACTGGAATGATGCAGACGTTCCTGGCATAGACGCTTGCTGTGCCTCCGTTATTGTGGTGGACAGCGACTTGTTTTTCTCGATCTAGGGTTCAAGAATACCACCTGGATTACTGTGCTTCGCATTGAGGTTCAAGAGTAGTGAATGGCTGCCAGTACAAAGATAGATGTGGCTAGCTGGCGAGGCACATAGAGTGCCTTGGGAATTTGTCTTGTTGGGAGGAGATTCGTGGTCGCTCCGTGATGTTTTGCTTTGCTGGCCTGAGGTGTAGAGATTGTGACAAAACTCCGGCATAAATATCGTGTGGTACAGGTGATGATATAGTGATAAAGGGAGAAGAAGAGGCAGTTGCATACCTTGGGTCCTCACAAGTCGGAAGAAGATTCCTGGTATATTCGAGATGCTGCGGTCTACGCTGATGGCGCCCAACGTGAAAATCATGCGACACGGGAACCAGCAACCTCTGCCATTTACGGGGAACGCTCACACAAGGCGCGGTGACCTCCACGAAGGCGGCCATTGACGATGGAGGGCAGTGGAGCCACGTGTATGCATAGTCCTGTAAACATTGACATGCCGCGCGAGAGACTTTCCCCATCGCTCGAGAAACCTTAAAAGCAAGGCTATATCGAAGGATGATCTGTTGGGACGGGTCGTAAGGCGTCCAGCGGGAGATTCGTGTGTGGGCAACGTGCACAGGGGCCATAGGTATTGCAACAGGACTCTATTGGGGATTTTGTCTCTCATCACGTCGCTAAGAAGGCGAAGTACCAGAACCTTAGACTAACCAGCTTCCATGTAGGATGTGCAATACCGGATTGCGGATTATTCCTGGAGGATTCAGACCTGCATTTTCTCCTGCCGAGTGAGGAAACAAGGATGTTGAACCCCGCGGCGGCCGTTCTGGGTCATGCATGGAACATGGCCGGCGATATAGATATCTCCTTGACACAGGAGGCCTAATCAGGTCAGTTTCTCTCCTGAGCACGAGTTCAAAGACATCAATAAAGAACGTGCAGTCTTTGGCCTTGCTGTCAAAGGCGCGGGCTCTACCCAAGTTGCAATCGATAAAGGTAGGCATGCTAAAACCCTTGTTGAAAATGACTTCGATAGCTCCCGGCTTCCCATTACTGGCACCTTAGTGTATGCAAGAATCTTGTTATGTCGAAGTATGTATGATAAACAGGGGAATTGGATGTGCAGGTGCTCAAGCAGCCACACCTCTCACCCAATGCGATGCCAGATGTCTCGCTAAAAGTCGCAGTAGTCGCTGAAAATGGTGGTCCAGAAGCTTTCTCGATGGACGGTAGATGTGCAGGGTCTCCCCAGATCGCCTGCTGCGGTCTTATGAGTCAGCCAACCTGGCCCAAGTCCTTTCGATAAGTAAGCAGGCACGGCACGCAGCAGAGAGGGTCAGCCAATCTGAGCTTTTACCACGGCAGCCACTTGGCGACTGAGCTTGCAGGAGGGAACATGTGCTAATCGGTCTCCAAGCCGAGTATTGATACATTTCGGAGGTTATCCTTCATAGAGTAGTCACCGCCTTTTGTCGCAGCAGTGATGCTTAGCACGATTATGGTGAGCCTCCACCTGCTGCCCAGAACAGCTTCGGGGCACACCCTGTAATGATACATATCAATCCATATCCACGTCGCTTTCCTCGCCTTCACCATCGCCGTCCACTGATGCTGATTCGTCATCCTCCATATCCTCGTCACTATGCTCGGCGAGAAGATCTTGCGTGATTTCCTCGTTAAGGTCCCTGCTTGTCTGGACAGAAACTGCGCTTCTGTCGCGTCGTGCCGTAGACATCTGCGCCGAGGATCCAATTTTCCGGACCTTTTTGCGCGAACCGTTAGTGAGTGGCTCAGCAGTCGTTTCTAGGACGGTATCTTCCGTGATGGTGGGATGGCGAGTTCGAGCGTTGTAGATCTCCAGGTCACGGTCTCCACTCCATACATCCAGCCGCCGACTTGTTTTCCTCAAGACTTTCATCCACGTTTCGACTTCCTCGCCATAATCGCCCGCTTCGTAGCCCGGGGGAATGGCTCCATTCTCAGGCTCAACTTGATCGTCGAGCCATCTGCGACCGATCAATCCAGCGAAGCCAAAGCCTTCGTTGTCCTCTTCCTCTTCACTGTCGTACGTGGGAGGGAGCTCGCTGATCCGCCTGGCTGCCCTCAATAACCATCTCCCCCCCTGCCTTATCTGTCGGGCTTCTTTTAGTGCCCGTCTTCGTCTCCTCCTCAAAGCCCATTCGACACGACGCTGTCGATGTTCTTCCAATTCTCTCTGGTATCCGGTTCTAGCCCTAGACTTGGGCAAAGTGCCGCTTGATGGAGCGAGCGTGTCAAACTCTCTCTTGCTGCGATGTGGGCCAAACTGGCTAAGCACCACATGATTGCCAGCAACAGGTTGAAGTGGCTGAGGTGTGCCATTAAACCGGTCGACTGTGTCTGGTGTACCTTCATCACGGCCTGGTTTCAAGATACTTCGGCGAGCTTCACCCGGCTTGACCACTCCTCTAGCTCTAGACGGAGTATTTTTCCCTCTTACACGCTTGTAGCGTCCACGACCGGGGTGGGGATCGACGGCTTCCCAATCGTCCTCGAGACTGTCAGCTTGCCCACCAAGTGCACTGCTCATAATCTGTCCGTGGTAGGGTTCTGGAGTACCCACGCCAGGGCTTGCACGTGAGTCAGCGTCCGACATCAAAGAGTCCTCGTCACCATACAGTGCACCCTTTTTGAGTCGCTTCAAGGCTTTGTGGTCGGGATTCATCGGGTCAGCCATGACAAGGGGAGGTTCGCTGGCCACTTCCAGCATGATGCGCTTCCTCTCCGCCGTCATTTTCTCCGCAAAGGCTACTTCTTCTGGAGGGTCTTCATTTTCCTGATCTCCCTCTTCAGGTGTGATGTTCACCAAGCTGGGCACCAAGAGTGGTAACGTATCGGGATCGTTGGGATCTTCGTCCTCTTTGTATCTGCCGGGACCGTATGGATTGTTCAAGGCGTCCTCCTTTGTGAAGTTGGATTCCAGATACCACCACATGATCCACAGAAACGCCTGCGCCCTGCTAGCCGAGCTTATGGTTGGTCGCATTGCCAGGTCAAAGAAGTCGACTTTGTCGGTGAAGTGTGTTTCACTGACTTTGGGTGCAAATTGTGAGAGCACAAAGATAAGGTTGACTGGGTTCGTTCGCGGAACGGGAAGAGCATTGAGCGCACTCATTGTCCGTGGTTCCTCTGTATCCTCACTTGCACCTTTCAAGATACTTTTCAGCCTTGGAGCATCCTGGAGTGCTTTGTAATCTTTCTGGCTCTTGTATGCCTGCAGAGAAGGTATGGAGTGGTACGTCCTCAACTGCGCCCTCATCTCAGGGAAGAAGTTCAACGTTGTATTCATGCGGCCAACATTCACCAAGAGGCAGATCATGGCCATGTTTTGTGCAGCTTCCCGATCCACCTGCAGCCTGTCCTTGAGAATCTTACTCGTCTTGGAGCTTCTCGCCATACAGTCAATGTAGATGTCGGCAAAAGTACATGCAGACTTTCCATCACTTATTCTCGTAAAGACTGGCTTCAAATCCTGTGTAACAATGCTCAGGAATTTGTATTGTATTTCTTTTCGCCATAGTGGCGTACCGTCCGGCTTCTTGATGTGTCTGATCTTGCTGCCAGAGTAGACTGACCCGACGGTACCATTGGCCTGTCTCCGAGTGCCGACTGCAGTACCGACAGTCTTCAGGTCGGGATCGGGGGTGACCTCTGATTTTCTGGTCTTGGAATGTGACGCCGAGATGACGCTGCCTTCATCTTCGGTTCCCTCTTGTGGCTGCTCATGGATCCATATCGCACCCTTTCTCGGTCTCGATTTCCTGCCACTTGATGCTCTTGAACGGGCAGTGCGACGGGAAGCAACAGGAGTGGAGCCAGAGGGGGTACCTTCTTCCACTTGAATCGAATCGTCGTCCAAGTCGGCAATCTCAGGCTTTATGTCATCGATCTGGTCGTCGATGGTGTCTCCAGAGGGCGCAGGGGAGGGTTCGCGGGAAGTCATCGTTGCGGATATTGGGATGAGAAAGTCTGAAGGGTTACGAGACTTGCATTATATTGGTGGAGAGCCCAGATGGACGCAAAGTCACTCTTGTCAGGGTTATTTGGGTCTTATAAAATACGAAAGGAATGGTCGAGGCTACTCTGTTGGCCGCGACTGCATCCTTGTCACTGCATTTGGACACTGCATGGTGACGGCCGACGCGCCAAGCTCCTTCTAAGTTACAGTAAGTACCTAGTAACTTAAAGTGAGCGTACTAGTAACTTAGGGAGCCGGCAAAGCTGCCATTTGAGTTACGTGCCTGGCCTCTGTAGTTGACTTCGATGGGCCTTTCGTCGATCGCGGCCTTTGTCCTTCACATCAAAATATATGAATGTGAGATTGGTCGCGCTGCACCTCTGGGAGAGTTCCCAAAGAGATATGTCCAAACGACATCGGTAGGTCGAAAATGATGGGAGGCCTTGAGAGATTCGGCCAAGGCCATGCAAGGCGCGCTCCTCTGCCTCAAATGCTCACCGTCTCTTCACTTGAATTTCTTCAGGTCAAACTGATGTGCCAGGTTCATCATCGTCGAACGTCTCCCACTTGAACGTTGACCATGACCAATTGGACACTCGGTGAGAGATTCCACCAACGCTACCCTCATCTGAGCGGAGTGAAGGCGTTATGGGAGACAAAGTGGAATTTGCCCCGTCAATTGGGCGTTTACCCATTCCACAACGGACTTTTCGAGGATTTCAGGATAGCAACGAGATACCCTTGTTGGTCAGGTTGCCGACAAGCTCCAGCAGTCAAAACAAGTGCCCAATGGTGCTGCTTATCACTGGACTCGACGGGCACCGCCCAGACAACACGGGGCGGACTGATGAGTTCATAAACCGAGCAGGAGCTTGCGTGATTGCTGAGATCCCAAGCACTGCAGACTGTCCCTCAGATCGCCGGGATCCCGAGTCTTCAGATCGGTTATCCACTGCCATCTTGGACTGGATGGACAAACAACCACAGTTCGACATGCGGAAATGTATTGCATGGGCCCTGAGCGCTGGTATGCCTTGTGCATACTCATCATGCTCGCCTGGCCAGCAGTATTGGACAGGGTCCTCGTACCCATCACTTCCTCTCCCGGGAGTGGCTCGAGCACGTCGATGACCACGAATATCCATTTGTCCTCAGTGAGGCGTACGTCTCAAAGTATGGTTACAAAGACTGGGAAGATCTTCTTCAAAATGCCCAAAGGGATTACAGCCTTGTTGAAAACGGCTTGTTAGTCGGACCCTGCTGCAGGTTGCTTCTTGTCAATGGCACCTGGGCACGTTTAATGCCTATTGAGGATAGCATGCTGCTGTTTAATCATGGAAGACCCAAGGAGGCCCGCTTCTACGAGAAAATGCTTCACATAGGATACCCACCAGCGAATGAATGCATTTGGCCATAGATGGAAGCAGTAATGGCACCGACCGCATGTTCGAGTGGTCTTTCCTACTCTACGTGACATGGCATGCCAACTGGTGACAAGGTATCAATATATCTTTGATGGCCCTCCCCGTCTTGTCGACCCTCAGAAACCTTGGGAGTAGACCTTCTCCCACATCCGCGGAATGAATGTCTTGGCTTCTTCGATATGCTTCGTTGTCCACGGTGTGGTGTTCGCGGCCTCTGCTTCCTTACCATCGAAAGCATGCACATTGTCGATTTCGTGGATAGCCAGATACTTTGGCGGTTCGCCCTGGGTAATTGGGGTCTTCGGCCCAATCACATACCTTAGCGACCTTCGATATCCAGGCAGCTTGCTTAGCAGGTTGAGATGTTCTTGACGATACCAATCATCAAAGTCTTTCTCATTGGCCTCGCTTGGTTCCATTTCAACAGTCAAAAGGTAAGACGGCGCGGCTTTAAAGTGTCAGTCTAGACACCTAAAAGCTGAACAGGCTTGACTCACAATCTCCAACCTTCTTGGGATCAAATTCCTGAAGGAGTGAATAGTTCCTGGCGTCAAAATCACCAATCTCTTGATCTGACTTCTTGTCCGGCCACATTTCACTCGTATGTCGCACGTCGTCGTGAAACTCCTTTGACTTCATCGGCTCCTCGAAATCCGTCTGATATAACGCAAGGAATTTACGCGGATGTGGTTCTTTGGCCTTGAACGCAAAGTCATGGCTTTCTTTGTAGAAAGCAGCCTTTGTGGACGTTTTGCTGTTGACCAGGTCGTCCAGCTACAGATCAAATGTTCAGCGCAGGCACAAGCTCTTCCCTGGGTGGTAACGTACATGTTCCTCCATGTACCATTTCACCCAAAGATCGTCGTCAACTCCAACATTTGGTTTGGGTCGGGAATTCACCGACAGCAGATACTTTGCCGGCATTGTGTCGAGGTATCACAGTGGACGTATCAGGAACTGTCTAAAGCCGTCGAGATACGTGTCGTTGCAAATAGCTAGCTACTGATCCCTTGCCGTCGACCACGGTACTTGTAGCACGTTCAGCGCGGAGAACCCCGCGCCACACAATTTACTTAGATGACGCCTTATCGTGCAGCTTTACCTCGGGCGGCGGCGCAGTGCGGGGAGACGACTTCTTAGGCAATCCAGGTTCTTGCGAGTTTGAACAAGCCTCCCGTTTCATGAGACAAGGCTGAGCCAGCCCTGCTTGTATTTGTAAGAACCCAAGCCTCAGATTGCAGCAGCGCCACGAGCTTCATATGCCTGGGGAGACAGCGAAGTCATCAGATATGGTTTCCATTATCGTGGCGGGAACTGCAACCACTCCGCCACAGCACAGGAAGAAGTAAGGCAAAGACGGGAAATGCTAACCAAAGACCTGCACTTAGCATCGTATTGTAGTATGGTGATAAGAGTCGAGAACAGCAGCCCCGCTTCCAGAGACACGAAGTACCGGTTGACGCCCCCTCTACGGAGGTTAGACTCGACTACTGTCCACGCATAATCCAGAAACGCAAAATGGTAAATGTATAATTCAGCTACCAGTACAATCACAGGTCGACCTTCCATCCACCACGTACTTCATATCATTTTTTATATTAGTAGAGAGCGCTGGCGTTCACGATGTTATTATTACTAAGAAGTCTTGATTTGCTTGCGAGTGCGTTAAGTACGTATACTGTAAAAAGTGTCTCTTTTACGTACAAGTTTTAAAGTTCCGAGTGCTAAGCCTCGCGCCTATAAGCTTTAGGCGAGAGATGCCTATTTCTTTAAGCGCTTTAGGTACGAGGCACGCCTAAAGCTTATAGGCGCGAGGCTTAGCACTCAGAACTTCAAAAACCGTATATAAAAGAGACACTTTTTACAGTAAGCGCGCTTAATGTACATATCAAAGAGATATAGATTATTAGTACTCAAGAGATCGTGAACTCTTAGGCTATCTTTTGGTATAGGTATTAATATAGATTATACGGTACTAACGTGGTGGTAGCTAAGTTGTACGGATAGCAGTAATATACATTTGCTATTTTGCGTTTCTGAATTATACGTGGACAGTGGTCGAGTCTAACCTCCGTACCCCTCCACCTCATTACTAATTGTCGCGTGGCACGTCATGATGAATGCTCTGGTGTGATAGGACAACGTCTACATTTCCTAGGATGGACAATAGTCACCTCGACATATAAGGAGGGTAAGTAGCTCCCTACCGCACTCCATGAACGTGCTTGTAAAAACATCGCCGCGCTTACTGCGACAACAGATACTCAGTCCAACCATCACTTTGCACTTCAGACACTCATTGCGAAAAGGATCTCCCCGACAACCTCGCGGCTTCCGCAGCTCCTCTGCCATCATGTCTGGAAAAATGCTAGAGGCATTGATCTATCACCCACTGCGCGTGGACATCCACTCGGTGCCCATCCCGACACCAAAAGAAAACGAAGTCCTAACCAAGGTCGTCGTGTCGGGCTCGAACCCTAAAGACTGGAAGCGGCCATTCGTCAATGAGCAATTCAACGGCACGAACCAGGGCGACGACATCGCCGGCATCGTCGAAGCCGTCGGATCCGCCGTCACACAATTCAAACCGGGCGATCGTGTGGCGGGATTCCACCAGATGCAAGCCCCTGGCGGATCGTACGCAGAGTACGCTATATCTCCCGAGCACACTACATTCCACATCCCCGCCAATGTTAGCTTCGAAGACGCAGCTGCTATCCCCTTGGCTGCTATGACCGCGGCTGTCGGTCTGTTCGTCCAACTGGGACTACCTGAGCCATGGGTAGCGGCCGCACACCCGGAGAAATTGCCCAAAGGTGGGCTTGTAGTTTATGGAGCTGCGAGTGCAGTCGGCGCATATGCCGTGCAGCTCGCGAAGCGTGCTGGTATTCACCCTATCATCGCGGTCGCGGGACGGGGCATGTCGTTCGTCGAAGGCTTCCTGGACAGCAGCAAGGGCGATGTAGTGATAGACTACCGCAAGGGCGATGAGGCTGTGGTCGAGGGTATCAAGAACGCGATCCCGCAGGGCGCAGAGTTGGAGTATGCGTACGATGCAGTCAGCGAGGCAGCGAAATCGTCGTTCGGCAACATTTGCAAAGTCCTGGCTCCGAACGGACAATTCACCACGGTGTTGCCGACCAAGGATGACCCGTCGATTCCCAAATCCGTCAAAACACCTTTGACAATGGTCGGAAGCGTCTTCACCAAGGACAAGGACTTTGGGTATGCGTGGTATCGGCTTTTCGAACTCGGTTTGAAGGATGGTTGGTTCAAGCCGCATCCCCATGAGGTCATTCAGGGTGGGTTGAATGGCATTGAAGAAGGTCTAAGAAATTTGAAGGAGGGCAAGGTCAGTGCCACAAAGTATGTGTTCAGGATTTCGGAGACGGAGGGACTCTTGAATGGCTCTAAGGCGTAGAGGATTGCTCGGACGCTGCCGGCGGCGAGTCTGGAAGAAAAGTCTTTTTGACCCATTCCATGGGCGAGAAGCGTGTTTCAGGGGTAAGGCGAACGACTTTCTCAGGGTTAAGTAGGCCTAATGGATCCAGTGCCAATTTGATCTGACGCATCGTGTCGATGCTCTCAACGCCGAGCTCGTCAATGAGACGGTCTCGCTTCTCGAGTCCGATGCCATGTTCACCTGTGATCGTGCCGTCCATTTCGATGGCGAGTTGCTCGACTTCAAGGACTAACTTTTCGGCCTTTTCCTTTTCGGCCGCGCTGTAGAATATGGCGGAATGGAAGTTTCCGTCGCCGACATGACCACAGCAAGATCCAACGAGCCCACTCTCCTTCAGCTTCTGGTTCGTGATGTCGATGATATCCGCCAATCTGGACATTGGCACTGCGAGATCCGTTCCTAAAAACGTGTCATCTGGGTGTCGTTTGAGTGTCATTAAGCTCCACAGCATCGTCTTCCTTGCCTGCCATAATGCGTCCGACTCTTCTTCGTTCTTGCCAAATTGGAAACTCAGACATTTCGTTTCCTTGGCGAGTGAATAGACTTGCTTCACTTGTTCACGAACTGTAGATTCGCTTCCGGAGAATTTGAGGAAAAGTGAGGGCGTCTCGCTCAACTCTTTCGTGCAGTACCCCGAGTTGTTGATGGCGCCCATCGATGGCCCATCGAGTAATTCGATTGCGCCCAATGGGAGACCTTTGCGAACGATCTTGACAGCGGCCTCAACAGCTTGAGCAGTGGTCGGGAATGCAGCGACTGCGACCCTAACGTTCTCGGGCTTGTTCGTCAATTTCAAAGTTGCCTCAGTGACCAGGCCTAGAGTTCCTTCAGATCCCACGAACAATCGCGTCAGGTCGTACCCTGCGGACGACTTCTTTGGTCTCCGTCTGGTCTTGATGACCGTGCCGTCAGCCAGGACGACAGTCAGACCCAGCACCCAATCTTTCACCGTGCCATAGCGGTATGCCGATGTCCCGGAGCAGCCCTGCGAGATCATACCCCCGATTTGTGCACCTGGTCCGGGATCTGGTGGGAAGAATAACCCAGATTTACTCAGCATCTGGTTCAAATCGACGTAGCCGATGCCCGGCTGCACCACAACATCCATATCATTTTCGTGGAGTTGGACGACCTTATTCATGCGTCGGAAGTCGATGCAGACTTCGCCGTGAATGGCAGCAAGGGTGCCTTCGAGGCTCGTACCGCCACCGAACGCGATGATGGGAAGCTTCCGTCGATGACATACTTTCATTATAGCGCTTACATCCTCGGTTGATCGTGGGTAGACGATCAGGCAAGGCCTGTCGAGATCGCCTCGTGGTGCTGGAGACCACTCGGTGCTCGATCGTGCTATTCGCGAGCCAAGATCCTCGTCCACGCCGTCATTGCCCAGAAGGTCAATGAAATCCACCTTGGCACATTCGATGTTGTTTTCCGAGAGGCGATATGGTGGTAGCCAGTAGGATTGCAATGGTGCTGTGGACCGAGTCTTTAGTTGAGGAAAAATGTCCTCCTCGAAGTAAAAGATCACGGCTCCTGTCAGTAATATTAATCCAGTCAGCAAAACTGCTTCGGTAGTTTCTGAAGGACGATTAAGGACTTTGATTCGGTCTATCACTCCTGGAGATCTGTGTGATGCCGTGCGCTGCCATTGCCTATGAGGCTGAATTCTAGTGTAAAGTGCCTTCACATTTCGAGGTCGAAGAAAGATTTTGGTAAGAGCGGATCTGGCCATGATGCCAGCGGTAGCCTCTTCACGTCGACAAGGCTGTGGAGGGATCCAATTCTCGTGCACCTTGTCGGCGGATTGACCTAGATTCTTGTATGATTGACCGTGGAGTCTTTATCCATATATGGCTTCGTAGTAGGAATGGAGGTGGAAGAAACAATTGAAGTTAAATCAAAATGTGCTGCCCATAGCGGTCCCCACAACGCTTCCCCCTAAAACCTATAACATGCATCCCCGCAAAAAGATAAGGGAAGCCCATAACTTAGAAATGTGCCGGAAGATTTCCGTTCGGCTTCAACCTTGCGGTACCCAGGGCTGAGAAGGCCTGGAAAGTGGTACTTTAACCACGAACAAATGGTTTACCTCAAACGAAATCTCACCACATACGTATCCGCGGTCTCAAGTCAAAAATCACGCGCAAGGTATTTGGTAACCCAGTCATGCTGCGTAATGACACTGGCAGGTGGTACTATCTCTACGTGGACAAGAGCGCATTTGTGCTAGCACAGTGTTCGTCTTCGAATCCTCCGACATTGGACAAAGATGTATCACTGTCAAATGGTCAAATGGTCAAACTAGCTCCTATGCGGTTCCAATAGAAGTGTGTCTGGCGGTCGATGTCACAGCAGGCGTCTGCTGTGGCGAGATAGCAAGCCTGGCTTGGGTCTCTCTCATAGCTTCAACACGTTGTTGGTATGTATCGAGCTTGCGCAGATCATCCATTTCGGCAAACACTTTCTTCTTCCTCTCATATGCCTCCCAGAACTCCGTGTTCGCCCTGTGAGGTGCCATATTCCACTTCTCGAGACTCCCTTCCTCTTCGGGAGTCAACTTCAGGAAAGCATACATATCGGCACGCCTGATTTGCTCTCCTTCTGGCGGAATGTTGATAATCCTCGCACGAAGCCGTGTTCCGACATGACTGTCCTCACAGCCGAAGCCGGCAACGACCATAAAAGTAGGGACAACAATAACTACCACCGTTATCAGCTGGCTCAAGAGATCGGACATTCCTATTGTGACGACATGCGCTCCGAATGCGATCCATGCAATCCAACGGACGATTATGTAGTACACCAGCTCGATCGGGGTAGATTGTTCCTCCGTGGCCTCGTTCTTCTCGCGAACCGGCAAAGTCCTCACCCTCTTGGTCTCGTCGCTTGATTTTGGTGGCTTGGGGTTGTAGACGAAACAGTTAAGAACCAGGCACTTTGGTACAAAGAGCGCCGCGGCCCTCGCATCTGGTAGAATGACAACAATCTTAGCCTTGTCCAGATCAGCGAGCCTTTTCTCGCCAAACACCAGTTTGTCGGAGTTCGTTGGACTTGCACTGAAGGCTTTAGGATCCACCTTCTCGATCGCTTTTCTCGTGTCTTCGACCACCGCCCTGTCAAGCCAAGCGGTGTTGCGACCGACCAGATACACTCGTGCGATTGTAGATATTACCATGGACATGGCATTGGCAAGTCCCCACCAATCGCCCATCAGCACTGTTATCACTATGAATCCGGCCTGTACAACAACTCCGATGACAAGCGCTATCCACATATCGAGGAAGAATGAATGCGGCTTCGAGTTGATGTCCCATTCGACGCATGTACCAGAAGTCTTGAAGTTCTGTTTGACGAGCCAGCGGGTGAACCAGCCGGCCATATCAGGTGTTTGAATACTGGCTGAGAAGTTGTACAGTTGGAATCCGGGTTGTTTCTCGGTGAATTTATCACTCGCAACCACAAACGCTCCAAGAAGAGGTAGACACTCAAGCCAGCGACTTCGTACCAGTTTGCCGACATGACGGTCGACCTCGTCAGCGCCGAGGAGCGTGACGATGCCCAAGGCGTCGAGTTTAAATGGTGCAAATGTTTTCAAGTACCCAAGCATAGGCATCTGGGGATCGTTGTCCCGGGGCGGCGACGAATGACACGATGCCAGGGTCAAATGTTTATCGACATGGAATCAAGCATCGGCGAGGTTGGGACTTTGAGGATTTTGCAGGTTTGCTATAGCCACCCTTGCGGACGAATACCGGGGTTCAGATCATGGAACATTTAGCTAGGCACAAGATCATGCGCCCCCAATCGCTTGAATGGTTGTTGCATTAAGTTGTTTGCGATGGGTAAGGCATGGGTTGCCATTGGTTGGGGGCCATGCACTAGTCAGGTCCATGTCATGCAGCCCCAGCCCCCTCTCCAGCCTTGCTGATGATGTTGAGATTACCTTCTCAGGTGAGGCATCTCTCAACCATACCATGAGGCAGAATCCGGAATCTGCGACTTTGATCCGACGGGCCCCGTGCTGGTCCTGCGGGCTGAAAGTTATCGGCTTCGGCGCGGGCCCTTGAAGCTTAATGAGACGCACGGCGAAGAAAGTGGCCCAAGTTGGACATGAAACTCCATGCGCCGCACCAGAGGACCGGCTACGAGGCCGCATCCGCCATGGCGTTTTCCGACCACATTCTGCAGACTCACATATTGCCGACAGCTGCTCTTCGAAGTCCAAGTGAAAGAAAGAAGCCTCAGGGCCAGAAAAGTTACCAATTGACCAAGATCATGCCAGCGTGCTGGGATGGCCGTGTTACACTACGCGCGTGCCCAAGCTATGCCTCTGATTCCATTGCTGCTGCTGTACAGACGCAGGTGACAATGGGCACATCGTGAGGGCCCCTTAAGCGACGTCTGCCAAAAAAACCTGTGGCCCCCATCTACGACAGTGCGAATCCTGGAATAGCCTGTCGCCACAACGGCGCGTACCGTTATGCATGACCTCTTATGGCCTAGTCTCTGCCGCGATGGCTCACAGCACCTCAACCGTACATGTTCCTTGGTCGACTTGAATTTCCTCTTGTATATACTCATGGATACCATGTTGGAGATGCTCAGCACAAAATCTGCTCATGACAGAACCAGCTTTCATCGTCTCGGAAACACGGAAGGACAAGGAAGTCGCTACACAGGAGCACTTGGCATTCCCAGCACAAAACCACGGATTTCTGTGCGGACCGGGTTCCTAACTGTAGGATGCTGTCTAGCATTCGCTGTCGCGGTTGCGACAGTACAAATCGAGTCTCTTGCAGTGGAGCTGGGCCAAACGTACCAGCTCGTTGTCATTGGTCTCATGTTATCACTCATGTGGTACTGCGCTCAGCGACAGATACAGCTCGCCCTGCTTTCAATCGAAGCGAGGCACAGATGTCCCACGAAAGGAACCTCCATGTTACAGAATTTGGACGCGATCCTGACCTTGAACCCTCTTGGATCGCATGTCAACATCTGCTACCGAGTAGTGATAGGGGTACTGCTGCTCTTGCCCCTAGGTCTGAGTGCCGGGTACAAGATCTTTTCAGGAGGGTATAGTAATTCTCCAGCTACGGTTTCACAAGCCTATTTCGGGATCACAGGTCCGCCTGGTACCCAGAATATTGGTTACGGTGTATCACTGTTTGTCAATACGACGTTGCCGTGGTTTGATGATCCGGGTTTTGACCGTGTCTACGGCTTCAATATGTACGTCGCGTCTGAGAATACGACAGCGATGCTTGATGGACCGATGCCGTCGTTTGTCTCAGCTCAGCAAAAAGGCCTTCGACCTGGGCAGTCTCTGTCATTGACAGCCGAGGTCACTGCAACAGTCTGCAACCTCTCATCCTCCCTCGACCAGTCCCGGGCTTGGTTGAACGACACTTTCCAGAATGTTACTGGAAACAGTGACATTAACACAGCTTTCTGGCAATTCTTTAACACTGCCGATCAATTCGTAGGCCTGATGACTCCCTACTCGTGGGACTTCTCCACGGTATGGATGTCATGGTGGTCAGTCAAGCAACAACAAAACTTCGGTTCCCAGGTTCGTCAATATAATTTGACTCGTCAAAGAATGATCGGCACTTGGGACATAACAGCCAACTCCGTGTCGCTTCGGAATGCAACATTTTTGCATTCAATTACGAACAATCAAACCATCCTCAACTTCAACCTGCTGGGTGCAGGCAATCTTTACATCTTTGCTCTGACCGAATACGACTACCTGTTTCGTAACCTGGGATACTGGCGCAAGAACAACAACTCCAAATATCTTGAATTTGTGAAAACAGATTCCACCCTCGTGGCCGCTATGATATGGTCTCGCATAACCTCGCTCGATGGTCCGGAAGGCTGGGGGTTAGACACAAGTGATCCAGCACCTATCGATCCCAACCTTTATTACCATGTTACCAATGTGACGCAACAATCCACGCCCATCACACTGGAGCGCAGCACGTGGGGTTTGTTTTTGATATTAGCTACCAACCCTTTACTTCTTGCATTCTCGTTACTTTTCTCCGCCGCTTTGTACTATGATTCCCCAATTGGTGAAGGGTTCGGCCTGTCATCGATACTCAGCGCGGCGAATCCTGCGACCCTCAGTTTGCTCGATGGTGCGGGACTATCAGGGCAGCTGAAGGAAAAGGTCCATGTGAGATTCAACGTTATTGCGAAGCACGAGGAGATGAAGGTGGACGAGTCCGATTATCTTAATGAGCCAAAGAGGATCAAGATTGTGTTTGGGGCGGATGATGAGAGGAACGATCATGTGAGAATGAGCGAGGTGTATGGCTGACCTGATGAACAAGCACTCAGCCAACATGGAAGAGCGAGAAGGTGCCTCAGCGACAGAGCCAGCAAGGAACTTGCTGTCTTGCGAGGCTTGCTTGGACGCTGTTGGACGGTATCTACTGCAAGGGGCAAATCTTCCCCCAGGCATACGTGTCGGCACGCTTTTTACTGGCATCTCGAGGCCATACGAGGCCCAAAAAGAACTCCCTAAGACACTTGCAGCGATCTACTGTAACTTCGTTTCCCCTATCTCTCTCATACTGAATTGCCATGTTCTGTTCGCCAATTAATGCACCACACATTGTTTCAAACAACTTCACTGTTCCCAGTACTATACCCGCCCTCATCAGTCAAGACACTCGCCGCACTGGTTGTGTATTCAGAATCAGGGTCCACGCCAATGGTAATCCAAGCGAACAGCCCATCCTCGACCTTTTCACCGAGCAGCACATAGTTGAGCACCGGGTCACTATCAGTATTGGTCTCTGTGATGAAGACCCTATCCTCGTCATTGTCTGTCGGTGTGATAGTGTTCGTCGTATATGGATATACATTGTCGTTGATATAGTCGATCAAGTCCTGGTCATAGAACACTTGACCAATGTGCCTGATCGTGCCACCGGAGATGGTATCGTTGGCAAGGACCGTTACATTGGTATGGGTTATCATATGGATATGCGTGGCACGGCCAGAGTAGTATCCAGGGAAGATGGTTCGCCAGCCCGCAACACCATCAGAATCAGTCTTCTGGATGCCGCGGAGGAAGGTGGCGTTGATGTTGGCCGTGTCGTTTTCGTTACCATTGCCATTGGCGACGACGCCAGCATATACACCTGTGCTGTTGCAGCTAGAGTTCAAAGTGTCAGTCTGAGAGCGGTAACATAAAGGGGAATTGGACTTACTGCCAGATATCAGCATATATGCTGGTGATGGGCTCGCAGGTATTGACATTGATGAACTGCTCTTCGAGATAGACTGGCACACCAGGCTGGGCCTCAGTGATATCGTGACGGACAAATTCACCTTGGACATCTAGGAAGTGTTAGCTGCAATTCGAGATCCATGTTTGTGTTCACCCTTACAGTATGGCCCAGTCTCGCCTTCGGGGTTCAGGATGCAGGATGAGTTTCCGTAGATGACCGACTCATAGTCCGTCGTCCATGGAGTGACATCCAAGCTTGACTCGTGGCTCGTATTGGCAACGGTGGCCCCAAAGTCACTGATGTACGCAGTACCACCTCCGCCTGCATCACCACCAGAGCTCCCCGTTGGAGCAGCACCTGAGGCATCAGAAGGAGCTGCGCCGGAGGCTGAGACGTCGGTAGGTACGGCGGTGGATGAGGCTATTCCGGACTCTTGTCGAGCCATGAGGGATCCTGATCGATGTCAGTCCATATTGCACAACCCTGGATCATACTCTGGTAGATCATACTCTTCTTCCGCAGAACCTCATCTCTCAACTCCTGCACCTTGGCCACTCGACGATTGATGGATCGCTTCTCGTAGCCTCTGGCTTGAAGTTTGTCAGCGCAGTGGTTGAGGTTGCTGACACCACGCTTAAGGTATGCCGACCGTTCGGCTATCTCTTCCTCTAGACTGTGTCCTGGGTGCGCGCTGATGGTAGCAGAGAAGATCGCAGCTGCGGTTGCAACTGTCATGAGGTTGGACTTGACCATTTGAGTGCAGATGAGAAGCAAAAAAGGATCTGACAAAAGGTAGTATTGAATTGAATGAAGAAGTTTTCTCACGGCCTATGTGCTCTCCTGACCCCTCATAAAGGGGAGAGTCTCTCTTTATGCATCGCCGTGGCGTCTTCTGCCTTGGCTGTCCACGTCGCCACGCAACGACAGTTCGTATACCCCCCATATTGACGATCCCCAGAAGAACCACTTTGTCGTCCTTGCAATATCATTCTGAGAAATACCGTCCTTCTGATTGGACAACTGCTGCTAGTACCCCAGTGGGCGAAGCCTTATCTACCACGCAAACGCGCAGACATCGTACCTGGTTTAGCCAAAGTGGTTCACTTGGCGACGAGCATCCCCTTAGCGGCTCCAAAGCCGGGTACGTGGCCTCGGATGTTGTTGGCACTACCATGAAGCTTGATGTTGCTTGGCTCTGCTTGGCTAACATGGTCATGGCAATTGTGGGCTGGCCAGGCTTGCAGCCGTCCTCACCATAACAGACTGTCCTCACAGACTGAAGGAATTGAGGATCGAAAGCAAACCTGTGATGCAATCGCCAGATATTCTGGACTAGCCTGACGTGAAGGCATGCTGCAGCCTTGCGGACGGTGATGAGTATCGACGTCTACTCAGGTGAAGAGCAAGGTTCCAGGGCAGTTGAAAAGATTGAAAGGTTGGTAGGTGGAAAGACCCAGTGATGACGACAACGGGTTGTAATGCACGTGCCCCTTGTTTCATTGCCGACGTGAGGCTCTGGCACCCACTATTCAAAATACCTCGCCCAATTCTGAGGCCTGTATTAATAAGCCCGGTCCAGGAACCAGGTTCATTCTCAGCATGAGAGGTATGTAAGACTAGTGATCAGTCATCACAGCATACCTTCTCGGGTCGCAGGGCACCCTACAAAAATGATCAGACACTTCAGGCCAATCGTGGCAGACAGAGATGTCTCTTCGGGCTTTCCGGCGCTGTTAACGCCCCAGTCCTGCTCTGATTTGGGGAAGATAATAGGGCTTTGGTGGCCTTGGTGGGGTATTGCCGGTGCGACCTGGGGAAACCGTTCGCAACACCTGTCCTTGAAACCCGAGAATAAGGCCGCCAACATGCAAAGTCAGCTACTATCCGAACAGTCGCACGGCAGAACACGAATTGATTCGGTAATCGCTGCGCTTTCGTCTCCGGCGTGCCAACCGAGTGCAAGAGCCGAAATGGTCAGCTTGAGTCTCTTTCAAGGGTTGCAGTGCTTTCTTGCAACCGTAAGTCGAAGCAACGAATGCTCTCTCAACTTCTCTTTTCCATTGAGTGATAATATATATCGTGCCTCTCTTCTCCAAAATCGACGACTTTCTCGCAATAACGAATCTTTGCCTCAGCTACCTGCTGTCCTCTGAGTAACCCACCAATAGGTAGAAGAAGTATGCCGTCCGCGCCTTTGAGTTGCCCGGTCCAGGTGTCAGACTACCCGAAGCTCGACTCCAAACAGGCAGGCCACTTGCGACATTTCCACAACTTGGTGTCCCAACCTGACGGCGAGTGGCATCACTTTGGAAGCCTTGAAGGTCAACAAGAATGGGACGATGCATATCGATATCAACTAGCCACCATGGCCTATGCCGCTGGTGTGACGCACTATCATCGTCTCCCTGCCATGAGGGTTGCTTTTAAAACTCTGATGCGCCGCATGATCCACAAAATGCTTCGACGTGAAGTCTGGGGATACTGGTTCAACACTAGCCTTGGAGGTACACTTCTCGACCCGGACCTCAAGGAGCTTCGGAAACCATGGATCGACCCTGTCATCAACGAGAACATCATGTACAGTGGACATCTCCTGCTTATGACCAGCTTGTATGCAATGCTATTTGATGACGACGAATTCGAGAAGAAAGGAGGTCTCACCTTCACCTGGAACCCTCTCTTTTGGGGCTTGGGGAAGGGGGAGTTCCAATACGACAATCGAAGCCTGCAGGAGGTGATTTTCAAGCAGATGAGAGAGAATGACTGGGTGGGAGTATGCTGTGAGCCGAATGCCGTGTTCGTCGTTTGCAACCAGTTTCCTGTAAGTTCAGCAGTAACGATATCCACCTCATCGGCTGACTTTAGGAGATCATCGCCATGAGGTATAACGACGTACGTGATGGAACGAACAACATCGAAGACGTGTTGGAGAAGTACGAGGCATCGCTGGTCAAGAAAGGAATGTTAGCGGACGACGGTCTGTACGCAGCCTTCTTTGCACTCAAGCAAGGCAAGGCTGTTCCTGCCAGACAGGGCGCTCATACGGCCTGGTAAGAAATTGCGACCCAACGATGTCCCAATACTGACGTGGCTAGGGCGAATGCGTTCATGAATAGTTGGAACTCGGAGAAGGTGCACTCGCTCTATGACAAACAAGTCCTCGGCTTCTTGACCACAGCCGATGGAAAGACACAACTCAATCCCACCGGGGTCGCCATGGCATTCCGAAAACTCGTGCTGGAAGGTGGTGAGGACCCTCATAGCGTGGAGACGCTGCAAAAGGCTCGTGAAAACTCTTCGAAATTCGTGAACCCAGCTCTGCCATTCCAAACCGTCAGCTGGGGACTCTTTACTATGATGCTATCAGAGCTTGGTAAAACAAAAGAGCTCAACGATCTCCTCCATTTCGCGGACACCCATCTCAAACCGACGTGGGAAAATGGCGGGTTGTACTACCCACGAAACGATCAGCTTCTTGATGATGACCAGAACATGATCCATGTAGAACCACATTCCGGCAATTCAGGGCTTGGCTATGCTCGCCTGAACGTCCCTGACGGTCAAAAGAAGATGTGGGAGAAACCTTGGACAAGGTCCGTGCTTACAAGTCGCCCTTGGGTGGACAGACTGAACTTTGCCGATGGAGTGGACTTCTTGAGAGGCACATGGGATGATGGTGCGGACGCCATGATCATCACTTTGAGAAGCTGGACAGGGTCTCAGGATGTCACCCTTAGCATCAGAAACCTTCCCAAGGGCGACTGGGCAGTTTATGTTGATCAGAGACTGAAAGATACAGTAGCCCTGGGGGATGGTGAAGAGCTGACAGTGACAGAGAAGGTTGGGGAGGATGAGATTGACATTATTGTTGCCTCCATGTAGTATATGCAGGCATGACAACGAGGGATCTTCGTAGAGTGGTAGAAGCACCGAACCAGATCCGTCAAGCCTGTTTCAAGATTATTTGGCGCAGTCTGACCTTGGACGCCTGTCAAGCTTGAATGCAGTGACAAAGGAGAGTTGCCCAAGGCTCCGATGCCGACAACATCCACTCTGGATCTGCGGATTGGTGACACATGGGAATGCCCGTGGAAAAGTTGAATCAAGTCAAAGGCAGACTGATGCCATATAAGTCCATCTGTTGTTTCCAGTTCCATTGCTCGGTCTTCCCACTGTCGTAATCAGACCACCAGCGCTGCAGGACATCACGAGCTAGACGAACATTGCCCATGGCACTGAATTTGATGAGCGTCTGAAAATGCGACAATATCTCGTCGCGTTCCTCTCTCTTGACGCAGGCAAAACCTAGCACGAAAGTCGGGAACAAGAGTACCGCCATGCTACTTGTGTAGCTGATTTGCTGTAGGTAGGTTAAGCCGTCTCGCACTACTCCTTGAACCTTCGCATCGGTCAGGCTGGCTGGATGCACAATCGCGTAGAGCCATACAGATAGCGCAGAGACGTAAGCCGAGCATACCAGACGTAATTGCCTCGGGTCTTCGGTGGATGAGATCTTCGGCTGCCATCGTTCCAATTCGGTCCACAAGTCCATGGCCTCGCAGATAAGCATCCCGTCGATCCGTCCAACCTCGGTGACTTTGTTCTGCAGTGCCGAGACTTTGGCGACCATCCGAAGGAGACCGTCGTAGACACCAATCATGTGAGAATTAGATGTGTGCATCGACGGGCTAATTGTGTCGGAGGATGGTTCGAAGATGGTCTGTTGAAATGGGTCTGTTGCTCGGGCCAGCACATCATGGTACATGTAGTACTCCAGTGAAAACTGGCTGATGGAAGGATTGCTTGTATTCCTGGAATCGGTGGACCTTACCAAGGTCAGTAACTCAGACCTAAAGAGTTATCTCTAGCCGGAATAACAGGGAATGACTCAAGAGGTGGGAAATTTTCCAACATGGAATCACTCACTGAACCAAAGATCGAGCAGTATCAAGCCTGATCCGCCAGCATACATCCCCTGTACCTTCGGAAATCTCGTAAAGACACAGTAAGAGTGCACTTATAAGAATAGCCTCTCGATCCGACTCTTTCTGCAGTGCAACTGGCTTTTTCAGAGCGGCAAGGCGTGCCACTTGTTCTGTCTCAGCAGTTTCCAAGGTCGTTTTCTTTTCGGATGTTACCACAAGGTCGACCTTTCCAGTCAGGTTGGTAAGGTGCGAGGCTGCCACGCAGAGAATTGCCTCCCGAATCATGGAGTCGTGAAGACTTCGTGGGACCACTGTGGTCAGAAAGGGGTTCTCTTCGCCACTCGAGGTGGTCAGTACCAATGATGTGACTTTGGTAAAATGTGTAAACAATTGTCGTCGTATAGGCGACTCTAGACCGTCAATCAGGTTTGGCAGGCTCTGTGGAATTGAGCTGGGTGGTTGAGCTTTGTGCATCTGGTATTGCTCCTCTGGCACAGCGGCTGCACGAGGCAGGCCGTCAGATTTTGGAGTCGAAAGCATATGCTCCATCTCGGCTTCGGTGAGACTGGAGTTCAATGCATCCCAATCGAGTTGAAAGTAATCAGCCGTCGGAACGTCGTCCAGACCTAACCACGTGTCCGTGGGAGCGCCCTGGTTTTCAATGTTTGTTCGATATGGAACGATTGTCTCGTCTGCCCATGAAATATCCCCTTGGAGCTCGATGGTCGGCCGCTGGCTCTGCGATACTGCCGGCGTCCGCGCCGGAGGTGCAGGTGTTGCAGTTGTGGACCGTGCTTCATAACGTACGGGCTTTGGGTAGCCTTCGCAGACATAGCCAAGTCTCACACAAGTTCTACCTATTTTATGAACAGGACATGTCAGCAACGAAAGGCCGCTCTCCTCAGGGCAAGGGAGCCTGTTTCCAGGAAAAGTGGCACAGTCTGACTGCTGCAGCTCTTCGGGTTCAGATAGAATCGTTGGGCACTCAGAATCCGAAGTCCGCCGCATATATCGTCACGGCGGTCGCTGTTGGGCATGGATGAGTCCATCAGCTCCAGCGATATGACCCTTTTTGTTCTGCCGTCAAGGCATACGCTGTCGTGGCCTTGTTGGATTTGACCTTGTATCCTCGTTACGCTCTTCGTGAGACCGTACCACTTTGACTGAAAACAGGCTCGCCAGGTGCTTGAACAAGAGCTAAGAAGACCTACATTCTGGCTTGCCTTCATCGCACCTCTTCTTCCTGCGTCGGCAAGTCAGACACCCCGTTCTTCTCCGCCTTATCGGAGTCTCGTTATCGCTGTGCATCTTTTCTGTAAAATTGCCGTAGGTCTAGCATGACCTGGTAAGGCTCTCCTCGTGGGTTTCAGATTCCGAGACGCTTGGATATTAAGAACGTCAAAGGTATTGAGATTATGAGGACGACTTTGACAATTGGATGAGAGAAGAGCAGGCGACACCTGAGGTAAATGAAAGTAGCCGAGGCTTTGCAACAGCGACCCTATTACAGATGCCTACCTTATCTCTTCCTCCCCCGTATCTATCCGCTAATCTGGCTGTTGTCCAATGAATAGTCTTAGTATCAGCCACCATCTTTTCACCCCGAAACTTGCCTTGATCCGATTCACCGGTATCACGGCACTGTGGCTGGACTGCCTATCATAAGCATGCCCAGGCATGCCAGTGTTTCTGGCTATTTATCGACCACAGATCGTAGCATTCAGCCGCCTCGATTTTCTCAATATGCTCTTCTGTGGCTGTCACTCATATGAATTCATCTGACCATTCCACCTGACTACCAGAAGCGTTCAACATTCCGCCGATGCCTTCTCCAACTTCTCTTCGCACCACGTCTCGACAGTCTCTCCCCAGAGATGCCGATTTTTGTATCTGGCTATAGATTCTGGAAAGGCCCTGATCGCACCTAAGAACTCTTGCATACTTTCTGGGTCGTCCTCGAGATCAGTTAAGGGCGTCAGATACGTCCGCACGGTAAACAAAATGACCCCGGTTTTCGGCAGGCGACGAAGTGTCTGTCTTTCGTGGCGAATGCGGAGGCTCTCGATAGTTGGCGGGGCAGCAAGTGTTGCGGGAAACGGGTCTGCTTGAAACAAGACGTCGTCGGCCTGTACGAAGAAGTTGTGTCGTGAGACGATGTCACCCGGCTGCATTCTTGTGAAGAACCTGCTACTTGTCAGCAGACTGCCTGCGTATATGAGTAATTCCGCCCACTTTTCAACAGAAGCTCTCAACTTGTCCTTCCACAACGGCACTGGAGTATGGATTTTCCACAAAGGCCATCCAATGCGTTCCTCAAGGTGCCAGCCAGCTGGCGCCATACTATAGCTTGCTGCTCTGCAGAAGGGTCAGTCTGACTAATCGTGGATGTGGAGCTTATGACTTGCAGGTAATGTTGCTCGGGATCTTCACCAAAGCCTTGGATCAACACATTCAGATCTTCCATGACAAGCTGTGCTGCAATTTCGAGAGGTTCCAACTCATAGGGGTATGTTACTTTAAAGGTCCGACCCGTCAGGCTGTTGTGCACATAATCATTCTTGCCCGCTGGCGAGTAGAAGAGAGTTGGATACCGCTGGGTGACATAGTTGACGACCACCTCAAGAACTTCTGCGCACGCAGCTTCAGATCCTGGAAGAACTTGTAGGACGTTGTGCCGTTTCGTGGCCAGTAGATCACGCCGAAATGCTTGCTCGGGCAGATATCGATTGTCGATGGCAAGCCAGTCGCTTTCTTCCACTTTCTGAATGCCCATAGTCATGACGAACTTGCCAGACTTCCATGGTCTGTAGGGATGAGGCTCGGTTGCTGCAACGTCGAAGTGCGGCAATGAAACAATATCATGATGCTTGTCCTTGCTGCCGACGGTCGCCTTCCTTCTGGAGAGCCAAACATACCGTACTACAATAATCAAAATAGCTGCAGCCAAGGGCCAGGCATGAGTCCATGAGAGAATCATGATAGCCATATTCAATAGTCGCCCGAGTCAACAAGCGTAGTAGATACTTAGATCATTCGAATGGTGAAGGAACACTTCGTACGTGCCTTTTCTAAGATACTGGCTATCCCACGTTTGGATCCACTCAAGGTTCAGCCGTTGCAGATGGCTCCGCACCAACTCCGATCTGGCGGCAGCAGCGGTAACGGCGGTCTCATCGCGCCCAGCCGTCGCCCAGAGATCATTATCCCGTCTCTCCAGCATATCCCAGGGTCCTCGAGTCTCTGAGTTTTGCACTGGCGCAATCTCGACCGTCAGAATCACCAACCACGAGGCGCGCCCTTCGGTCCGCTATCATGATGTTCAAGAATGGTCGTGGTAGGAGTGAGCATAGATAAGATTATAAGGCGGCCACCTCGGCCCCAATGTCTGGAATATGCCTCTTTCATCTGAAAACGTTCTGTTATGTTGATATATTGACTGGTAATTTCCTGTTAAAATTGACAGCCAACCGTGTATTGCCTTCACGATGAGTGCGGTCACCGAAAAGCCTTCAATTGGAGGTGCAGCGGAGAAGAATAATCCAGCCTCAGTATCTCCTGCCACGAGCGATCGTGAACATGGGCAGATCGTTGATGCCGACGAGGATCTTCTCGGACAAATTGGATATGCTCAGGAGTTCCGGCGGGAGTTTACCAGATTTTCAACCTTGTCCTATGCCATCTCGATCATGGGAGTCCTGGGATCGGGTATGTCGTGAATCAAGTGCCCCTAGTGGTCGACGCTGATGAATATGATTGTAGTCTCGGCTACTTGGTCAACTCCACTGGCTGCTGGAGGACCTGCGACTGCAGTATGGTGTTGGTTCTCAGGGTCCTTCTTCTCTCTTTGCATCGCTCTTTCGAGTGAGTATATGCGTGGGACTCGTCCGGAAAAGATGGCTCTGACAAAAACAACAGTTGCTGAGCTCGTCTCTGCTTTCCCTACTTCAGGAGGAATGTACTTCGTGACCAAGCACGTCTTCCCCGAAGAGATTGTTCCCGTCGCAGCTTGGGTGATAGGGTGGTCGAATCTGTTAGGCCAGTGAGTTGTTGCAATGCCATGAAACTCCCAGAACATCAACGCTAATCGATATAGGACTGCTGGCGCTGGTGAGCTAGAGCACCTAATGTTCGGAGCCATGACTGATGTGATGACTAGCGAGTGTCGGATACTCAGTCGGACAGATGGTGAGTCGCTCGTTTCACCTACCCAGAAGGAAAGTGGCTCATCCCAGGACAGTTCTTGGCAATGATAGCCATGGGCACTGTGAAAGAAGATGGAAGTCTTGGTTACACACCGTAAGCAAACAAGGTCAGACTCACTGGATTCAGGAGCTAACGTCCTACTAGAACATCACAGCACATCGTCGCTGCGTCTATCGTTGTCCTCATAATCACTGGAGTAGTCTGCTCGTTTTCGACCAAGATCTTGAACAATTCCATTCGCTGGTTCGCTCCTGTCAACAGTCAGTGTCCTAGTGTTCACAAGAGTCCATACGACAACTGACAGAAATAGTTGCCGCTTCCATCGCGATTACAATCGCATTGCTGGTTTTGACGCCGAACAAACTTCCAGCCAGTGATGTTTTCTCCAATGTCACGGATGGGTCTGGATGGAACAGCAAGGGTTTTTCGTTCTTCCTCGGATACCTCAGTGTTGCGTGGACAATGACAGACTACGATGCGACAGCTCACTTGTCCGAAGAATTGCACAACGCAGCGATTAGTGGTCCTGTGGCTATCTTCCAGGCTGTCTTGGTGACTTGGGTTAGTGTGCCGCCAATATGTTACAGCTACGATTTGCTGATACCAAGTGCTTTACAGGTCTTCGGGGTTATGCTGAACATTGCTTTCGGCTTCTGTGCTGGTGATGTTGCGGCTACACTGAGCTCGTCACTGGGTAATCCAGCTGCCCAGGTCTTCCTCAACGCAGCAGGCAAGAAGGCTGGTATCGCAATGTGGTTTTGGGTTGTCCTGATCCAGTTCTTCACAGGTGAGGGACCAACACTTCTCAATTCTCCAATAAGCAGCTGACTCAGAGATCAGGAATTACCGCTATGCTCGCAGACACCCGCACATTCTTTGCTCTTTCTCGTGACAACATGTTCCCGTTCTCAAGGTCAGTTTTCCAATACTCTTTCGGATCATTCCTTACTGACCAAGCACAGCACCTTCCGCAAAATGAACAAGACCACACAGACTCCTTTGTACAGCGTGTGGGCTATTGTCGCCTTGTGTTGTCTGCTCAACCTCATTGCACTTGGAAGCACTCAGACCATCAACGGCATCTTCGGGGTCACCGCGCCTGCCATGGACTGCTCCTATGTCGCCGTCATTGCCGCTCGGATGTATTACGCCAAAAGTCACCCGATCAAGCCCGGCCCATTCCGGCTAGGACGCCTTCAGAAGCCAATCAATATCATCGCCATCGCCTGGGTCTGCTTCATCTCAGTTGTACTGTTCTTCCCACCTGTCAGCCCAGTCACTGCCACGAACATGAACTATGCAGTGGCTATTGCGGGATTCATCGTCATCTTTGCGCTTTCTTGGTGGTACATGAGCGCCAAAAAGTATGCTTCTTCTTCCTGAACATGATAGTGTTGCTAATGAGCCCAGGCGTTATGTCGGGCCTATATCGAACATTCATCACGACTGATCTGGGGCGATGACGGCAGACTTGGCGGACATTTGCTATCGGTATCGAGGTAGACAGTGTAAAACCAGAGCCGTAACAAAGAGCAGACTCTGACTTTGAAGCATTCTGGCTCCAATACAGGCCGTCTTGGTTTTCTATTTCAGAGTGACATAAGGCAAGCCAGAGACGGTGCGATATAATGGAGGCGGCGAGCTGGTATGTAGGGGACTGCAATATCTGATCCCTGCTCCTCGGTCCAACCAGGTATTGTCCCTTATTTCGAACCCGGCCCTCTGTGCAAAGAATAGAGCGCTAGCCCTTGGTCAACAGAAGGTCATCAGCTCTGTCGTTTGATCCTGCCGCCTTGCTGTCAAGGCACTCACTATCGTGAACAATTTTGGACATCAAACTTATATCGTTGATGACCTCCCTGTCAGACGGTGCCAAAAAAATGGGTAGACCACACTCAACGGACACGAAGGGTCAATATGCAACCAGTCATCCGTACAAGATGGGTCAATCTTCTCCTGGTGGAGTGGGATATCGTTCGTAAAGCCATGACTCAACCTCGCGACACTCTATTCACTTGTCCACGCCTATTGACAGGGGTTTAAGTGCCGGCCTTCTGCTGCCTGTATCATAGAACAGCATCAGTGAACCAGTCCAGACCTTCATTTGTAAGAAGGTTTCCAATTTCGTCGTACTCAAAATCAAGATCGAGCCCGAATCCGAATCCGTCAAGAGCGCTGGGAGTGAGATCGTCTGCGAAACGTGGAGACCCAAATGAAGCTTGGATCAATGGCTGGCCAGCACCAATATCTGCCTGCTCCTGAGTCCGAGAGGCCTCCTGGTCGACATAGCTGGCTGCATTATGCACAGCAGGACCAGAAGGGGGCGCAAGATAATCTGGGGGGTCCGGTTGAGCACGATGTGCTTTTGCACCACGTTGGCGACGTGGCTTGGTACTCCTTGTATCACGTCGTGTATCATTGCTAAGTACGGCTTGATCTTGAGCTGCGCTCCTAGTGCGCTCGATCATCTTCTCCACCACCATCTCGAACGCATCACGGTACTTTCTGGCGCTCGTCCATTGCTCGCTTATGACATACAGAACAGTCGAGCATGCTCCAATGTCGGCAGCACGATGAGCGTCGTACAGAGACGGCCTATTGCAGATGCAATAGATCAATGTGAACCCTGCGACAAACACTGCATGCAGATCTCTCAGCGTGAACGGCACGGGAGACAGCCGATGAAGACGTCTGTAGAGCTGACAGATCTGGCCAGATGCATCAACGCATGCAGCATACTCCGGCGGACCAAATGTGTAATGACCTTGTCCTTCGGTCATGAGTGGCTGCAGTAGAGATCTGCGAGCCTTGTTGTATTCGAGAAGCAGTTCTGTCCTCTCGATCTCGACGGACTTTCGAAGCCCTCGCGCCCTATCAGGCTCTGAGTCAGAGGAGTTGTCGTCATCACTACTCTTTCTCGACTCGAGGTGAAGCCGCGAAGAGTCCAACGACTTCGAGTAATGGTCAAGAACACATCCTTTCCATTCTTCAAGTTCTTGGAATCGAAGCGCAATTTTGTCTCGCAATTTGCCAGCCTTGTGCGAGTTCTTCAAAGCGTGCAAGGTAAAACGAATCTTCGTGTGAATGCGGTACAGCAGGATGTGGTATCTGTGAAGGCTCATGCTCGTATGACGGGAGTCAGTGTCACCACTTGAGGGCTGTGCTTGTCGCGCTGCGTCCAGTTGCTCGATGTCTTCTTCATCATCATTCACCTCCAAGGGTAAATCTGCATCTATTTCCTTGTCCGATATGGCAAAGGGCCTGCCCAACACAAGTGCTGTCTTCCTTTCGAAGATGAATGCGCTCCAGAAGAGTCTTTTGCGCTTCTGATCCTGGACTAGCTGGTGAGGGGGGACAACTCTTTGCTTGTGCAAGCCCAGCTCCAGGCACTGTCTCAAGGCGAGGCCGCATAAATGCCAGACACTTGTCCCTAGTGAAACACAGTCAGTCCAATGCCCTATCATGACATCAAGCTCAAGAGCTTCACGTCCAATGTACTCACCTGACGGCGACCGCATTGAGTGTAGTCCCAGCAGCAAAGTGACCTCAATCGAGCGTATGCTGGTCCATGTCATGGCTTCAGGTACGTACTTCATCGCCGCCAGAAAGTGGCCTTGAGGAGTATGTTTTGCGACGTTGGTCGACCCTAGAAGCTCGAGGCAGCGAGAGCCAATGGCATAAACCAAGTGGAGGACTGCGAGGTCCAGACGTGAGTCTGGTGATGAGTCTGCATGGAAGCTACTATGCTGGCGTTGGCTCTCCCAAAGTGCTCTTCTGTCCAGGAAAGGGTACAATGGGTGTACACTTGCCAGATAAGCCCTGATGTATCTGCTGCCCACCTTCGGCGCTGGAATTGGAGCCAATGGCGTTTGAGAGGAAGGCGCGTGATTCGAGAAAGGACGATCAGCCAATAAAGGAAGGGATACTTCCGATCCATCATGTGTACCGCTTTCTATGGCCGCTTGAACGAAGTGGGCGAGGCTCAACCCCGACGAAGAGCCGAAGTAGTGAGGCTCAGCAGCTGCGACCGAGGATAGAACACCAAGACCGAGGGTGAGACGATTTGACGGAGATGATCTTGTTGGCTGCTCCGTCAGCAACGTCGGATTGTGGCGAGCCCTGGATGGTTGGGTGAGGCTATGAAGCTCTTCACGTTCAGAGACCTGACTGGGAGAGCCCAATTGTGCTTCGAGCATCCCTAATCTGTCCTCCAACATTTTGACATATGAGGATGGATATGCATTCTCTGCATACACGCATGAAACACCTGACCGGGCACAATTTGAGCAGGCTGGAGAAGCATTGTCGCACTGTACAGATCAACAAGCAGAAAGTACAGGATGTCGAATAGCGTACCTTTTGTCTCCTGCTTTTACACCTCTGGCATGCCACAAGGACCCTAGGCCGTTTGTTACGTCTCGGAGAAGGAGCATCATCCTCAGCCCTGAGAACACCTGCCATCACACAAGCACAGGGCCAGCTGCTGAGGACTAAGTGTGACAGATATGATAGCTGTTATTGCTCCGAGTTGCAAACTTTCCTGGTGCGGTGCATGTTAATGGCAGACGCAATGATATGATCGGAGGCAAGATAGTGAAGATACGGATGGTCCCGATAGTCGGAGATGGGCGTTAGTCGCCATCGGTTCCTTCCGCTTACGAACGTGCATGGCGAGCATATCGGAAGTGGCTGTCTCATTATTATACCCTCTGCCCCAGGCACACCTCCCCTGAAGCCCATCGAAAACCACCTATCATCAAAAAGTCAGTCACAATGGTTCGTCGCGTCCGTCTTGGTGTCATTGTCCCATCATCCAACACAGTCCTTGAACCACTCACCTCAGCAATCATATCGTCCATTGATGACCCGGACCTCGACATCAGCGTGCATTATTCCAGATTCCGAGTAACCACTATCGACGTCTCACAAGACGCAAATGCTCAATTCCTGCTTCAGCCTATGCTGGATGCAGCCCGACTCCTAGCTGATGCAGAAGTCCATGTTATTGGCTGGAGCGGTACGTCCTCCGGCTGGCTAGGTTTCGAGAAGGATGAAATCCTGTGTGATGCCATCAACGAAGCAACGGGAATCCCGGCCACGAGCTCAGTTGTGGCATTGAATGAATTACTCATCAAATGCAATAATCAGGATATGGGGCTGGTCACGCCATACGCTCAGAGAGTTAACGATGCGATCCGGAAGAACTACGCTTCTATCGGCCTCAACGTTACGGTTGACAGAGAACGACATCTAGGCCTAACCAAAAACATGGACTTTGGGAAAGTAACGGAGACTCAGCTTGACGAAATGGTCACCCAGGTTGTGGAGCAAGGCGCCGATGTCGTTGCCATTTATTGCACGAATCTGCGGGGTGCACGACGAGCATCTGCTTGGGAAGAAGAACTCAACATTGTAGTCCTGGACAGTGTTGCCACGACTGTTTGGGGAATGCTTAGGACGATTGGTGTACAGCCTTCATGTGTGAAGGGATGGGGTTCGATATTCACCCTTGATTGAGTGGTCTGTGGTCACCGGCCTTCATACATATCGTCAAACATGCTCGGCCAGATGTTTGCATCCAGTCCGGTCTGCTGCCACATTTCCCACAAGTCACCTTCTAGACTACTCTGTAGCTGATCGGGCAGATCATTGGTGTCTGTCATCACAGCATTCTGCTCGCCGTTCGTACGTTGTGCCTGCGTATTGCCGGACAGAATGATGTCTGTCATTCCTCGCAGCAGAGGGCTGTAACGGCGTGCCAGATGGCCTTCGGGAGGACTGGCCGCCTCGAGGGTGCGGGCGGCGACATCGACCAGCCGGAAAAGCAAGGAGCTGGATGCATCTTCCCCAAGCGGTGTGTCTGACTGTTGGACGTGAGGGCGGAGGTTCACTATGTATATCTGTCAGCTGCATGTTTGAGGTTCCAGACTGGAGAGATGAATCACAGTCTGTAGAGTTGCTTAGCCAGCTGCTGACGAGGAAGAAAGCGGCATAAGCAATGACGACAAGATAGTGGTCGATCGCAAAGGACATGATGTTGACCACATTAGGATCAGGCTCCAGCTGGGCCGGAATGTTCATATTGTTTGGGGGACTGAGTGATGGTGGTCTTGACAAGTGGAGAAGAATCTGGCTAGCCCACTCGAGTGCCCACGTAAGAGCCTTTCCCGATCGTTGACTCAGGTCGGTAACGTCGAGAAATGCGCATGCGTAGGACAGTCGGTACCATCGTAGCGAGGTGAAAGGAAAGTGCTGAGCGAGAGAATCTCGCGATCGGTCGCCTGGACTCGAAGCGAAATGCTGCTCGATCAGCTGAACATCCTTGTCGAACGCCTCGACGCTCTCAATGGTTGTAGGTCGGCAGCCGGTGAAGTGAGCGCCGTATGCGGTTCGGAACAACGATGCCAGGCGGATGTCTGTGTCCTGGACATAATTACCTTGCAGGAAGGTGTCGAGAACTGCATGTAGTGGTTCAGGGTTGAGGTGAGATGAACGTCGAGCAGACAATGCAAGGCTAGAGTGGTTAGCAGTAAACGAGACAAGCTTCGTCCGACTTCTAGGTACTCACTAGTGGTCGCTCTCTATGAGGTATAGCATAGTACGGAAGCGCCGCACGTCTGTTCGCGTCACTGTCTCAGGACGTTGGAAAGGGACATGGCAGCTCCGTTCCAACGCGAGAGATGTCGCCCATCTGATCGCCAAGCCTAAGCACTGCCACGCCCCTCCCTCAGAGAAGCGAGATCGATATCGTTTCCTGTCGGCCGCAAGGTCGAAGGGTATCCAATGTGCACAAAGCATTAGGGCTTGGACTGTTTCGAGCTTCTGGTCGTCGGGTCCGGGGCGCAATGTTACTCGCATCACCTCGGCATCGAGGAGGCGGATGAGCTCTGGGTATCGCGGGTGAAGCCAGCACGGTGTTCTGATGATGTTGGCCTCGGAGTTTTGCCTTACGGACGAGAATGACTTACTTCGACGAAGCGCTCCAGAATCGCGCGCCCACACAGAGAATCGCAAGGAACAGTAAGACACTGGTGGAGCGGACGCGATCCACGTCAGAGTCCATCCCTACATCGAGGAAAGGAGCATTGGAGTGACAGCTGGAGAAGAATCTGCATGGATTAGTTCCGTTCGGAACAGAACACTCGAAGGTACTTGCAGTCTGAACATGACATGCGCCTCTCCTTGCGTGACAATCGACCGCGCAATGGGATCTTGAGACTGGAAGTCGAGCGGAATATCCTTTTGAAAATTGTTGACAGTTTTCAAGGGGCCGTCCGTAATGACGACACCCTGGGGGCTGGAGAAGCCATTGGAGGATATCGATCCCAGACTGGTGGGCACAAATTATGTCAGTAAGTTGCGTGCTTGAGAGGGCAATAGGGACGCACGAGGCTTCAGGAGCAACTTGATAGCCTTGATGAGAAGAACCAACGTCGGGAGGAAGCATGAATGATGTCAGGGCGCGAGATCGCGGGGTGCCTATGTTCTCATCGTGACTTTTCTGAGCAGTACTGAGTCCTTTCTCGAGGTCGGCGATCCTAACATGCCGTTAGACAATCCGCTGGCTAACCCAGGAATGTTGTACACACCGCGATTTGAGCGAGTCAACCTCCTTCGCCAATCCGTCATTAATTGAAGACGGTATTGCTGGGGCAGCCGGCACTGACGACAACAATGCCTGTGCATTGCCTCCGTCGAACGGCGCCAGATGATTGATCGAGGAAGCCGAAGCCGAAGCCAAATGAGCAAAATGACCCTCGTCGGGCTCTCCTTGTTCGAGGCTGACAGCAGGCGACGGCGATGAACGGAGGCGAAGGTAGGGATTGTACCGCGGATCCTTGACCTCGTCCTCGAAGCTGCATTTGACCTTCCGCGTAGTGCATGTTCGACACTTAACAGCGTAGGTGATACCTCCGCATTTCTGCTTCCTAACATCAATGTCAGCGGAATGAGCATGGGGGGATTTTATCATCGGTAAGCCGGCCGACGGTATTCCCGAGGACTGCCGTTGATAAGGGAACACACCTCGATCTGCATTGCACACAGGCATGACCTGTCCGGCCAATCGATGCTAATGCGCTTGAGCTGGGGTCAGCGGACATGTTCCAGCACAATGTTAACAGCAAAGGTACATGAAGTGAACATGCCTATCGCATGTAATGTGAGATTTGAATTGAGAGACGTCGTTCAACCTCATGGCCACTACCTTGCCGCAGTTCTGCCGAGACCACGCACAGATCTTATCGTGGCGTGTGTGGCTGGGTTTTTGTTTCCTTCACCACCACATTGCCATCATCTAGATTCACTCTGTTTCTGGCGCGCCAATGTCAGATCTACAGGTCATCAAATCTGCAACAATCAGGTGGACATGATAGCTGAATCTACCTCGCCCATGGTTTTGAGGAAATAAGACCTCGTTTTAGCGGTATGTCCACCCCTGATGATTGGACGCGTACTTGTCAGTATGCCACAGCGAAGGTAGCGACACTCGCAACTTCCGCAACCGGATTGTAGCAGTCCAAATACCGGACGGTTCGATCGAGAATAAAGACGTCGTGAAGGTATTCAAGAAGCCATGGAAGGCTCAGGTAAGCAGGGATGACTCCGGAAAACCCCAGCCTTGATGGACGCTTTTTTTACACATGGCAGCACCGTAGCAATTAGGCTGCTGCATGCAGTACATCCCACTTTCCAGCCATTCGTCTAGTCAGAGGCAATCCGCATCCTTTGCGAGGAACAAACCGACCATACCGACTATCACCCACGATTCGACCATCCTTGAATACGACTTTGCCACGCAAGAGTGTCATCTTGGGCCAGTTCAGAAACTCAATCCCCTCGTATGGCGAGTAATCACAGCCGTCATGCAAGTCTCTGTTGTGGACCAGCCGCCTTGGAGTGAACGCATGATGCCATATGACCAGGTCCGCATCCGAACCGACTTGGATAGCGCCTTTCTTCGGATACAGCCCGTACAACTTTGCAGGGTTCTCCGAGGTCAATTCTACGAAGCGCTTCACGTCGATACATCGCCGTCTTAACACACCTTCAGAGAAGAGTAGCGGGAGTCGGGTCTCGACGCCAGGAAGGCCATTAGGAATTTTCGTGAACCTGGGACAGCTGTTAAGTTTTGATACGAATAATACGAATAGGGCTGCACTCACATGCCATTAGGATTGCCGTTATCTGCCTGAGAAAGCCCTAACTGCTTACCATTTGGACCAGTGAACCTACGCGAACAAGGGTCAGAGTGTCCAAGAACCACCGACGTAACCTGCTCACCTATAAGGACAATGGTCAGAAGAGAATATTGTAAACGTCCCATTGACGAGTCCTCTCCAAATGGCTTCCACGTCATTTGGGTCGCTTCTCAGTGGTGGCGAGCATATGAATTTTGCACCACAAAAGTGCTCCTGCGCCAAGTTGGATTTCCCCAGCAGTAAGTACTGTGGACAGGTCTCCGCGAACACTGGCTTCAACTGTGACTGGGCTTTCCTGATGACTTCGGTTGACTCCGGCACGGAGACGTGTACAATCAACAGCGGCGTGTCCATAACCGAGGAGAACGTTATAGCGCGATTGGTAGCTTCTGCTTCGGCAGCCGCCGGGTGGGCAACAGCTTTGTACAGCGGATCCGTCAGGCCTTGAGCCTCGAGCTGTTCCGTAAAAAAGTCGACAAGGTCACCATTCTCAGCATGGACCAACGCTACCATGCCGAGTTCTCGTGCTTTGTGCAGAGCACGAAGAAAGTCCTTGTCGGATATCCTCATGTGCTTGTACGTCAGGAACAGTTTGATGCTCATTATGCCTTCACGAGCCAGGATCGGAAGTTCCTCCTCGAGCACTTTTGGCGTGGGGTCTGTTACGATGGCATGGAAGCCATAGTCTGCGTACGAGCCTTGTTGTTGCGCCAAATCGTGGTAGGCCTCGACCTTTGCTCGAAGCGACTCTCCTCGCGACTGCTCGGCAAACAAAAGCACTGTGGTGGTGCCTCCTGCAACAGCACTGCGCGTCCCCGTCTCAACTGTGCTGAAGTTAGTAGACTTTCCCGCTAGGAGTCATGGCCAACTCACTGGTGTCGGCACACTGGTATCCGGCTTCCTGTGCTCGCGGCGATTTGTCCTGGGCCAGATGCACATGACCATCTATGCCACCTGGAGTCACGATGGCACCTTCGCAATCGATGATGTCTGTGTCCTGCGAAGCGACCAGATTGGAACCCAGCGTAGCAATCAGCCCATGCTTGATGCCGATATCGCATACAAATGCTCCGTTGACAAAGGCGTCTCGCAGTATTACATCCAATGTCTGCATGTCGAAGTTCCCCAAGTCTCCCATAGTGGGAGCTCGAAGCAATCCGGAGATTCGAGTCACAATGCAAGAAAAAGTGCCGATACGAACAGGCTTGTGGTCCAAAGATTACAGGCTCAAGCCATGATAAGGTAGAGACGACGACTACACACCAATACAGCTAACTTGAAATCGAAGAGGTCCTTCTGAATGCGATGGCTGCTGAGAGAACTTCTGCAAGTCGAAGGTTGCGGCCACCACGAAGCGTGATCCACAATCGCGCCAGTCCGAGGGAACTGGCCGTGATAAGACGTCGACCCTGTTTCCAGAAAAAGTGGCACCGTCTGACAGGGCGTACATCGACAATATAAGTTCGAAGTCAAGCACTTTCACAATAGCGGGCGCCTTGACGGCAAGACTGTAGCGCTGTACGATGGAGCTGAAGGTCTTCACCCCCGTCAAGTGAAAAGGTATATTCTTGTGTGCGCAGGACTCTGGACTGACACCAAGGGGCAATGTCTATTTGCACCTGAAGAGCAACAACCGTCAGACGGTGCCACTTTTTCTGGAAAGAGGCTTGACGCTGCTCGTCTGCAGATTTGCACAATGTATCGCAACCAATCAATTTCTTCTATTGTCGGACCAGTCCGCTATCGCTAAATCTTCGTGATAACACTCCTGACTGCCTGTCTGACCTCGCTTTCAAGACACTCACATTCTTTATCATGTTATGCAATGCGGACCCTTCCGAGCATATTTAACATGTGCGTATCATGCATTCAGCATATCTTTACGACGAGAGGTGTGTAGTCTTTGTGTATATAAAGGTCATGCTATCGCCACTCCCTGGACTGTGAGAAGTCTCTCACGATCCTCAGAAGCCCGAACCAGCACTTCTTTTCTAGCCACTTTGATTGGAAATCAGGCAAGGTTATCTCACACGTTGCAATCATGAGGACTATGAACATCCATGTGCCTAAAACCAGCAAAGAGTGGAAGTTGGCGCTGACCACTGGTACCGAGACCGATCCTGCTTCTCAATGGATTAACAAGGATCTTGCACCCACGCCAAAGGAAGCACGTACATGGTCTTGGTGAGCTTCCACCACATCGTTATTCTCAATGACCCATACTGACCTGCACAACAGGATATCCCTGACTAGCTACTGGTGGGGCAATGCCTTCAACTCCAGCCAGTGGTCCAACGGCGCCAGCCTCATCGCAGTCGGTCTGAACTGGTGGCAAGCGTTGATTGCTTGCATGTTGGCCAATCTCATCTCGTCGACCGTGGCGCTCGCCTTAGGACGGCCTGGTGCAAGGTACCACATTGGCTATCCAGTGCTCGCCCGGAGTGTCTTTGGTATGTACGGGCACTACTTCTTCGTCTGGATCCGGGCGGTGGTCGCCATCATCTGGTTCGGCGTGCAAACGTACTTCGGCTCGCAGCACTTGAGTGTCATATTCAGATGCATTTTTGGAAACTCCTGGGAAAACATGCCGAACCATATGCCCGCCAGCGCCGGGATCAGCTCGAGAGATCTCTTGGCTTTCTTCCTCTTCTGGATGATTGAGTTGCCGTTCCAGGCTGTGCATCCGACCAAGATCAAGTACCTATTCGCTGTTAGTTCGCTCTTTGAGCCCTGGACGAAGTGATTCTGCCTGATTGCTAACGACGTCGCAGGCTGAGTCAATCTTTTGTCCTCTCGCTTGTCTAGGAACATTTGCCTGGTGCGTCAGCTACGGCGGCGGCATCAGAGTGAACACACTCGGGGCAACGCAGGTCCACGGTGGTGCCCTGGGTTGGGCCATGCTCAACGGCATCAACAGTTGCTTGGGCGTGACGTCTGCCCTTCTTGTCAATGTAAGAACACCTACGTTAATACGGGTTGACAAATGACGACTGACTTTCCCTTCCAGCAACCTGACCTGACCCGATATACCAGACGACCCAAAGATGCCGGGTGGCGGCAAGCGTCATCGATTTTCGCCAGCAAGACGTTGATCTTCTTCTTCGGTATCGGCGCAACCGCAGCTGTACAAGGAAAATTCGGCGAAGCATATTGGAACCAGTGGGACTTGCTCAATGCTATCCTGGACCGCTTCTGGGGTCCTGCCGCGCGAGCGGGATGTTTCTTTGCGGCGATGGGATTCGCCTTGTCTGTGTTGGGTGTCAATATCGGCTGCAATGCTATCCCGTTCGGTATGCAATCCCCTATCCTCAACAAGATGAAGATGTCTGGCTAACGATGCTGCTCAGGTGCCGATGTAACGGGATTGTTGCCCAAGTACTTCACTATCGTCCGAGGCCAAATGTTCTGCGGTATTATGTCCCTGGCAATTGTGCCATGGAAGCTACTAAGTAAGTTTGCATCAAGTCGATCATTCCAAGGCCGATCACTGACTCTTCTGTCACAGCCAGCGGCTCCGGCTTCTTGACTTTCTTGGGCAGCTACAATATCTTTATCTCGCCGATCTGTGGCGTAAGTGTCAACCATCTCTGTTATGAAGACCCTTGAAGAGGAGCCTAGGCTAACACCTGCTAGATCATCATGATCGACTACTTCTTCATCAAGCGCGGCAACATCCATACACCCTCGCTGTTCAACCCGGCTCCTGGATCGCTGTACTACTACACCAAAGGCTGGAATCTGAAAGCACTTGCGTGCTGGACTTCCGCCGCAGCTTTTGGTATCCCAGGCCTGGTCGGTGCGTACCATCCTACGTGGGTTGCCGAAGCCGCGATACACATGTACCAGACTGGATGGGTGATATGCTTTGCGGTGGCTATCACCTTTTACTTAGCCATCAATCGCGTGTTGCCGGCCAAAGTGCTCCCGATGGGCTACGAGGGTGCACCAAGCGGGTTTGAAAGCCTCGCGGAAACAGAAGGCTATTTTGACGGTGAGATGCCAATTGAATCTGGTATGACCACTGGTCGCGATCCTGAAGACCGAGCGTCGGATGGAACGAGTGTCGTCTCTGTGAGCAATGTTGTTGGCAGTGAGAAGGTCTGAAAGAGAGCTCGGAGTAGTGGGATGTGCTTTCTTGATGTCTGGTCGTCAAACCTGTTTCCAGAAAAGTGGCACGGTCTGACCAGTGTCGCTCCTCAGGTGCAAATAGGTACTGTTTCTTATTGTCGTCTCGAAGTTCTTCGCACACAACGACAGAGCTTTGTGCGTTGTCAGAAAGGAGGTCATCAGCTCTATCGTGTATCCCCACTGGCTTGTTGTCAAGGCACCTACCCATTGTTGCGAACCTGCAGAACTTCAATATATATCGTCGATGTACTCCCTGTCAGACGGTGCCACTTTTTCTGGACACAGGCTTGTCGTGTTCTTGCGTCACTGTGGCAACGGCGTGAGGAGCTGGTGTTCAAGTTATGAATCGGAGTGGTCGTTCCGGCAGTAGATCGATATTAGTGTCCGCTGGAAGATGGTCTATACTTCCACGGCCAACAAGCTTTCTCTATGTGCTCTTTGATGACGTTCATGTATTTTTTCCACAACGCGTTCAATGAATTTCTCGGGTAAGCTGAGGAAGTTTCCGCCGAAACCAGTGACAGGCTCGTGACTGCATTCGAGGTATCGGTCTCGGAACTCAATCCACAGGGTATTGTCCGGGGATTGTTCGTTGATTGTGGGGCGTGGGAAGTAAGGGTCGTTCCTCATGAACGCTTCAGCAGCTTGCTCGATGCCGGCGTCGTCCATGGTCAGCGGCTTGCAGCAGTCAAAGTCCAGGACCCATAGAGCATGAATTCCGAAGATTTCGTGTGAGTACACGTTGTGGGCGATTTCTTTTTGCGTTGGAACGGCACCGAGCACAAACTCGATATCATTGGCGTCGATATTCGCAACCCAGTGCATCATGGCGAGTGTCTCAGCCATGGCATGTGCGTACTCCAGAATCGGGAGCTGGAGGTCCTCTGCCTTATTGAGGTGTAAGGGGTAGTTGCGCATGGAGAAACGCTGAAGTATTGGTGCTGTCCGGGCCTCGATCTGGAATTTTCGACGGCCTAGGTAGGGTCGTACCAAGCAGTCTCTGTTGGAGTCCTCGGCCTTTATGGTCGCAATTGATGCGGGTGGACAGTATCTGTCAATGAGGCGATCCCTCACGTCCTGCGGCAGTGGTGGTATGCGTTCCGAGCAGAGCACGTTGCAGGCAGTGTAGCCGGTGCGAAATCTCGCGAGATTCATGTCCCACCAGTTTTGGTCGTCGTTCTTGATAAACTTCGGCCATCGTGGGGCACACACGCCGAGCCTTTCCTGTAAAGCTGTCTCGAGCACGAGTCTATGCATGTTGTAGTCATTGAGAAGAGACCGCCATTTACATCCATCCTCTCTTTTCATCGCTATCGTGCTTCCCTCTGCTGCCCATACAGATCCGCAATTACCGTGGCCTATTTCGCGGAATTCGGTAGAGGTGCATTCTTGCTGGATGGGGGATGTCATGTTGAGAGAGTGCAGCTCTTGTGAAGTTGGTAATGCTGGTTGGAAAATACTAATGTGTATTGGTATTAGTATTGTGGTTGTGAATGTGATTGCTAGAATGTGAATGTTTCAGGCGACTGGGAGTGATTCATCTATCTTCATTAAATACTCTGGCATTCAGACTGAAAGTCGGCCAAAAAACTAAGACAGGAGATTCGCTTCGAAGACCCTTTGGTTCAACGACGTCTGGAGTCTGGTTGGGAGGTTTGACTGGCTGCCACTACTCTGGAAAGCTCTCAGGCCAGTAATCGAGGATAGTTGACCCTCACTTCTCCCTACCAGTGACTCACAGAGTGAACGGTGAGCGTGCATATTCGCTGCCATAAGCACAAAATGGCATCAAAGTGGCTAGGCGAGACAGCTTTGAGACTGCGAAGACTTGGGCAGAAATGTCCCCTTGAGATAAAACTCTGCATACTGTAGGTCTGAAACCAGCAGGTGATCGGGCCCGTGTCTTCTCGATTAATGTATGCTTCTAGGCATCTTTTATTGTGATGTGTATAACGTCCAGCAAATTCATCGAGAGGTTGAGGAGGTGAAGCAGTGGTTAAATTAAGTACTTGAGGTAATGAAGAGTCGCACTCTTCGCTTGGCCTGACCCGAAGTTGACCCAGGGAGGTGCCCTAAGTTGATTCCCGAGTAAAGCGGCAAATTAGGCGCCATCACCCTAAGAGGCCCTTAACTGGTGCCAAGGTTTAGATGAGGTTTATCGCCGGCAAATGTGGACACACTTTTTTCTTCTCCTTCCCTTTAAAACACAAATTCCAGCATGACTATCGAATGAACCGATCAACATAATCCGCCCCCAAACCGATCTTCTCGAAATGCGCGCGAGCCAGATCAATCTTGGAGAAAACATCCTCGATGGCCTCTGGCTTGCCTTGAGGGTCCACGTAGATATATGCGCCAGTAACGTGGAACAGTGTGACCATTTCCGTCACTCCTTCAGGAACTTCGAGGGTATGGATGTCCCCAGGTGGCTCGAAAGCATAGCTGCCCTCCTCCGCCCACCATTCGTGCTCAAGGTAGTGCCATCGCCCCCTCAACACTGTCGCGTGGACAGGCCCTGCGTGTCGATGTCGTGAGAGAATGCCGGATTTGCGCACGCGCAGTAAATTGACGAAGTATCCTTGCGAGACTGAGAAGATCAATGGTCGGAACCACACATCTTTGGCCTGAGGGACCCAGAGGCGTTCGTCGACGTTGTCGATGTCCAGGACGTTGGGAACAACGAGGTCTTCGGGCACTTTGTACAAGGGCGGCCCAGAGTATGGAACGGCCGAAAGGTCCGTTGGCCGTGAGGGTGCCATGGCTTCGGTAATGCTGTATGTAGGTTTGGCTCTCGGTTACGCTGGCTTCGTCGAATAGTGTAGTTTTCAGGATGCTCTGCTTATCTTTGCATTATAAGTAACTATACGTTCGACCTCTACAGACAAAGAGATTTACAATCTTCGGCTTTCAGACCCATCAGATCGAGGCGACCTTGCCGTGACCCCGCATCAAATATTTTATGACAACGCCCTTCCCACAGTCGGGATGCCGTCAAGTGATAATCGGGGCACCCTACGCCGCCATCGGCCTGGAAGGGTAAGCGTTGAACTCCGTGGTTGTTTCCATCACTCCAGATGGCAGATATTGCATCACACTGCGTCCTTGGGCACTGCGCTACAGGGATCATACTACGACCTGTACGGGAGAAGTCCAGTTGCTGAAGGAAACGCTTCCCGGCCTGGCCTACAGTATCATTCCTCCTTGCAGATAAATCATGCTACATGCATAATGTCAAATCGGACTTGGTCTTAAGACCCAATGAATTCTAGGGATATGAATCTGGTAAAATTCCTCTATGATAGTTCCTGCTTCTCGACTCTCACAGCACCCACGGCTCGGCCAACGCGGCAGCTTTGACCACCTCAGGGCGAGAGAAGACTTCCTCAATTCCAGCCTTGACTGCATGCACCATCTCATCAACCTGGTCAGACGTGATATTGAGCGGAGGTGAGAGCAGAATGTGGTCACCGCGCACCCCGTCCGCCGTGCCCTTGCCAAAGCCGGAGTAAACCAGCGTGCCGCGCTCAAAAATGGCATCGTTGAGCATGTTGGAAAGTGGGACATTAATTGGGAAGGTCGATTTGGTTTTGCGATCCGCGACGAATTCAATAGACTGAAACAACCCACGACCCCTGATGTCGCCGACATTGGGATGGCTGCCGACCGCCTTCTCCAAGGCAGCTGTGAGCTGGGAACAACCCCGTTAGCTTAGTAAGTACTGTAGGATGGCGGTCTTACCTCTTTGCCCCTCTTGGCGCAGTTCTCAATCACATTGTCCGATTCGAAAATGGTCTGGACAGCAAGTCCAGCAGCAGCGGCCGAAGGATGGCTTTGGAACGTTTGGCCATTGGTAAAACTTCCACTTCCGTTCCGAAGGACTGCGATGACCTTCTCGGAGATCAGAACAGCTGAAAGAGCCTGGTATCCACCGTTGAGCCCTTTTCCAATCGTCTGGATGTCAGGTGTTACGCCTAGAATAGGAAAAACGTGTCAGTTCGCGAGTGTGATGAGCTGGCAAGCCTGTTTCCAGAAAAGTGGCACCGTGTGACCGTTGTCGCTCTTCAGGTTCAAATAGATACCGTTCCTTCTTGTCGTCCAGGAGCCTTTCGCCCACAACGATATAGCATTGATCGTTGGCAGGAGGAAGCGCATCAGCTCTACCATCCAGTGGTACTAACTTACGTTCAAGGCACTCGCTCTTGCGAATTTGCTGCACCATGGACTTATATCATCGGAGTACTCCCCGCCAGATGGTGCCACTTTTTCTGGAGAAAGGCTTGCTGGGTACGTGAATCAAGCGACTCACCTTCCCACTCCCAACAATGCATCTTTCCGGTCCTGCCCATACCGCACATCACCTCATCAAGCACTAGCAGGACTCCATACTTGTCACACACCCGGCGAATGGCCTCAAAGTAGCCTGGGACTGGCACGATGTTGCCTGCCGAGGCTCCAACAATCGTTTCTGCATAGAAGGCCGCGACCTTGCCCTCTCCTACCCGCAGAATCTCCTGCTCGAGCTCTGCTGCACATCGCTCCGCGTACTCGGCGTCTGACTCGCCTTCTTTCTGGTATCGATAGGAGTAGCACGGGGATATTTGGGAAGTATGTGGCATAAGAAGCGGCAAGAAGTGTTTCCTCCGGTTAGGAATACCAGTTAGCGAGACACATCCAATACTGTTGCCGTGGTATGAGCCGTTTCTACTGATGATGTGAACGCGTTCTGGCTCACCGACCTCTACCCAGTATTGGCGAGCGAGTTTGATGGCCGACTCGTTGGCCTCGGAGCCTGAAGACAAGAACACTGCGTGCGACAGTCCACCTGGTCGGTGACCGACAAGTTTGTGGGCCAAAGCCTCAGCCGCACGATTCGTGAGGCGGGAAGTGTGGTGGTAAGAAAGCTGGGTCATCTGCTTCGTGACAGCCGCAACCACTCGCTGGTCACCGTGTCCGATCGATGCCACGGCTGCACCAGCGCAAGCATCGAGAATCTAAAGGCGATGCTTAGCGGGTAAATTTGAGAGAGATGAAGACAAGCCATACTTTCCTCCCATCATCAAGCCATAAGTAGGCACCCTTCGCGCCCACGACTAACTCAGGCTCTTGGTCGTGTAGAGACCGGTAAAGAAGGTTGGTATCGGGGTGGTCGTCAGTGCGAGAGGGCGACATGTTGAGAATGCAAGTGCTGGAGATCAGTGTACAGTGAGATCAGTGAGATGCTCTCGAAGTATCAATGTTGCTACGAGAATTGAAGACGAAGAAGTCCAACTTCTCCAGATCAGTGTGGACGGCGTCCCTTCTCAAGAACCAATCAATTGAGGTAATCTCCGTCGATGACCTAATACATTCGTCGGTTCCCCAGAGTCTTCATGGACTTCAGGGTCGCTGCCGTCCACAATTATCGGCTGGGCCGATGAGTCCAGCACCGACAAACCCTGACTGCAATGGGCAAGAGGGCCACATGGCAGGAGACCCTGGCTTCCGAAGGGACGATGCCCAGGCTTTAATTGTGAAAGGAGGAATTGCTTTCCCGATGTGGATAAGTAGATGTCAAAGCATGACATGACGGCGGCGCTTCGAAGTTTTTGGAGTGCAGAACGAGGTCAGGTAGTTGACTTTTCTGGGGATCAACTGTGAAAGAACACTACTGTCTGGGGGAAATGCAAAACATGTTCAGATGGGTCAGACATCACATTCCTCCTATCTGCATATCTGAGCCAGTATTACTCTTCAAATCTATGGCTTCTTCGCCTTTTGAGCCAACTCGCCGAGCTTGATCTGCATAAGTAAAGACAGCTCGCAGTACACATTCCACTCATCAACGATTCGGCCATTCTTATAGTGATAGTGCGTCATACCCATGATCTGGAGTCGTTGACCAGTTGGTTTTCCCAGCTCCGAGAGAATGCCATATCCCAAGTGGTGGCCTTCCATGACCCAGCGGACCGCGACCTTGACACCGCCTTCCTCGCAAGGATTGGAACAGATATGCTGTGGGAAGTATCCGGCATCGGGAATGGACCCTAAGAGACCGAGATGCTGATGCAGAACAGCGGCGGGTCCATAGAGCTCGATCATCTTCGGTCCATGGTATTGGCAATTGGGACTGTACACTTTCGTGATACGGCCAAACATGCGGCGGTTGAATACCTCGTATAGCCATTTCAAGGTCTCGACCTCGATTTCGTTATGTGCAATCGAGGTGTCAGCCTCAACTTCAGGGGGCGCCTGGCCAGGCAGTCGCCGATCTTCGCCAATGTCGACGGCCTCGAGCCCCTTGTCGAACAGGGTTTTGGCAGCATCATAGGCGAACGTGTTAGGGTCCAATCCTAATTGCTTCACGATGGCCATATTGTCGGACACGACCCATTCGCGATAGATTTTGTTTCGATAAATCATGCAGTCGGCAATCGTGCGAGACACATACGTTCTTCCAGTCGCGGGACCCCAATGACCAAATTGCGTGTGCCGGCCTGAACCGGTCACAAGATGTGAAGTGTAGAAGCCTTGCTTGTCGTCACCATTCCACAGCACCTGGGTTGCCATACCACGCCGCTCCGGAAACGACACGAGTCGTTGAATCGTATCTCGCACCACGGACTCTCGGTCGTAGATGGTCCCCATGGTGCCGTACAATACGCAATTATGAGTATAGTGCGTGTAGATCAAACCGATGTCACGTTCGTCCCAGATCTTGTGCGTACATCGTATGATATAGTCGACTATGTCGGTGTAGATATCGTCAAACCCCTCCATCGAGTGCACCCGCTTCCTTTTGGTGGGCACCAGGTCGACATAGTCATTTCGCTCCACCTGAAGTGCTGTAGCCATCATTTTGGACGTCGGAGAAAAACTTTGGTCATCGGCGCTGCTGGCGCCGGAAGATTGCGGTTCTTCGACGACATGATAGCCGTTACTCTGGTCAGCCTCGCCGTCGACAGGCGGCTGCGGCTTATTTGGTTCCATGGAAGACATGATGATAGTAGTTGCGGGGCAAGTCAAAAGTTGGCCAATGTTATCGGCTGCGTGAAAAGCAGCGTCAAAGGATGAAGTTAGAATCTCTCAGCGTGCAGTAAAGTCGGCCTTATCAAAGCTGAGCAAGCATGCACGGCGGTTTTTCCGGTTGTAGATCATCGCCTGTCAGGTACTAGGCGTGCCCGGGGAGCCGTAATGGGTCACAACGGTTCTGCAGCCCGGAGACCCTCGTATCCCAGCCATCAGCGTTATCTTCGGCAGCATAGGGAAAGCCGGTGAAAGACGATTTGGACGCCACTATTACCGAAGTTTCCCAATGGAGAACCCGATCTCGATCGCCAGAAGACGCAGTCAATAGAGATAAGAAAGATTAGGGACGTCAAAGCCACGCGGCAGCAAGGCGATTCTCGGAAGGTTTACAGCCAATCGGATATTATGAGCAATCCAGGGACGCAAAATTCAACAAGTCCAGGCACAAGACGAGCCTCTTTCGCAAAAAAAAGTGGCACGCCTCCAACAGGGAGTGCGTTGACAATGTAAGTCCGAAGTCCAGCAAGTTGACACCCAGTGCGTGCCTTGACAGCGAACCAGTAAAGACTATACTATTCGGTTGTGAGAGACCTCATATCAAGGGCGAACGCCACTTACGATGTTTGACCAGAACTTCGCATTCCCGAAGCGGAACAACATCGATTTAAATTTGAAGGCTACAACGGTAAGTCGTTGGTTAGACAACAATATGAACTTCCAGACATTTTGACAGCCTTTTGCGACGACAACAACTCATTTGCTGCGATCTTCCAGCTAATTCCACCCCGTGGGTTTCCGCTTCCCAGACATATCGTTATGCCGAGTGCGCTACAACGGTATATCGATGATATTGTTCTCAGTATCTCGGTACCGATATCACTCTTTTTTACTGGCATATGAATGGGACTGGAGTGCTGCGAGGTTACAAGTGTGTCAATGACTTCAGGCTTCCCTCTAGGCCCTAGCACCTTGCATTTGATGCCTTCCGGGCCTTAAAGTCGCGACTAACATGGAATGTCACCGACAGACCTCAACGCTCCATCGCAGACCTTGGTCACCCCCAACAGATACTCTTCATGAAGTCTCCGTCCAACAAGTTGTATAGAGACGGGACATCCCACCACCGCTTCAGGGGAATCTGCGTATTTTCAGCCTGCCGCACGGAATTGAGCACGATCCAAACCTACAGTCATCCCAGATCTTCTTTTCGATCTCGTTCCGGCCCTGATACTCTGGCTTCACGTCCTTGACAGATGAGACGTTACACACGGGCACAGTTGTCGCACAATAATCGAGCACGTTCCACAGACTAGTGTAGTTGTCGTATGTAAATCCGTATCTGCAAGTCTCAGAACGGCTACAATGACGGGCAGACGGTCAGACTTACTTCGGGGACGCTGGCCATGGAGTGCATGGCATCAATAGCGCGTCCATCTCCCTCCCTATACCGCTCCTGCCTTTGGTGTCAGTCCACGCCTTCTGTAGCCGCTTGGCATACTCCGTTCGTTTGGCCTGTGCCTCCCAGAGGTCAGACACGGTTGCAGGTCCGTTAACGAGTTCCTCGGTTGTAAGGATTTTCTTCTGCACCATCGCCTCGAGCATCGCATATCCCCGTGGCCATGGTTCCTGAGTTCTGGCAAGTGTGGTGCCCAGCAGCTGTGCGGCAGCTGAACGGTATAGCGCAAACTTAAGGGAGTCAATGAATAGGGGCTCGTCTCTAGAAACTCTCCGCGTCAGCTACTCTGCGGGAGTCTTGATCGGGACGTTGGATGGACGGATTGCACGCGGGGCCGGTCTAACTTACATGCAGAACTCAATAACGGTATGTCCTGCGGCTTCTAGGGCTGCCTTTGTGTGGAGTAGAGCCCGGGTGACGGGAGGCAGAGGCTTGACTATACCGTCATCAAGCAGGATGCCTACATAGTCAGCACTATGAGACTTTCGTTGGGGGCGTGGCACCGACCAAAACAGAGCTTCTGTGGCACCTCTACCTTGCGCCATGGAATAGGGAGACAATCATGATCAGCGGCTATCCATGGCTCACTCTGGACCACTGCCTTACTCCACAACTCAACAGCTTTCAATGACCTCGCCATGGGCCCGACCGAGTTTCGCACCGCCTCTTGACCCTCGAGACCATCTCGGAGGCCATAGGTGGGGAATCGGCCGAAAGAAGGCTTGAGTGAGTAGAGGCCACAGAAGGAGGCTGGTATCCCTATAGAACGTCAGTAACGGGCTTATGACCTGTATAGCGAGCGACGTACGGACAGATCCTCCTACATCTGTGCCGACACCGAGAGGGGCTCCTCTCAAGGCCAACAGTGCACTCTCACCACCTGACGAGCCACCACTGGAAAGATTCCGATTGTAAGGGTTTGATGTGTAGCCATAGATTGCGTTATAAGTCTGTCGCATCGGTCAATGTCTCGTATTTCTTCGTCCGGCTTACACATTATAGCTCACCTCGCCGGCCATGAGTGCTACAGGAACGTTGGTTTTGCAGAACAGTATTGCTCCGCTTTCCCGCATGATCCTCGTGATCTCTGACTCCTCGTGATGCGATGTCGGTTGGTTTGCCAGAGCAGTGTAGCCAATTGTAGCGTCTGTGCCTGAGATGTGAAAGCAGTCTTTGAGGGAGACCGGGAGTCCGTGAAGCGGACCACGTGTCACATCGGATGCTGCATACTCGGCGTCTAGGCGTTGAGCAGCTTCCAGTGCTCTTTCGAAGAAGACCTCGGTGAGGCAGTTTACCTGTCCAGGAATTAGGTTTGACTTCGTATGGTTCTTCACATAACGATGCGTACAAGCTGCTGCGCGATTGCTGCTCGCTTACAGAACGCTAGGGTGACCTGTATAAAAGAATCAGCATCATTTCAGTGACCATGCATGACCGTCGACCCACTTCATACGAGCTGTATTCTCGATTGACGAGCTTCTGTACCAGGGCAACTGCATCGTCTTCTGTCATCGCCAGCTCTCTCGCTGTCAAGATACCGCTCTCGACAGGAACGTCGATGACATTGAGACGGTCTTGTGGGACTTGATGCGGATGCAACCGCCATTCTAGGGGTATGGCCGCATCCCGACTCGCTCGTTTGGCTTGTGCAATCCTTTTCCACGGCGGAATGTCTTTTGGCAGGGCTAGATGAAGGTCGTGAAAAGGAGTGGTACTGTAATGGATGGTACCGGGCATGATGGATTACAACACGAGGCGAGCGTTCAGTCGCTGCGAGGCTGAAAAAGTCTCGTTTTTGAAAGGTCGCACATGGGTGCGGAAGCCTTGCACGCATAGGAGTCACGGATGGCTCGAAAGATAAGCGACGAAACTTTTGCCCGGAAAAAGGGCCACCGTCTGACGGGCAGTATATCGAAGCGTTAAGTGCAAAGTCCAGTAAGTTCGCGACAGTGGGTGCCTTGACAGCAAGATAGTAGGGCTATACGGTCCAGACGAAGATCTGCCCTTCTGTCAAAGGCCAAGGCTATACGGTTACGTGCAAAGGACTCCAGGATGACAATACGGGATAGTATTTATCTGGCCTCGAGGAGCAAGAGCGGTCAGACCATGCCACATTCTCTGGAAACAGGCTCGGCGCCTTATCTCCCCTTTTCATGTTTCCTCTTACTCAAAATGGAAATTGCTCATAAGCAGCATATCTCTTTCACTTCCACCACTCGTTGAACTACTCCTGTTTCAACGAACTTACGAATCCAAAATCGCGATTAGAAAGGTCCAGATGTGAATCGACGATGCGAAAGTCCATTGAGCGTTCCCAAAAGGGAACAAAAGTGGATGCATTGTGTGAAACTCACGTCGCCCGGGTTCTCCGAAGACTGATAGGTTAAGCCGATGGCTGAATCGAAGGACAGACGTTGTGGGCTGCGATAGGTGTTATCAGGCTATGTCACGATCTAGATCACACCAGGTGTTGACCTGGCGCAATGCATGTCTTGGGATATGCTCATGCAGGCATATATATAATCAGTTGCAGAACATCGCAACTTCTACATCCACTATACTTTCATCAGCATTGAAACACAGTTGCGAATCTGTCAAACTTTCCATCTTTCACAATGTCTACACCCAACGAACCCGTGTCCGAGAAGCCTGTATTCGAGGACAAGGCCAACTACCCCGACACTGAGGATGATGTTCAAGTGGTTGCGCCCGAGAAGAATGTCCACCTCACAGTGGCAGACATGCTCAAGGGCACTGCCTCCCATGATCTCACCCCCTTTGAGCGCAAGGCCGCCTTGATTAATGGGTGAGTCTTGGGCTTGTCAATGCTACATGTTCCATATCCGAGACTGACTCTTTACTCAGTGAAATCGACAAAATGGGCTTCGGGAAATACCAGAAGTGCATCTGGCTCCTTTGTGGATTTGGATACTTCCTCGACTTGGCCTGGGCGCAGGGCGTAGGATTAACGGCCAGTGCCATATAGTGAGTCCGGCGTCAGCCTTGATCAAAAGGCGGTTTTGCTCACCGTTCTCAGCCAGGAGATGAACGTCCCAGATGGCAAGGAAGGTCTTATCTTCAGCTGCGCCAACGCAGGTCTTGCGTAAGCATCCGTCGTCTGTGTCCCTTGATTTCAGCTGACACCCCCTTGTGCAGCATCGGCGCTTTCTCGTTCGGTATCATCAGCGACATTTTTGGACGCAAGTGGGCCTTCAACCTCTCCTGCCTCATCACCTCTATTTTCGGCATGCTCTTGGTACGTTCCCTACTTTTCCATGTTGCATGACCATTACTCACTATTGGCAGGCTGCGAGCAAGACTAACTATGGCGCGGTCTGCGGGATTTATTTCCTGTGTTGCATTGGTCTAGGCGGCAACATCCCCATCGACGCGACTATTGCACTCGAATTTCTGCCACAGAACCGACGAAACCTTGTATCGCTGCTAAGTCTCTGGCAGCCTGTTGGTGTTGTCGTGGCGTCCGCCATCGCCTACGGTACTGCGGCCAAGTACCGATGCAACGTAGACCTACCTGCCTGCAGTACCGTCACGAAGGGTACGTCGTGCTGCACCACCTCGAGCAACATGGGCTGGAGATACGAGGTTATCATCATTGGAGTTATGACCCTCGCTGTATTCTTTCTTCGATTTTTTGTCTTCAGGTTTCACGAATCGCCAAAGTTCCTCCTTGGCAAAGGCCGTGAGCAGGAGGCTATCGATGTCCTCCACAGGATCGCCAAGTACAACGGTACACCTGAGCCGACCTTGACTGTCGAGGACTTCCATGAGGTCGACCGTACCATGCGTGTTGGTTCTACCTACAAAGCCCCGGGCTCCAGCGCTAAGGATGTCGTTATGCGCACATTCAAGAGTGTTGGTTTCCTCCGTGGACTCTTCCTCAACAAGCTCGAATGTGTCACCTTTATCCTTCTTGCTCTGGCATACATGGTAAGTGTAGCACCGACACCCCAATATTGATGGCATGCTGACGCTCTCAGGGTGACTACTGGTCCTTCAACCTCGCCGGGTCCTTCCTCCCTATCGTTCTGCTCAGAAACAATGTGTCAAGCGGCCAGACTACAGTCACCGACACGTACCGCGAGTATGTCTACATCTACTTGCCAGGTGTTATCGGTGCTATCATCGCCCTCTTCTCCGTCCAGCTACCCCTTGTGGGCAGAAAGTGGTCGCTCGTCATTTCTGCCGCTCTACAGGGCTTGTCCATGGCTATGTACACCCAGGTCAGGACCACTGCCGGTTATGTTGGCCTCAATGCTCTTGAGTATATCATGCAGACTGTAAGTTCATCCCAATTTCCTATATATTGTTGAGCTGACAATTCTCAGTACTTTAATGCGGTGCTTTACGCATCTGCGCCCGAAATGTTCGACACAACCTACCGTGCTAGCGCAAGCGGTATGCTCTCCTGTCTAGGTCGTCTTGCTGGTATCGTGGCACCCTTCGCTGGCCAGAAGTACATTGGCGAGAATAGCGCAGGTATTCTCTGGCTCGGTGCCGGTGGTATCTGGCTCTCTTCTTTTGTCATGTGCTTCCTGCCTATCGAAATGAGAAATCGGCAAATGTTCTAGGCGGATGGTTAGTGTGATCGTGTGGGATGAGGCTGGCGACATCGATAGAGGAACTGTGCTGAGGTCTCAGCGCTTACGTGGAGTGTTGGTCATTAGTGATTGTACTTAATCTTGATGGCTACTGTGGCTACGCAAGTAATGTTATTATATATATCCGTGCTGATATACTATCATCTCTTGTTCCCTCTTTGAGCTGTTGAATGAGGAATTTGATCAGATCAGCGATTTCTCTTCACGTCGTTGGAAGAGCGTTTGCCACATGCAGTAGGCTAGACCATTCATCCCACTTGTCCAAGTCGATTCTCCAGAGATAGTGGCATTCTCTTAGCATTGTAGCAATCAAGGCTCTAGTCAATATCTTTTTTCCAGCAACCTTTCGAGCCAGTCACACCGTGTCACTCTTGGCAAATGATATTCATTCAGTCGTCGTACGGCGCTGTTAGACTGCACTGCAATTGTCGATATTCATTTCCCTTGGATCACCACGAGCCTAATAGATATACCTAAAGTTCATGTTTTCACGGTCCGTGAGATCTCCAAAGGCTGTCGCATCAAGATCGCGAGCTGCGAGTCCACCTTCCTGCGCTGCTTGGATCTTGTCGCGGCGTCGATTCTCGAAGCTCATCAGGAAACGCCAGAGGCAGATCGCGACGATCTGAGCAAGATGACTTGTGGTCGTTAGCCTGGCTTATAACCTGGTCAATATGAAAGGTCTACATACCATACGATCATACTCCACATTCCGAGAGAGTACTAGTACGTTGGCGCTTGACTTGCTTTGTAGATGAACGGTCCAGCCTATAAACACTCATTAGACACCAACAGGCCATGTTGCGCGGGGAATGAACGGCTTACGATATTCCCGGCGCTATAGCCCAGGAATGCCACTCCGCTTGTGACGATTTTCTTCGTGTGGCCTGCGGTATTGGCGATTTGCAGGGACAAAATCATACAATATGAAGCATTGTAACCGGCAGTAAGCAGATAACAGATGTATCGTCCGGCTTTGTGATCGTGTGCGACGTAGCGCATGCCAAACGCGCCGATGATGTTAGGAATGGTGAACAGAATGATCAACAGGCAGCGATTGTTGTTGGGAAAGAGCTTGTTCAACCGCATGCAGCCCAGGATGAAGAGTATGATCAACACGCCATATGGAATTTGCATGATCGTCGTGATAAGAGTTGAGAAGCCGAAACCTGGTAGTACGTTAGCATTTGGCTGACCGTCAGATCGATGCGTGCTGTACCTTTGACAATGAGGGTACCAAAATTTGATATGCCGCCATTGGGGATACAGGTCGTCATGTTGAAGAACATGAGAAGCCGTGTCTTTGGGTCCATCAACGCCTCCCAGACTTGATAAAGCTGCGGTCGCGTTAGCATGGTCGTAATTGAGAGTTAAGGGGTGTCACTTTAAAATGATTGTTCTCCATGCCAGTTTGATTCTCCTTTAGTCTTTCAATTGCCATTTTCTTCTCTGAGTCAAAAACCGAGCTTTGACAATGTTGTCGGGCATGAAGATGAAGACCATGATACCCCAGGTGCTGCATAGAGCCCCGATGATGAGGAACTCATACTTCCAGGATGGCAAGGAGCCTTTGATGTGCCCGATGCCGTAGCCGAGGAGCCCTCCGATGGCTATTCCAGCACCAATGGCTGAATACCAGAGTCCCAGTTTTTGAGGCTGTTCATTTCGCGTGTACCACTGCAGAGTCATCAGCAACAACCTACGAACTGTTCTTCGTTTTTGAACATACTGTACCATGGACGTGATTAGGATGAAACTCGGGTCCGAGCAGGCTTCTGCAGCACCTGCTAATGCTCGAAGGACTCCAAGGGTGGTGAAACTCTTGGCCGACGACTGTAGCATGAGGAAGAAACCCCAAAGGAAGATACTGGCGGCACAGTTAGCATGTCTTGTTGTGGAACACCGCAAATATCGTACTTGAATCCAAGATATTTGCCCAAAGGAAGCCTCTGCATAAGCAGGTTGGTTGGTAGTGACCAGGCCAGGAATCCAAAGTAGAAAAGACCTGCTGGCAGTCAGTCATAGATGTCGAGCGTCAGCCCACTCTGTGGCATACTGCTAAGCCAACTGTATTGCTTCCCATGGAGATGGAGGTCTTCCGTAACACCGAAGATGGCAGCGTATGAGAGTGTTGTCTTGTCAACGTAAAAAAATATGTAGTTGACGACGATCAAAGGGAGGATGACCAAATCAATCTTTCGGACGAGTTTCTCGCCTTGGGACTGGAGAATGGGGAACCGGTAACACCGGTATTCCCCAACAGCGACTATATGACTGGCATTGCGGGGACGGTAGGCGTGCTGGCGGCGCTGCTTAGGAGGGCCGAGAAAGGGGGAAGTTATAAAGTCGATCTGGCTTTGAACTACTTACTATAACCAGTGGCTGGTCGACAGTGTGGGCGAATACGTATCCTCCTCCAGTGTGGGACGATTTGTGGTCGCGTAATGGCAGGAGAGTGTTCAGGTATGGCAAAATGCTTCGTTTGGTTGTGTTGTGTCTTGAAACTCTAGGCTAACTTTGATTGTGATCTTAGGTGTTACCAAAATACTAGTACTAGTATGCCTCAGACGTGTCCGGCGTACATGGAGATGCTTCAACAGAACTCTGCCCACATCTTCGATTCCAAGTTCTTTGAGGATACTAGTAGATATAGTGCCGCGATCAGGTCCTCGATCCGCACAGTGAAGCCTATTATCAATTTTGACGGAGATGAGGTCGAACTGAAGTACAACGTCGGAACCCGCGGGAACGGCAAGGATAAGCCGAGATGGCCAGAAAACCTGGAAGTGGAAGTCGTATCATGAAAGTTGTAAGTACTCACTGTCTGTGGCTGCTTAAGCGCAGAGCAACACAGTTGGACAAGGCCACTTTTCCTGGAGCAGGGTCGTCATGCATTGACGTTTTGTGTATGTGAGCTCTTGTAATGTACTCGGTTTCGGTCAAATCTAGGCTCCCAAAGCAAACATGATGCTCTGAGTCGAGCCCAGTAGTGAACAACAAACAAAGTAAAGGCAGGAACGAGGATTAGACCGGAGATGCAGCCAAGGCATATATGGAAAACCTCGCCATACTACTGGTAATCCGATTGAATCGAGCCCAATTCCGTCCGTCCTGATTACTTTACTACTGTATAGTACTAGTATCTCATTGCCAGCCCGTTTCCAGCTCGGTTCGTCTCGATGCCAGTTCGGTAGTACTAGTATCAACCCGATTTCGAACCAGTTCAGATCCGTCTCCAAACTGTGTCGAAACCCGATGGAATCGAATCAAATTGGGATCAGATCAAGTGAGTGGTTCCGAGTCTGCCTCGACCCTGTCCTAGGTGCTGACAGCCTGAACCAATCACGCTGAGCCTTCAAAGAGCCATGGTCGGCTTCTGCAGGGCGTTCCCCGGCTCGCAAACTTGAAGCCCGTAGATCTGAAAATTCAACAAAACAATTGAAAAGAATGATTTTTTGCATAGAAACTTGAAGAGGAAGGAGCGTTTATGCAACCAGGGAAGGAGCGACACTGGATTGGAGCGCAGCATCGAAATAACCGATAAAGGTTTAGTACTAGTGGAGAAAGCGGCCTGGAAAACGTGTTACAGATGTGTTACGTGAGCGAGCGGGATACTAGTAGATTCAAGGTGGAATGAGTGGTGCTGTGACACCCGCCATGATCAAGATCGAAATTTCGAGATTTGAAGATCCAGGAACATCATTTCAATTGTCATTTTCTCCGAGTCCTGAACGCCATGCTCCTTCCCGTTCATGCCATTGCTGATGCGTCTGCCAAAAATTCTCACAAAATCATCCTGGAAATTCCCATGTTCCAGCCAGATCAAGTCATGTCTGGAATCCTGATCCCATTGTACTGTACTCAGCGAGCCCTCCCTCCCCAATGGACCTTACTCTGAACTCGAGTCCCGTCCGTCTAGGAGATGCTCGTCATCATCATCATCATCTTCCATTTCCGGCTGATCCAGCATCAATTCGTTCTCGTGCATGACCTCTAGTTGTCCTCCGGCGTGTCCTGGAGCAGGCTGAAATGGTATAGGAAGCTCAGGATGTGCAGGTCTGACGACAGCAGCGCTGGCCTCTAGATCGCCCTCGAGGCGAATGTCTGGTAGCGCAAGAGCCGCCAACGAGCCAGGCCTGAATTGATCTCGGAGACGTTGTATTCTGCGAATCAAGTCTCGTGCCAGAGCTCCCATATCCTCCAATTCCTGGATATCGTTCATGTTTGTTGCTGAATTCGGATCGACCTCTGGTAAAGCTAGCATCGCATCAACCTCTTCTGAATGACCTGTCTCCGAGAACTGGACGTTGAGACTGGTGAAAAATTCGACCAGCCCGTCAATGGCGTCTTCTGCTGCGGAGCGAGGATTGCTCTCTCCTTGCCTGTCGTAAACAGGTTTGCGCCGTTTATCTTTTCGTTTCTTCATCTTCCGCAGAGTTTGTGACTGAGCGCGCAGGAATTCTTCAGTCTTTCTTTTGCATCTGCCCGTCAGCATTCTCTCCCATCGACAATTCGGGCAGTAAAATGGCGCAGCGTCTGCAGGTGCAGCATTGACATATGCTGACATTGCCGGGCCTGCAGAAGAAGTAGGCTCGTCAGGCTGCACCGTGCCCCGGCAGCCTTTGCAGGGGCAGGGAGGACCTTCGGCATTGACACAAGTACCACAGACCTGCACTTTGCACTCGAGGCACTGTTTCATAACCGCCGTACATCGTCGTCTGTGATCACTGGGAGGACGAGTTGCCGGGCAGAAAAAGGCCTGGCAACCTTGCCATCTGGGCATTGATGGCAGTTCCGAGTCGGTTTCATAGGGAAGAGCACCTGATTCCGTGGCAGATGTTGACTGTGCCGATGGTGTCGGAGATGTGGATCGAGACTGAGGTCCAGTAGTGTCAGAGGCAGGGGAACGTGATCGCAAAGGCAGATCAAGTTCTGCCAACGGGGCTCGCAAACTTTCAGCAGCCTGCCCAACTTCAAGTTCTGCTGCATGTGCTGAAAGCACGTTGTGCGAGCTTGGCCCAGGCTCGCACTCTTGAGCTGTTGTCGAAGCACCTGCGTGCAGGAATAATCGGTCAACACCATTTACAAGACCAGTCATCTTCGAGCTCGTCTCGTCCTGATCTTGAACCGGTTTTGCTGCCCCAAGTCTCTCCTTCCGGTGTCGCATCAGGGTAGCCAGCAACTTCAGAGCTTTCTGCCGGGACCTGTATTCTTGCTTCTCGGCCACGAGATCTCTGTAGCCACATATTCTCGCCTTCATTCGATCGCCTATGTCGTGCTTGAGACATAAAGCAGTAGAACAAGCTTCACATTTGAGCTTCCAATGCTCCGAACTGTAGCATTCGTCACATAGCACTCTGGGGACCGAAATCGGTGGATAGCCTGGTGGGCTCAAAGTCTCGACCGTCTGGAAAAAGTTGTCCATGGACGACCAGCGACCTCCTGGTCCATGAGCCAAAGCCGCGTGTGAACGTGAGTGAGAACTCCCCGTGAGCTTTCCCAGATCGGACCGATCTGGACTGAATTCGGGATCTTCCCAGCCCTGTCCGCTTGGCAAAGGTGCGGCACGTATCCTGTCTGTCTCCCGAGTATTGCTGCCACCGAACGTGATACCACCTCCTCCAGAGAAGACTGGCTCTGTACAGCACCATCTGAACTTGATGTTAGGCAGGACATTAGCAGTCTGCGTTTGACTCCCAATAATCACGCCGTTGGCAGGCAAATCCTGATCTTGCATAGAACATGGCGACACAGCACAACCCGGCGCCCACCAAAACCTGTTTCTTTCCTCTTCGGAAGCGTGTTTGTTTCGTAGGTACGGTCGATCGAATGCACAACTTGCACAAAGCGTCTTTCTGCATCCAACGCAGTGCATCATTACCGAGCACTGTTCGCATCGTTCCAAGATCTCAGCAGAACAGTTGTGGCAGGTGATATTCTCGACAAACTGCTTGTGGGTTTCACGCAAATGTGCCGGGGTCGCTTTGCCTTCGTTTCTCAGTCCAATTGGTTCGCCATTGATGCCCTCTTCATCAAACTCCCAGCTTCTGCAATCGCGCTTCCGTTTTCGTGGGCCAGCATCGCTCGGAGTCCTTGACTGGTCGATTGGTCCAAGCCAATTGCGGCTCCTCCACAATCGATCATACACGACCCATACTTCCCTGGGATCCTGCGGCATTCTCATCTTGACATAACCCCGCCGACGATAGCAGCGGGCTCCTGGTGTGGTGCACCAAGCTGTGTCAGTCCAAATCCCCAACTTGTGACATGTGAGTACCAATTCATGGGTGGGTTCACTGTCGCTTTCCTTGCGAGCCAGACTACTAGGCAGGTATGGCCTCCTCCTGTGGTGCCGGCATCTGTAGGTGTAGAGACTCTTCAACGCAAGTGTTTCGAACCCAGGTGGGCCATTAGCCGTCTGAGACTCCCGCGCCAGTGCATGCATCTGAAGCCATGGATTAATGTGATATTTCAATGATACGTTCTTGCAGCCGCGGACTGAAACGTGCTGCAATGTGTCTCTCCTCAACACCAAGACTGTGGAAGTTAACGTCGCTCCACTGACTGCAGTATTATCCAATTCGAGGCTGACCAATCTTGTACTGAAAGGGTTTATGACGTTGAGGAGGATCTGATCGAGAGCATAATTGCTTGATTGACGTGGAGGGGCAGCACCCCCGTTATTCGCTGTGAGCGCAGTGACCGCGGCTGGTTGGGACAGGCGCCATGATATATATCGCCATGATGTAGGTGACTTGGAGAAGAAATCGCGCAGAAAAGATGAGGTTTGGTAGAGTCGGAATATGGCCTCAGTCGATGCTTGTGCGAGCAGCGACTGCAGTATAGGCGGATTGCAAGTGATCAACAGTTCGAATTGTGAAAGATCTGACTGTCTCGTAGGCATCAGCGTTGTGGCCATTCTGAGAGTTGTAGTATTGGGTGCACAGCTGATGAGGGATGAGAGACCGGTGAACGCATGGTTCAGCGACGATGATTCGGAGATGGTGATGTTACTAAATGTCAAGACATGGGAAGACTCTTGAATGCCTCAGATATATACAGAAAGGCTTCATATTATACGTGAGATATAAATGACATTCGTGGTACAAATGGGAGAGTGACACGCAAGGACGAGGCGGATATTGATGGAGAAGGCGCAGGCAAGTCAGTCGTTCACGTGATCTTGAATTGCAATGGCGTCAGCCTTGTCATCGACCAACCACTCACTTATTGCACCACCCATCGAGTCTTGATGGGCGCAAGTCAACAACATTTTGTGGGATGGTGCTGCCTATTCATGGATGAGCCATGCGAGAAGATATTGAGAATTGCACAATCGGTATAGTGATGCGAGCACTGTATGCAATCAATTTACGCTTTTGTCAGGGTGTAACTGGAAACCGAGGATTCGCTGCAATGCAGGATATAGTCCCAAAACCACTCAAATAGTGCTGTTCGTCCAATGAAGATAATATACAGACTTATGCATTTTTGTAGCCCGCCTCAGTTACGCATGAAAGGCTCTTATCCGATGCAGCAGCCATCACTAGCTCGATTGAATGCTCCCTGAAAGAACTCCTGCATGGCCGTGTAGTGAAACAGGATACCACCCAGAACCGCCATATGCCAAATGTTGTGACTGCCACCAACATAATCGAACAAGCCAGGGCTCCATTTTTCAGGTATCTGGCTGGCATATATAATGGCGCCCGTCAGATATACCATGAGACTCTTGGCCACCGGCGCATAAAAATAGAAGGTCCATGCAGGACCTCGTGTATAGTTCAATTGCAACACGGGCGCAAAGCCGGTGACCGCAAGAGTGACGAAGAAAGCCACACGAGCCCATGCCATGTCTGCTCGATTAAAGCTCTCCCGCCATGGTAAAATGACGCCCGCTATCCCCAAGATCGCTGTCATGGTCATGTAGATTGAGCGAGATACTGGTTCACAGTAGAAAGCGGTCCATTCAGTGCTCAAGATGCTGGCGGCGACCAAGAATGAAATGCCAGTGTAGTCGACGCAAGCAAATCGATCAAGTAGACATTTGTCAGCGATACTGTTCATTGTATGCCACATGACTGAGCAGATCAGACACTTGCAGGCTGCAATAAAGAAGCATGCCGCAATGAGAACGTCCCATTTGCTGGAAAGTGGAAAGGTCGACGAAGAAGGATACCAGTAGAAGGCAATAGCGAGGACGATGAACAGTCCAATGGTATGAGACCAGATATTGACCATCTCATTCGAAGGTCGAAACATCGAGGTGACACACTCAATCTTTGTCTTGTTGAATCGGTAGCCGCGAAGGATATGTGGATTGTTCCGCCAGGGAACTGGTAAGTCATTGTAATGAATGAGCCTGGTCTCGGCAGCACGGCTCAATGCGTGAGAAATCGACTCGGTAAGGAGATCCGTAGCACGGAGAGCTTTGTCGAAACCTTCTTCAATTATTTCTCTGGTCGCCGCAATCGAATCGTCAACCTTTCTCCAGCCAGAATCAATCAACTGCTTTTTGCGAGAATGTGCTCCTGTTTCCAACTCTGACAGGAAGTTCTCCATCAATCGCAGGCTCACTTGAGCCTTCTGTTCCAATGTTTCCCGACTAGGTACGAGATCATTGTATCGGTTCTCGAAGGTTTCCACAGCAATGTTGGCACGGTGGCGGGCAGCACCCCATAGGACCTCGCCAGTGTGATATGGTGAGCAGGAATCTCGTACTTCTCTTAAGACTTGGTAGGCACGCTCGAGCTGGTTGTCGAAACTCACGAGACTCTCTTGCCTGTACTTTTCCAATCTGTCTAATCGGTGCTTTAATTCTGCGAGAAATAGATCGACCCTCAGGAATACTGCATCGGCATTGCAGACGCTCGACTGTCGCCGTGCCGAGGTGTTGTAGGAGTGTCGTCGACCGCGGGCGAGTAAAGAGCTGCGCTCGTCATAACGGGCAGTGCTCGACGCACGGCTACCTGACGACGACTCAACCGTGACTGTCGGTACCGCACAACTCATGTTGATGCCCGCAATTGCATGCGGCAAGATGGAATACTCGTACTCGAAGGAATGTGTGAAGATCCGGCTCGAGGTGAAATTGGTTTGAGGTCTGCAGACAGCGTCCGGTCGGCGTGGCGTGGCAATGGCGAGAATGTGTACAGAGAGGAGTTGCAGTAAAGATTCAGCAATACGGGGCTGGCCGTTGAGACAATTGAGTAAATGGTATGGTCAAGAGTGGTCTCGAGTTGAAAGAGCAAAGAATGTGACGAAGCGAGAAACTGGTCGCGGGGTGTGATCGAAGTGGCGCTTTGGCCTGCAGCGAGCCTACGTACCTATGATACACGCAGTGCGTGCACGGCAGCTATTCGGCAATGGCGCAGAAATGAGGAATAACGACCCAGGAGTGGCTGGAAATGACATAGGCATGCCCGAAGTAGCCCTTAGCTCCCTTGAAAAAGACCCTGGATGATTCCATGACCCGTCTTCGCTTTTCTAACACCGAACAACATGCGATTCAAGGGCCCTACGACTTCCTCTATACACGTTCTTCACATGCAGTCCTTTGAGTGTTCTATTGGTTGACATTCCTTCAGTATCGGACCGGATCGGGCTGAGATACATCTCACAGCGCATTAGATCGCCGTTTGTATCTTTTTAACACGAAGCGGCTCATGTCGATTTTGCTTGGTGACATTTACAAAGCGCAAATCATCGGAACTATGCTTCCCATGCTTTGTATTGCGCTTCATCATTGGCCGAGATCGCACGACAATGGTCTACTCCCGTGCTCTCTTGCTGAAACATGTGCTCGTCCCTGTGCCAATGTATCAGTTTTCAGACGGAAGATAGAAAATCTAGAACATCGCCAAACACCACACTTGCTCCCATGGCATGTCCCGAAACTGAAAGGCATATTCGTGTCTTCGTGAAGTCCAACTCGATCATTCCGGAAGAGTTCCAGGAGCTTTCTTTTGAAACCGACCCTGTATCCAACAGCGGTACATTTTGATCCGTCTCTGTCGGTTGACAATCAACCGCCGGTCAACATCCAGGTTCAAGAAGTCGAAGCTGCCTCCCCAAATCTCCTCGAGCTGTTCCTTCTCGAAGAAATATACCCTTGTGCCATCTCCCCGGACGTAGAAATTATCCTCCATCCATCTTCCAGCCTTAAATCTGACCTGAGCGAGATCACCTCTGCCATAGTCTCTGAACAGAACTTCGCCCTTGGGTTTCAGGATCCGGTTGATGTTGGTCACAGCCTGCTGCCACTGTTTGGGGTTGAGGGCCGAAAAGATGAAGATCATGATGACAATGTCGACACTACCTTCTTCCACTCCAGGAGGCAGACTGTCACCGGCAGCGTCCCAGACTTCAGCAGACATGACCCCGTTGCCGTTTGTGTAGTCTTCAGCACTTCTCATTGTCTCTACCGCTTTTTTGCTGAAATCAACCGCGAAGATTCTCAGTTCTGGATTCTCGTTCATCCTGAGTATCGGGAAGGCCGTATTTCCGGCACCGGCACCCACCTCAAGGACGACTTTACTCCCGGCATCTTTCTTCGTTATCTCCTGCAACACAGGAAATTCTTGAACGAGCCATTTCCTGTCCTTGAAGAACGTGCTTGTCTTTTGCTTGTAGAAAAGATCCCACCACTTCTCAGGATGCTCGTTAAACCGATCTCGGTCGAAGTCGGACACTGGGGCAGCCCGCTGCGCTGCATATTGAGATTCACAAAAATCATAATGTGCGGAATCAGGTAGGACGTGATCCCAAGCATTGTACTCGAAGACGTCGTCCGACTCTGATAGATGCCTCTGGCCGAACTGGAAAGGGTCTGTACGCTTCGCGTTCGTAGCAGGATCATGGGAGAGATGCGGAGGAGTTGACGCTACGGGGTCTGATGAATCCACAACTTGCGCCAGAGCGCTCTGCGACTCCTGCAATGAGAGGCTCCCCAAGGCAGCCTCGACAGTCGCAGCCTCTGCAGTGGTCTCACTGCCTCTATCTGGCGCCATGATTCGAGTCTGAGCGAATGTCGTAAGAAATCGTCTGCGCAAAGACGAAAGGACAATATTTTTGAAGCGGAGGAGTATCAACTCCGATTGGCTGAGAGCCAGCTGTCGAGCCTTTACAGTCGCAAGCAACAACCACTTATTCCTCTTCCCTCAACCTGCGGGCATCTGCGACATCCTTGCGTATCACCACATCCTCCTCCACCCGCTCTGTCGTATCATGGCGATCGAGTCGCTCATCACAGATGCATCCCTGCGGCCGCTGCTGCAAACATCACGAGCCACCCTTACACAGACTCTCTCTGCCCTTTCATGGCTAGGGGAAAACGCTGCGACCGCGAATCCGTCTTTAGACCTCAAACTCGATCTAGCAGAACGGCAAAAGATCCTCCATGCGTATCTATCGAAATTGCGCGGCCAACATCGTCAAGCAGCTTTTGGAGCAAGGGCGACGAAACAAGACACAGCGGAGGCCAGACAGGAAGTAGATCGATTACTGTTACAACTACAGAACCTCTACTACGAGCAGCGACATCTTATGGGTGAGATAGGAGCTTGCGAGGGATATGAGTAGGTTCACGCGGCTTTGACATAGTTTGACGCTGACAGCGAACACCAGTCATGCATACACACATCTACCACTTCTGTCCCTCGATGAGTATTTAGCACTATTTCCCGATCAAGCAGGATCATCGGAACAAGAACTCATGCCTTTGCGGATCGAGCACGAGAAGCAAGAGCGAGAGAAGATGGAGCAAGAGAGACTGGAGCTTGTGAGGATCAAGGACGGACTGGTGAAGGAAAACACGAGAAAGAAGGACGAACTCAAGAAGATAGATGAGAAGCTTGAAGCCATGATTGATGGACTCAACCCCTTGGAGGAAGCACTGCGGAAGGATGTGTGACTGGTCTTAAGTCAGAGTCCAATAGTGCCGCCCAAACAGTGTCGGCAACATTCAGGTCTCAGTCAGCAAGCAGCCTATCACGACATGAGCGGTTAAGGCAACTTTCTACCCACACGGAACAGTTGTCGCCCGGATTGGCCGTCACTCTAGCATGGTGCCTCGGCCATATTGCCACCATGGATGTCGGGCAGCTGCGACTTTGCGCGCGTTGGTCGCGTCCAGCATGGTGAGAGGGTAAAGAGGACACGCCGCGCAGTCACACCGCGTGTTTAGGAGATGCGACTTCGACGTCCAAGGGTAATTGACACGCTGGCGTGAGACATTCACGACGAGCATCTCGGAGCGCCCGGAATCCTACTTCGCGAACAGCAAGCTACGATACTTCGCTCTATCCTCCGAGCCTTTAGGCATGCTGCAGAGTATGTGACTGGGGGAATCCTCGGCCATCATACTCGAACCTCTAACGAGATGCCAATCACTCCTGCCAGCAGAGCTGGCACTACACCATGTTGGAGATCACAAGGCATGAACTTCTCGAGTCTACTGGGCAAGGGCTCACTTGGGGAGCACGCTCAGATGCCTGGAGGAATCGCTACCTATCGCAGATTTTGAAGAGTATCGAGCAGTCGAATGCCCTGTCCTTGGACTCGGAGAGCAGGCGCTCCTGAGCGGATCTCGCTAAATACGGCGTGGGGGCCGCCGTGATTGAGGTGTAGACATATTGGGGAAGATGGCACAGTGCTGTCCATGGACACCAAGTCACTCGATCATGAGAGTCGGTATCAAATAGTGAAATGGTGAGACACTCTCCCAGACGTATGTGTTTGACGGAAAGTGGGTGTCGAACAAGCCATCAACCAGTGGCTTTGAACTTGAACCGCCTGTCGATCCATACGGCCGGTCGTGTTGTATGAAATACCTGTCAAGGTGAAATGAAATAATGCCAAAGGTTGGTTGCATCTCGGACTTAGTCGATGCTCGATGATCGAGGTTACGGCTCGTGATGACTTATTACTCTGGAGGGTTAGAGGAAGCTTTGCTGGGACACTTTCCCCACAATGCCTGGTAGTGGTGTGTGTGGATTTGCAATCAGTTAAGGGACGGCAGAAGTATTTACGTGATATCGTCGATTGGTGTTGTAGATTTGTCCAGCATACAACCTTGAATGGGCAGGTGCGCAGGCAGACGTTATGCCATGGGGTAATTAGTGTGCTCTAATTAAGCATAGTACTAGTATGTCTACGCTTTCAGCCACTGGCATCTTGGCATATGGGGTAGTCCTTCCCGCTAGCCGACGTGGGCGAGAAGGTCTCCTGAGTCACTCCCAATAGAGACCTCGAAGAACTTAAACCAGTACTAAGTATAACTCTACGAAGTATATCGGTGACAAGACTAGGTAAGATGGACGAGGCTAGGATTATGCGCGTGTCGATGAGGCCTAGCTCGAGGTCATACCATAAATAGTAGGTGTCGATAGGGTCGCGTTGAGAACGACAATAGAGCTCGGCCGAACAACGAGTTGCCTGGCCTGTTTAGATGACCGAAGTGGTTCTTGCATGGCAAGGAGGGTCGCTGGTAGCCGTCAATGGCGCCTCGCCGATTGAAGTCTTCTGTCTGGCAGACTGGGTCGGCTACGGCTGGGCCTACCGGTGACCTGCATTGTTGACGCATATACCTGCGACGTTTGTACTGCCATACTTTCATTCGTTTCGCGGTGTTCAGTGCCTACATGCTGACAACGTGTTCCCATCGAACACTGTACCTAGACCCTCCGGAGTTCTTTTGCACGGCTTGCACCAGAGTCTGCAGAATTCCGGACAACAGCAGGTGTATCAGATTGGGCAACGTCGACTACTTTGTCCAAACTTGAAGGGAGAAGTTGTCTTTGTTTCCTTCCCGCCCTTCCTCAGCATTGGTCATGGTTTGGCCGCGTGCCAGATTCTATCATTACACCCTTGTACTTGGCACCATAGTCGCTATATGGAAGTGTCTTGTTTGTTTTCGTACTGTTACACTAGGGAGACCCTACGATACCTGGGTGTCTGAGGACTACTTCAATTTCAATGTTACGCCCCACCCATATTGCAGCATATTCAACCACGAGTTCGCACAGGACGTTCAGATCGTTCTAAAAACAGGTGCCACGGAAGTATTCGACAAGCTTCTTGTACACCTAGCTACGGTTACGCCTTGTATTCCGCCATCAAACCTCATCATTTTCTCGGATCTCGATGAACACATCGGGCCTTACCAATTACACGATGCACTCCGTGCCATATCGGAGAAAGAAAAATCTTCCAATCCAGATTTCGGCATCTACCACGAGCAGAAGCTCTTTCGTGAAAACAGGAAGGGCTTGAAAGACCTGCAAGGGGGCCGGAAGCTTGACAAATACAAATTTTTACCCATGATGGAAAAGATATGGTGGGATTTTAGGCCGAAAAAGAATTTGCTAACATTCCAAACAAGGCGCCACTGCTGTTCGAGGACATATTCCAGTTCATCGAGGCCAAACTAGATACGACTCGCGAAGATTGGGATAACATGTCTGGAGATATCGAAATCTCTTCCACACCTTCTGGTCAAGTGTTCGATTCGATGAATCGGGCGGGCGAGTCGCTCGAGGTGTGTAGGATTGCCTGTCTTGCGGAGCCTTCATGTTACCAATTTCGCTTGAAGGGAAAGTCCTGTACATTATCGCGGTCAATACGACTTGGGCACCCTGTTCATCCCAGTGATGAAGCGGGCGCAGAAATATGCATATCGGGATGGAACCTGGAGAAGATTCGTGCTTGGAAGGTGGAACAAGGCAAATGCCAAAGACCGCATTGGGTCCGCGCAAACCCTTAACATCGCAAGAATGGGACTGTTGAGGATTGTATTCGCCCAGCTTCTGCCTATCCAGTGCACGCTGCTGCGCTAAGCTACACGATTACCTATGCCTAGGCACAGAAACGAAACTTCCTGCCAAATCCATCTTGCGTACATCAAACTCGCACGACCTGGCTAACGAACTAGATACTCTTAGAAAAAGGTGGCACGCATGACAGTGGCTACTCATCGCCTTGATATGCTTACACTGCCCCGAGAGGATGTCTGAGGCAGCGATGGGTTCACCATCTCCCCCACCAAACTCAAGCCTAACCGGTGATAAAATCGAATGGTGGGCAAAGTAAGGGAAGACCCGGTGGATGAAGCGCAGGAGCACCCAGCAAGACAAGGATAGATTGGCGTACATGGTCAGCGTATAGATCGGAAATGGTGGAGACAGCAAGAGGGGTCAAGAGTCGAAACCCTAGGTTAGGACCTTCCGAGTTGGCTGTTGGTTAGTTATGGGCGCATACTACTGTAAGTTCTTAGCTGACTTAGACTGGATGGAAGGCCTAAGATAATGAATTCCTGGTCATACGCAACCCCCGGCTTGGCGGGCAGCCTCATCACGAATCGTCAGCCTCATAGTCGATCTCCTTTACGATTCTGTCCACGCAACCTAAGTACCTCTTTTCTTGCGTTAGTTACGTGTTCAAATGCCAGAGGTATGACTTCGATGGCCTCATTATTTGCATGTTGTTTCTCTCAAGACCGCCGCACGAGCAACTTAGACTCGGAAGCCCGCCGTACCCGCATCATCGCAGTCACTGCCCAAGGGCACAGCCCGCCTCGGCCACAGAGAAACGATGACAGTCCTCCACTATATCACGACGTCGTGCAAGAAACTCTGAATACCGCAGACGAAAAGAACCGAGCAAATTTCATTGCGGTGATTGAAGACCAAGACAATATTCCACGACCCGGATCGCCCGACTCTTCCGTTGTCTCAATCCCGTCTACACGAGTCACCGATCTGACTTCCACATATACTGGCGACAGTGCATGTGTTGTTACGAGGCGAGGCCTGGAGCGCTCATCGACACGGGGAAGTCGACCGCCCTCATACTACTCGAATGGTCATACCGCGAGAAGTGCGAGCCCGGCTTCAGTCGCCGTGAGCGAAAGAGACAGTATCTGGCGACATCCGGTAATGGCGCACAACTGGCTAGAAGTCTTACAGCAGGAAGCTCTGAGAGAGGCTTCGCTCAGTGCAGGCGCCGCATCCGAACAAGTTCGAGTCCGGGAAAGAGGTGCAGGAGGGTGATTACTGCTGAACTTTCGGTCAAGATCTCCCATTACAAAATCATCCACAAGAGCTCTTCGTCGTATGAGCAGTAAGGCATGCATTATCGACATGCATGCAATCCACGACCTCACTGTCAATTTGAGTGCACACACCTTCGAGCAGATCGGACTGTGCTCCTTGTTACTGGACGCTGAGCGGGAATGCAACAGCAATCAATCGATTGGTACAGTACACACACTTGTGCGGGTTGAATGGAGGTGAATACCATCTGACGACCATCCACCACGGACGAAAATATGGCATGCTGGCAAAAGTGGTCAGTTGTCATCTCGTTCATAGAGGACGAAGTCTCCTTGGGAACATGCCCGAGGCATAACATGCACATCGGGAATATGCGCGATGGCTCACAGAGTGCCCGCCCTTCGGTGGTGATCGTATCCTTCGGCCCATGAATAACGATTTTGAGCTCGGGTTTGACTACGACTACGATTACGCCGCCGACATTTTTACGATTGCGAAATCCACATTTGCTTACGAGACACTGTATAAACATACAAATTACATCATGGACACACTCAAGTCCTTGATAGATACTGCTTTATGGCGTTGGTAGAGTGATATGTCAAATGCTGGTGCAACCCCATACTCCGTACTGTGGATGGCGCGGCATGGCCTTAAGTGATATGACGTATCACAAGCCGCCTGGAGACGCGCTTCGGCGCCTATCTTTACCGAAGATGCATAGCATCGTGTCAATGGAAACCAATCGACCCCTGGTTGGACTCGATACCAAGCACGTCAAGACAATGCTAGATTTGCGGGGGCAACGCCCAACAACAGCTCGACCCGAGCGAGGGGTTACGATCTGTCATGAAAACCTAGGATTGCATGAAGTGGCCGTTTGCGCCTGATGAAAGGCCAACCTTCCTTGTAGACCATGCTGATCGTGCTTCAACACCTACCTTTGAAGGTACTCACACCATGGTCGCGCAATGAAAACAACTGGTGATAGCGGAATGTGAGGCTCTCGTCCCTGATGGCGCATGAATCTCTACCAACAGTGTCACCAAATTTGTCATGGCTCAAGTTTTACACTCGATCATGTCCAACCACTCATCCTCTTCAGACAATCCGGCATCTGCAGGCCTGGGAATCACAGGCGGCTATGATGGAGACAGCCTGACGTTGAAGATCCTCATCGCTTTCTTCCTCGGTCTGGCCATGTACAATGTCGTCGAGCTACAGATTCTCCTCTTTGGCACCTTCAACAAATTTCGCGGCCTCTACTTCTGGAGCCTCGTCGTCTCAGGCTGGGGCATCCTGCCGTACTCTTTGGGGTTTCTGTTCAAGTACTTTTCGATCTTGACTGGGGGAGGGAGATGGTTCTCTATCTTCTTGCTCTCGATAGGATGGTATCCGATGGTGACTGGTCAAGCGATCGTTTTGTGGTCCAGACTCCATCTCATCGTCCATGGCGAGAAAGGGGAGCATATCCTACGCTGGACGAAATGGATGATCATTGTGGACGCTATTGTCTTGCATGTACCAACCACGGTGCTCACCGTCGGCTCGAACAGCAACACGCACACTCAAACATTCGTCCGCGGGTACAATGTCATGGAGAAAGTGCAGATGTGCGGCTTCTTCATCCAGGAAGTCATTCTCTCGACAATTTACATCGTGGAGACCATCCGCATACTTCGCCTGTCGGTGCAGGAGAATACTCGACGACTCATGCACCAACTTTTGGCCATCAACATCCTTATCATCATTATGGACCTTGGACTCCTTGGACTCGAGTGCGCGTCACTCTACATTCTGGAGACGACGACGAAACCCGTCTTTTATTCCATCAAGCTCAAGCTCGAATTTGCCATTCTTGGAAGGCTTGTGCAATTTGTTGGTGGTCCACGCCGTAATAGCACCCGTGCATCACTTCCCTCTCCACACTCGCGGGAGAGGCGCACACCTTCTGGTCTGGGGAATTTCAACGATAAGGATGTGTCTGATTTCGTCGACCTGACCAAGGTCAACAGCGATCCGACACGAGTGCCTGCAGAGTACCGCAGCTACAGGAGTCTTTCAATACCACGTAACAGAGAAGATCTCGACCTTGACCTTGAGATTGCGAGACTGGAGCATGTCCATACTCTTCCGTCACAGCTCAGGAGACCGAATGGACATATCGATTGAGCCACCTGAATGCGTCTTGGCTTACTGACATGCCGCATTTGCGGGACAGAGGTATCTGCAATCGTTGTAGGTCATTGAGAAGGAGGCTGGATATTTCTGGCCAAGTTGTGGCCGGGACCAATGCTTTGAAGCGCCAGTAGTAAGGTATCATGCCTTACTCGCTCTTCTGCCTTGGAGCAAGTCTTTCACCGAATCGACCACACTCATCCTACGACTACTCCAGCTGCTCGAAGGACTTTCACCTTGACTGAGCGCGGCAAGGCTTTCCCGTCGTTGAGCTACGCTGGCTAGACTCTGGCGGCGGACGTTCTCGTTGTTCTCGCGTGCCTCTTGGATCTCCTCGTCACTCGGCTTGTATTTATTGGCCGCACCACCTCTTCCAGTATGAAAGGGATCCTCTAGGAGCATAATGCCAGGAGCCTGCATGTCATGCAGCAGCCGGGCTGTTTCATCGGCTTCGGTTTGCTGGTTTTGTCTCACTGCAGACTGAGAAGACATGTTCCCGGATCCTCCTACACCTGTGCTGAATCTGCGCCCGCCAAATTCGCGGCGATAGGACTGTGCATCGGTGCTGTGACTGGGTCGTCGCTTGTCCGCCATAGATGCGTTGGTCACATTGCCTGGACAGATCGTCAGTGGTTCTGTCCCTCATTTCAAGCAGAGAATATGACTGTACCTGCACCACCCCTGCCGTGGTGGATGTAGATATTGTCGCTGGTGGCCGCCATATTTCCTGCAGCTTAGACTCTTTCAATGGCCAAAGAAGCTCCTGTACGGCTGTCTATGCGAGGTGGATTCGGAGTACAGTGCCTGCGTGATCAGTGATTCGGCTTCCAGTTGTATGTATATTTCAGTCGTCAGCCGTCGAAGCGACGCGATTGACGTCCTGCCCCAAAGAATCCAACTTGGGGGGAAACATTCCTTCTTATGGCTGACGATATGCCCGCTAAGATTGGCAGCTTGAATGCATTTCTTCCTTTCTGACTGGTTCAGACTGGCCCAGAGATAAGAACGGCCTATAAGGCCAATAAGCGTTCGCAGTCACCACAGCATTGCGTAGATTGCGTCAAGTTGGAGCCCGCCCTCCTTTAACGTCTTTTCAGGTGCAAAGAGCAGGTGATGCAATCCACTTTTAGGCCTGCTTCGCATGCTTTTGACATCTTCGTTAACGGGAGCAGGCAATGTCAGCACGATGCGGGGCAATCAGGTTGTCGTCTGTCATGGTTCTGTCGACGTCGCTTTTGACGTCAGATTGAAGCCGTGCAGGATACCCCGGAGTCGACCCCAATTGATGCCGCTTAGAGGGCCGAGGTGATTGGTGACCCCCCACGGAACAGATAAGGTCGAATGCTTAGATTTCTTAAGGACTACCAAGCCTTTCAATGAGCATCCCGGTCGAAGGTGAGTGGTCTGTGCGATCCAGAATTACTGCAAATAATGCGGTCGTTGTAAGTTCATGGCGTTGACCCTTAACCTTTGACATGGTGGGCAACGTTGTTTCCGGCCAGAAAGACTAAGTACCATTGCAAAGGTGGCCTCTACTATCTTGTTTGTGTAAACAGCGACCTATTCATTGTGAAGCCACAGCCGATTGTCAACGATGACTTTCATGGGCACTACCAGATAATTGATCCCCCTCAATATTAGCCAACAATCTGCCATTATCGAGCGATCCTTCCGCCACCACTCTGCGGGGCAATTCGAGTAAACGTCACAATATATAAATCGTTTTCGGTTCTGGTTCTGATAAAACAGACAACCTTCGACAAGTCCGATTTGCAACATCTTCCCACCTCACAACCTAAACTCGTGCGAACAGAGTGAAAGATGGCAGCCGAGAACACTCCAATCCGCTCCAGCTGTCACTGCGGCGCCATCACAGTCACAGCTCCACGACTGCCCGAATATATCAACATCTGTCAATGCACCATATGCAGACGATACGGCGCCGCATGGGGCTACTACCACCCGGACGAGGTCAAGATCGAGACGAAGCCAGGCGCAATCACGAAGCAGTACATCTGGGGAGACCGAGACCTATCTTTCAACTTTTGCGATAATTGTGGTTGCGTGTAAGTCAAGCAATCCCTCTTCCACCAGGTTGCGAACTCATGCCGTGTAGATGCTATTGGTGGCCGCTCCGGCCTCCCCCTGGTGAAGGAGGAGAGTATCAGATGGGGCTTAACACTAATAACATGGATCCGGAGGTGCTGAAATATGTCGATCGGAGGATCGAGTATTCGGTCTTGAAAAGCCGGGTGCGCTCGAAAGACACCGCGCATGCTGATGATCCGGCGACCTATTGAGCCTGGTCTCGAAGACCTATGATACGTGCGGTAGCAAGGCGGAAGAAGGCCATGACTCAATAGCACTCCAACATCACCAAAAGAGACGGCATTGGTCGCGTATGTTTTACGATGTGCAGAGAACGGGCTTTCCCGTGCCGGTCAAAGCCTTGCGGAGAGTGGCACTTGTTGTCAAGCCGTCCGCAAGCTCAATCGGCCTAGCAATGGCACATTGCGACATCCCGGCAAGAAGTATCCTCGAGATCTTCAAGCACGCTCCTTACGTCATTCAAAACCACGTGCCCGAAGCTCAAAGCACTGGACCGGACGAGAGTTAAGGAGAACACGTATGACAAGGTCAAATACTGGTTCGACCTGAAAGGCAAAGGACTGGCTAACCCAGACATCACTCCCGTATGGGGAAGCACGAGCCGCGGCACAAGGATAGTAGGCATGCCGGATTTGAGAACGACAGTACCGAGCTATAAGTTATTGCACCAAGATACTATAGTATATCAAAAAAGAAACGGCGGCCTTAGTAGATCATCAAGGGCTCTCCAGACGCGCGTCTTTCTGCAGATGCTCACCTGACTCATATACAACAATACTGTAGTACACCTTAGCCCTCAGCCTTGCCCCTATTGAGATTGACTACGGTTCGATAACGAGTTCAGCCAAGACAAGTGCTACGTACTCTTTCTCGCTTGCGCCTTGTTGATAGATAACGGTTTTCCAGCCAAACCCAATAATAGTCCAAGGCCTGGCAGTGTAGTATTTCAGCAATCGCAGTGTAGACGTGTACTTGTTCACGACGCTCGATGTATGCTTGACTCGCGCGTCCCATGTGTCCGCAAGCGACGTACAAACAAAGTGCACTTATCAAAGACTAGTATCGATTCATACACCACTAAACCTGACCAGCCTGATACGTTATTATGCGAGGAAGTATCCGTGCAGGTACCATGATATATTTACCGTAGTGTTCCTTGCTTACCCTGATTCGACTTGCACATGAGGTAGTGGACAAATCGAATCCAGTACGTCGAGCACGGGTGTCGTCCACGTCCATCGATCTGCACACTTCTCTCAGGCGATACCCCTCGGATCAACCACTCCGTCGCCCAATGCGCTATCTTACGACTTCTTCTTTGAGGCTTTGAGAGGCGCAAAGCATAACGTTCTACCGTGATTGTGGTTGTTGATCGCACAATCAACGATCTGCCGAGAAACTACAGTACAGGAAGGATTGTCCTTTTGTTCGTTTCAGGACTGTTCACTAGGAGTAGTTTATCGTCCATAGAGATTGAAACTAACGGCACTTCCCGAACCATCCGAACCACTTGTCAAACCCCGGTGCGGCTCGGGTGGCTGGTCCCTGCATTTTAATGTACTGTTGGGATCCTTCTCCGTGGTTCCGCGGCCGCTACAACCACCATAGTATTGACCAATGCATCTGGATCAGTTGGTCGATAATGACCCTGTACCGGTGAAAGTATGCATGGCACCGAACTCTTACTATCTCATGTTCCAATCACCCATTCCCTGTTTCTAGTAGGGGTAGGCAGGGCAAGGGAAGTGGCACGGGCATTGTCCTGCCGACACTGCAAGGGTAAATATACATGACTCGGTTGCTGTAGCTCCTTAGGACGGTGTGGGATTGTAATTCCGCAAGCCACTGCGCCGGGTACCAGGATACTTGTCCTAGTATAATTTGGCATTGTAGCCATTAGTCGTGAAGCGGCCAGCATGCGACCTCTCATTATACCGCGGTTGGTCACTAGTCAGACCACTGGGCAAATTTTCTGTAGAGGCTCACATGCATACAGTACAGGACCATCAAAAGCAGGACTTTCAAGGGTGCTGGAGTGCCGGCCGGAAAAGCGGCAGTGTTGGCTACAGTCTAACGCACGTCCTATGGTATGGCGTCGCCGATGCATCCCTGGGGAACGAGTCATGCCTACTACATACGGTAGCTCACGGCCAAGTAGCCTGATAGAACTACAGTAGTGTTAACTATCCAAATACAAGTCAGTTCACAAGTTACAACAAGCGAAAACTCGGCATCGCTACTGTATTTTGATCACATTGCGCATCTCCTGCATCAGGGCAAAGGACGGCACCGAGTCATGTTTCCATTTCCCGGTCGCCTCGTTCGGATAGCATCGGGAGGATCCTTTTTAAGGGTGTCGACTCCGTTGACCGTACTCCGTCCGTACTAGTGACACCATGGAGGATCCCTCAGACACTGTAAGATAACGATAGATAGCCTTGCGGTTATCCCTGGATCCCGAACGGAAAGCCCTGAACAGTGTTCCGAACAACTACAGTAATCTCAGCATAGTATTCACTGATTGACCATCCGTAATCTTGCTGACCACTAACATCAAGTCAGCCAGGCTGACTCGAGTGACCTCGTTTCATCTTTAAACGAGTGACAAAACAGGTCCGTCGGTGGTTGCCCTTTTCAGCATTGATCCGTTCTTCTAAGCGAAGATAGGAAGATGGTCATCATACTAACTTATGGTGGTGAAAATCCGGGAGAATACCCGTGCGACCTTTTCATGCCTGGCGATCCTACCTGCCAGCAATAGATTCAAGGAGAGAAGTATACTGTGTATTGCCGCCTCCCAAGACCGGGGGCTCTCAAGACAATATGTACTTGTTTGGGGGCCAAAATGTACTCAAAGTACCCTCGTAGCAGTAGCGAGTGCTGTGACAATTCTCCGTGGGCATCCAGCCCATGCTCCCGCTTTTGCACCCATGGCTGAAATCAGCATATGTGCACCACCGAGTGCAACTTAGAACTTGTAGAAAAGGAGAGGCGCTGCATCATAATGAGAGGGCAAATTCAGGGCCCGTAGCATCGATCGAGTCATCTGAATACCGTCCAGCGCCATTGCTTGAAAATTCAAGGCTATTAAAACCGATATATGCAAATCCGTCGCTCATAAAATTCCACGTCTGTCAAAGTCGCTATTGTCCAAAAGACAAGCCAAAGGGGGTATCAGGTGCGGTCCTGTTGGTCCTGGTGCTGGTGTTGGTCTGCGAGCAGACTTCAGTCTCATGAGGAGAAACACTGCGTGATGATGTTCGTGCCGAGGAGGGGAGGGAAAGACGCCAAGTTGTCGCGAACCATGGCCCCATCTCTCCAGACCCGGCAGTTATGTGGGTAAGAGTAACTTGTATGTGCTGCATCGTCTCAGCTTGGAGACTGAGTGCAGTGCTCGTTCGAGTGATCAGCCGTCAACTCGCACTGGCCAACGATTTCGTGAAAAATCCAACAGTAGATTCCCGTGCTTCTCAGCCAGCTCTCGATCCAACCCATCATGCTTGCCATTGTCCCTTGAGTCTGACCTAAACCGTCGCATCTGGATGTTCTTACGCGTGCGGGTTGTCTGGTCATGCTTGGAATCTGGCGCCCATGTGTAGGTGAAAGACCTCCTCACCATCGTTGGCGATCTCAGCACTTCAAGGTCTTCGGGACTGTGACTTTCGTCTGGAGTGAGCTCGGGAATAGGCTCGTCGGATAGCTTTCGTTTGCGATTATGTGGGGTGGCCGGATTGATCAATGCGTCCACGCTCATAGGAAATCTCGCGGTCTTGGTTGGTGGTGTTGATCTCGATAGAATAGGCGAGGTCGCCCTGGAGAGGTCGAAGGTCTCGAGCGACCGTACCTCCTCAGAAGGGTATGACGATAATCGGAAGTCTGCCAAATCTTCGTGGTAAGACGAGGCGGGACGACACGTTTCGTCTGACTGATAATAGGTGAAATGGTGACAGATGGACTGTAAAGCACCCTCAATCCGGGAGGGGTGCTCAGCCACGAAGAAACCATTTCCTATGCCCAGCTGCGATATAGCAAACCGTCGTTCCTGGGCCGACTCCAGCATGGGAGAATCCAGAACTCGATGCAGCTGTGTCGGACCCCGTTCAACATAGAAGAAGAGATTGTGTTCGCTCAAAATATCCTGTTCGATTGGATGATCTGAGTGGGGATGCCTGTAGAATGTGTGAGTGCTTGATCGGCCAGGAGAATGACCATCATATTCGAGAGCGACTGACCTGGAGGCAATTCTGTCCCACGGAATCATGACTCAACGCTGGGGGTCAAACTGTGCAGGAGACTCATTGGGGAATGAACACTGTCGACTTGCTGATTGAATGGTCAACCATATATTGGGGTTCAAGCTGACATTTTGTAGTTTCTAGGCCGACGTTGTAGAGTGGTCAAATCGATCCGACCATAGTCTTGGATATCTAGTTTGGGCAGGGGCCGTCCTCTGAAGCGGTGATATGCCTGTCAGCCTTACTAGGACCCAGACTTGACCAGTGCTGGTGCGAGCAATTTGCAGCAAAGAGCTCCGTCTGGAAGGGGCTGACACCGGACTTTTGGGTAGCTTCGACTGTCGAGCCTGTGCATCGACAGTTGAAACTTGTTTCCGTAGTCTCCAAGAGTTCCTATGTTGTGCGTGACAACAAACGAAAACGAGGAGAGGTCGAATGTAAGGTGGGAATGACGAGACGGAAATGTCGGGTGGAAGAGAAGCCGGACGTGGATTGTGGAACCAGCTTAGACGGAACGAGGAATTGACATATGCGCGTGGCAGGAGAGACCCGAATATGGTGAAGGTCTTAATTGATGACAGATGTCGAGCTCGGTTGATTTTCAAGTTGACGTGAAACAGAAGGGATTGAAGGGTTTGTTGACACAACTTTAGGATGATCGCTGGGGGACGGCCGAAGTTATGGCGGGATCAATGGCGTAGGAAGCGAGTGTGAGAGAGACACACTTGGCAAGCAGACAGCAAGAACGAGGGACCATTGAAGCTAGCAGGGGAGCTGTTGTGCTGTTTCGTTTCCTGCAGCTGACAGACAGAAAAGACAGGGAAGTCTTGACGGCGTAGGTTAAGGGGGAAAGAGCAGTAACTATCGTTTCGGCGGCGCTTAAACTGACAAGGGAAAAGGATTGGTACGTTGACTGAATGAAGCCTCCATGTTGTCACTTGTCAGAATGAAAACGGCTCGGGGGAAAAGGGACTGTCGATTTGACATTTGGCAGCCTGGCTAGTTCGGTAGCGGCGTGGAAAGTCACCCTTGGCTCCAAAATGGCGACCTGCAGCAAAGTGGCATCTTGGTGGTGTACGGAGTACGCTGGTTGATTTGACTTGCCGGACCAAGTTGACGGTCATTTTGTACGAGAACAGGGGCCATGACCATTGTGGATGGTACATTAGGCCGGATAGCAGATGGCGATAGGCGATTGGGATCATGACCAGCAAGCAAGTGAGATGTGCCTAGGGTGGTTTTTTTCAGATCAGCGTAAGAGAAGAAAGAAGAAGGGTTGCATCTCGTCTAGACGACAACGAGTTTAGTGGGAACTGCAGGGTGTTCGTTCACCTTGGTGCTTTTTGTCTTAGGGTCCACGTACTGTACAGGTGTTGCTGCATGGCTTTTTATGGGGATGCCACTATTCCAGCCGCCTGCTCCAACCCGTGCCAGCTCCAAAAATTGTGTTGTGGTCGCCAGGATCCATGATGATTCGAAGCGGCACAAGCGGCTGCATACCAACTGCAACAGGTATAGCTGGTAATCCTGTCTTTGGGATCCGTCCAAACCTGCCAGAGTGATGTCCATGAAGTGGAGGATTGACTTTATTCCCAAAGGACGCGAGGTTCTGGCAGTGTCGATCAAAGTACAAGCATGGCCTCGTACTCGTAGTGAACGACTTTAGCAATCGCGTGGCCTGACAGCTGCCAGGTGTTGATCAACGAAGACCACGACTCCACGAGATCCACGGGTGGTGTGGTAACGAAATGAACGCCTCCAAGATTGCTAGTGTGCCGGAATCTCAGCAACCATAGCCGTGTTCAGGTCATGGTTGGAGTTGAGGACTTTTGCAATATCACCTTAATCAGTAGTCGGATGGACGATCATGGCATGGAGAGTTGTCGTACCTCGTAACTTAGTCGCTTGAAGATTTGTTCGAGACACGATTGACGCGAGAGTGAGAGGCCTCCAAGGGGCCAGGCTGGCGAACCTGGCTTGCTCTCGTCCGTGAAAGGGAGGTGGTGCTCGTCTAACAACAGCGGCGTTATGCTCCCTTGAGTTTAGGTGGCACCCTAAAGATTCCCACAGCGGAGCGCAAAGAGGCACGAGCCTTGAACTTTAGCGTAAATTTTGTGCCCCAGGATTCATTGGCACGGGGAAGTATCTTAGCGAGCACAGCAGCAATCCATAAGCGGAGAATATCCTGCAGGGAAGGCGAGGACAGGCCGCGGTTGATGCCATGCCACCCATGTCCCTTTCCCTTTGGATCATGATTCATCGATGGCGCACCGCAACGAATGATGAGGAATTAGTATAGTAAAAGCACATTGCCACTAACGTTAGTGTGCGGGAGATGATTCCTCCTTTTCAACATTGCTCGACGAAGTCGATGCTTACCACAATTTCTTTCTAGAGCAGCCGGGGTGCCTCGATCACGATCATGCAGGACACTGCAGTATGCTGCAGGACAAACTTTGGCTGACGTGGTAGAAAACTAGTATGTGCTGCATCTCAAATTTTTGCGAATGGGAAGCCTACACCACACTGGTCAGTTGCTGGCTTTCTAGCAGATGCTGCAAGCCACACTTTGTATGCAACAGTCTGTACCTGGGCACGTCTCCGACTGGCTCGTATAAGTCTCGGTTTTCTTTTTGTCTCTTTTGCTAGCCTCGTCCTGTTTTAGTGTCGTTGAGATTATTTGGAAATATGACAGGTTCAACTTCATTTCACCATTGCAGGCAACAGCATGCTCCTTTCCAGTTCGAGAATGTTTCTGCACAATAGTCAATGAATCCATGTCTCTGTGCCGTCTCTGTCCGGTCCATGCCCTGCAATCTGCAAGCCATGGTGAGTGCAACGGACGGACCCCTTATGACTTTGGAAACAATCCCTTGGGACAAAATGAGCGCAGTCCGTGCCATGTACTGCTCATCGACGGGCCAGGAACTTTCCTCCTATGGTAAGTTCCACGGGCATACTTTTTGATGATTCCGGTTTGGCAGCTGTCCTTGTTTCATCGACTGAACGTCACCCGGGAGAATGCCACTAGGAAAGTAGTGTTGGTAGCACAAAGCCGTTGGAGCCTGCGGAATGCAACGCCTGCCTACCGTGACAGTTGGCGCATCCCTCGCGTGCATTCTGCCTTCTTTCGTGGCCGTCATTTACGACCTCGTACTTGGGGCCGCATGCAGCCTGACGACTCGCACAAGGTCCCAGGTCGTTGTTCAAGGCGGAGTCGTTACAATGAGTAGCTGCGGGTAGACACTTGAGTTGCATGACCATACCGCTTCCCCGGGTACCCTGAGCCTCGTGAGGCTCATCAGGTCTAGAGTGTCATTCTCGGCATCGTTGCGTCCAAGGATTCTAAAATGTCCAAGACAGATTTCTGAGGGTGAAAATGTATACTCTGAAAAGTGCGACATCTACTCGCTTCATGTTTTTCGCTCTGGTACTTATGGCATGAAATTCGTGTGGTGTCACCATGGAACATGAAGAGTGTGAACATGAAAGAGATGGTACATATAAAGGAGCCTCATGTGCTAAACATTAACTTAGGTTGACGGGCGGGCGCGGGCGGCGCAGGTAAGGGCCGGCTAGGGGGCCGTGGGAGCTTGCCGCATGCTTATTCGAACCTTTACAGTTATGCCTAAGCCAGCGAGTCTCGTTCCACCAAAAACACCATACTCGGTGATTCATCTCCAATGTCATGGCACACGCCGACACAATGCAAACCCTCCAGCGTACAGTCTGGCAGGGTCGAATACCTCTGGAAATCCGATTAGCAGCCTCAGAATGCCGAACCTTTGACGGAGCCGATCCGTATCTGGTCAGTGACCGTGTTCCGCCTACTGATGCCAATATGTCCATGGATATGGCAGACCCCATTCACATTCGCCAGTCGTTGACTAGAATGAACAGATTGCTTTTCCAAGACTCTCATATCTCCCTCTGTTGTTGCCACGGTTGCACGCCTTCTTCTACGAATCACTGATCGCCGAACCCGAGTCGATCTCGCCATATGCGGGATATTTCACCTACGACAATGTACCTTTAAAGTGGCATTTACCACTTGGCTTGCTTTACGACATCTATGTGTTGTCCACCCAGGACGCTGACCAGGACGACGTGGCTTCAGCATCCTCCTTACCCTTCAAGTTGACTCTGCACTTCGCGCCAGACCCCGACAGGCCTACGCTACTGGACGCAACTCCCGTTGTGCTACACGATTCCTTCATCAACTCGGTGAAAGAAGCCGACTTCTTGAGATCCGGAACAGCGAAGCCCATCATGTCTCTTTCAGCGCACGAGAGCAAGGCTCTCTGGACCTCGACTCAGGACAGTGATGTCGCAACCTTTTCCAAAATCCACGGCAGCCTTGTTCCCTCACCAGGTCAGATGCGCAATATTCCTCTACGTGTTTACCTACCCTCAACGCCGGACCAGAATCCGGATAAAGCTCAGATCAGAGTTCTACAGTCACAAATTGCAACTACAATAGTGGCTGTTGGTCAGACATCCCCAGCAGCACTACGAAGCGGCGGTGCCGGACAGCCGCAGACACTAGGGACTGCTTTACATCAGCTTATACCCAGTCTCTTTCCTTCTCGGAGGACTCCCATTCTCGCTACACCTTTGCTACATGGCGCACCAGTTCCTATGAATGCTCATCTGGAAGAGCTGGTTCGATGGGGTTGCTATGCGGATGGCTGGTTGTCGGTGGTGTTGGCCATGCGTGGATAGACACATACGATTGAGGTGAGGCTGCCTACGATGCCAGAGGGTTTGATTCATATACCACAATATCATCCTGGGTACGGAATACTCTGTATAGAAGAGTAAGACCTGCTGCGATAGTTGTACTGCAGCCCAACCCCATGCATGAGTGACAGATGGCGGGGCCAAGCCACATTCAACTTCGTCATCGTCGAACTTGACCAACCTCTCAGCCTTGAATAGCCGCCGACTTTCGCATTCAACATAAGCGCCCTTACTCACGCGTGGCAGACGACAGCAATGCCGTATTTACATGATTTATGATAATGATGTGCTGAGACTATTGCGCCGATTTGTACCCTGCCGTCATGTCCTAGCGAATCTTCACCGTCTATCCTGCGTATCCTCTCAACCAACATGCCTCCATATCCAGGCGAGGAAATATTGGCTACAGTGTGAGTACAACCGGCGCATACGACACCGTTCCTCGTCCAGTATCTCATGCAGTCTGTTGAACAGCTATACCGACCTCCACACGTACTTCGACACTCCTACACCGCGACCTTTCCTCCACCGCTTCGACAAGTCCTCATACTTCTACGTCTACTACAACTCCACGCGACAAACCAGCCGTATCGAGATTGCGCTGAACCCTGGCACACCAGATCAAGCAGCCTTCAACGGCTATCTCGATAATGTCAAGATCGAACAATCCCGTCACTTTCCCACGCGAGTCACATTGACCGTCGATGCGCACGGTCAACCGAGCGCGTCTCCTGCATCGGCCAGGACGTCCAAAGATCCAGATGAATGGCGGCTTGCCAGTGCTGACCCGCGGGACGCAGGCACAACGAAGTACAGAATCCATACGGTGGATTTCTACTTCTGGAACGAGGAGGACGCCCGACTGATCTTGACGATATGCAAAAAGTTGTTACAACCACACCAGGTGGAAAGCGACGAACCCGAAACATCGCATGCAACAGAGCCGGAACCGGAACCAGAACCACAACATCAACATGACGATTTGGCCAGCCCCGTCGTCCAGAACCTAGAGCACATGGCGATTTCCGACCCGGCATATCAAAAAGGAAGGCCTCAGCAGGCTGGCGCGTCTGTACACGACAGGACGACTCAACAACCGCCCCCTTCTCAGGCCCCAACCCCAGCTTATGCCGCGGCATCACCGTCTCCAGGTTCTTCCATTGCTGCAAACGTCGACAGGAAACCCTCAGCGCCAGCAGTTTCGACAGGGTACGCCCCACTAGCATATAACCCAGCAGCACCACCCGCTCCTGAACCCATCGCTCACCGAGAAGACACACCTCCTCCAGTAGACGCAGCAGACGGAACAGGTCTCACAAGCGCAGCGCGGCACGATGCCTACTCCCACCCTCAACAGCCGCATACCCCCTTTTCCGGTGTTCCCAGTCCACAGCCAACCCAGTACGGACAAAGCCACTACGGTTCTCCGCCGCCCTCGTTCGGCCCCAGCGCATCAGCAACACCTTCATTCGGCCCTCACGCATCTGCGACCCCCTCCTTCGGGCCCCAAGCATCTGTAACTCCCCAGCATTCATCCTACGGGATCCCGCCCTCAGCATCATCCCCTCTCCCTTCTTCTCACCGAACATCCGTCTCAGCCATGGGCGCGCCATCAAGCGCCACCAGCGCCCACAGCCACAATCACAACCACAGCACAGCAGCCCAGCACTATATCCCTCCCAACGCCGATCCGAACTCACATATCTTCGGCGGCCAGCAGCAAGTCGAAACTCCAGGCACGCAATTCTACAGCTCGATCAACGCCAATGGTCAACCCCACAAGCCCTTGCAGCACATACAGCCTCAATACCCGGACTATCTATCCGCCAAGTCGTCGCCGTCTCCGCCGGTCGGAGGATACGCGAATTATAACTATTCTCACGGGCATGGCGCGCAAGGGCAATCGCAAGGACCATCGCAGGGACAAGGTGCTGGGACGCCATATGATATCCATAATCAGGTCTATCGACCTACGGAAGAGGAGCACGCCAGCCATCACCACAAGAAGCCCTCGCGTTCATCTAGCTCGGCTAACCAGCCATCTGGCGTGGAGCGAATTGAAAAGGGGGTTGGGAAATTCTTCAAAAGGATTGAAAAGAAGATTGGATGAGCCATCATGAGCGTCAATTTCGATATGATATGACTGTTGGATACAGTGAGTTGTGAGTTTCAATCTTGGATATTAGCAAGCGTGCTCCATGTATTCAATGCTATCCTTGCCTGCTTTATGCTCAGTTACTCCCTATGCTGTGGTAGTGTCTGTCTGTTCTTTGTCTGCCGACGGCGGTGCCGCGCTCCTGGGCTCTGTCCATCCTGCTGCTCTCCAATAGTTCGAATCATCCCAACCATACGTTTCGAAGATTACCTTCGGTTGAACTTTCCATTCACAAACACGACACCGATGCTCGGGCGACAAGCTGCACCCCACGCTGCACGAACCAACATCGGCATCTGTATGTTCCAGCCACGCGAACTTTGCACTCCGGACCAAGTCCCAGTCGGGGTCGGTCATTGCGTCCAAAAAGTCCGTCGCGCTCCAATCATCCAATGTAACCCAGGGGGCACTGTGTCTGTTGAAGTCGAGCTTAGCGTACCTGCCGCATTGTGGGGTGCTGCTTTCCTGGACAAGTCGAAGAACCTGATCGACTTGAGGAAGTATCGGCAACAGATAACTTAGAAATTTTCCATGGAGTTCAACCTGGAAGCGGTCAGTCAGGCTACAGTGAACATCTAGTGAAATAAAGGTGTTGTGATGGGATGGATGGGCTTGGACGATCTGGAGGGAGGTGTGAAACGAAAATTCAGGGAGAGCATACCGTTTCCGAGCCGTTGAGAATCATACGAGTGTCCGGACCGCTGTGCATCGCGACTTGAGCGACGAGGGGATACCTTTCCAGTATAGTGTTGGTAGCAGTCCTGTCCGAGGGCGGTGGGAGCAGTGGGGGATGGCTGTCAGTTGGGATATCGTGGGAGCCATCGCTGACGCCTATCTAAGGCCGCTTGTGCTTTGGGAGAGGATCGCGGGAGTCGCTGTACCGGCGCTTGCCGTGTGATGACCGAAACATTGTTGCTTGTGTCTTGACTTAATATGTGAGAAAGGCTGCTTGGGTGTATGATGAGTGTGGAAGAGTGGTGTTGGGATGAGGTGGCAGAATGTCTTCAGATGAACGGTTGACTTTAATGGGCAGGAGCGTCGCTGCTTCCTCGATCACTGGCTGTCTGGCTGGCGAACGGCAGGTAAGGCCGACATAATGTAACTCCTGGTGCAGAAAGAGCTCGGATACGGCTGCAGTCAGGACAATCGTTGCTGCCGACATGGAAGACGCAAGACAAGGGCGACTGGTGATGGATTCGCCTACGAAAGACTATCTCAGCTATTGTACAGCAAGTTGACTTGTTCGCAACGCCAGCTCAATGGCTCCTGGCAACCACTCTGCACGGGACCAGATGATTCGGCGGCATAAGCACTGTAATAGCGCTTGTAATAGACGTTAACAATGTCCATGACTAGCGTATCTCCAGGTCCGAATAGCTCGAGACGGGCACTCAGGACCTGATCGGTCAGCCACCGGGCTTCTCCTCTTCTTCCCTGCATTCGTCTGATTTCACCCAAGCAAAGAAGCAAACGATGTTGTGCATTATGTCCGAAGTCCTCTCTCAGATGGATCGCAAGCGTGGCATGGATTTCGGCTTCGGCTTGATCAAGAGCACACAAATCGATGTGAGCACTGATCAGTGCTTCTTTCGTTATCAGTGATTTCCGAACAGATTTGTATCTGGAAGCAGCAGCAGCCTCTTCAGCTCTCTGTGCATAATGGAGGGTCATCTGATCGTTGAAATCCCAATAATAGATCCGTGCCAGACTCTCGTACAGCGACCAGGTCAGTGAGGTCCCGTTGCCAAATGAGGTGACGAAGAGGTCTTCTGCCACTTCCAATATTGCCTTCGTCCAAGGGCCAATCTCGTTGAAGTGCTGCGCAATTGTCCGGAATAGTATGGCTAGTGGAGACGAGCTCGAGTATGCTGCGGAAGTATGTTGCACGAGTTTCCACAGCAGCTTCCTGGACGCTTGTTTCACGGAAGGGTAACCTTGACGCTCGCCCCAGACGCAGTAGACAGCCATCTGCGCGACCACGGTCGTCAAAAAGAATGGGTTCATCTTGGATGCGATTTTGGGAAGCATCTCGTCAATTGCGAGCTCGTCCAATGCTGCCGTATAGGGTGTCACTCCAAAGGCTACCTTCAAGAGCCAACGGGATATCAATCCTCCAACTTCGGTGAATGCCTCGTGATCTTTGCGTTCGAGGTCGTGGCGTGCTTCCATACTGCTGTGAATATAGATTTTCGCCTGATGCAAGACCATCTGTGGAGGTTCGAGATGATTTAGGGTCATGAAAGGGGTTACATGAGGTGTGAAAACATATCCTCTAAGCCGTTCGTAAGGCTGTGGGTCATTATCGTCGTCCCCCTCGGAAGTCATCACGGGTTCTGCGTGAGACGTCGAAGGATCTCTGGCGGCAGGCGATGGTGATGGTGTCCAGTAAACGACACCTGGCGGCGTGGCTGCGACAAGCGACATAGCGTCAGGCTCTGATGATTTTCTTCTCCAGTACTTCCGCACATCATCGTTGGAGACAGCGTCGCCTCGGATGCTCAGCCTCGTGGCTTTGCCGAGAGTCTTGCGGTCTGCGATGACGCGGGATGCGAAAGCCATCTCTGGGTGCTAGGTATCAGGTCAGCATATTGTAGAGCGATGGGGAGGGGATGGACAAAGTGCTCACCTTCTTCTTCTTGTCCAAGCCCCAGGTGCAAATGCGCCTCTTATAGTGGACTTCTCTGAGACCAATCAGTAAAAGGACAAGCACCGAAGTAATGAACACGGTACTTCGCAAGGAAATCGTGCTCTGTTGCCAATATTTTCACGACATCCGAAAGCTTCTTGTCTTCTTCCTTGTACAGCCTCATGAAGACAGGTCGGATGGCCTCCCATTCTTGGCGGGTGTGTGGATGATTTCGACTGGGAGGCATGATGATTGTGATTGCTAAAGGTTGAGATATATAGACCAGGACGGGAGTGGAAAGGGAGGTGAATATATAGACCTAAAGGAAAGACGGAGATGCGTGAAGACATGTGGTGTCCCTTGCAAGGACAAATCATGGATAAACAAAAGTTGCCTGACTTTGACGGTGATTGGCGCCTTTCATTGGGCGTGCATGGTGGCTTGCAGAAGAGTAAGCGACCTTTGGGCGCAAAGAGAAGAGGAGGCACAGCCCCCAGATATTGCAAAAGTCGTTGCGTCGCTGGCGCTAATGCACCCTGCGAACTACCGAGCCATGAGCGTGGGTTGCAGCTATTGGTGGCTGGCATACCATAGATTGTGTGTGGACAGTCACCAATGCGTTGTTGAGCGCCTTGCAACCGTTTCGTAGCCAGCACGTACCATATTGGCCAATGTGAAGGCAAGTAGGATGAGCTAGAAGACATATTGATAGTAGACAATTTTGTCATCACCCGAGACTCGATCGGAATGTCGGACGAGATATGGGCTGCAGTGTTGCACACCAAGCAACAACGACTTTGGACCACCTCGATCACGGATTTGGAACACGCAGAAAGCAGTCCAGCTCAGCCTTACTCGAGGGTTTGCGTCCTTGTTAATCCCTACTCTCTTTTAGTGTTGCTATTCGATCGGCACGCGGGCCGGGCGATCATATCTTAAAGCATATCTTGAATGGAACTCCAAGGAGTTTTGGGTCGACAAACATCGACTGTCACGATGACTCCAGCCGACCGTGATATGGACATCATTTTCAGCCCCTTGCCTGAGATGGTCCGGCACTTTGTCAGCCGCGGACGGAATGGCTTACCGTCACGTGGCTCAGCCATTGCTCGGAACATGGCCGTCTGACAAGATAGCATGAAGCTCATCGCTGGTTGAGGCTCCGATTGGCTGTAAGCATCGTGAGGCTCCTTGTGCACAACATCCAATCACGGTATATCACTGCCATGAACATTTGCATCCAGACCAAATATAAATATGCAGGCTTCCATGAGCATGGAAACACCAGATGGGAGCATCAACACATGGTTGCATCATGGCTTCTTCGAGAACACCAGTCGACCGCTTCATTCAAGGAACCAATGCTGCCGACCTGCAAGCCATGCTGCTGCCTATGCTCCAGGAGCTGAAGTATTCGACGACGGGAAAAGCTTCGAAGGAGATGCACTCAGAATGTTTTGTGAGCGAGGCATCATCGGGCACAATGGTCGGATGAAGCTGGTGGAAAAGGTAGATCGAGATGATGGCAGGATCTTCCGACATGTCATGATGGAAGGGGACTTTGCAAGTGAGTTCGGCATTCATGACGCATTTGACCTGTTCCTTCTCGGCACAGTCAAGAATGACAAGGTCGAATACCTCGAAATGGGCGACGTTGATCCCAGGAAGCCGACCATGCGCACAGTCTATGCTGCCTCAGGAAACCCAACAGATCCGTTGTCGTCGATCCGTGTCCACAAACGCAATCTTCCCAAACCGCGGGAGGGATGGGTTCGTGTGAAGATGGAAGCAGTGGGACTGAACTTCCATGACATCTTCACCCTTCGCGGTATGGGGATCCATGAGATTCGGTACCCGATGATCCTGGGCAATGAAGGTGCAGGCGTGCTTGACGACGGCACCGAAGTCGCAATATATCCGAATCTTGGAGACCCGGACTTCAAAGGCGACGAGACAATTGATCGAAAGAGGCATGTCCTGGGAGAACTGGCGCAAGGCACCTTGGCAGAATATGTCATGATACCGAAGCGCAACGCTGTCCCGAGGCCGCAAGGTCTGGAAGCGAAGGATGCAGCTGTGATGGGAATCGCATGGCTCACAGCGTATCGGATGATGTTCAGAAAGGCAGACTTGCGGCCTGGTCAGACGGCACTGGTGCAAGGCTCCTCTGGCGGTATATGTTTTCATCGGATACTGAGATTATCCTTCTGACGTGGTGCAGGTGTGACTACAGCACTCATTCAACTAGGCTCAGCGGCTGGCTTCCGGATATGGGCCACGGGCAGGACGGAGAACAAGCGAGATCTAGCAAGACGACTTGGGGCTGAACGAACCTTTGAGCCTCTTGCAAAACCGCCCTACCTCGTGGACGCAGTGTTTGACACATCTGGAGCTGCCACGATCTCACACTCGCTGGCTTGTGTGAAGCCTGGCGGGATTGTCGTCTCTTGTGGTATTCATTCCGAGGGTGGGTCGACTGAAGTGAAAATCGACCTCTTGCATCTCTGTGCCAACCAGATCAGTTTGACCGGGGTGTATACTGGTACAAGAGAAGAATTTGTCGACCTGTTGAATTTCGTTGCGGCCAAGGGCATCAAGCCGCATATCGGCAAGGTGTTACCTCTTGAGAAGGCCGACGAAGGATTGAAGGATATCTGGACTGGTCAAACCGAAGGAAAGGTTATTATCACAATCTAAGCATGCTTGCACGTAGATAGAATAAGCCAAAGCTGTTGTGGTCTGATAGAAATCAGCAATTGGAGTCAGCGGGTGATGCCGCTGATGCCGACAGCTTGCAAAGTCATCTTTCCAACACTGTTCCGGACTAGCGACAGATGTGTGACCGTATCAATGACCCAATGCGGACCTTATCTTCCCCGTCATCTCCTGATCGTCTACACCATTGACATAGACATACACAATTCTCTTGCAATATCTTGTTCCTATATGATTTACTAGTAATCATGCGGCCGATGCCTGAGAGGTAATCGACAAGTTCAGCTAATAATCCGAGTACGTTCTTGCGTTAACGGGACCTTCTGCATATTAGGAGCGCATCGTATCCGTGCGTCGTGGTGTCAATATCATCTTCCCTGTGCTACAACAACAAAACCTACCGTGCGACATGGCTCTTTGGACCGGGTTCCCCGCAGGCATTGGCCTGCCCAAGGAACTAGTACCTGGACAGGACCTTGTCCGGAAGCCGCTCAAATGCCAGGCCAGGAGCCAGGACTTTGAAAGAAAGCTATCATGCCGATTCACCCTCCCAGACACTGTACATTTTGACCTTGAATACTGTCTTTATAGCGCTGACATGGAAACAGGTTCTAAGCAACGCTCCAGAGGGAGTTCAGGCAGACTCTATCTTGTTCAAAATGCCACATGAGATACTCCTCGCCGTATTCGACAGCCTTGCCCATGCACCATCGCAAATCTCGCTAGCGTTGACTTGCAAAAGGATGGCGACTGCCGCTCGAGACGTCCAGCTGGGCCTCTCACTTACCTCTCCCAAGTACGCTGGATTCCTGCCACGCAGTGTTTTCGACGTGCCGGATCTGATGACTCAACTCAAACCGTGGATGCCAGCGAATCTGCGCCTGTGTAACCACTGTCTGACCAATCGGCCTCGCGCTGAGGAGTATTGGAATACTATCGTTGGTTGTGAGATCAGCACTTTCTGGGTTCAGAAGACCGGCTGGGAATTTCACGACGCGAGCTGGCATAAGCAAGTGCACGACATCTGCCCGGCTTGTCATGTCAATTGCACCTTGAGCGACTATGTTGACTGTGACGGCTGCAGGGCTCTGGGGAGACTGGGCGACATCGATTGGTCTCGAGTATCAGACTCTTGGAGAAGGAGAACCGAGGAAGAACTTCGAGCTGGACGATTTGCGACTTGATCAAATGAGAGGAGGTCGTATTCCCAGACTTCATCCTTCTTCCAAATATCGAAAGACGAGATCGTCAGACCTGCCTCAGAAGCATTGAGCGACTCATCATACTCTCCCGGATCCCAAGGCGACCGAAGACAGTACAGCTATCTTGTCGACCGACGATGTTGCACCTGCTGCCCTCAACCTGTCCGTGATGCTGTACCCACATCACACAAAGTCCAATATCGGTTGGTCCGGGACCCACCACCGTTGTATCAGCGCTTTCATCAACCCACGATGAAAATTTGCCGTTATATCGCAAACGCCACACAATTTGAGCCAAAAATAGCACACAGATGTGCTTCATTCAATGGCTGGGTGGTGTAGCTTGGTTATGTGAGTTCTGCTCCGTTCAAAATCATTTCACAGTTACTAATATTGTCAAAGCACATCTCTTTAACAGGAATTGTAAGCAGAGAAGGTCCTCAGTTCAAATCTGGGCCTAGTCATGTTTCTTTTTTTCCTTTGGAGGGTCATTACCACTTTTTTTGGAGTCTGTGTGAATATATTATGTGTAGGATGCTGGTGATGTGAAGGATCGATGGAGGGTGGGAAACCCAGACTCTTGTAGTCCTGAATTGCTGAACCGCATGAGGTATCAGGTGGATGAATCACCAGCATCGAATCGATCAAATGGTGGTCTATCAGTGCTCTTTTATACCATCCCGTACAATGTCACAGCCTTGCCATATCTTCGTCCTGAATTGTGCTGGATGGGAAGATCTTCGGCTAAACCTTTTTTCGCCGCAATGAACAGCAATTAGTCGTGAGGCCTTGAGTGCCTTGGTGCCTCGGCACATCACATCACTTCATCGTCCACATCGTCCGTCCACTTCACCCACTTCACCCCACGGACGGATATTGTCATCCTGCGAGATAACAAGTTCATCCCTTCGTGTTCGGCCGTAATTCGCGACTTGTCGATCCCTCGTTTTCCATATCTTCGTCTTCGTCTTCATTCACTTCTCTCCTTGAACCTCTCACCCTCACCTTTGACTGCGACGCCTCTCAACATGGCGGACGCACTATGCGGACCGTCCAATCCTCTCCAGAACCTCCAGAAGCACACCCAGATCGACCGGACACTTCAGCAAGATCGTCTCGTCTCATCAAGACAGTCGCCAGCACAGGTAGGTCCTCATAACATCCCACATCATTCACACAACCCTGACGCATGACCTTAGGGCTTCCGCACCGCCGACCCGAGAGCAGGTTCTCTCGACGCCGACTTTCACGCCTTCGAAAACGCCTCACCTAGTCCCTTCCAGTTTGAACAGCCCAACTTCGCCAACGCAGGACCTGCTTTCGCACCTCAACCTCCAAGCGCCCCCGCAGGATGGGCCGCCGACTTCCAGCGCCTCAAACTCCACGACCACCCCTTGCCCGCAGGCCAATTCCGCACCGAAGCGCCACTGATAAAGTCAACGACAGGAGGCTGGCAAAATGAATTCATGCGCCAGCGCTCCAGCGCGAGCACGCCGATATCACAGGGCAAACAAGCCATCAGAGAGCCGTCGCAGATGAACATGTTCGCCCAGACAAACTACGCGCAGCAACCTTTTCAAGGGTACCAGTCCTACGGCAGCGGCATAGGCATGGGCATGCAGACATATCAAGAAGCAGGCTTCCAACAAGCACAAGCGCAACCACAACAAATGACTGCCGTGCAGAACGTCCAACTCTCCGACGTAGACTTTGACGCCGCCTTCCAAGAAGCCATGTCCCACGCCCAGGAGATGGATAACCTCCAACTCCGCGACACCAACGCCCAACCGCTCGAAACCTCATCCGACCTCCACCAAGACCAACAGCACCTCCCATCAGAAATAAAAATAGGTTCCGACGCAATCCACTACATCGAACAATCCGAGCGCACGCTAGACCAAGACATCCAAGACGCCGACGAACTCGCCAGAACAGCAGGCCAACTTCTGCACAACGTCCAACACGACACAAGCGACAAATTCCAAAACAGCCAATTCCTAGACCTCATGCGCAAACTGCGCGATCGCGAAGTCGAGGTCCAAAACAACGATCTACAATTCGTCAACACAGCAACAACGACCAGTACATCGACTAATCAAATCGAGGAGACCCGAAACAATACCACCTGGGACAAAATGTCCATCTCAGAAGGAGAAATGACCGCACATCGGTCTCGAGAGATCATGCAGCAGCAGCAGCAGCGACAGCAAGAAGGACACTTTGACTTTCCCAACATGGATAGCGTGTACCGTCCCGACGAGGCTGACTTTTCGGAACGACCTTCCTTCGGTGTCCAGTCACCGCCATATACCACGTACGGCTTCGAGGATGACCAATACCCCTCGCAATCGTACCCACAGGTAGCGCGTCAGCCGCAGCGTCAAACGGACGAATTGCACCCTGGTGGAAGGTGGTATCCGGACCAAAGTCCCAGCAGTCTGGAGAAGAGGATCTCAATGAGCGAGTTCGAGTACACGGATGAAAGTGCGGGTTTGGCACGGAGGTTCGTCAGGTAGACAACGTAGTAATCATGACATATTGCAACGCTGTCGCACTTCAGCCCCATTGTATGATATGTTCATTGTTGGGCTTTAGGAGCCCTTCGTGCCGATTGAGCACATGCATTCACGTTGCTAGTCTGTCGTACTCCAACATCATCAAGCCAATGATGCACCGTTGCATTTCCAGCGTGCAACGCCAACACCGCCAGTGTCATCCTCGTTGCCCTTTTACGCCGCCCAGAACAAGAACGGACCCCTCTCCAGATGGCGATAGTCGTTGGGTTGGGCCGCCTCCCCATCGGCACGCACCTCCCAACCCTGACCACCTCCCAAACCCCCACACCTCCACCATCGCCCCATCACGATCTTACCACCAGGTAACATGACACCCTCATATGCATAAGCATACGCAATATCGTCCCACCTCATGTACTTGTGCGGCTGATAATTCTCCTCCATCTGCTCGATCTTGACTCGTTCGATTCCACCACACCACGCCGGATTGGCCAACAGCTTCTTCTCAAGATGCATCTGGTAGGTCGCGTCGATCTCCTCATCGGTGAGATGTGCCGTAATCACGTCGTTCAGCGCTGGACCGAATGCACCACCATAGTTTTGTTCGGCATATTCGAGAACTCGGATTAGATACACCGTGGTAGGCTTGTACAGGACCATGACAATTCTGTTCCAGCCCGGAATGCTTTTATCTTCGCCCGGATTCTCGGGATCTGGCTCTGGCTCTGGTTGAGCAGCGATTGGATGGATGACACCGCGAACGCGCAGGCTGAGATAGGAGTGGTACTTTGGCAGTTTGGAGTCATATAGAATTGTTTCTGGTAGATGAACATTAGGACGTCGAGTCGCAACCAAAGCAGCCAAAGAGTCCGTTTTGTCGTCGACAAATTGCGCAAGACCTTTGATAAAGGCGCGAGGGCCGGATTGAGGAATGGTCGCTTGGAAAACAGGGATGTTGCTAAAACAAGATGGCCAGAATCCACCTGTCGCTGCTTCGGCGGCGTCGTCGGTGGCAGCGTTTGTGGCGTTGTCGATGCTGGTCGAAAGATCCAATCTCTATAGAACAAATCAAGTCAGTAAATGACGTGGCTTTAGCCATGAAAGGCATCTGCATCCTTACCATTGGATCTACCGAATCCCAATCCTCTGCGTCACTCTGCATTTCTCCAAGCTCACGCTCATTCACGGGCCATTTGTGTAGACAACTATAGTGTCCATACCACACAAGGGAAATCTCCTTTGGCAAGCCGTCTTCGAGGAATTTGTCCCATGGCTTTGCAGTGATACCTACTGCCCACAACTTCTTTGCCATCTTTGCGTAAGTGTATTCAAAGATGTGGTCCGATTGTCTGGTAGCATCCACTTTCACCTCTCCTGGAGGGTAATCAATGAGATGTCGATGCCAGAAGTTTCGAATGTGTAGCAATTCCCATGTGTCTAGCACAAACTGGCCCGCAAATCGTCGGTAGAGTGTTTCAACAGGCTGATTCCAATTGTACACCTGGACCAAACTGTATTTCTGCCTTGACGTTGGGACTTTGTACGCCATAGCCGAAGCAGGTGAAAGAAGCAGATGAGAGAAAACGAGCTGCAACGCTTGGAACAGGTGATGAATGTCGCCATATACACTCGGAGGTTTGGTCGGGTAGAAAGGGCAGGAAAGGAAAGTCGCCATCCACTCCGATTTCACGTCCGAAAACCGTGCAAGATTGAGCGATACCGTAGGTGGAGGGAGGTGCTTCACGGGCTGAAAATATGTCTCTGTGGATGAACAATAAGCCAAATCGTGTATAAAATGCGCAAGGTAGCTAGCAGATCACTTACCGACCACCATCAGTCTCAAACCCTCGAGTTGTACAGGAATTCTCTTGTCATCCGGGTCGTGAAAGGCGACGAATCTCTTGAGTGTAAGCGTTCTCATCTTGTACGCAAAGCAGTAAGCTTCGAGCTCTTTGGTCCCTTGGGTCTCTTCGATCCCTTTGGTGTCTGCGATCCCTTTGGTCTCTGCGATGCCTTCGATCTCAACATCGAGGCGTGGATAGTCGTATTCCGAAAGAAATCTCCATTTCCAGACGATGGAATTCCATGGCATGACCGCATCTGCGAGCTTCTGGCAGAGAAGTGCGAATGTGGAAAAATCTCGAGCATTGTCAAGCTCGACGGCGATACGCTGAAGAATCTGCGACAATCAGTATGCATCTTCTTGACGATATTGGACGGCTTACTTCTCGTGGGAAATCTTCGATTCGAACGGTGCTTGGGTAGGAAAGACGTTGTCTCTTTGCGCGATTTGGTTGAGATGTATGGTCATTGCTCAAGTCAATCATGGAACTGTCCTCCGAGTTTGAAGTCGCGGTGGATTTTCGCTTGAGAGAGAGACCATCAAGGTCCATCTGCTCAAGGCCGTCACGGATAGAGGTCTCCATGTCATCAAGATCTGATGGCGGGTCAGAGAGATCAGAGTCGAAGTCAAAGATTGACAAGAGTTCACTTGAACTCGTAGCGATCGCAAGCGGAAGATCCAAATTCCGCAGCGACAATAGGGGACACCGCCAAACACATAAACATAAACAATGAGTGGCAGGATGAGTGGTGGGTGAGGCAGAAAATGCTTGAGAGGAATGCAAAAAATATGAGACTGCTTTCAATCGAGAATTTTGTATTGCCTGAACCGCAGATCGGTTCCCGTCGGGAGTATCGAGTGACACACGGCGATGGCCTCCAGGCTATACGCATGCAACGCACCAGGACCCAGAACTGTATGCTCTAGTCCATGCACGGCAGCAAAGAGTCCAGCGTTCCAGGTTTCCGTGCCTGTTCTGTAAGCTTCCTGACTATAAGTCATTGGGCTCTCAACGTTTCCAGCTACTTCATAGCATCCACGCGATCAGAGGTAGCAGGTAGGCGAGGACGCCGAAACGGTCGGACATGGGGGCGCCGACGATGTTTGCAGCACCACTCGACGTTGCCGATGCCGATGCCGATGTCGATGCTGTGGCAGTTGCAGTTCCTGATGAGGTTGAGGACGCTCCAGGGATAGTGGCTCCCGAGGCTTTGGATATCAGATATATCTCGCCGGATGCGTCAGAAGACACATATATCCGTCCTTGTGGGTCAATGGCCATGCCAACAGGGCGAAAGCAACCACCTGGACACTTCGAATTGTCCTCGTTGGCAAAGACATCCCGTGCTGCAGTCAGACTTGTGATGCTATCCACAGGTTCTCCATCCTCATTGAACGAGATCACAGACATCTTGTATCCAACAGGAACAGTTCTGTCCCAGCTACCGTGGAAAGTGACCCAGGCCTCCGCTCCACTGTTATTGAACTTGATGTCCAGCGGCGCCATGTGGGCTTGGAACACCAGACGTGCCGCCTCCTGCTGGGCACAATAGGCGTCTGTTCGATTCTGATTGTCGGAGTCCGAGGATGCATCAATGGCGTATTGGCTGCCCACAGTAAGGTTGCTGTTGTCAGGCAACTCAGAGATGTTCCATGCAGAGAAGCACCATGGGTATCCGAAATTGCCTCCTTGTCCAGCATAGCTGGTGCCATTGAGATAGCCCAAAAAGTTCAGCTCCTCAGCAGGATTATTCTCGTGTATATCAACACCCATGCGGGTCTGCTGGTCGGCTGAGTTCTCCACGGTGTAGATACCTCCACTTCCGGGATGTTCAGCAACCCCGACGTCGTTTCTCAAACCCCAACCTAAGCGCAGACCGTCGGTATCAAAATCATACATACTTGTTCTGTTTTGCAGGTTGAACGCTTTTACTTGTGAATGGCCTGAACTCAGACTCGCAGCCTCGAAGTCAATATTGGCTGTGCTTCCTCTTGTGACAACGAGCAAACCGGGAGCCTTTTGAGACAGCAACAAAGTTCTTGTGGTGTGGTCATTCGTGGTCATATTCGCCACGATTGTCTCTTCGTTTGAGACAGTCTTTGCACTCCCATCATAGCTCCAGGAATAGACGCTTTCAGGAGAAGATGCATAAAGCGTGTTGCCGTCACCTGACAATGCAATACCGTGATTCAGCTTGTTTTTGTCAGCGATACACTCATTTTACTGGCGACGACAGGACATACACTCATATTGGCTGTAACGTCAGAAGACGTGCTGACAGAGACACAGCCATTTTGCTCATTCAGTGTATGGGCGGATACAACACCTCTTCCTGATTCTACCACTAACAGATTTCCTGCACCATCGAGCAATATTCCGCGGGGTGTCGAGAGGCCTGTTGCGACGACCTGGTAAGAGAATCCGGAGGCGAGCGACGGCTGAATGGAGCCTGACGGGGCAGGACCACAGCTTGAGGAGGATTGAGCACGCGACAGAGAAGGTAAGAAGGCAAGCGACGCCGCTAGGACGACCGAGAAGGACTTCATGGCAGAGATCGATTGCAGAAAATGTATATCGATCTAGGGAGGGCGGAACGAACAAAAATCATGGACACTCCTACGACGGAGGTCTATATCGAACGACAGATGCATCAACCAAGCAGGGCGATTCATTGTTATATGCTGGGTGAAGTTGAGTGCAGCAGACTACTACTAAGTGATGATCTCATTCCTTGATTTTCAAACCAAGGAGGAGCAGCCGGGACCGGAGTTTCTCCGGCCGAAGGCGGCACAAGCACAGGGGGTGAATACCTCAAACTCCGCTATTGCCGGCTGTGGTGCACCATCGACAACCTATCCAATGCTCTAGGTATGTCACAGAGACGGGAAACATGGACAGATCACATTTTCAATCACTCACACCGCTCGAAAGGACACGTCATTATATAACAATGAACAGACAAAGGCCAATGAATGGTTCAGTTGGTGCCTGAGAGTGCTTCATGATTCAATACTATCGAGCAATAGGAGAACACCACAAACTCCCTTCGGACCAGCATCAGTGTGCTTGGACAACACCCGCTTCGTTCGCCTGAGCAGTGATCTTCTTCTTGTATGCGTTGACATCTCCCGGGAATTTCTCGACCGTGCCTTTGTCACATACCCAGAGACTGGTGCACACATTCTGCAACATGGTGACATCGTGACTGACCATCAAAACTCCTCCCTGGAATTGCTGCAAAGCGGTCGAAAGGGCATCCATGGCCTCAATATCCAGGTGATTGGACGGTTCGTCAAGGACAAGAATATGTGGATTGGTCAGTGATAAGCAAGCAAATGCAACCCTTGATTTCTGTCCACCAGACAATAATTCAAGCTTCTGCAGGCCTGTCATACCAGTGATACCAAAGGCACCCAGGTGACGGCGGTATTCTTCGTCCGTCCTGCCTGGATATGTCTTCTGCATGAATCCTACTGCAGAAGTATTCATATCCAAAGCATCCACATGATGCTGCGCAAAAAATCCGATCCGAAGACGTGGATTCTGTGATATAATTCCAGACGTAGGTTGCAGCTGTCCAATCAGGAGTTTCAGCACTGTCGTCTTACCAGCTCCGTTGGGCCCCACGATACCGATTCGCGAATCCAGCTGGACGTCCAGGTCGACATTGCGGAGTAGTGGTTTGTCTTGTGTGTAGCCAAAAGCAACGCCGGACATCTGGATGATGGGAGGGGACATTTTCTCCACATCCGGAAACTTGAAGTGGACCGAATATTCTGCCTCTGGAGCCTCGAGGACGGGCATACGCTCCAACTTTTTGATGCGAGACTGTGCCTCGGAAGATTTGGCGGCGTTGTAGCGGAATTTGTCGATGAAAGCCTGTAGATGAGCCCGTACGACCATCTGGTTTTCATACTCACGTTTGGCGTTCTTCCTCCGTTCCTCTTTGGTGTTGTAGAATGAATCGAAATTGGCGCCCTTGTAGTAGTCTAACCGTTCCGAATGTTGATGGATGATGTCCATGGCCACTTCGTTCAGGAATGCTCGGTCGTGGGAGACGACCAAAACGGTGCTTGGGTAGGTCTGCAGGTAGTTGGCCAAAAAGGTAATTGAAGGCACATCCAACATATTGGAAGGTTCATCGAGCAACAACAGATCCGGCTCGCAGAAAAGTGCTCTAGCTAGAGCCAATCTCATTCGCCAACCACCAGAGAATGTTTTGGTCGCAAACTGTTGGCGCTCGGGTGAGAAACCTAGACCAGCCAGAATAGTAGCTGCACGAGACTCAGCCTTGTCAGATTCCATCTCGCTCAGCTTGGCTTGGATATCTCCCAACGTTGTGTCCAGACCGTCCTTTTCTTTGTCGAGACGAGCGGCATCTTTCGACGTGTCCGCCAATTTTGTTCTTTCCGCTTCAATGGCGACAAGCTGCTGGGTGATCTTAACCTGTTCGGCGAGCAGGTGTTTCCGCCACACATCAGCATCAAGCACCGCTTGAAGAGCTGGTGTATCATCTCCCATGATCTCCTGTTCCACGTGAAGAATAGAAATGTGTGTTGGAATGGCGACTTCACGCCGACTCAGGGCACGAAGCAGTGTAGATTTACCAATACCGTTCTGACCTACAAGACCATACCGTCGACCATAGGCCAAAGTCAAGGACGTATCCGTCAAGATACGTTTGCCAGATATGGATATATCAATTCCGTCAATCTTGATATCTTTGCTCTTTGTTTGTGCGTCTGATCCGAGTTGAAGAGGGTTGACGGCCATGAAGAACTCTTCGTAGGACTGGGTGTTATCAGGCTGATCCAGCAGTCTTGAGGCCTCATATTCGACATTCTTCATGGTCTTCTTGTCTTGCTTCGCTCGGATCTTTCGCTCGGCCTTTTCAAGCTTCTTCTTGTCGACCTTGGATTCGACCTTTCGAGCATTGGCAGCTTCAAGATCGATCGCGCCACTGGTCAGACCCAGGGTTGATGAGATGTTTCGCTGCGAGCTGACCTGGATGGTTTGATCCAGCTTCTTGGCCGTGAAGGGCATCTGCCTTCTCTCGGGGTCGACGCCATTTGCTTCACCTAATTTTGCGATGAATTTCTCGACCAAATTGCGGATAGCGATTCGGTTCTGTTCGGAAAATTTTCCCGAAGCAGAAACCAGCAGGTCAGTGATGCTTTCCAGGGCTTCAGTCAATGGAGACTCAGCCGAGTCCTCCTCTTCTGAAAAGTAGAGCTTTGATGCATGATTGAGATATCCCTACACGGACGTTGACTGTCAGCACTTTTCTTGTCAGATGAGATAGGCTCGGAGTAGGTTGGTATGTATACACCAGATCCTACCCCAGTTTGGCCCAGGAGGGACGAAGAGGGTACTGACAACAGAGTACTCCGACAGTACATGATCGATATTTGGTATCTGAGCCTGAATTTCTGACTCCATTCTGGCTTATCTAGCACGTGCTAGGGCGATTGAGAGAATTCCAAATGGCGAGGGCCTTTACAAGAATAGCCGTGCTCTCTTCGCAACCCTTGCCCAGTCAAGAACGGAGTCAAAGGATAGTATCAATGTGACAGCCGCTTTGTGCATTCACCAGAACCGGAAGCTGGATGGTAAAGAGTGGCTTGGATTGGATGGTGTGGCGATCCTAGTCAGCCACACACCTCCTCGGGTGGGGGTCTTGCCTCTTCTGCTGAGGGGCTTGTGCAGACGACGGGCCTCAGGGTGCCGATCAGCCGTCCCGGACGTGCTTTTAGATGTAGGAGGCTGGAGCCCTTCGAAATGCAACAGAATGTAAGCTGCTTTGGGATTGTGTAGTGGTTGAATTGTTGCTGGCCTGAACTGAACTGATGTTGCAAAAAAGAAACGTGAAGTCGCTTAAGGTTCCATTCCCGCAGTCTTGGCACGCTTGTCCATATCCATTTTAGCGTGTACTAAGGAATGCAATATCAAACGCCCGAAACAGATAGCGCGTCAATCAGCCAGCCATATCATAGCCCAACGGTGCTGTGTTATTATTCCACGGACGACGCGTCATGACTCTAGTTTCTGTCCGATCACTTTTCCGAGCGGCTGGCCTAAAGGTCGGACCCTGTTCAGAGGAAGCGGGACAGCGCCGCCATGCCTGAAAGAACCGATCTCCACGTTACTGCAGGGGGAGAATGCAAGAAATACAGGGAAATCCCTCGGTAGACTTTGCATTAGCCTCAGCCTGCATCGCCAGCACTACTGCAGACGCGGGCAACTTCCAGCGCGTTGGCATGGTTGGACGCAACCGAACAATACGGGCATCAATTTGCAAATCTGGCTGATTGTTCTCGAATAGAACCGGTGACCAACGTAGAAGAATGAAGCGATGGGGGTATGGAAGTTCTCGTCTATCTAAGTGGTTATTGTGACTGACTATGCCCTGAACAATGCGTGGTTGTTTGAGACACATGCTGACAAGCACAGCAATCCTATATATATATGCAAGGACAGTAGGATGCTCTCATCAGAAGAACCTTTGATTGGTGGTACCAAAGTACGAACTCCCATGACCCTAGAGCACAAGTTCTACAGCATATGTCAGATTGGATTCTTACCCAAAGAGAGCACTGTACTCTCACATATCTTGCAGCAGTGTATATACGATGCATGTGTTATCACCGAATCGCAGACCTGTTGATGCCGACGTGTCATGCACTAGGTGGTTCTGACTGGGCGTGCATTTGGCTGTTTAAACGGTGTTACACCGACCACGGCTTCCATCCCCTCTATGCCCCCGCATTCTGGTCTCGCAATCATCACTGCCGAAAGTCCTGGGCCCTGGGGCAGAAAGACGCCTGCACGGATGCTTTGTGATGCTTGTAACGGCCCCAGGACCCGCCTGTGGCCAGCCTCTGCTGTGAGGTCAATTTGCCTCCATCGATATAAGCACACATGCTTGCTGTCATGAGACTTTCATGGCGTCTACTGATCATTGGCTACCGTCGGTGTGGCTATTGGCAGGTCTTCGAAATACTCAAATTGCACAGACCTACGACATCGTACACAAAGTTCAAAGCTTGTGACGCGAACCTGTCGCTGCACAACTCTGCCACATCGAGACGTTTAGACACCACACGCATTTTCCAGAAGATCCAATCCTCGGACTGGCAAGTGTCACTTACCTGAGGCTGAACTTGAATTGTGTGACACTGGAAGCTAGCCTGCTCTCACATTCTATTCGCCAGTGGCCAAGAGAGCGCTTATGTCTGCCTGAGGCCAGGGTATCATACTGTGCAGGCTTGTGCATACTGGACCGCCAGTTCGGGCTTAGATCCACGCGACCCAGACACGCGACGCGAGATCTGACTTTGAACGTATCAAATCTGCCATTTCCGGTCGAGATTCCGTCATCCCAAACTCCAACGTATCATGGCGGCTCCCTTGTGCCTTGTTTACCAACATCCGGCCTCCACAGCAGCCATTAGACGAGAATCCACCCGTCAGCCCATTCGACTTGACCTTTTCAAACGAGCTATCATCAATGGTCCCCGCCTCGCTCGGCTTCTGCAGCGTGCCAGCGACAACAAACAACCGATAATCCGAAACTATGCCAATGAATCCACTATCCCTGTGTTCATGATCTGGCTGCAGGTCTAATGTTATATTTACCATTTAGGCGTTGAGGGTTGACTTGATATGAAATGCAGTGGAGCGGATATACGAGACTCATAGTTCTTCTGACACTGCAGCATCTCCGGGTTGTCTGATCTACTTTCAATGCTTGTGCTGCATCCACAGTTCAGCTTCCTGATCCGATTGATCAGCCGTTTACGTACAACCCTGGTCGTTCTTATTTCCAAGTTTATCTTTGTGTGTTTCAGGCTCTGCAGGCGCAGGTCGCTTGCTTCTCGCTAGATATACTGCACCGAACGTCACTCTTCCGGACACTCAACAGACTGCAGCTCTTGCTGCTGTTGACAGCTCGCCGCTAGGTACGTGGCGACATGTAAATATGCATGCACTGGGTCCCGACTCACGAGACTGGCGGGGGCTCAAAGAAGAATGGTAGTAGGTCGTACTGATGGTTGTAGATCGGCTCTTTGACTTTTGGAGTACGACACGAACCTTACCAAAACCGATATGACCAGGATCATGCTTGTTGTTCTATAAACTGGAGTCGCCCATTCTCCGATGGAGGATGTGGCATGGCCTGCAAAGTCCCCTGGCGCCGCGCAAAATGTGCTCTCTTCGACGAGGGACAACCTGGTTGAAGGACGGGAGCAGAACACCAGACGACGAACCGGTGCCCAACCTCAAGGAACGTAACTTAGCTTCCACGGTCCTTCCGCCCGCTGCTCTACTTTTATATACAAGCAGGTCATGCCGCCCCCTTGATAGCATCAACCAGGGGTTGTCTGCACACATCGCCTCAATAAGCCTGCAGGCCTGAAAAGAGAAGGTCGTGAAGGAGAATGCATATTCGCTGTGACTGTTTTATAACTCGCTTAGCAACTTCGAATAGGAGAAGATTTTGCCCCAGACTGTTGAATCCATGCCGGTGGCCTCGCAACACCTGGGACGGTTGTTATGTGTCCAGGTGGCACCGCGTCTGGCTGACGACGTTGAGAAACCCTTGTTTTGTACACAATGGTAGCACTGTGGTCACAGTACCTGTACCAGGCCGTTCAATGATTTGTGAAGCGGCAAGCGGCAGTGTATAGTATAGTCTCGGTGCCACCGCCAGAGTTTAGATACCTGCTGGAACTGGCTGGTGAGCACGCAACCAGCATAAACTCACATGCCAGGCGGGTGCTTTGTTGTGCAAGATACAGTGTTGTCTTGCCCTGTGCTTTGGGTGACGGCTGGGAATCTGCCCCAGGATGAGAATGCCGCCTGCTCTTCTGAAAGGACTACCAATAGTACCAAACACTTACCCGTCGGCGTGGCTGCAATTGACATGCTCGAAAGCGGATTAAATCTAGTCTCTGCTTGACATGATGAGCAACCAGTTGCCGTGTGTGGACAGTTGTGGACGCAGGAGTGGATAGATGACCATTGAGTTTTTGCTTTGCTTGCTTGCTTGCTTCCTGCTTTGCCTCAAATCAATCAAATAACGGGCCAAGGCCGCCGCCCTGCGCAGCCGCTCCACTCGCTCACATTCACCACCAACTGGCCCTGCGGCTGCCCTCCTACGAAGCCCACGACCCTCTGACTTACGGGCACCTGGCACTGCACCCCATACACTACTACACAAGTCCACCACTCGACAGCTGAGATTCCTTTTCCCATTGAAACTCTTCTTTGTCTCCAGTACACATCTTTCTTGACTTCATTTCTTTCGTTCCAGCTTGTCTTGTCTCTTGTTTTTGCCCGTCGTGTCCCGCGTCTCCCCTGGCACGGCCCTTCACCAATCCTCCGCAGCGGCTCTTCTCGTCCCGTCGCGTGTCTCTCGTCTCTCTCCTTGGGGCCTTTCTTCCCTGCCCGCGTCTTGCCGGAAAAACATATCCCTTGCCTTCACACGCCTTTACACGCCTTCTAGAAGAGCTCCAGCACTCTAAGACACCTTGTCTCGATCGTCCCGAACTCCTCCAACTGATGGTCCACCCGCCATGAGGGAGGTCCACCTCTACATCAACCAGAACATCTGGTCGGCGGCGCCTCGGGGGCAGAAGGCTTCACAAGCATAATGGAACACAATCAAGAGCACGTTGCCACGGTAGGGAATAACATCTTCATCCACTAGGATGTTGGTAAAGTGAATATGCTGACAGTCCGTTATAGCTTTGTGCTGTTGGTACCATTGGTATTGCAGCCGCAGGCCTGGCCTTGGGAACGTCCGATGGAGAGTCATATCTGGTAAGGCCAGGCAAGAGGAAGGCTCCTGGGTCTCCTGCAGTCGTTCGATCACCAGTCTCACCCGACCTCCCTTCTATTACGCGACCGAACACATCTCAGCCTGTCAAATCAACATCAGCATTGGCAGAGAGGATCGAACGTCGATTGTCAACCACCCTGCTGCGGAGGAAGACATATCACGAAGAGATTCGTCCCGTGTCAGGCACTACTGATGTGGAATCCCGCGAAAGTTCAGTCAGTCGGCATGGAATCCCTAGACCTTGGACATCGTCGGACAGAGAGTCATCCACAGAGCGTAAAGAGGCCAGGCCTACTTCGTCCTGGCTGAAACGCATATCAAGCATATCACGTGGGAAACATGGCAGTGCTGCCTCTTCTTCATCACGCTTGGACGAGGAACCTGCCGCCCCACGGCCATCCTTTGGCAATGACCTCGACCAACCTAACAAGCTGGTCAAGCGTTCCTCCAGTCGACGCATCCTCCACTCTGACCGCGAAAGTCCCGCTCAAACTCCAGCTCTATTAAGACGTCCTGCGACAAGTCATCAAAGGTCCGTTACTCTATCGGGAATGCCTTACACGCGGCCTATCACGACCGAGTCCGCTTTGCCTGTTGAGTCGGCCGGTTACATTTCGCGGGCACCTACATGGCGACCCTTTTTCGACTCAGGCTATGCGAGGAAGAGGTACTCATCCAGTGGGTTTGGGGCGTCCTGCGCCCGAACTATCACAAGGCCTTATGGTTGTCCAGCCACACTGGTGATGGGTACTTCAGTGGCACCTAGAGAGGCACCAGACGTCGAAGACAGCCGTCCAGCACCATTTTCAGATCCTGTTGTTCCAACTGCAACTCGACGGCATAAGATGCGGCGTCCGCTGGGATCAATTAGGAAAGGACTTCCACAACGCCACTTTACCGACCCCATAGTTCGTGTCAACAAGGACGAGGCCTATGGCAGCATCGTGCCTCCAATGGGCTTCTCAGCCATTTCACCTGTGTCGAACTTCTCTGCCTTCGAAGTTGACCTACCTCCTGGTACTCCGGTCTTTACATCAAGTCCTCCTTCGTATGGTCCTCCTCAGCACCATTTCACAATATCGAAAAGAATGTCTGTGGCACCTTCAGACCCAACCACGGCAAGCTCTGACAATGATACTCGGGTATTCACCGATGATGACTCCATGGACTTCCATAGCGATACAGCTTACGATTCTCTGGCGACTCGGGCTACTGCTAGTAGCCACTCCGGTTTTCGTCAACCTAAGATAGAGACAATATTTGACGAAATGTCGGTGGATCAGCAACCAGCAGAAACTGGTGCCCTCGAAGACTTGATGCAGAGAGCCACCTTAAACGACCTCGAGCCATCGACAAATCTAGGCATTGGGATTTGTGGCATTGAGGATCATGAGACGGTTCGGAATGTCAGCCCTGCTCAGGCGTCCACCCCGGTTAAGAGTTACTTGGCTGAAACAGAGGATTCCGTCTCAACGCCAGTCCCGAAGAAGCTCAATCGACAAGGCCCAGTTTTAGGTTCTTCCCCTCCGTTGATGCATCCATTCCCACACATTCAACACGAAGAACCAGAGCTCCCTCGAATGATGGATCTTGACGACGAAGAGGACATTGACTGGTCACCCAAATCCGACGAGAACAAACCTGGGGCCCCACAAAACCTCATGCATGCCCATCAACCCGAAGTCACGTTCGATGAATTACCCGATGACGACTCGGACGAGCAACGCTCAACGAAACGAACCTCCATATTCGATTGGTCCGAGCATCAGAAGCTTGGTAGCGACCCATCGGATGGGGTAAGTCCACGACCGAAGACTGTACATGGTAAACAAGGCAACAATATCTCCCGCAGTCGGCCTTCAGGACGCAAAAGCAATGCAGCCATGCATTTGCGCAGCCAGAGTGTTCCAGTCAACCGGGACAGTCTCACCGAGGCTGATCTGCCATCATCGGCCAGCAAGTTTGGTACCTGGGCTCTCGGTACTAAGCCTGTCAGTGAAGAATGGAGTGACGACTTTGAGTTCGAAGACGCGGATGAGGTTTTGGAGTCTGTTGAAATTATCAACGAGGAGAAAGAGAAAGCAAGAAAGCGCGACTCTATTCGTAGTAGCGTCAGAGTGCCTCAAGCGATCATCGACCGTCAGCAGAGTGTGCACATCCAGTTTGGCCAAGTCCGGGAGTTCATGCTTCTGGTCGAGGAGTTGAAGAGACTACGCGTGCGTGGAATCAGCCTTGGATTAATCGACAGCCATTCACGACAGCTGTGGGAGGATGCAGCAAGCATCATTGATCTGGCTACTGTCAATGACGACGAGGAAGATGCACCTCGCCCATCCTCCCCAGTCTTTCCAGATATTTTCGGCGAAGAGACTCCACCACAGAAACGTGTGCTAGAGGAAGAGGTTGGCAAAGGTAGTGAAGTCGCGCGATCGGTTAATCGACGGTCGATCTCCAGCCCCGGGACACCGCCGTACGGACGACCACGTGGTGAAAGTATGCAGACAAAGTCGTTTCTGCAGACGATTCATCAAAGTCGAAATGGTGTGGAATCTTCACCCGCGCGTCACAGCCCCCAACATCGCGACAAACTGCCCTTTGACACGCAAGATCTAAGGGACCTTGTCGTCAGGGCGGGCGTCATCACACGGGCACTCAAAGAGATTGTCCGAAAAGCAGAAGGAGTTTCTGTTACTCCTGAAAAACCTGCACACCATTTCCAGGACCCCGTCTTCCGGCATATTTTCGATCCACCTAATTCATCACCCAGTTCAGGTTTCCGCAAGCCTGGACTTCCCAAGAGCAAGAGTGCTAACAGCTATCTCGATGGAGCTAGTTCCAACAACGATCATGAATTGTCCCAATCCTTGAAATTGAGCAAGGTTGTGGAGGCCAACTGAAAGGTCGAATCATGAAGAGATCGTTGTTTCTTTGTTTGTCGACATTGTACAGTATGATTGAACGGCGTTTATGAACCAGCACCCTCGGAGTTACGAGAAAGCGTCGCATTGGATGGCGCATCTCCTTTTCGCATTTTCTGGGCCTCGCGGATTGGGACCTTGGAAAACACCAAAATGGGGGAAGGCTACAAGAAAAGAAGCCTTGTAATATGAACGACATGGCATATTGTCGATGTTTGATGATTCTCATGGAGGAGTTTTGATCCATCCGGATGTGGGAGGGCATCGTCTTGTTATCTTTCCTTCACTTCCGTACACACCGGCAGCGTTAAGCGCAGACGCATTCACCATGGCAAAGGCAACGAACAAAATTAGCAGGGTCAGGCCCGATTGCGAGACCATTGAGTCAAGTCCGTTATTGTTGGCAGCCGTTGGTTCGTTATTATTGTTGATGCCATTACATTCATGGAGGCTGTAATACTTGCATAAGTAGCAGGTTTGGCATCAAGACAGCGAATGATATTAAATAAGACCCAGCTATAGCTGTACCTAGTATTCGGTTGTCGACTTGTGGTAATGCGTTCAATGGTCTTTATCTAGGCAACAGGATGCCATTCAATACTAGTTGGTAGTCATTGAACTTGGGAGTATCATCATCTCAGCCGTTTATCCGGTCGAGGTCGGTATTGAATGCCGTCTCCCAACTCTTATGGCGAGTGGAAACTGCACGTTGAACTTGAAGCTCCAATTCTCTTGGCACTTTGAGGTCAACCTCCATTCGACCTTGACCGCAGTTACAGTCAACGATACACACGCCCTTCAACGCCACCTCAGACCGTCTACCCTTTCGACAAGGACGACGTCGATACCTCCAGCGACCCACTTTCAACCTTGAAGCTGACACTGTTCTCGTCCCTCTGCCCTGCCCTGATCAAGGGCACGTCACTCCCTCCTCAAACCGACCTCTCGTCATCTCGATCTCCCCTCCGAATAAGCCACCATGCTCTCCCGCCTCCCTCGCATAGCGCGCACATCCGCGTTGCCAGCTCTCTCATCAACATCTAGAGGGCACATCCAGTCGTTTCGGGCAGCTAGCACGCACTCGGCGCACGACGACCACGGTCACGGCCACGGTGCCGCCCACGGCGAACACGGACATGACGACCACTTCGATCCCCCTTCAGGCTGGCTCTGGGGTCAACGGCCGGGCGAGAAATACGAGAAAGAAGGCTGGGAACCGTTTGCGTGGATCTTTACCGCAAGTTGGATCATTGCGATTGCGGCGTATACCATGAAGGAGGATACTTCGTATGTTCCCCAACTCTTACATTTTCTTTTCTGGTTACCAGCCGTGTTTTTGTATCTGAAGAAAGGAGGGGTGATTGGTATGATATGTGTAGTGTCAATGCTAATTTCTGGTCTCAGGATACAAACATGGGCGCTGGAAGAAGCACGTCGACGACTTGAGAAGGAAGGATTTTACGATGAGTCGAAATGAATCGCTTCAGAGAAGATTGTTTGCGGTGACCCTGGTCTATGAACGAGAATTGTTGACACCGTTACGGATTTATTGATTTTATTTGCGTTTATGGGAAGCAGATGGAAAACTGCTAGACAGACACATGCATCGACTCAGGCCATGGCTGAGCTTGAGTTTGGCGGCAAGAGCATTGATTTGAGAAAGACACAAATCACCTCTGGAAACAGCGAAGAACATGGCGGGCAGGAAAGTGCTGTTGGAGCTCTGCAAGGACATCGAAGGGAAAGACCTGCTTGCTCGACATTTGCCATTGCATGGACGAATTGCTCTCCTGCTGTACATATGGTTTGATATGTTCCCTACGAGCGAAGCTGTCTAGGAATGCTTTACCGTTCCTTGCTGCGCCCGTGCTGTGAGGAGGGAATATAACCTCTCTGAGTGCTCCGTGTCGTTGCTTCCTCGCGCAGAACATGGTGTGATGTCGTTGGATGCGATGATTGCACCTAGCTCCTTGACAGAAACATTGTCAAAGTCTTGATTTCAATGTCCACTGATTTTGTTCGAATTCTGGGGTTATGGTATCCGACTCTATTGACCAAAGTTCCAACCCTAGTTCTGTGCATTTTGAGGGGATAACGCTAACTTCCTCACAGGGGTGTCAGTCTAAGCCACACTCGCCCAGGATTGATGATAATCCATCCTGCGCACATCCTGAGTTTTGTCGCTTCTCTTCATCGATCAGCGACAGTTATGTTTGGTTTCACAGGTTTATGTGCAAGATATCCTTGTTGGGATGGATATCGCAGACGGCTCGTCGTCCACTTTGTCGGCGGAAAAGAAGGAGACGAACAATCATTATCGATACCTCAAACTGAAGCCTGGCAACATCAGGCTCTTGACCTTGCTGCCAGGAACTAGCGACGCTCCTGGTACTTGCACCGTCACGCACGAATCATTCAGACCTTCGCAGCACCTAGCCGAAAAAGCACTCGTCCGTCCGAAGTATTGTGCTCTCTCCTACGTCTGGGGATCACCAAGTCCTCAACGATGGATTGAAGTTGAAGGGCAAACCTTGTACATTCGCGACAACCTCTGGCAGTTCCTCCGCCGCCTCAGGCAACAAACTTCGTCACGTACTCTTTGGGTCGATGCCGTGTGTATCAACCAAGATGATCCCATTGAGAAAAACCGGGCAGGTGGCTATGATGGGATCCATCTTCCGCTTTGCAGACGATGTACTTGCCTGGGTTGGTGAAGAAGCTGACGATAGTGCCTTCTTGATGCATCTTGCGGCATCGTCCAAAAAAAGGGAGGGTGATATCGGTCTTGCACAGCTTCATTGCGCTGCTGAGCGGCTACGTACGTGGCAGGCTCTGAAGGCATTCTTTGGGCGACCGTATTGGACGCGGACTTGGATCATGCAAGAGGTTGTGCTGGCCAAAAATCCAGTACTTATCTTTTGTGGTGCAGATGTGGCCGCCTACGATGGTCTATATCGCATGGTTCTTATCCTTGATATGGGGCTGCGAGGCATCCCCTACCTTATAATCAAGCGCACATCAAGCAGGAAAAAGCGGGAGCTTGAGTCTGTTCTCGCTTCTGGATATGAGCATGGGGGGGATAAGCTGCCAATCCCGCGAACGTTTGGAGGTTCACCCGGGCCACTCACGATAACAATCCGCAAATACGCTTACACTGAATGCTCGGATGCAAGAGACAAGGTATTTGCTCTATTGGAAATGGCAGATGACGTTGATCTGTCGCAAGCACCATCCTGGTTTGACTATTCGAAAGACATCCACGAGGTTTTCTTCGAAGCTGGCTCGTTACGCCACAGGTTTTGAGCTACTGCCAGAGCCAGGGGCGGACTTTGGGAAACAGCTTATGCGAAGCATGAGACTGACACCCGAGAGCCTTCGAAACTACATTGCTTTCAACGATACTTATCGAAGCAATGCAAAAGCCTCGTTGCAGGATAGTTTGACCTTACGGCCGGCATTCTGGTTCAATGGTCAATCTCTTCCACGACCAGGGTACATCAATCCATCTGCAGACTACCTCAAGGTGACCCGTGTCAAGAAAGGCCATGTCCTGGCTTTCGAGGTCGATATCTGGCGATTTGGAGACGGACTCATACGTGGAATAGCATACGATGTCCAGTGTGGAGATCAGATACATATTGCGAACTTGTCGGATGTCGCTCTTGTCACGAGAGTACGTGATAACCATAGCTTCGCTATAGGTTGGGCTCTCGTTGAAAGGGGCCAGGATTGGGGGCCAGGTGCGGCAGTTGAGAGACTTACATATTTGTGGCGACAACCATTTCAGATCTCCCCGGACCTCTCTGGTACCGCTCCTTTCGACACATCAGGTTGCCTACTGCTCGAAGTGAGTCTGCCAGTGGCTGTAACCGTTATTGAGGGTGCTATTCTCAACAAGGCCGTTATTCGACGATCGATAGACAGGACAGATAGCAAGCGCAGTCGGAGATCACCATGGAAGTGTGCCCGTGACTTTTACAGGGACAAGCGACATGGATGGTCGATGTCCCTGTTTTGGCACTTGAGCGTTGAGCAGAACATCAATGAAAGCTATAACGAATCTCGGGGCAGTCCGTTACTTTCGCCCACATTTACACTTGGAGCCATCGGCCGTTCCGTGATTGAAAAGATGGCAAAGCATTCATTAGTATGTGAAGGAGTGGTACTGGGAGCGAGAAAAAGATATACGACATGATGAGATCCTATGATTATGATTTGTATTGATTCTCATAATGATATGATATTCATTGATGTCGTCTAAGCTACTGAGAAGAAGTCCCTCTCTCCCGTCCAGTTGGGACCCGGTCCAACCTGTTCGGCCTGATCTGCTTCGTTGATCATGGACTCTTGAATACGACGGCGGCTATCTTAGCATTTTTCTGTATGAATAACAGCCGGCCAGAGGACCGACTCATCTGATGATATTGATAACAATGTGCCGTATCCGGCCCTCTGCCCTGTACGCTGCTCAAGGGACACTGTATAGGTGCTGTAAGTGCTGTCGTGCCGGCCTGTAGGATCTAGTTTCTAGGACGTGTATGGCAAACATTCGCGCCGATGTCAGGAGGTGTATGTCTGCGCGGCACATGCTGTATTTTCTCCAAGTGCGGCGGAGGATGCAAAGGCGACGGTGGAGTCCTGCAGTAACCCCTGTTATCTTCGGTATGGGGCTGAGCAGGCTGATTTTCCGGAATCTGGGAACCATAACCCCTTAACGGGTACAGATAAATCGTTCGGTGACTTCAATCGTGGCTAGCGTCTCGAAGATGGGCGGGTGGATCGTTTGGAATGACGACACCCAAGATCTTGAGAGATCGGAGGTCTACTTCAAATAGACATCAATGCCAAACTCATTGCTCCAGCCCGGCTCCAATTCCATCTCATTCCAGGCCGCCTCGACATCGATCTCCAAAACGCCACTTCCCTGCGGCACATTGCTGGAGCTCAGCTTGACGACATGCGGTGGAACAGGCTTGCCCAGTATCATGACCATCATGTCAACGACCTTGCGCGAGCTGGATTCTGCGTCGGACAACCAAATACCAAAGACACCCAGCGCTTTCAATTGGACGTGGATCTTCAGTCGTGAGCCTGATTGGGCGTCAATATCCGTCTCGGATTCTGCAAGGTTGAAACTCGATTCGATGATGGCACATGCGCCCGTGAATTTGCCGAGGAGACCGAGAAGTGCGACGTCCACGGTTGAAGAAGAGGACAAATGGAAGGTATGGACCGGAAGAGCGGTCCAGACATCGTAGCCACGTATAGGAAGTGTACATTGTAGAAGACTGTCCGGTCGAATAGGGTCAGAGGGATGGATAGGAGAAGTGATTCGTTGCGACATGTGAGATCGGACGATCCACTTTTTGCGCGACACGCCCGAGTCGTCGGCTGTCGACTCCGGGGCATTGACGCCGGGGAACTTTGTGATGGGGAGGATGAAACTGATTTCGGATTCTGCAATGTTGAATACCCCAAGAAAACCTGTCCCCACGTCCGTTTTGCCGTCGTACACGCCGAGCTTGAAAATACCTCTTTCATCGTACTTGTCGTAGACTCCCATTGTCTTACCGACAGTGCTGGGGCGGAGGATGACAGTTTGGCCTCGGGGGTTGATGGCAGTCATTTGGTTGATCAGGTTCACGTCGTGCTTGCCTGGTGTGTCGGTGATGTAGATTGGTCCGCCCGATAGACAGCGGGCGGCGGCATGGAAGCCACTGTATGGGTGATCGGACTGGAACATGTCCCAGTCGGGAAGGATGTTGAGATGCTGGGTGAACAGTGCGTTGTGGCCGTTGGCAAAAACATGCCAGGCATGGGAGGTGGGGACATCAGGGAAGAAATCGTCGCTGTTTCGTAACATGATTCTAGGCGTCGTCGTGGGCAGGAAGCTGTGGTAAAGAATTTGAGGGACCATTGACATGCAGGAGATGGCTCGGCCCGAGAGATGGCGGAGGTGCGCTTGAGTCCAGGCAGATTGGTAGGTGTTGGTGAAGGAATTTCGGTCTTTCGTGTCGGCGAGAAGGTCGAGGGAGAATTGTACGTCTGTCTTGACGCCTGTAACGCCGGCGTTGGACAGGAAACGGTAGAAATCATCATATAATCGGTGAATGTCGTCTGGATGAACAGCGAGTTTCCGGTTGCCCAAGTTGCTTCCTTCATGATAGTTGACTTCGACGGTCTTGTAGTTCTTCGCAATCTCCCCATCGGGAGAAATGCCACCCCAATAGCCGTTCAATGCGTGCCATACTGCGATGTCACGGATGGCGGGATGTGTTTCGCGGATCTTGGACACCGCTGCTTTCAAGCCGTCAGGGAAACCGATCGGGTTGGCCTCGAATGCGGTCCAGCCGCGCTCGATTTGTGAGGTCTCGCCTTGTTTGCCGGAAAGGGACTGCCAGTTGTCATCGATGACGAGTGTCGATATGTGAATTTTATTCTTCGCCAGGGAGTCCAAGCCTGCCATGATTTTCTCCGTGTTGAGATCTTGACCAAGGGAGTTCCAAGTGCAGTAGCCCAGACTGTCGTACCAAGATTCCAGCCACTGTGGAGTAAATGTGGGATCGTCTGTTGCCTTGCTGTAATTGACAAGGACAGTATCTGAATCCACCGATTCGGCCCTTATGTCCTTTGGTAATTGCTCAAGCTGCTCCACAAGCTGGTTGTATGCGGTGGTTTGGCGAACCAGTTTCCGGGCCTCGTACATCACTGCAGCGTTGGCAACCTCAAATTTCCATGCAGAAGCGGCCAGGACTTTGAACTTTCGATCCTTGCCCGAGTCGTTTCGGGCTTCCACCACGATTTCTCCGTTATCGGTTGATTTGAACTGTGTAAGTGACTCATCGACGCCATTGATCGCTAATAGAACAACGTGCAGACCATCGGATCGCAGAAAGGAAAGCAGAATGGCCGGTTCTGACAGGCGCAGTTGGGTTTCGCCATGTCGAGGTGCCCACCAAGGTTCCCATATTCTCACGAGGGCGAACCACCTGCAAACTTGAGTCACGCGACCAAGCACAAGGGATTCGAGTTTCGCGTTTCCTTCTTTAGGCGTCGGTATGGGATGAGCAGATTCAATTGTGTAGAGTCGGGCTGCTGGTGCTTCACTCGGCGTTTTCCTGATAGTCCAGCCTTCGCTGATCTCGACAGGATACGCTCCTAAAAAGTTGGGGTCGATGGGAGGCTGTAAGACGAGTTCACCATCCCTCGTCCCAAAGTTGTGGTATGCCCACGACCACTCCGTATCGGCATCTATGCGATAGCGTACGGTGAAGGGCACCCTCCGACCTTTGTAGGTCCGATCTGGGGAGGTATAAGGACTGTCGAGATCACCGGAAAAGGTGTACCGATAATTCGAGCTTTCAGTGTCGTCATGAAGTACGGCTGGGGTATGATCGACGGGCTTGAGGTCAAGAGCCTGCCAGGGCGATTTGGTACCGGTATAACTGCCATAATCGTACCATATTGATACTTCCCAAGGTCTTTCGGGTAAAGACTTGGAAGATTCGAGTATGACTGTAAAATTGAACTGTATAAACTGTCAGAACTGAGGGGCCGTGACAGACGTCATTACCAGCAGGGGCGCTCGTTAGAACGTGGGATGACTTCCGAAGCGGCGCATATAATAAATGATAAAAGAACCAGGTTCTGGACTCACTTTTCCTCGAGTGGGAGATACCACAGTAACCTGTGACAGAGGAGGGTACACAGCGAGTTTCGCAAACAGAGCCATTTGACCCGGGCGGAAGAACTTGACCTGGGTAGGCTTCTTCAAAGGAGTGACAGAGGATGGTGGGAAAGGAGAAGGTGCATGAGTAACGGACGACATGCGAAGGACAACTGCATAGCAGTACAAGAAAGCTCACTGATTATGATGGTGAATGTGGTGGCCCAAAGTGGCGTTAAGTGGTTGCTTGTAGGGATGTTGGCTGGATGGAGCGAGAAAGGGAGAGAATGATAGAGAGCGAAGCGGGTTGAGGCCGAACTCTGATTCTGCACCGCAAATGAATTGATGAATCAGATTGATTGAACTCTGAAGGACCTGTTTGGGCGAGCCGCAGAGCCTTTTCGATGGACCTCGCAAGTTCGTCTGGATGGTGAGATGGTTTGGCGGTGCGACTCCAGGTGGATTTCGGAGTGTGTCTAGTGGCCGCGCTCTACCTCTCTCTCTCCAGGCGTTGGGATAGGCGTGAACACTGGACAAGGAACACTTCTCGACGCCGTCGAACGCGCAATGACATGGTTTGGCTCGCGGCTGTCAAGTCCGGGCTGTCGGGTGGCTGATGAACCACCAAAGAGTTTTTCCGCCGATCGTGGTGGCTTGTTCTCGCTAAGCTTAGGCCCAAGTTCCGATGCTCTTTAACGAAGCCGGGTGGCTAGTCTGTGCGGGATCTCGCTGTGGAGGACGGAAATCCAGTTCCTCTCACTTTTATTTGCGCAGCGTGGTATTCAGCAACAGGATATATGCATCGAAGATGAGCAAAGAAACCTTTCCAGAGACTTCCAACTTCTGGGTAGAAGTGGCTGCCCTCACGTGTGGATTCTATACATAGTATGGTATGGATACGGCGCAACTATCAGAGTTACTCGGTCGTCCATAAAGGGTTCAGCATAGGCAGATCTCGCGCGAACTCTTCTGATGATCGACATACTGTAGCGAGTAATCTCAACCACTGCAGTGACTGGTTTCCTCTAACTTGAGTGGTCTGTTGCTTGCATGTCAAGAAAGCCAGATATCAGATACGAGGTCGTACCGATTTCACCCTGCCGACTGCAACCAAGGACGACGATCATCTTGACGGTGGGCACTCATATTCCATACACGTCCTTTAAATCATCGTCCTCGGATGGGGATTCGTTCCCAAGTTCCACTCCGCTGTCCACGAACCCTTCCGTTCCTTCCGAACTAATTTCACGTGGCAGCTGGTGGACAAGATACTCCTTGGGCGCCCGTTCCGCTTTGCCGAGAACTTGTTTCATGTGATCCTGTACCACTGGCAGTGGTCTTGCTGCTCGAGCAATAGTCTCGATCGTGCGGTGATGTGTGGCTTTGACAGTCATGGTCACTGGCTCATAGTAATCCTGCTCCGGCTTCCACTTGATGTGGTTTCCATTGGCGTCTCGCTCTGCTGAATCGGCGCTCATGCCAGACAGGATTTGTGAACCACGCCGCTCGACCAAGAATGAAACGAGCATCTCTAACCCTCCAAATCGTATCTCTAGAACAGCAAATTCCGGGAAGAGCCAACGATCTGGGCACGCGGGTTGCGTGCTCGACGGCGTACTAGTAATCTCCATGACAATATGCTTGATTATAGGCTCTGGCCTTGGAGGCGGAGGAGGTGCATGATAACCCATGAATCCTCCAACTGGGGCACCACCGGCATGAGGGGCAGGAGGGAAGGTGTGCATCACACCAGGCAGTGCTGTTGAGCCTGCCGGAGGTGGGGTGGGCCGTGGTTGCGCTTGTGGTGTGTTGTATGTCGATGGATGTGCTGCCACTGGAGCAGGTGACGGCGTTGGCGCTTGCACAGGAGGAGGTGCTTGGTTGGCAGTCGGTGGTGTAGCTTGAGCCTTTGCTTCTTGAGCGGCGTTTGGTTGCGAAGGTGTTGCAGGAGTCGGGGCGTTTGTGCCGGAGACTTGGCTTTCCTCTTTTGTTACTCGTTCCGCTTCTTGACGTCGGACTACCTCGTTAAACTCATCGATATGAGCTTGAAACTCTTTGAGTTGTTCCGGTGACGCCCTTGACGTTGCAACCACTTTCATAAGCTCCTTGAGCTGAGGGTCTGAGGCGGCGCGAGCAGCAAGCATTTGGATTACTGGGTCAGTCGTGCTTCCTCTACCACCTGGAGGCGGGTTGGCCTGTTTTGAAGGCGGGTTTGGTGTGCGATTGGGTTCCACAGCAGTAGTGGCCGGTGATTGGGTTTGAGAGGGCGGTTGTTGTTTAGGTGTGCCAGATGCAGGTCCAGTGGCAGCAGACGCAATAGGAGTCTGAGGCCTCTGAACAGCCGGAGCTGCAGCGGGCGTGGCAGCCTGTGTGGAGGGAGCTGGAATTGTCGCTGGGGCTGCACCCTGTGGGTGAGGTGCAGGACTGGCGGCAGGTCTCTGTGCAGGAGGAATAGGATATGCTCCAGGTGGAGGAGGATGTCCGTACGTCGGTCGAGGCGGTAACATTGTCTTCGCAGTGTGTTGATTGGCGTGACGAGGGAAAGGTTGAGGAGCGGCTGGATCCCTGACCGTGTAAAAGACAGCGTCGAAAACATGAGGCTCGATTGTGATGGTTGCAGTACCCAACTTCTGCATGGATTTGACGTCCGGGTTATTGGGAGGAGCCTCGATCACACCTTTTCTCTTGACAGGCTTAATCCAGTATTTCTCAAAGATGCCGTCATAGAGCCACTGCATGCGAGATCGATGAAGGGATGCCGCAAGGATGGCGCTCTCAGCGACAGACTGGTACTCGGCTTGGGACAAACTGGCCGGTTGCTTTTGTTTCGAAGTGGGCAAAGGTTTGTTGGCGGTCAAGCGAGTAGGCAGGACTTCTTCAGCGACGGACAATGAAGGTGAGGAACGTGATGCGGGAGTCTGAACTCGAACTAGGCTTGCACGTTTGGTGTACTTGCGCTTCTGACGAGGTTCGGACGAGGGTGCTGGCGTCGAGGGCTTGCGGGAAGAGGGAGTGGAAGCAGGAGGCTGCATGGGAGACGACGCTCTTCTTTTGACGGCAGATTCTCGACGGTCTCGTGCTGGGAAAGTCCTCTTTGACGAAACGGTGTCGGCCATGATTGCTCCACGACTATGTGCGACCAAAAGGTCGTCGTCGTCGTCGGCACGTACAATAAAAAGAGACATGCGACTCATTCACGGGAGAAGACGCGCACCGAGCGGAGGGAAGGGAGGAAGGTCTGCCGAGTCAGCATTAAAAGTATTCACATGTCATCGAGTCCAATCATGCCGCGACATAGCAAGATAGGTACCTAGGTAGGTAAGTTACTACTACGACCTCCATCCATCTTCTTTTGTATCTTCTTGTTCACGAGGCTGTCTGATAGACGCCGTGCTTAAGCATGTTGGCTTCATAACATTGCGCTTCTTACTCCAAGCTGCTTGCCATGTCTTTCAGCAAAGTCTTTCGAATCACATACTGGACTTTGGCAGCCGGTGGACTGGCATATGCCTTGGCTGTTGGTGCCTTGACATACCCTACAGTCCAGCGAAATGCCGTATATGCTCATAAGATCAACCCGACATTATTTCAGGATCTCAACAACACCGAGCAATTTGGCTTCATTCGCCATCAGATCCAACCCTTTACCCTCACCACTCCAGACAACGTCACCCTTTTTGCCTGGCACATTCTGCCCGCCCATCTATATCGTCAGCATGAGCAGTCCTTGAAGGCTCAGTCCGATTTCGGGCTCAAACCCTGGGAAGAAGCCGTCAATTCAGTGGGCCTACAGCTTCTTCTGAACGATCCCCACGCGGTTGCAGTGGTCAGCTTCCATGGCAACGCCGCCCACATTGCCTCATCATACCGTCCCTCAGCGTACCAGCAAATCATGAGCAGCTCAACCTCGGAGAAACCAGTTCATGTGATCGCTTTCGACTATCGTGGTTTTGGACTAAGCACGGGCAGTCCCACCGAGGACGGCGTGATTCAGGACTCGGTGACTGTGGTATCTGCTCTGACAGGCATTGACAGTGATGGGAATCACGCTGGTGCAGGCGTGGATCCATCTCGCATCATCCTCGTGGGACAGTCTATGGGCACATTCATTTCGGCAGCCTTTTACCACGAGTGGGTATTGAATCTCGGACGAGCTCCATTCAGGGCTCTGGTTCTCATCGCAAGCTTCAGTTCATTGACCGAGTTGCTGGAATCGTACTCTATCAAAGGATTGACACCACCATTGCTATCGCCCTTGGTCTTTTATCCCCGGATACAGGCATGGGTGCGTTCCACGATTGTGGACAAATGGGATACGAGCCAGAAACTGGTTGACCTAGCACAGAAGCCCGACGTCAAGCTAGATTTGACCATGATGCATGCTCGAGATGATTTGGAAATCCCATGGCGACAAGGACGTACCAGTTGGGACCGTGTCCTGGATGCCGCCACCAATGGAACCATTGATTTTGACCGCAACCTTGACGACGAGGAATGGAAGAGTCCGGATGGCAAGAAGCGCCTTCGCTGGCAGCGCCTTCGACACGGAGGACATAACAAGATACCTGTCAGCGAACATGCTAAACTTGTTTTCCTGGGATTGATAGAAGGAGACAAATGAGGGGGTCCTCAGATACAGTAGGAGCAATCCTCACTACGGAGTCGTCACGCACAGGCCTACCACAGTAGGTGTTTGAGCCCTTAAATGGTCCCCACCGATAGAAGTTGGGGTAAGGTGGATAATGGATAATACCCTAAGCCTGGGAGACTAGCGCCTATAAGGGTTGAAGGGTTGAGCATTGTAATTCGGTGCCTAAAGTAATAGACGCTACCTGTTGCCATGTGTTCAGCGGGCGAGTATGAGATCTGGTGGGGGACGATAATAATATACCTTGTGAGATATATATGTCACCGTGGTTTAGGGTGGTGTGGGTGGTAGGGGATGGACGATAAATCCTTCTTTAGCATGCAGTATGGTACGGTATATTGGCTGTGTGACATCAAGCCTTTAACCCTTTAGCCTAACTGAGGTAGCCCAAGGTTAATTTTCTTACCTGTATCTTCAAGCTCCGCATCCCGCTGCCAGGCTTGATCAATCATCATCATTCCTCACCATTCATCTGCTTCCAGGTGCCCACACACTCTACAGTACGTCGAGGACACCGCATGTGATGTTCGAGTACTGAAGGCCAGCAGCATCGCAGTGGCGTCTTCTCGCCGACTTATCAATCTACGCGCCTTCACCTGATTCCCACTTGGTCATTCCACCCAAGTGCAACATCGCTCGCCAATATCCCGCTAGAGTCTGCGTTTCTTTTGCAGCTGCGATGATCCTATCCTCGGCATCACGCAGGAAGCTGCGATAGCCCTCAGAAACACCTGCGCTCATGGGCAGGTGCCTGGATGTCGTCGAACACTCTAAAGCCTCCTGGTGGTTACGCAGCCAGCGAGGTTGCTGGAGAACACAATGCAGACGGCCATCCCTCCCTTCCCGCCTTCCACTCTGTTCGTGGACTGTCGAAGGAAGGAGTCATACGAACAGAGTCTGTCGCTTCGAGTTCTCACAGCAATCAAAGTTCAAGCCGTCGTGCCGACCATGAGCCTGCGCCCTCCTCTGCAAGATACTCATTCGCTAGCAGTGGACGAAGCGATGAGGGTTCGAAGAGCCAGGGAAAGGAGAAAGAGAAGGAGAACAGTGATTCTCTACATCCAGTCGCTCGAAACTCCGGCGGATTCCTGCTCGAGCCCGTCACCAATGCGAAACGCTTCTCGCGCATGTCCCAGGCACCAGCAAGAGACGACTCGAGGTTGAAGAGGCACAGTGCAGAGTCCGAACTGTCCATAAGCAAGAGAAGGCATAGGCACAATGTCTCGAACAACTCGTCCTTCAAGAGCTCGCCATTGTCTACCGAGTTGAAGCAAAGCGCTGTCGTGCACAACGACGGCAGTGACAATCAACTTATCCCTGGTACCGATATCCGAAGGTCTTTGTCCTCGTCGCAGAATGAGTCTCACATGAATGGAAATCCAGCATCAAGCTCACGTAATGTGCAAAATGGGCGATCACCCCTGGCAAATGTGGGCTATGCTCAAGACCCGGCGCAAATTGTGCAAATGGCACTGAGCCTTAGCGAAGGTCGACGAAGGTTGGCCTCTGGAAGGAGATATGCTTCGGTGGAGCAAGGAGAGCGCCGGGTCATCTCTACTGCATCCAGTGCAGGTCCCAGGGGTACCGTCAACACGAAGAGTATTGCCCCATTCATGGCGTCAACCCGGCAAGGATCACGAAACGGCTCTCCAAAAGGAAAGCATCTTGATACGAGTGTTGCGACCCTGGCAGCGCCTTCTGATGCCGAAGAGTTGGATGTTGATATGGACTTTGACGAGCAGATATCTCCAGCCACGGCAGCACGTGTAGAAAAGGCTAAGATCTACTTCGAGTTGGCTCACGAGCATCGTCGGCTCCTACAACATCTTCCTCCAATACGTAAACCTGGCAATCTGCCGCCGCCATCCATTCCCGAAGCCATGCAAAAAGCATATAACCCTCTACAATACGTCAGGAACAGGAAACTACGCATTTGGGAAAAGACACCAATCGATAGCGAGGCGGATGGATGGCATGATGTGGAGAAGGTTAGAGCCTGGGTCGATTCAGTCATCTCGAGTCACGCAGAGACGCAGCACGATCCTTTGGAGTGTGTTCGTCTCCCACCACTCGATCAAAAGATGGCAAATGCAGACGTTGAGGATCAAGATGGGCCACCAGCTGACACAGAGAATGCCGCATCTCCTCGGATACAAGATCAGTACCATCCCAAACCGACCCGGCCACGGTCTGACTGGGTCACGCATCCAGCCGACCTGGTTGCTGATGCTTATTGGCTGGAACAAGGCTTGAATAAGACGAAGATACAAGATCGGGACAACAACATCATCTACCCTTCCCATACACAATTCAAGTTTTCAGGCTGGCGTAACAGAACACCAATGGACATGCCGTCTACCATGCAACAAACAACACCAACTCCTGAGCTAGATGAGGCTATGTCGGAAGAACCACCTCCGTCAGCTCTGCCAGAATTACCAACGTTCAGATCAGCCCACCATGCCCACAAACGCGGCAGTCGAACCGGCAAACTGAGAGATTCATTGCAGATAACAGACCAGAGCAGTTCCAGGGAGCGATCTAGGATCAGGCGTAAGCTATTTCGTGATAGCAGCGACTCCGAGTCGTCAGGTGCAATGTCGTTCGATGATGATGAGGCCACGAACCGTGGTCGCAGGAGGCTGCGACGAAAACGTGGATTGTCTCCAGATCATGAAAATCATGCTGTTGCAAGGAGTAAATCGCCATCGAAGGCTTCGCCACAAGTGGGTGGTTCGAGTCGAGAGTCCTCAGCATTGAACTCCAAAAGATCCTCCGCGGATCATTCAGCGTTAAACAAGCTTCTCAGACTCGAAAACATCAAGAAGGCGTCTCCACTCAACAGGTCAAGGACCAGGAATGAATCATCTCGACCTAATTCTACGAAGGTGCCCCTAAGGTCGAGTACCGAGCAGGAACGGACACCTCGCGAATTTGCAGACTATGATACTGCCACAGCTCCCAACTCACCCAGTGTGGTGCAGTGGCCAAGTATTGCTATAAATCTGTCACCACCTCCTAGCAGGGGGCCATCGCCATCGAGAAAGCACATGTCTACAATACTTCACCCTTTCAATCGTAAACCACATGACAAGACTGGTGAGCAAATCGACACAACCGACTTCGCCCAAGTCCCAGCCGCCCAACTCAATCGTCACCTACCCGAGCCAGAAAAGGATCGCGAGACTGATGGTTCGCGTGGTGCGAGCCCGATGACGAGGGGAATGCCTGCATTGTCGAGAGACCAGACACACACCACATATGACGACGATGTAGCTGTGCAATCCTCAATGGAGTCCAAGCTCAGCGCGGTTAGCAAGGTCACCAGTCGCTCGACTGCTCACAGCGGAAACGACCACTCGAGGTTCCGTGGTATATTCAAAGGTGGACGTATTGCGGAACTCGTTGGCAACGAAGTATCGAAGGTTGGTGACTTCATCTGGAAACGAGATGCCCCTTCGACGTTCAGACACAAAGCAACCGCATCGGAGGTTAGTCTCCGATCTTACAAGGGTTCAGAATCCGAGAAAGAGGTCGACGCAAACGGCACAGTCCTCAGAACGCCACCTCCAATGAGTCCTAGATCAAGATCCTCGACCATTTCCAGTACCAGAAGCGAGCGTGCCTTGCCAACAATAAAGAGAACCCCCTCAGACGGTCGACCTCGGTACAACAATCCAAATCTCCCCAACTTCACGTCACCATTTCAGAGAGATCGGGAGCAGGAAGACAGAAAGCAGGGACAATTGTCACCAGACGGTTCGGATCATATATCTCGCCAAGCTGCACAACTTCGATCCGCTTCACAGTCTCCTCGACGTGGTCGAATGGCTTTACCTAAGCTGGATACGGGATCTGCACATCTGAATGATTTGGATCGCGTGCAGAGCTACGGCTTCGGAGCAGCTCTTGATTTGAGTCGATCTCGTGATGCATCAGATTTACTAAATGGTGCAATCGGATCGACCACAGGTCTCAAAGGTCTGCGCCGGGCACGATCAGCTGTGGAGCTCATGCACGTCGGTGGCTCAGACGCTGGTCAAGAAGACGCCGAAGTGGCCGGGGTCTCATGGCGCGAAATTGAGCGTGCTGCGGCTTTATTGTATAGTTCCGCCATCAAAGCACGGGAGATTGGGCGAAAAGCGGATGACGAAACAACTCCCTTACCAAGATTCTTCGTCGAGACCCTCACGCCCGAAGAAAGAGCTTCACACTCGATGCAACCTCTCCGTGTCAAGAAAAGGGAGCACTACGTGATGGCGGCACGGAATATCATGAAAGCTCTGGATACATATTCTGCAACATTCAACGAGAAATTGACCACTTTCAGCTCTACCGTCTCGCCTGACTGGCACAGACAGCTCCAGATGCTTGAAGATACGGTAGAAAACAAGATGACGCCACAGATCAGAATGACGGCAGATCGGGCAGGTGAGCTGGGCATGAAACTCACTACGACGAGCACGCTCGCGGTCAAGGGTTTGAATGATTCAATCGAGGATGCCTTCCGAAGAAGGCGAAGAGGTCCCTTGAGGTTGGTGCGCAGAGTCTGGTTCGTCGGAATTGAGTGGACTGTTGTTGGTTTGCTGTGGCTGATCTGGGCCGTCGTCTCCATTATACGGATCCTGTTGAGTTCTGTCCATTGCGTGGGCAAAGTGGCACGGTGGCTACTCTGGATCGACTGATGTGTACCGGTCTGCATTCTGGCATTCTGTTTCATTTGTGCTTCGGGGAAGCGATTACTGCATTTTTTGGGGCTCTTCAGCAAGGCGTTTCGATAAAAGTGGTTCCTGTTGCTGTTTACCGGTAGGTGATGGAATTGCCAGGATACCCCCCAGCTTCGTATATGGTATTGGGATTGGGATAAACGTTTACATATCGTGTGCACAGTATAGGCTCTTTTAATGCATGATTGATGAACATCGTTCCGATTTACCCTGAAGGCACGTGCCTCCTGCTGTAGTCATTCACCCTCACCATCGACTGATACCTGGTAATCAGCTCTCAGCTCTTGTGTCATTAGCACACAACCTTCTCCTCTCTTCGTGTCCGTAAATCTGGCCTTTGTCAAAGATGCTCGCGTTCCGCTATCGATAGTCATGGCGAACCTCGAACATGCGAAGAACGGTTCATACTGTAAGGGTCTTAATCCTTTGGCGATGGGGTTTTCTACTATGCGCTCGTACTACGCTGTACCTATGGGCATGAACATGAACATGAACAAGACCAATCTTTCTTTTATATCTTCTTTCGCTTGCTTACGAAAAGGCAGAAGCTCAAGCTCAAGCTTGCCCGGTAGGCTTCATGTCGACACGGACGGACGGGCGGCGTAAAGAGTTACCAGTGCCAGTACATATACCCATTTTTTTCTCTTCCACTAGACACACCAACCTATTCTACCCTAAGACACTGCAACCGAGCCTCCGTCTCAATCACGTCCAGGGCCTGCTTCACCTCGAGAACCTTGCGCACATCGCCCAACCAATCCTTACTGAGAACCTTGGCCCAGCCATCCAGAGAATTCATCTCACGCGCCGCGCCATCGAGGTCTCCTTCCTCAAGCATAGTCTCGGTGCGGGTGAGAACGCTTTCGACGTCCGTCCCCGTGGGCTGGCCGTGCTTCTTGAACAAAACCTTGGACAAGACCAGGCTCGCCGCATGAGACGCCACGCCCGCGTTTTCAGGCAAAAGGCTGGCCTTGCGCACTTCCGTGGCCACGCGACGGAAGCGGTCGATCAGCTGGGGCTGGCTGGGGATGCCGCGCTGGTAGGCTTGAGGGTTGATGGAGGCGATGGCCGCGTCAACGATCGGGTCACCTTCCGCGGCGAGCTTGAGGGCCGCCATTTCCCGAACAAACGCTTTAGGGCGGGCGTCCGAGGCGGCGGACCGGTCGAGAGCAGACTTCACGGCGTCGACTGCGACTTGCAGTTTTTGTGTGGCGAGGTTCGCGTCGATCAGACCGTTCCAGTTCGAGGTCAATTCGGTCAAGTTGTCGACATTGCTTTCCAGGTCGGATAGCTTGGACAGACGGCCTTCACGTTCGGATTCGACGAGCGATTTTATTTGGGAGACGAAGTCGCGCTTCATCTCGATGGCTTGCTCGGAGAGTTCGTTCTTGAGACGCTGTTCTACGAGCTGAGTGCTGCGCTCGACTTCCGTTTTGAGCTTCTCCTCGTAGACGTGCTGAAGACGGGTGCGTTCTTGCTCGAATTCTTCCCGATACTTGGCTTCATCCTCGGCTTGGGCCGTCTCGATACGCTTGAGGAGTTGCTTGGCACTCTCATCGAATTCCTTGTGTGCTTCCTTGACTCGTTCTTCAGCGGCCTTTCGCTCCGCTTCTCGCAGAGTCGTGATCTTCTTGGCGACTTCCTCCAGAGATTCCTTGGCCTTGGTCATGGGCGCGGAGTACTTGTTTGCGGCATCTGGGGAGTCGGAGTTGACTACTGTGATCAGGTCGTTGACGATTTTGACGAGATCCTGGACCACAGGTTCCTCGGCATTAGGCACTTTCAGGGGTGAGATCTGGGTCACAGGAGAAATGGCCGGTGGTCGGGGATCGGACTTCGGACTGGGAGTTGCTGGGCTTGGAACTGTAGACACGGTTGCAGGTGCCGCTGGCTTGGCACCGCTGGCATCGTCGTGCTTCGGGAGAGGCGCCTCCGTAGCTGAAGAGTCTTTCTTTGCAGTCTGGACAGCCCCACTGGCCTCCTTGGTCGTAGCACCGGCAGGATCACCCTTGGCCTGCGTCGCGTCTGTTTTGGATACAGGCTTGCCAGCATCGAGAGCACTATTGTGCTTGCCTGTCTGTGTCAGGTCACTGCCCTTGGGTTCCTCGTCCACGGCTTTCCATGACAAGCCGGATCGTTGGGGGATGGTCTTTGATTTGCCATCGACTGGTCCGTCTGGACGGGCGATTTTGTTCGCATTGTGCTTCGCATGAGGAAACCTCTTCCGGAACGATTGCTCTTCGAAGTAAAGGACTGCTTCCTCTCCAAATGGAATGTACTCGGTGAAGAAGTCGTGGAAGTTGTCGTTTCTCAGAGCGTAAAATACGCCACCTCCGTAGGTCAGACCGCTGATCAAAAGAAGGTAGAATAAAAGTCTCAGTCGTCTGAAGCGTCTTCGAGGAGGTGGTAGTGGCTTTGAGGAAGGTGGAGGCGGTGGAGGCGGCGATGGTTCTGAGGGAGGGCTTACGGACGAAGGAGTCGTTGGGGGAGCTGCTTGAACTTTCGCCGGACTAGGCGGAGCGAGGGGAACCTTTTCAGGAGGTATCGTAGAGGAGGAAGACGGTGTCGCAGGAGTCGGAATATGAGGAGGAGCCGGGCTTCCTGGACCGCCGGGCCCTAGAGGCACTTCGGTCTTGACTGGCGCTGCAGGACTTTGTGAACCAGGCATAAACGCAGGATCTGACTTCCGAATCGAGTCCTTCTTCTCTGCGAAAGTTCTCCGCTGTGTCTTTGTCAGTCGCGCGAGCTCTTGCAGGTGCACGGAAACTTGACGTACTTGGGATGAGACACCTTGTGCAAGCAACTGCCTGCGCAGGCCAGCTGACACGGGCCTGGCTAATCGCAGCATGACGGGCTTAGCCGCCATTGTTGGAGCTTCAACACGCTTGTGAGGTGAGGGAGTTTAGCTATCAACCAGCGTCAATGGAATTCCCTGAACAAAATGTGAGAGCTTAGCTTCACCCCGATTGAGCGCCGCTTTTGGGGGGCACGCTCTCCAGCAGCATTTAATATCACGTGACTTGGCTGTATCAGCAAAGCAGCATGATCGTGTTTAGTGAAGCACTCTTACGATTACGAAGTTAGCGAAGCATCCTCGACCACGATCGTGAGTATAGATAGCATGATAACTTGCGACGATTCATTACGATACCGACCTCCTCAAGAGACACCATCATCATCATCATCATCATTGTGATTTCTCAGCCTCATATAAGGTTCCTTTTCCGTACCACAGAACGCCTCGCTATGCACAACCAACATTGTCAAGCCAGCTTCCTACGGCTATGAGGATTTCATGCCTTCGACTTCCCGGTACGCTCGACCTTTCGTCGCTTAGCACGCAGCTTCTCAGCCTCTGTATCACGCTTTGCGTTTGAAAACTGCATCTTCTCGTACAATTTCCGCTTCTTGTTGCTCATCATCATCTTCTGGCGTTCGATCTCCTCATCCTTCTTCGTTTGAGCTGCTTTCCGCGCTTGGCGGGCTTTAGCCTTCTGAGCCTCTCCGTTCGTTTGTGTAACAGGAACAGGTTCGCCCAAAGCTTCTGCTTCAAGTTCTTTTTGATGCTGGGCTTCCTCATCGATGTCGGAATTCGCGGCATCATCGGCGTCGTCTTCGAATCCACCAAATGCGTCGACCTCGTCAACATCTTCTTCAGATTCATCTTCTGACCCCGCGACATCCATACCACCTGCGTCGACTTCTTCGTCTTCTTCTTCGGACTCATCCTCCTCATCTTCCTCATCTTCAGGCCCATCAATCTCGGCCGTTTCCTCCTCTTCCCCATCTTCCTCTGCTTCGCCCTCAAGCTCTTGCTCCTCCAGAGTCGCTCTAGGATCATATTGTCCACTCGTTGGCCTGACCCATGGGCTCAAATGTGGCGGTAACGTCTCTCCTGGAGCATATATGTCCGTTTGTAGCAGCTTCCCCTCATTCACACAGTCCCAAACCCATTGAGGCTGAACGTAGATTCGACCAGGCATGATAAAGCCTGGCTTGACCACTTGCAGGTTTTGGTCTGTTTTAGATGTCTCCTGCCCCTCTAGACTAGGCAATGGTTGTGCAAGAGCTGGCCTGTCCACGATCTGATGCGTGATTCTAGGATCCGTCTCCTCGTGGGTGAACGCACCTTCGCCGAGAACTGTATCCCAACCTACTCGTTTGCAGCCGAATGCTCGTAACAAGAATTCTATCGAATGGCGAGGAGCTTCCCGGGAAATGAAGAAGACACAGGGCGAGAACAGAGTTGAAGCTGCATCCCCTGTGCGATCAGGTTGTGGGAGAGTGTCTCCCTCAGGTGCAGCAGGAATAAACGTATCGATCGTACCAGCGTCAGCTTGATCCCCGGTAGGTTCGTCTTGCTTCACCTCCTCGTCTGTGCCGGTATCCTGAGCAATATTGTCAATCTGGGCTTGAACTGCTTCGGAGTTCTGCGCTTGCTCGTGGCCATTCGTCAATGCTTTCTGCTGAGGCTCCTGGTCAATCGCTGATGTGATGCCACGGCCTTCCAGGGTGAATGCACCCAACTCTGCGCCGCGCTCATCTCTGGCAGCATCGAACTTTGGAGGGTAGACAAGACCGACAGATGTGTATAGTCGATAGTTGATAAATCCTAGTAAAGTGCAGTAGAACTCCACAAATGTTCCCATGATTCTATAGTCCACATCTTGTGTCACTCTTTGCACGAATTTGTAGGGCACCAGCCACATGATGTCTTGGCCTTGAATTGTCGCTTGGTAGTATATGCCCTTTATGGATAGGAAAGACTTCCGAAGGGAGTGCGTCGTGATGAGGTAGTGTTCGAATTCGTGGCAGAGGCGCTGACATTTAGAAATGACTTTGGCAGGAACGGCGGTTGTAGAAGGCAGGTTGGCGAACAGGAACAGCAGGGAGAGGGCATCATCTAGGTCTCGCAGGGCATCGACAAAGGTGGGATATCTCTCTCGTACGATGTGGTCGAGCTTGATCTTTGGCATGCCATGTTTTTCCAACCGGACGGCATCCTGTACTTCATTGCGACCCAATGACCTCGCTATCTTTTTCGACAGCGACTTTTGTTCCCGGAACTTTCCCAGAAGAGGCTCATGAAGTAGATATTGGATGTCTTTTGTGTAGTAAAATGTGGTGGAATGAGTTGCAGACTTGTTGGCCTTCTTGATGTTTCTCGGTTCACGAGGGTAAATGCCCTTGAAGATGCATAATCTTCGAAAGTCTGGCAGGGATATCTGGAGTTTGCGCACAGCTTGTGTTCGGGTGATGTAGTTCTTCGCCTGGCCGGATTGGCCCTTCTTCTTTTGTTTCGCCATTACGTCTTTAGGAGGACGCAGGAGTTGGCGTAAGGACAATGCAAGATGCAATCTGCGAACTCGAAAATGCAGCGAAGAAAAAAAGTTGAATTAATCGGATAATTGGAGTAACGGCACTGTAGAGGGCAGGTGTGCCGAGTGGTTACTCCAATTCCTATAGAATGAGAATGAGAGAGAGAGAGAGAGAGACCACCTTGTCAGCCTCGACACCCCTTTTTACAGTCTCGTCCAGCCAGAGCACGACATGCACTCGCCTTGAGGCCAACGAACCGAATGGCAATATCGCTGGATAGAAAGACACTGGCGATATATGCTGTCGCAATCAATCTGCGTCTCTTGGTCTTTCTGGCCTTTCCGAACATACCAGAATTCCTCAGCACTCAAGTCGAAATATCAACGCCCATTTCGAGCTTCAAAAGACTCCAGGAAGGACTATTTCTTCACCAGCACGGCCTGTCGCCTTATGATGGCGGCGTCTACCATCAAGCCCCGTTACTGCTGATCATCTTCGAGTTCTTGCCATCGACACTGGTCTTTATAGCCTTTGATGTTCTGAATGCTACGTCACTACATTCAATCGCCGACAAGCTTCACCTACCGACTCCTCGATTCCAGAAGTTAGATGGATCTCTCATTGCTGCAGCATACTTGTTCAACCCCTTCACAATTCTGTCTTGTCTCGGAAGGTCAACAGTCATCTTTACCAATGCCGCCATCATTCAAGCAGTCTTGAATGCACAGTCCGGGAATGCTGTGCGAGCTATGTTTGGGCTCGCCATTGGCAGTTATCTCTCCATGTATCCCGCTCTACTGCTGCCGCCAGTCATGCTGATGCTCCGGCAAAGCGGCAACAAAGAAGCGACCATATCAACTTCAGTTGTCTCCTTCGTAGCAGCACTTGCGGCCTTGTTGGCAACAACTCCCGTGTTGACGGACAACTTTCGGGATTTCCTCGCATCTTGCTACGGGGCACAGATAACGATCCCTGACCTGACACCCAATGTTGGGTTATGGTGGTATTTCTTTATCGAGATCTTCGACTCTTTCCGCGATTTTTTCATTGGAGTTTTCTGGTTGCACCTGGTCGGATATGTTGGTGGCATGACATTCAGGCTTCACAAACAACCACTGTTCGTCATTACGAGTCTTCTGGGATTGATGGCCATCTTCAAGCCATATCCAAGCATTGCGGATGTTTCGTTGTATCTTGGGTTTCTTCCAATGTACTCTCACGTCCTACCATGTGAGTCCTCCGTACCTCAAGAATGTCTTTGTGCTGACTGGTCTAGTAACCCGATACACTTTTATCGCGGCATCCGTCCTGCTATATTCCACCCTTCTCGGCCCAGCGTTCTACCACTTGTGGATATATGCTGGATCAGGCAATGCCAATTTCTTCTACGCCATCACACTTGTGTGGAGCTTGGGACTGACCATTCTCGTTGGCGACACGCTGTTTGCTGTTATGCGGGATGAATGGGAGCTGGAACGACCCGAGATGAGAGGCAAGAGTGTGCGACAAATATAACCTCAATTACAGTCAGTCCTTCATCGACTTGGAAAGGATAATGTAGCTCGGTTGTTTGACTGTTCCATTCCGGAGTTTTCGTGGACCAGGTGAAAACTCGTCCTCTGCATAGCCCAATTTGATATACCAGTCAACTGCGCGTTGGTTCGCTCTGAAGACGGTTAGCATGACCTTGGTCACACCAACCTTTTTGCCAATGTCTTCCACAACGTTCATGAGCTTCTTCCCAAGCTCCTTGCCCTGCCACTCGGGTGTGAAGTGGATCTCGTAAATGTACAAGACCTCATAGCCATCTTCGTAGGTGACCATGAAGGACACAAAGCCGATTACTTGGTGATGTTCGAGCAGGATGAAATATTTCATGTCTGGTAGCTTCATCTCCTTACGCTTCTTGTGGCCCGACCACTTTATTTCGGAGCTCCTGTAGTCTTCTGCGCTTGTTTGCTCGATGAGCTTTAAACATTGTTCAATCGTCTCACTGGAAACGTCGCGAGCTGCTCCCTGCAGGAACACCAGGCTCTTGTAGTCGTGCAGCAGCTCTAATGCCAATATCGCCGGGTAATATGCTTCAAAAAACCTGGTAGCTGGAAGAGCATTGACTGACTCAACCAGCTTGGTAGCATCGACTTGATCTGATCGTGCCCTTTTCCTCGACTTCCGAGGTCGTTCATGACTCGCTTCAGCCATGGCTCAAAAGATAATGACTGTACAAGTAACTCATCGCATCGATGTCTCGAAGATGAAGGTTGACCATATGCTGCACCGTACCTTTCTCGACGGGTACAGTTTTCCTTCAGTAATAAGGCGAGTTGCTGATGCAGCCTCCAATACTTTCCTAACGCAGAAGTTGCAGGGCGTGTTGAAAGTTAACTTACGTCAATGGCATTTTCCGAGAGCTTCTCCAAATCCAAGATATTAAATTGTTGATATGCGGTCCGTGTAGCGTCTCGCTTTTCACAATCGCAATCGGCACAATCTCTCTTTCCACCACAGGAACTGATAAGAAAACGATCTCGCTTCTGGTTGGTGATATGTCCTGACATAACTGCGGAACCTCGTACCCCAAGCCCTGAACGCGCAAACCGTATCAGGCTTATTTTTTTATAAAAATCGTTCGCTCATCATTCCCCTCTTCTCCATTTCGACAATGGCATCACGAGTTTCCACCTCGTATATTGGCACTCTATTGTCCTCTTCACGTCCTCGTCTGCCTTCCTCCCTCAGTCGAGTAGCACAACCATCATATCGCATCATCTCGGTCGCCAGAATGTCGTCAGCTCCTAAGCTCAAAGATCCTTCCCTCCTCATATCGAAAGCCTACGTCAATGGAGAATTCGTTGACTCGGTCACGTCGCAAACATTTGATGTCCACGATCCCGGCACAGGAAAGAAGATTGAATCATGTCCCGAGTTCAACAAGGAAGACACCGACAAAGCCATCGCTGCAGCCACCGAGGCTTTCAAGTCCTTCCGCAAGACCCTTCCCCGCGAAAGAGCCACAATGTTAAGGACATGGTACAACCTGATGTTGGAAAATGCCGATGACCTGGCTACGCTGATTACATGGGAGAACGGAAAGGCTCTTCCCGACGCCAAAGGAGAAGTCACCTACGCCGCAAATTTCTTCCAGTGGTTCGCTGAGGAAGCTCCGCGTGTCTACGGCGATACCATCCCCTCTTCCGTTCCTGGAAGCAGAATCATGACGATCAAGCAGCCGATCGGTGTCACTGGTCTCATCACACCTTGGAACTTTCCCGCTGCAATGATCACCAGGAAGATTGGCCCAGCATTGGCAGCCGGTTGCACCGTCGTGGCCAAGTCACCCGGTGAGACGCCATTCACAGCTAATGCGCTTGCCGAGTTGTCGCGCCGCGCCGGCATTCCTCCTGGTGTAGTCAACATCATCACAGCCATGAAAAATACTCCCGAGATTGGCGAAGTCCTCACCACTGACCCACGAATCAAGAAGGTTTCTTTCACCGGTTCGACAAACGTGGGCAAGCTACTTATGAAGCAAGCCGCGGGTACTATGAAGAAGCTCTCCTTCGAACTCGGCGGCAACGCTCCATTCATTGTCTTCGACGACTGCCCCGACCTCGAAGCTGCTGTTGCAGGCGCTATCGCATGCAAATTCCGCGGTTCCGGCCAGACGTGCGTTTGTGCCAACCGAATCTACGTACAAAAGGGAATATACGACAAGTTTGCTGAGAAGTTCGCGGCCAAGGTCAAGGATTTCAAGGTCGGCTATGGCTTTGATGAAGGTGTCACTCATGGACCTGTCATCCATGATCGCGCCGTTACCAAAGTCGAACAACATGTAAGAGATGCAGAGAAGAAGGGTGGCAAGGTTCTCGTTGGAGGTCAGAGATTACCTAATCTTGGAGAAAACTTCTACTCTCCTACCGTCATCACAGGTGCGACGAACGACATGGCGATCTCTAAGGAGGAAACATTTGGTCCAGTCGCTGGACTTTTCCCCTTCGAGACGGAGAAAGAAGTCGTTGAGTTGGCGAATGACACCGAGGTCGGACTAGCAGGCTATTTTTACTCGAAAGACGTTGGCAGAATTTACAGAGTCGCAGAGGCTCTGGAAGTTGGTATGATTGGTGTTAATACCGGCTTGATCTCCGATGCGGCGGCCCCATTCGGCGGTGTCAAGGAGAGCGGTTTCGGACGGGAGGGATCCAAATACGGTATCGATGAGTATATGGTCATCAAAAGTGTGACTATTGGCGGCATTTCCAGCGATTTGCAAGGGTAAAAGTATGAACGGAAACATTTGCGATGTTGATAGCTTTCTGGGATGGAGGTAGCTGTGCAGTATTACTGTCTCATTGAAAAAGATCGATGGAGAATATGAACATGACAAACCATCTTATTTCCCCTGGGGGCTTCGCAAGATCCTGTCGCGAGAGTACGACTGGACCTTGGTATGTTCTTGTCTTAGTGGACTTGGGGTGTCGCAGGGCGTGGCACTGGGATGGATCTGAACGAGGTAGGCGAGATAGGCGAGCGAACGAACCAGATACGTGGACGATATAGATTCACAGACTGCTGTACCCTCAAAAACGGTGCGGTACTTTAATTGAGGACGGCCTCGAAGAGGAAACAAACCTCCGAGATTGGAGTCGTGCAACAGAGGGACAGGATGGTTGAGTGTGGGAGGACGACGGTCACAAGGCTGTCGTGAAAAGGGGCAGTTGGTGTCAGATGCTGTCGTATTAATGGCAAAGAGTATTCGGTCACTTTTCGCGTTCATGCCGCGTTCCTACTCTTCGCTAGTAAGGGAGATGATCAATCACTAACCATTAAAGGATAGTGGAAATAGAGATGGAAATCAAGATGCACATCTATAGGGTCTTATATGTTCCTCTGCATTCCTAGAGCCAACACCAGTTGAGTATCCCCTTTGCAAAGCTTTTCTCCACCGCCTCGTCAACCACCATGGGGTATTTACAATATGCTTCCTACGGGTGATGAAATTTATACCAACTTCATCAGACCCTTGAGATCGATACTCTTTGGGCGTTCAATGGGCATACCAAGCGCACGATCCCAGATCAATTGAGCCAAAGGCCCAAGACCTCGGCTGACGCCGAAAGTGACGGTGTAGTACAGAGGATCCTGGAATCCGTAATGGTGGAAGAGGACACCCGAAGCGCTGTCGACGTTGGGGTGGGGGTTCTTGGTCTTTCCGTGCTCGGTCAACACACCTGGCGCGATCTCGCTGTTCTTCTTGACGAGTCGGTAGACAGGGTTCTTGGCGATATCTTCGCGAGCGTCGCCGAAATCGATCAGGGCCTTGAAGCGAGGGTCGGGCTTGCGGAGCACACCGTGGCCGTATCCAGGCACGACCTGGCCGGACTTGAGGGTGGACCAAAGATATTCACTGACGTCCTTGTCTGAGAAGTCGTCGCCGATTTGATCCTTCATCTTCAAGATCCATCGGAGCACCTCCTGCGCGGCGAGACCGTGCAGAGGTCCTGCCAGACCGAGCAGACCTGCGGCATATGAGAGGTATGGGTCGGAAAGAGCAGAGCCGACCAGATGAGTTGCGTGTGCTGAGACGTTACCGCCCTCGTGATCTCCATGGAGGGCAAGGTACAGACGCAGCAAGTCTTGGAAACCCTCGTTATCCTTGCCGGGCTTGCCTAGCAGCTTCGCGAAGTTGTAGGCCCAATCTTGATCCTTGTCGATCGGCATGTCGAGAGCGGCCTTGTCAAAGATGGCAGCAGCTACGCGGGGCAACTTGGCCAACAGGTTGATGCTATCGTCGAATGTTGGCTCCCAGTACGCGGCCTTGTTCAGACCCTCGGCATACTGTTTGGCGAACAGGGACTCGGTGTTCAAGGCAGCAACAGCACATGACAGCTGGGTCATGGGGTGGACGGTCTTGTCGAAGTTTTGGAGCATCTTGACCACATGAGCAGGGAGTTCTGACTTCTCGGCGAGCTCTCGCGAGAAGGCGCGGACTTGACCCTCAGAGGGAACTTGTCCGGTCAACAGGAGCCAGAACATAGCCTCAGGCAACATCTCTGTGCCTGATGTGCCCTTGGGCAACTCCTTTTGGCAGTCGGCGATCGTCTTGCCGTGGAAGCGAATGCCCTCGTTGGCATCCAGAACGCTGCCCTCCCAGACCATGGACTTCATGGTTCTCATGCCGCCAATGACCATACCCACGTTGATGTCGCCGATCTTCTTCTCTGCATGGCTCTTGACCTGCTTGAGCAGTTCTCTTTTCTCGGGGATCACGGATTCCAAAGTGGTCTTGAGGTCGGGCTCGGACGTAGATGAGTAGGCTCGTAGGGCGAAGGAGGAGGTAGAAGGGCGTTTTGATGCGGCTCGTAGAGCTCTCAGGGCGTGCTGAGCACTTCTTGTGCTGGCTGCCATCGTGTCTGTCAAACTCTTAAGCAGCGGTCTCGTCGGCGTTGTAGTATCTACTGTGCGGGGTATGCAAAGCGTATCCCCTGGGCGACGATGAGGTTTTCAGCTGTGGGAGAAGGAAAGACCGGACAGGAGAATGGAAAACAGCAAACCGAGAGGTTCGTATAGCAGAGGAACAACCCAAAAAGCTGTTGTTAGGATCCGTGACCTTCGCATCCGACAGCAGAACCCAATGCAACGGGTAGGAAGACGCACATTCCTCGGCGATGGTCCCAGGATTTCCCCGGGTGGAAGGGTTTAAGGTACTGCATACCTTCTAGGTACGTCAATATTGGAGACCGAGGGTAACCGACCGAGGCACAACTTGGGATTTCTTACCTTGGGGAATTTGGGAGCCCGGTCCGAACTCGGCAGCTCATGCGACATTTTCTGCCTCCCATACTCCGTACTCGCGGGGAGGTCGCAAGTCGTCCGCAACAGAGTTCTGCTTCTCCATGCCTGACGAATGCTTCTGTCGAACTAGCGGTCGTATTTCAAAGCAAGCAGCTTCGGCTGTTGTCCGAAAGTCTTCCTCGTGTCGCTATACATAGGTGACAGACACCAGTACTCTTGAGTGTGCTGAATTGCTGCATCACCGAATCCCACATCAGACACCACCAAGACTGTTAGGACTATAACAAACATGCTGCGCAGAGTGCCCAGAAGCCTTCCAAGGCTGTCACATCGACCAGTGCTCAGACCTGTAGCGACGAGACCAATTCTCGCAACCATGACCCGTCACCTGTCCTCTCTACCGCCAGTCGAACCTCCCATCTCCACCTCGCTTCCCTCCGACTCCTTCCAGTTACTTTCTACTGAAGAAAAGGCCGGTGATGCCGAGGACGTCCTGTTCAAACAGCAAATAGAGGACGTGAAGAAGTGGTGGGCGACGCCCAGATACAAGGGCATCAAGAGACCGTATACTCCAGCCGATGTTGTTAGCAAACGGGGCACTTTGCAACAGACATATCCTAGCTCTGTGATGGCTCGGAAGTTATTCAACTTGCTCAACGAAAGAGCAGCAGAAGGCAAGCCGGTTCATACGATGGGCGCGATTGACCCTGTACAAATGACACAACAGGCACCCAATCAAGAAATCCTCTACGTGTCGGGTTGGGCTTGTTCGTCCGTTTTAACCACCACAAATGAAGTGTCGGCAGACTTTGGCGACTACCCTTATAACACAGTACCAAACCAGGTACAGCGGCTGTTCAAAGCCCAACAGCTGCATGACCGCAAGAACTATGATTCGAGGAGGAAACTGAGTGCGGAAGAGCGCAAGAATACCCCGTATATTGACTATATGAGGCCTATCGTGGCCGATGGAGATACCGGTCATGGTGGTTTGTCGGCTGTTATCAAGTTGGCCAAACTATTTGCGGAAAATGGAGCCGCGGCAGTTCATTTCGAAGATCAGCTCCATGGCGGCAAGAAGTGTGGACATCTGGCCGGCAAGGTATTAGTGCCAGTTGGCGATCACATCAACCGACTTGTGGCTGCCAGATTCCAGTGGGATTTGATGGGTTGCGAAAACCTTGTCATTGCACGAACCGACTCGGAGAGCGGAAAACTGCTCTCTAGTGCCGTTGACGTCCGGGATCACGAATACATTCTGGGTGTGACAGAGGAGACGGAACCTCTGTCCGAAGTCCTACAAGAAATGGAAGCCAAGGGTGCCAGTGGGCCTGATATTGACTCGTTCGAATCTGCTTGGGTCAAGAAACACAAGCTGGTCACCTTTGATGAGGCTGTTGAAGCTCATATCAAGTCTGAAGGTGGCGATGCCTCTGAGTACCTCGCCAAAACCAAGGAAAACCGCAACCTGTCGCTCACCAAGCGTCGTTCTCTCTCTTCCCAGTACACGAAGTCTCCTGTGGTCTGGTCGAGTGATGTTCCCCGAACACGAGAAGGATTCTATCACTATCGGGCAGGCCTACCGGCAGCAACCAAGCGAGCTATAGAATTTGCTCCCTATGCTGACTTGCTGTGGCTTGAGACCGCCGATCCATCTGTGTCCAAAGGCGCAGGCTTTGCCAGAGAGATCCGCGAGCAATACCCTGGTAAGCAGCTGGTGTACAACCTTAGCCCGTCGTTCAACTGGATGGGACAGGGCTTTGACGATGCCTCTCTGAAGTCCTTTGTCTGGGATCTCGCCAGGGAAGGATTCGTCCTTCAATTGATCTCTCTGGCTGGCCTGCATTCTGGAGCCACCATCACCGCTGAACTATCTCGAGGCTTCAAGGAGGATGGTATGCTTGCATATGTCAAGTTGGTGCAAAGCCGAGAGAAGGAGCTAGGCGTCGATGTCTTGACACACCAGAAGTGGAGCGGAGCCCCATACATTGACGGTATCATTGGAGCTATCCAGTCTGGAAGCAGCGGGAGCAGGAGTATGGGTGAAGGCAACACGGAGTCCGGGTTCTAGATGACCTTAGTGTGGGCACTTTGTTGAAACCTCGAAGCAGGCCAGGACATCTCAAACCATTTTAGGAGGACACGCTCCACAGCTGGGGAAAAGCACCAATCAGCCGTCGAGACCTAGACACGCGCCGGTCACCAACCATTGCACAGTCGATGAAGACACATTGACACTGGGTGATGGCCTTTTCACATAAGTCCCTAAGGGCAATGCTGCAAGTCTGAGAAGATTCGACCTGAACGCTACCGGTGGTTGCACTTATGGACAGTGGTTCGAGTGCCGAGAAACTTTTGCGCTTGATGATGCATCGGTCCTGGCCATCTGCTTAGGACACAGAGCGTCCTATATAAAGATATATATATATATATATATGTGTGTAAAGATATGAAATTGACCAGATACCCGGGAAAGACTTGTTGGCGCGAGAACCCAATACAATATTGAAACCCTCCCTGGCATGTAATAGCAGATTGTTCATTGGTGTTGGAAGAGATCGTCTTGATTAGTCACTACTTAGTCATTTACCACGTCAATCTACCTAGGTAAGCCACTGGTAGGCTTATCGATTATCGAGGCTGCGGCCTGCGCCGCTGTTCCAAAAATTTCCTTTCCGGAGTGCTGAGAAAAAAGTCCTCAGCCAGCAGGGGCGTCGGGTCGATCCCTCATAAATTGCGAGCCTGATTCCAACTTCTCACAGCAACCCCTCCAGCAATCTCTTTTTTCTGTTTTTTTACCACTCTCCACTCTGCCAGGCCGACACAGGAAGAGGCCAGGACGTTGTAATCGCTGCTGCGATACTGAAAAAGCCAGTTTATTGTGTACTTCACTCCTTTTCTTTTGCGTACCCGGCATCCGTAATCTCACTCTTCTGAGGTATGCCACACATCGAAAGCCCTCCTTTGGCTCCAGCGATGGCCTCGACCGTGGTTCCAACAAAGTCCAACTTCTCCGGCATCCCTCCTACTCCCGAAGAGGTGACCAGCATCTTGCGGACGATCCTCGACGCTGATGCCGCGCAAACAGCGCTCGACAACTCCTATGCCCTTACAAACATCCTTGCCAAGTCGATAGGCATTCGAGGCCTATTGTCTTATAACTTGATACCAGAGATCAAGAAGGCAGCCACAGACAAGAAAAATGCCTCCAAGCGAGAAAGCGCCATGTTCGTACTGGGCGCAATGTTTGAGAGATTTCCTCGAGAACAGCCCCTTAGCGAAGTCGTCTTTCTTGTCCAAAACGGAGGACTCTTTGACATTGTCCTCGATGGCTTGGCCGACAAGGGTTCTTCTGTTCGTGAATCGGCCCAGTATGCAGTCGACGAACTCTTCAAGAATCTCGAGCCTGAAGCGTTGGTTATCGGCCTGCTCCCGGCCTTGCAACGATACCTCTCGAAGAAGACCGGCAAGTGGCAAGGTACTGTCGGTGCTTATACTTTGCTCGGAAAGATGGCAGATAAAGCACAAATGGGAACGGGAAGTAAAGACGAGGAAGTGGCCAAGGATGTACTACGGGATTCTATGGGTAAGACCTTGAAGGAGCTTATCCCTATCGTCGAGGGTGGTATGCACGACTTGAAGGGTGAGGTAGCCAAAGCCGCCACAAAGACGATGACCTCGCTCACGACCCTGTTGCAAAATGATGATGTTGCACCGCGGATACCCCTGATCATCGACACTATGAAAAACCCTTCTACGGACACGTTGCAGAAGGCCATTCTGGCGCTCTCCCAGACAACATTTGTTGCGATTGTGACATCACCTGTCCTTGCGCTTCTCACTCCTGTCTTAGAGAGAGCTTTGAACACACCGACCACGTCACAGGAGGTGTTGAGACAGGTTGTGGTTGTGGTGGAAAACTTGACCAAACTTGTGCATGATCCAATCGAGGCCAGGACTTTCTTGCCGAAATTGCAACCTGGTGTGCAGAAAGTCAAGGACAACGCTTCGCTTCCCGAAGTCCGGGAACTAGGTACCAGAGCCGTGGATGTCATGAAGAAAGCAATGGGCGATGACAAAGATGGTGTTACCAACGGCCAGATTGCCAAGACATCCACCGACGATGTCCTGAAAGTCTTGGATAGCCAGATCCGCACCAAGGGTGGGCTGCAGAAGGAAGACATGTCCGTCTGGAAAGATGGCCAGACCTACGTGTCTGAAATGGTCCGAGAAGATGTCAACGCTCGGGTCTTTTCGCGCATACCTGGCCGTGTTGGTCCTTATCTCAAATACATGCTCCCTGCCGAGAGCTGCACTTCGGTCGCTGATGGCGTCCAAAAGTTCTTCGTCGAAGAAGACCACAAGAAGTTCGGTGCACCCGTGGTGACAGATCCCAACGAAGTCGAGATTGTCAATGCAGAGTTCTCTCTCGCTTACGGCGGTATGTTGCTGCTGTCTCACACAAATCTGCGACTCCTGAAGGGCCACCGGTATGGTCTTTGTGGCCGCAACGGTGCGGGCAAATCTACCTTGATGCGCAGCATTGCGTCTGGCAAGTTGGAAGGTTTTCCTTCCCAGGACGAATTAAGGACGTGCTTTGTCGAACACAACCAAGGTGAGGATGCCGATATCAGCATTCTCGAGTATGTGTCCAAGGATCCAGCGATTGCCAAAGAAGGGCAAGAGAGGATTTCTCGAGTCCTCAACGAGGTCGGTTTTACAGCTGGTCCTGAAGGCAGACAATCCCACAAGGTTGGCTCGCTGTCAGGTGGGTGGAAGATGAAGCTGGCTCTCGCCAGAGCTATGCTCATGAGGGCTGATGTTCTCTTGCTTGACGAGCCGACCAATCATCTCGACGTTGCCAACATCAAGTGGCTGGAGGAGTATCTGAACACGAACACCGAGATCACCTCGCTCATTGTGTCTCACGATTCGGGATTTCTGGATGCCGTTTGCACTGACATTCTCCACTATGAGCAAAAGAAGCTGGTTCCTTACAAAGGCAATCTTGCTGCATTTGTCAAGGTCAAGCCAGAAGCCAAGAGCTACTACACTCTTTCCGCATCGACAGTGCAGTTCAAGTTCCCGGCTCCTGGTATCCTCAGTGGCGTCAAGTCCAACACCAGGTCCATCATTCGGATGACAAACTGCACCTTCACATATCCCGGAGCCTCAAAGCCGAATTTGCATGACGTCTCATGCCAGCTAACATTGTCATCACGGGTGGCGATTATCGGTGCCAATGGTGCCGGAAAATCGACATTGATCAAATTGCTGACGGGTGAAACAATCCCTCAAACTGGCAAGGTCGAAAAGCATCCTAACCTGCGAATTGGCTACATCAAGCAACACGCTCTCGAGCACGTTGAAATGCATATGGAGAAGACGCCAAATCAGTATCTGCAATGGAGATACGCCAACGGAGACGACCGAGAAGTCTTGATGAAAGCCACGCGTGTTCTGACCGACGAGGACAAGGCGCAATTGGCCAAATGGATTGATCTGGGCGATGGCAAGGGACCAAGACAGCTGGAAAACTTGATGGGACGGCAGAAGTTCAAGAAGACTTTCCAGTACGAGGTCAAGTGGAAGAACACGCTACCCAAGTACAACAGTCAAGTCTCACGGGAGACACTCCTCGAATGGGGTTTCTCGAAGTTGGTTCAAGAATTCGACGACCACGAAGCGTCGCGCGAAGGTCTAGGATACCGAATCCTGGAGCCGAAGGTGATCTCCAAACATTTTGAGGATGTTGGCTTGGACCCCGAGATTGCCAACCACAACCAAATCTCTGGTTTGAGCGGTGGGCAAAAGGTCAAGGTCGTACTGGCTGGTGCTATGTGGAACAACCCTCACTTGCTTGTGTTGGACGAACCTACCAACTTTTTGGACCGTGACTCTCTAGGTGGTCTGGCAGTGGCCATTCGGGACTACAAGGGTGGTGTCGTCATGATCAGCCACAACGAAGAATTTGTGGGCGCATTGTGTCCTGAGCAATGGCATGTCGCCGATGGACGAGTCATGCACAAAGGTCATCTCGCCGTCGATCTTAACAGGTTCGAGGACTCCCGACCTGGGTCGAGCAACGTCAGCTCGGTAGTCTCGAGTGCGAGTGCCTCCGCGGCTGCATCGGCTGTCAACTCGGGTGCCGAGGACAACAGCGACATGAAGTTCAAGGCAAAGAAGAAGAAGAAGATGACACGCGCGCAGATGAAGGAGAGAGAAGTACGACGACGTTTACGACAGTAAGTTAACCCCTGCCGGTGGAAAACGATGATGCTGACATTTCTTTTTAGTATTGAATGGTTGAACAGTCCCAAGGGAACACCACATCCACCGGACACCGATGATGAGGAATAGAACGAGCGATGCATCTAGAAAAGTGGGATATTTGTGATCCATAGCGTTGGCGTTCTCTTAGACAGGTACTGCTTTATGAGGGTATTGTGCATGAGATTAAGAAATACATGGCGTCGATATAGACAGAATGTTGCAATGGACGCATTTGCACAGATTGGACATATCTCCAAAGACAGCGGCTGTACTGAAATGTAATTTCGAGAAGCTGTTTCCTGGCACTTTTGTTCCATGATACTCTTCAGCCTCGTGAGCTTCTTCTCATGACGAGGCTCGGCTGATCTTCGGTTTGTTTGGTTCAATGACGACGAATATGTAGACATTCTTTTTCCTTATGATCACCTTTACTCTCCTTCCAGCTGGATATTCTTGCATCGTCATTCGGACGACCGGTATCGAATTGAGCTTACGGGACGACCTATTCTACGTTTGACTGATATCTCAATGCGACTCTAACCGTTCATATATCCATCTCCATCACAGTCAATTCAGTATGACCACAGACACGGAAACATCTCCCTCAACCGAGCACAACTCCAGCACCACCAACGACGCCGACATGAAAGTCACCATCAACCCGCAAAGGGCAACAACCCTGATCTCTAACCTCGAGCACATTCAGCAATGCATCTCCTCCGCTCTGTCTTCTCAGCCCGCCCGCTCCTCCACTCCACGACTCGTCGCCGTCTCCAAACTAAAACCTGCCTCTGACATTTTGGCATTACACAACCCTCCGACCTCTCAGCAGCACTTCGGCGAGAACTACGTACAAGAACTCCTCGAGAAATCCAAGTTATTACCCTCCAGCATAAGATGGCACTTCATAGGTGGGCTGCAGTCGAACAAAGCCTCCCATCTAGCCCGGGACGTCGACAGTCTGTGGGCAGTCGAGAGCATCGACTCCGAGAAGAAAGCTACACTGTTAAATAAAGGACGCAGCGAACGCAACACACGTCTGAACGACTCGACGCCTTTAAATGTGTTTATCCAAGTTAACACATCCGGCGAAGACTCGAAATCCGGGGTTGCGCCAGATTCGTCTGAATTAGTGTCGTTGGCCAAACATATACGCGAGACATGCGAGAATCTGCACCTTCAGGGATTAATGACCATCGGCGCTATTGCGCGGTCGAAAGCCACGACTCCGGAAACCGAGAATGAAGATTTCATCTGTCTAAGAGAAACGAGAGATAAACTTGCGAAGGAGTTGGAGATAGATAAGGACAAGCTGGAACTAAGTATGGGCATGAGTGAGGACTTTGAGGGCGCGATACGCCAGGGCTCGAGTGAGGTCAGGGTGGGGAGTACGATATTCGGCGAGAGACCGGCCAAGAAGGATGCGAGGGTTCTTGAAGACACGGAGGCTGAGAAGAAGTGAGATACATCAGGAGTTGAGGTCCCATAAGGGGTTACCGTCAGGGACAACATACAGGAGTTCTGAGACCGACTCGCCACCCAGACTACCGGCAGCGCAGAATGCAGAAATCGCCACCCAGACTACCGGCAGTGCAGAATGCAGAATTGACCAGTGACAGATTTGACCACCAGACTACCGTCAGTGCAGATTGCAGATGCAGAATCACTACGCAGACTACCGGCAGTGCAGAATGCAGAATTGGCAACGTGCAGATTTTCTCAGTGACAGACTCGCCAACCAGACTACCGTCAGGTACAGAATACAGAAGCCATCAATTGCCACGTTTGGCAATCAGGCTACCGCCAGTGCAGAATGCAGAAAACCTAGAGAGGTTAGCGATTCTCTCTCTGAGAATGGATTACCATATATGAAGTCAAGCTGCATATTCATCACGTGTCGACATAGAGGAACAGTCGAAGAAAGCTTGAGCGGCACAAGTATGCCCATCCATGTCCTCCAAGGGGAAAGCAAATAGTCGCGATCGTGTTGTCCATCGCGAATTTGGACCGGACTGTGCATCTTCGAAACGGAATGCCGCCCAAAAGAAATTGCAAGTCCCACGAAAGGCAAGACATCTGATGGGTGACGCGAGGAGAGCAATGATTATATGAGTATGACCGCCTAATGTGAAGCCATTGCACGAAGTATATTTCGTGTCGCTAAATAAATATACCCAGCCAGGTATGTCCACATCCAGCCTAACCTAATGTAAGATTCACCGCCAATGTTTGCCCCCAAAACACATCAAGTTTTGTTAACTTATTTCACAACTACCAAAACACTTCGAAAGTGTCTCAAAATGCGCAAAATCCATCAGCAGAACCAAAAAACAAAAAAGACACGGGCGCGTATCGTCCACGAAATTGTGGCGATATCCGGAATCGAACCGGAATCGGATCGGAACATTGTTCAACTCATCTCACAATTTGTGTGACGAAATTGTGAGCAAGGTCGACCACAACCTTAGAACAATTAGCGATTTCATTGCAAGACACGTTAAAGCTCAAACTTACGATCCATGCTGACCATTACACCATATCACCGCCGGATTATGGCCAAAAATTCATGACAATAAATTATATGAATATCGACCTTTGGTGGGGTCTTGCGGGCCTTAGCGCCCTTGCAGAAAATGAGGGGGTCTTCCTGGTGCTGCGCAGGTTTTCACCGCTACCCATGCTTACACCGCATGCATGTCACTGTTCGCCCAATGGAGTTCCTCTTCCACCACACTCCAATGCGCGTCCATGTCGGATATCCATATTTGATACGTGTATCCATGTCCATGTCTTCCTCACTGCTTCCACGATCCCATCACAAATGTTACAAATGAACACTAGGACTTTGCTGTGATTCCTAGTCTACTGCAAGGCCATCGACGATTTTTCTTTCGGCGTTACGACCCCTTCGCCAGCCGTTCCTGCATCAACCCCAATAAAACACCCGGCACAGTATCTTGTGTTGCTCGTATCGTCAGGCGGAACATCTAGACACAAAGATTAGCCCGGTGCTGGTAAGTGGTTGAACAGAGTACATACCTTCTGCTGATGGTTCGGCTCCAATCTCAACAAACACCCCGTCTTCCCCTTCTCAAGCTGCAACACCGCACAACCCACAATGTTTCTGGGATTCGGATCGACATTGTCCAATATCCTCCATTTGAACCCCGACACAACATCCCGTGTATACTCGTCGCTCAACTCGGCCCCCTGATTCTTCGACCCGAACGTGCTCTGCGCTTCAAGCGGGCCTCCGCCGATTTGTCGCCAGCGCTTGAAAAAGTCCTCGGCCGTCAACTCGGAAGGGTCCATGAATCGGTGAGGTAAAATCGGTAGCTTCAAGGTATACCCCTGCAATGCGCCGGCCAGATATGAAATGCGAATGGTTGGGGGTTCGGCAAATGGTGCCACAGAAGTACATATAATCGTCTGCTGGACTTGTGAGTCCGGTCCGACGTTCGAGTCCGGTAGACTTTTTGTATCTATCTTGAGGTTCGGCGCGGATTTGTTTTCGAGGGTTGTTGTGAAGCTTCCAATGGGAAAGGAGGCTTTGTTGGCAAAGTACAACTTGACCACCCCCAGATGGCCACGGTATTCTGCCCGCAACCCAACTTGGATCTGAGGGTCTTCATACAGCACGCCCTCGTCGGTGAAATACATTTGTTCATAGCCAAGTTCCCAGTCTGGAGACAGGTGAGCCGCACCAGCGAGATTTGACTTCGCGCCGTCTGTGTGACCGTTCATCTCCAGACCTTCTAGATCTTTGCTCGCGCTGCCTGTGGCATTCTGCTGGCCACTGGCACTCTTTGTTGCTGTACCGTTTCCGTTCTTCTGCGGGGATCCGCCGTGGACGATGGTTGTGAACGTCCGCTTCAGGCCAGTCTGTTGCGCGAGGAGGACCTCTTGCTTGTCAGCGTTCGCGTCTTTGCCACCAACAAGCCATGTCCTCCGCTCGCTTGTACCGACACTCTTCTTGTGCAATCTCTGGAGCAAGATCGAGGCTCGCTCGGAGAAAGGCGGCATCTCGTCGCAGATAGTCCTCAGTAGGTCGTCGGTAGGCAGTGTCGCAACAGCGAGATACTCGCAAGCTCTTTGCTGCAATTCCGAGTCCGGCGAATGGCTGTAGAATTGGAACATCTGTAATAGCTGAGGTTTAATCTCGGGAAAGAGGTTCACGAATTTGACAAATGTTGACAATAGTAATGCCCTTGTAGTGTCAGGGGCTGATATCATCTTGGTCTGGAGCACCATCAACTGCTCGATTGGACTGCATCCCTTGTGGTCGGCAATCAAGTGTCCAAATTCTCCGAGAATGTATCCTCCAATCTTAACGAGTGTATCATGACAACCCTCCGTTTTGAGATATTCGAAGATGTGTTGTGCTGCATATGGCTGTATTTCCTCGTTATTCGTGACAATCTGTACCACCCTCTGCCAGACTTCGTCGCTGACATGATCTCCGGCCATTGCCAGTAACCTTAGAGAGATATCGATGTACCATTGAGCATCGGTGGCGTACTTCTCCGTCAGAATGGCAATCTTTAGCGTCATCTCTTCACGTATCGAATAGTCTGCGGACTGGAGGTATTTCAGAAGTTCATTCACAATCGACTGAGCATTCGTGGTGTCACACATGCTGTAGAGCAGATCGAGACCTTTTCTTCGGACGCTGATATCTCGATCTCGTAACGATCCGATGATGATGTTCTGATGCCGCTTTATGGGATCGAGCGTCTCGGATCTGGCAGCGAAATGAGCCATGGCGTCCAGGCCCAGATAACGTACGTTCGTTTCTCGGGACTGGATAAATCTCCCCAGTTTGGAAGAGATCTGTATCATAAGTTGGTGTTCGCTGTCGAGATGTATGAGAAGATTGATTGCTTCGAAAAGGACTGCGTTCTGAGCATTGTTCTGTTGTACGTTTTTGGGTGTTTCGCTGGCGGCTTGTACGATGGCCTGGAGTGATTCCCGGAGTATATCGCGAACGTGTGAATCTTCGGAAGGTGGATAGTATTGTAATAGTTTCAGGAATTTGACCTGGATCCAGGGGCAAGGCACTTTGTAGTAGAAATAGTCTGGTGAAACGTCGTTTTCTATCACAATCTTCCGTAGTCTCTGGGCGGCCTTGACGTAGCTTCCTTTGTATGCTTCGGGATGGTCCTGCGTCAATGCCATGACCAGGGAAGTCACTGACAAAACCACTCCCATATCCGGATCGTCCATCAGAGATATTATTCTTTCTGCCCACTCCGCCTGAAGGATGCCAGGATACTTTCGGTAGAGTCGGAGGAGGGTCAGGGCCGCTTTCTTCTTGACAAATGATTTCGAGGTGGGAGATATGAGAAGTCGATGCACATCATCACTCAGGGCTTCGCCCATCTCTCTTCCACCCACATTGGCAACCGCATGTAGCGCCAGACAATTGTTGAGTTCATTGTGGTCGGTCAAATCCTTACGAATGCTGTTGACCACCAAATGCAGCAATTCACTCTGTTCATGTAGGAAGAGCGTGACCGCAAGGTAGCCGATCTGCTTTTCCGAGTACTTGGTCGTGGAAATCAGGTTGACCGCCTCGAGGTGGCCGAAGTCGACATTGTATCCTTGGATGTATATGTAGAGCAATTTGCAGACATACTTCTTTTTCTGGTACCCGTCCAACTTCTCGTTCTTGAATTTCTGTCGGATGTTGGCCAACTCCTTATTGATGCGCTTTTCCTCGAGTTCGCGAGCTCTGGCATTTCGGAGATCGGCTATAAACTGGACGAGACCACGCATGGACGACATGATGAGGATCGGGGTAGGGTGATCATCTGGAGGTGGACTGCCTTGGTCTGGAAATGGTCGGTGCTGGCCTCAGGAGGCCGTAAAGACGTTCGTCGGTGAATTCTCCTGTTCTGAAGTGCACATCTTATCGGCGCGAGAGATTGCGTGCAGAGACTGGCACTGTATCGGAACTAGCGATGAGGACGAGTACAGACTCTCTGGATTGTGAGTGTAGCCGTAGGACTCCGCAGTCAAAGCGTCGATGGCCGTGGCCGTGGCAGTCAGGGTGCGGTGCACTTGCTGTCTCCACAGAACACGCCTGCACTTCGGGGCCGCAGCGAGGCTTGGGGAAAGCCTCGGACTCGGAATCAAGTTTCGCCAACTCCGCTTGAACACCTATGCATTGAGGGTATACCTGATTAGATGAGTATAAGGGAGCTCATTCTATTCACTCGGCATTTCTGCTGGTAGCTCTGCTATAGCCGAGTAACAGTCACGACTTCGCCTCACCCAAAGCTATAATCTCATCTAGCAATGACACCGTTTCGGCTGGACTGGCAATCCATGCACAACAACAAGCACTTCGCGCCTTGAAATCATTCCCACCGCCGCTCAAAAATTGATCGCCAACATGCAGAGTCCGAGATGGTAGGATACCACCAGACCACTTCTGACACGCTTGTACTCCTAATGACTTGTCTCCAATGTCAAGAAAGACGTCCGCTCCACCGTTAAAGACCGTGAATGGAATGTGAGCATGCACTGGAGGCCCATCAAGACCTGCCGTCGTTATGGTAGAGTCTACCACTTGCTGTACTACCAGGACCGTCTCTTCCAGCTGTTCGCGGGTAAGTTTCTTCGATTGATCTGCCGCGTAGATGCCCACCGCCCGCTCTTTACGCAGTACTTTTGCCTGCAAGTGGAGGGTGTGGATGCATGAGTGAAAGGCAGCTTCGGCCACGTCAAGGAGGGATTGTATGGCAGGCTCCGTCCAGTTCTTCATAGCTTCTAAGATCCATTCCCGCCGGTGGACGTATCGCAAGCAATACTCGGCTTCGGCATCAAACACGAGGAGAAAGTTAGACTCTCCGCCCATGATGATCAGGTTGGCCTTTTGTTGTGGAGTGAGTGTTGTCGAAGATTGAACTGCCAGCAGCAGCCCTGACAATCTGTTGAAGTAGTGCTGTGGTTGTGTGTATCCAGCAGCTGTGACAATGCCTATCCGTACGTCTCGAGAGAGAAAGTATAGCAGTCGAAGAATGACGGGGTTAGCCTCTGGAGAGTGCAGTGATGCTCCATCCTCATAAAGCGTGACATCACCATCGAATGTAAGCAGTTCCAATCCTGGTGATAGTTTCGCTTTGAGCGAACGATAAGGCCTAGGTTGTATCATTGCCATGACTTGTGCCGTGTTGAGTATCAAGCGGATGTCGTTGAACGATGGTGCGACGAACCGACGTGATGAAATGGCTCTTTTGGAGTCCTGGTGTACGAACGCATCTTCCAATGCTAGGGGCGTGAAGAACGCCGATATACTTGGGACAAGCATACTGAGTTTGGATTTCGAATAGGGCGACTCTTGATGGTTAACTGCGCTGCGTCAGCGCTTACGGGCATGTCATCGTATCGACTCACTTTGGTCGAGGATCAACTCCTGCACGTCACGAAAGACCTCCGCATATCTTTGATGTGCGGACCTTGCCATGGTGTCGAGGTTCTGCCAATCGGTGTCATCGTACTCGAATGCTGGCTGTGAGCTCAGCACGAATGGTACTGCAAGAAGACCCTAGATGACGACGTTGGCACGGATATTCCCAAGGCCTGCCTGGGATGATGCTTTGACCTACTTTGATCCATTCTATCTGTCGACATATCAGCATCTCGTACCGGATCAAGTTTCTCTACCAACCTACCAGTTGATCTCTGCGGTGTGTCTACAAAGATTGCACTGTCAGCATCTTGCACGATCTCGATCAACAAACGATATGAACCTGCCTTTAGCGCATCTGAATGCCATTAGCCATGTGCTGAATAATCGAGGCCAGAACGTACACTCAACGCGATATCTGGTGGTCATATCGAGCTATGCTTGCCAACCCAACGTGATACAGTACACCCTGTAAGAAGAGCTTTCCAAGTTAGGTAGGTTTAGACCTTGAGGAGCCAGAAAAAAGCAATGTTGCTCAAGGTCATCTTGAGTTGTACCACGTGCCAGGTGACCCACCCATTGGGAAGCAGGGTAATGCCGCCCTAACTCGCCCGCTAATTATCACTGTGGTTTTAGCGTCCTGCCAAAGGCAGCGTACATACACTTACGGGCACTTACGTCCCCGTACGTCTACATTATATAGCGCCAGCCATTCCCTCTGACTTAGTTAATTAATCACTCCCGCCGTTATAACTATATCACCCTGGACCATCACGCATCGTTCTTCCACAAACAATGGACTAGTCTGCCGAAATCTCAGCGCAATCAGCACATTCAAAACTGTGTCCGTCAGGAGATGGCCAGTCGCCTAGGCTGACTGGTAGGCAACGGACGTCCAATGTACTCGTACGCCCGCGAAGTAAGCCAGTCTAACCTGGTTGGCGAAATGTCTTGCAGCTTTACCTCTGTGACGCTGATCGCGAGAACTCCTACGTCCAAGGCTGTGCATCAGAGCTTTGTTGCAAGCCACCTCATCAATCCCGCTCCGTGTCGTCCTAGCCTCAGAAGCCTTAACGCGAGATGAGCAAACTTCTGGTGTGCTGCCCGCGTTCACCACCGCGCTATGAATCCCAGTCTGCTGCTGCCTGCGACGCTATTGCCAAGCTGAATTCACGAAAACCATTTTGTTCTCGATTCACTTTCATCCGCCACATGTGGCAGGCCTTGGAGGAACCGCCCAAGTCGCATGAGAAACGGAAGACTTCTGTCGTTGTCTATTTGCACCTGCTGCAGCAGAAAGTCATGAAAACAAAGGCAATCGAAGATGCTGACTGCTACGTTTCAGGTCTTTGCCACGGCATATCGGTCCTTGAGGAATGCAACCTCAGGGAAGAGAAGCTACGCGAACTGGCCTGCGCGTATTCATCCAATCATTCCCGGACCGAAAATATCGAAAACCTCAAGCTTGCAATTGAAACACTGGAACGATGCGTCGAAACCACGGGGAAAAAGACATATCCACAGGCAACTATTTCCATTCGAGCGGCCCTTGTCCATCGTTACCAGCACTATGAACGGTCGAACGACGTTGTCCACTCCGTAAACTTGCTTCGAAAGGGGCTCGAGGCCACACCAAGAGACGATCCGAACTATGCTCCGTTGCGAAACACTGGGCTGGATAGCTTCGTTTCCGCATTCGGCCATCTGCGGCTCTGCGCCGTTTGGTGCCAAAATGCGTAGCCAGTTGATCAAGAATCTCGATCTGGCACTTTCGTCCGTTCCAGCCGAAAGCGATCGAATGGACCGGATCAAGGAGCACCGCTAAGCGCTTGATGAGTCCGGAAAGGACCCGGCGGAAAATGCGCAGCTACTACGCGGCCTATGACGGTGAGCTTTTGCCGCCTTCAAGTCGGATCAAAATGTAGATTCTCTAGATGAAGCGATCCGTTTCGCTCGAGAGGCTTCGAATGAGCTAGTCGTGCACCATAACGATATCAGAAGCCGACACTCTAGTCTTCTATGTCCAGACAAAAGGCATCGCGACTCAGAGCATGAGTCGGCGGAGGAGTACGTCACTGCTGTACAAGCTGCGGTAGATGCTACTACCTCTCGGGAGCACTTCACGCACAATCACTTCGTTCAACTACTGACTTGGGGCATAGTGTGCGAGGTTCAAGCATAGTAACTGCAACGAGGACTTGGACAATGTCATCCGTTACGTCAACCGACTTATCGACGCTCATCATGTTATTCTGCCGGAGACCAAGTTGATACTGTGTGATCTCATGCATTGCTCTTGCACATAGTTTTCTAATAGTTCTTCCCAGGTTGTGGTTTACGAATCAACTCCGATCCGATCCCAGTTCGATTCCGGGTACCGCCAGACATGTGGAATCTTTTTGTATCTTTGTTTCGGTCTCTTTTTTTTGGGCCTCATGGGTAGGTCCTATAGTGGTCAGGCGACTTTGATCTCCAGTTACTTTTTCAGTCTGGATATTGAGATTCATGTCAATATGAGCATAAAAGTGGCATTTCCGACTTTCAGTCATAGCTTCTTTCGCTTCTTCTTCTCAGGATGGCACAACTCAGGAGATCGCATTGCCCTGTAATGCAGAGGATTCTCGTAATAGATACCACACATTGGCGCAGTAGACGGAAACCTCCGGATCCTGGATTGCTCTCGCCACCTTAGCCCTGGTACAAAGCGCCTCACTACGCATCTGCCCGCCGTGGTTCTTCGAATAGTTCCAGTCTGCCTTGCAGACGAGGTGGCCTTTGACCAAAAACTGCTGTTGTGGCTTACCAGGCATGTACCCACTCATCTGGTCAGTGTCAGATAGCGGCAAAGGCGTATGCTAGATAATCCATACCTGATACGATCTGAGTAGAATAGTGTTGGGCATCTAGCCCGATCAGGACGCACGCCTGGCGGGGTTCCGCACGATTCTCCTTCGGCGCTCTGAGGTCTCCAGCAGGCACGAATGGCCCTCTAACACGCAGCGCACGCAAGGAACCTGATTCTCGGCTGCAAGCCTAGATGGAAGAAGTGATCAGCTCAGGAGTACCAGCACGTAGAGGCACATGGTCAGAGGCCAGCCGAATATGCCATGCTTAGCAGATAAGCACGCGACCGGTACGTCTGCGTTGCACATAACGCAAGGCCAGTGATGAGGCTAAGCGCAGACTAGAGCACTTACAAGCTGCAAGGGAGCTTGAGCGCTCTACACTGTGTGCAAATGCGCGGCACAGAGCACGTTGGGAATAATCTGGGCAGAGGTGTCCTCTGCGCGATCGGATCATCGGAGGCTTGTGCCTGCAGAAGCACAGCGTAGTCTTGGAGAATTGCCCGTTGAGTGGTGAGGTATTCCTCAACTTTGATGGTCCGACCGCAGTGCGTTTGTTCGTCTCCCAAGAACATAGTACCAGCGCCGCCGGCCCGGCGGAATATACTGTCGAGCTTGAGGACAACCTGCTCGACGGGTATATGCTCCCGCAGGAGTAGTAGATAGTACATATAGCTATCGTATATATTCCCGGCAGAAAGGTCATTCCGGTTTAGCTTTGTGCCTTGTGACTCATGTATATCAGTAGTCTCAACTCGGGGGAAAGTATTCATGGTGACGAAAAGGGCTGGTTTGCGTGGCCATAGCTGTCGATAAACAATGACATTTCCGCTTCCTGGTGCTAGGCATATATTTTCTCGAACGCGTAGAAGCGTTTTCCTTGGTTACCAGTGATGAATGGCGCCAGCGCCATGGCCATCATATAAACAGACTATACAGCGCTATAGGCCTCCGTTACCGCTTCAGCCCTACCGCCTTTTGACCATCCCAGGACACACGTAGGCTCTCAGTCTGTCGTACGTCACTCTACCCCGATAAGTTTCTCGTGTCTGCGTGTAAGGAGTGCCTGAAATCTCAGCAGGGTCGTCGCCAAGCCCGTCTCTCGCTTCTTGACCCGAATCCTGTGGAAGATGAAGCCAATTATGCCGGTAATGATAAGCAAGCCGGCTATATCACCAACTGCACCGCCAGCGATAGCACCCATATGACTGGGACCAGAGGTAGGGCTGGGTGTGGACGCCGACAGCCCCTCCGAAGTCGTAGTGTCCGTCAGTGCTATAGACGAGGTTGTGGGTCCTGTAGACGTAAGGGTGTCGTGATCATAGGGTCTACGATACTGAATCTCGTAGAGGAGGTAGAGATAGGTTGATCGAGTCGGCTCTTGCTAAGACTCACTAATGGATTGTACAAAAGATGAAAAGTGTACGCAAACCACATCCCGCACTACGGTGGAAGTTTCGATCAGAGCTGGGACAACGTATGATTGGCTACTTCGCCAAAAAACCGATGCCACGAAATTGATGGCGGGATTCCAAACTGCACAGTAAAGGGGTAGACCGTTATCAACGAAGACAAGCCAGCCTTTCCATTTCTCCCGCATCAACCCGGGCAGCACTCACTGCCTGTAGCCTGGTGCTGGTGCGTATGTACCATTATAGGAATGACCGCTCGCAGCACCAGCACCAGCTCCAATCACAAATCCACCACCATGACTAACATGACCTTGGTACTGCTGTTGTGGAGGGTAGCAGACTTGCTGAGGTGGTTGATGACAAGTTTGAGGCGGCTGTGGGCTACACGGACGAGAGTTGTGGCAAAGGTCCTGCTTTGACCGCTTCTTTTTGATGACATCTTCAACGATAGAACCCAACATTCCGCCACCAAGCGCCCCAAGGAAGCCCTTGCCGTGGCAAAGCTTATTACCGGTAGCGCCACCTGCGACCGCACCGGCAACACCTCCAAGGAGGCCACGATCGCCCTCCTGGCTGACGTTATCATTGGGGTTCATGTCATAAGCAGTATAGCTTTGAGCGGTGTGCGTCTGTGTTTGTGGATCGTAAACGCCGACCTCCTGATGCATGACTTGGTATCCTTGTTGTTGATTGTCATAATTTCCTTGGAAGGCTGGTGTTTGCTGCTGGTGTTGTTGGTTGTTGTAGTAATCTGACATAATGAAGTCTTCACAGCGAGTGGTTGAATAATGGCAGAAATGTAAATTCTTGAGTTCAGACTGTGGTGCGTGGTAGGAATACTGAGAGTAAGACAATTCAGGAAAACCTCTCACGACAGCCATGTTCGTCAACTTTATATAGAGAAAGTCCTCCATGTTTCCTGAAGACAGACTTTAGTCCGCCTTGGCCCGTTGGAGGTTCTTGCCCTCCTCGGCTGGTACACATCCGGATGGGGCTGGAAAAGAATGAATGATAGCGCGCACAGTAGGCTGACAGACTATGTGTCAGGGGGTACAGTATCTTTGCGCGCTCGCGTATCACAAATGCTTTGGTCGGTCTCGCCAGCGGCCCACGTAACCTAAATCGCTTGCAATGCGTAAGATACAACCATCATTGGGCGACAGGACACGGCGTCCTCGTTTACTGTGCTGCATAGTAACTTGGCAGGACCACAGCATCACTGTCACACTGACATGAATCGGTGTGACTGGTCGATGTAGCGGAGCATCAAAGTCAACAATGCGGAAGAAACCAGCTGAGCTGAGACCGCAGCTGTCCTGAAGGAGGTGCGTCCAAGATCATGGTCTAACCGTGAAAACAAGGCTGTGTTGATGCCCCAGCAATTGACCTCGTATTTATGATAGCTCAGGCCGCTGTCTTGGCCACATAGTTGTTCAGGAATTACGCGAGGCCAACATGATGACTGGCGCTTCTGAGGGCCGGGCTGAAGAGCCGCTTTCGTGACTGCAACAGGTTGGCCCCAGATCAGTGGTCGTTGCCGAAGGATCTCCCCCAAAGCATGACGAGTCCTTATATTGAGGAATCGCTCTGGTGTTGAGTATCCCTACGTATAGTGTCCGCTGAAGCCACTTTCGTGACTGCAACAGGTTGGCCCCATATCAGTGGTCGTTGCCGAAGGATCTCCCCCAAAGCATGACGAGTCCTTATATTGAGGAATCGCTCTGGTGTTAAGTATCCCTACGTATAGTGTCCGCTGAAGCCACCTGTAGGATCCTCCGAATCTTATGACGTTTCTAGGACACGAAGTTGGACAAGTTGAGTACGGCCTTCAGACTGAACCCTATGTCTGGTGATGGGAAGTGTTGACAGTGGCTTGCTAGAGACCGGCTGAAACTCGTATAAAAGCTTTGATCTTTCCTGGGATTTCTTTTTCCGCGTGAATGACCAGAACGGACTCCAGGAAGGATTGATGCTTTATTGTTACAGCTAGAGCTCAGCTCTTGATGCGCCAATCTCAATGCCAATTCTTGGCAACAAAGACTTCCAGTCCGCTGTCAACTAGGAACCAGTGATACACGCCTTGCCAAGGTGGAGGGCTTGGTATCTGCCAAGGCAACTGTGAGATGGCTTGGTTCTCCGTAAAGGGCACCCTTTCCACCTTCTCTAACCTGCAGTATCCATGCGAGACCCACACACGGTTGTTCAAGGTCTTTTCGTCTTTACGAGACTCGCCATGAGACTCGATCTCAATGCCTGAGGGCTTCAGATACCGCACTTGCACAAACGGAAAGTAGCTCAGCTGAATGTGAATCATCTGTTTGTTTTCTATTAGTGCATTCCAGCTCAAATTCCCTCGTGCAATCGAGGCACTGTACCAATGTCTCTTGTTTTATCGCTCGCTGAGCGCTTCAGGTTCAGGCCATCACGACTCCCGAGACACACTACTTGAGAAAGTTTCAACAATGGAAGACCTTTCGACATCCTACTTGCCTTTACAAAGTCCGAAATCATGCTAAATACAAAAGTGGACACCTATACGACAATTGAGAGGCACACGATCATTCTCAGGACCTGATGAGTGCTACAAGTAGAACACTGCCTGAGCAGTTGGTCACGAAGGCATGAAGCAATGCACGAGCACTGCGCCTTGTTCCGGAAGCTCTATGACAGATAAGATTCTGTACGAGCTCGATGCGCTGTACTGGATGGCCCCCCTGTATCCGCCGTAGGTTGGCGGGAATACTCAACACCGACACTCAATAGGCCAACAACCCCCATCAATTGTGAATATAAGTATTGTTGCTTCAGGTAGTTTTTCTCCCCAATGCTCTCATTCTCCTTGACCCTATACAAGATGATTGTTAGTGCCCACGGAGCCCCAACTATGTTTTTTTTGTTTCTGTACTTTGCATGCGCCTTGTCTCAGTATACCACAACTTCTCTCTACTATGATCCAGCTACCACAGCTGCCTTATCTTATGAATATCAGACAACACGGGGAACCACGACTTCGCTCTACTATGACCCCGCTACCACAGCTACCTCATCTTATGAATATCAGACAGCACCGGGAACTACATCATCGTCCTATTCCGCTTCCTCTACGCAATCCGGATACCCTCACGACTCTTCGCAGTACTCCGATAAGTCGTACCCTAGCGCACCCACAACCGATTCCACCTACAGCACGCCTATCGTGTCAACGCCAACGCCTACCATCCAGCCTACTGAAGACCCTCCAACACCAACTACCGTGCCTAAGCCCTGGTGTAAGTACTTTCTCCCCCATCCCGCAGCAGAAGTCGCTGACGAACTTCCAAGACGAAACAACAGCCGGTAAATGGGGCCTAGGTGCTGGTGGTACCAGCTGCTGCATGTGTGTTATTGGATTGTCAGTACACCCTTGACCTCCCTAAGTTCATTAATGTGACCGAATTTAAGCTGATAGTCCTTTACCCCCTTCAGCGTGACATGGTGTATCAAAATGCGTCACCGTAAAGGCGCAAGAAAGCGGTACGCAAAGCTCACCGATAAGTATGGTAACAACTGTCACGACGTGGTCAATTGTGGGACATGCTCGACTGGCTATACGGGTGGTGGACAGGGTCTGCCATTCTTGCACGACCCTTGTGGTACACCGATCAACATGACGTGGCAGCCACAGGCCCCGAACGGAGCGTGGCAGGATGCAGCGTAGGAGAAAAGAAGCCGCAAGATACAAACTAGCTGGTCAAATTTGCGAATCAGCAGTTACGAAACAGAGTCGCAATAAAGGAAAGTTATGCGAAGGTGAGAGGCTATTAAATTATGAGGATACATTGCTGCTGTGAATGAGAGCATAGCAAAGCTCAAACGCAGGACGAGGGGGGGCTTAACTCTATTGTCAAGCTGTCAAGCTGTCGAGCCTTTACTCTGTTTTCGTGCCGCTACTGTCTCATTTCATTAAGGTCGATCGTAAGATACAGATTGACGGTCATAAGTATGAGCTAGACTATCGACTTACTCAGCATCTTGCTCTAGGCGCACTTGAACCACGTGTGTACTCAAGGCCATATAGGGTTGATTCAAGTGTTTGAATCAAGCAATTCGTGCAGTTTTCCACATCCAACCCAGAGAAACTGACTAGCTAAATGTAAGAAAAACATGTCTGCACCCTCGATATCCATGCGTCCACAGACCAATCCCAAGAGTCGATCACAAAGCGGTACGCGTAGTAAACTCCGTTGACTGACCTTTAATGTCCTTGAGTTTCGACCTTTCCTTTGCTATCAATATTAAGTTGAAATGGCACTGTAGAACGCAAACTATATAGATTGGCAAGTTTTGGATAAATACTGTGCTTCGTAGTTTCGTTCACATAGACGATTAATCGAGCGGTTTCGTGATTTTTCCTCCGCATCCGATATCCCAAACCTATTACACACATTCTTCGCGACACATTTTGCGATACTGTGAAGTCTATGGGAGTCCTACAGAATTGGTATTCGACTTAGAGTTGCCGAAAAAGGGCGGCTGAATGTCTTGTCACCAACATCAGCGAATCGTTCTTCTGTTCCGTAATTTCGAGATCACAGAACTCTATGCCTCATTCAAGAGGTACTGCCCTAGTGTTGTTTACCATGATGTTTCGATTGCTAAGACGAACACTCGTGTCCAGTGGAGTTCAGATCTCAATGGTCGACAAGGATCTGTTCTCAGTGCCGCAGATATACTTCGTCTGAGTCCAGAATATGGGAAACGATTCCGGCAGTCAGAAATCGCCTAACAGTCTTAGGTATTACTGTCTTAGGAATTCCATTTAGTACTACTAAGGATGTATCCAAGCCAGAGTCCTCCAACCAAAAGTATCGATGCTGATTTGTCCCACGACTGCGAAATCCTCTTGCCCTTGTGGTAGTATTGAACATTCAAGGAACCGATTGAACCACCATTTCGGAGATGGTCTCCATGAAAAGCACTTTACTGCCATCACTCCACTGAAACCAAATAAGCGAGACCGAATATAACATCCTACTTCTGGGCATCTCGTCCATTCATGGCTGTGCAAAGAGCTCTTTTGTACTTGGTATTGTACTAGTAAGTTTGACGTCTTGGCTTTCATGGAGAGCTGAACATCATACGACTATGCTCCTCTCCCTCCCTCAAAGCGGCATACTTTCGCTAGAATCATTAATTCCATTCTTAGAGTTGCCGGCGCATCGGGGCCATAATCTGTAACGGTCGTCTTCAGCAGAAGGCGGACGACTCCTCTGAGGCTTCGGCTCCAGTATGAGGGATACCTCACAGTGGTGTATCTGCCTCACAGGAGCAGCGTCTCAGACGGCGTCTCGAGAGATTCAAGACTTACTCCAGGACGATGTAGGACTCCGATCCCCGAAGGACGTCGCCACCATGGCTCAAAATAGCATCCTTCATACTGGCCATGACCTAGCAGGCGCCCTCTTCCCCTGGCACAAGGTCATTGGACGATTCTCTGGTACCCAGAGCAGACAGACAGCTTAAGGGAGCATACTCCCGGAGTCCGGACAGGTATCGTCCTGGCAAATACAAAAAAGCTATCTTTGCAAGGCCTCTGATGCCAGGACGCCGGTCCTTTTCGAATGTGAGGTCTAGCTCTGAGTACTGGATGTGTAGTGGCCGTGTCCGCCTTTGTGAAGGCGAAGACTGCCGATGTGAGGAATAAATGTCCGGTGAGGCTGGAACCGCAATAGCTCCCAACTTAGCCCTGCATATGCGTTTCGATTTCAGGAATGGCCTATTCTTCGTCCGAGATATGTGGTCAAGGTTCTCTCAATGCATTCGCGACGATGGCTAAGGTTGTTCAATATACACGTGTTCATATACACCCACAGCCAACCGGTGCCCCTCTCATCCTCAAGTACAGCAGAGATCCTACTGTCGGGCTCGAGGTAAACATTCCGGATTTTCCTTCCTTTTCACAACCTGTCTGCAAACCGGGCAGTGTTCCTCGGACCCGCGAACAGTGGTCGCCCGCCGCAGCCATTCTATTAGGCACCCGTTTGCAAAGCCGTGACCGTGCTTGGTCACAGCATTTTTTGATCCGGGAATGCAAATGTTGCAGCTGATTGCGGCGGCCAAGCACCTTGTTCGCGCTCTGTAGGTAGGATGGCAAATCCTTTCGAGCGAATAGCAACTACTCCAGTACTCTGAGGACAACTTGATCAAAAGACCCGCTCTCTCTATCAACTCCCATCCCATTGGCCTTTGTGCAGCCTCGAAAGCTCCACGTCCATACATCATATTCCATCGCTGTTGTGTCGACGACATTTTTCACCTTGAGAACAATACATTCGGCCTGCACAGCAATCTGTAGAGTTCTGAGGACCTGGCCTGTGTCATACAGACTCAGTTCGCCATTATGAGGTTGTGTCACTGCCCACCCGTTATATCTGACCTCTGAATGAGGCATGGCGGCCATGCCCTGCGTCATCAGAGCTTCTTGAATATGCGCAACGAGGCCCAGCGTCAACATGTGGCGCAACGATGAGATTGCAGCATCCCTGGTCTCTTGCCTTAGAGTTGGAATTTTGCAGAATCCAAAATCGACCGGAGTAGATTCATAGCGTGATCCAAAAAGAGAAGGTCCCAGAAACGTCGCCAGCCCGATTTCGAAGCTTTTCCCTTCTGATAGGTTGACTTTGAAGCCCGTCCTCGCAGGGAGCATGACATGGGAAAGGACTCTCTCCGGCGCCCATGTCTTCAGTGATTCAAACACTGTGGTGCTTGACTTTTCAAATTCGATTGTGACTGGGACGCCAGCTTGCTTGAATGGACGAAGTACCGCTTGGCAGCTGTTCCAGAACGCAGTAGCTTCTGCCTTGTGTCTCAAATGTGCCAGTACCGGCCGTACTATGGCATGTTCGGTAGTGAGTCGTGGTCTCTGTGCCGTGGGCGGAGGTTTCTGCGACCTCTGCATCAGGTTCTCTTCGTGAACGGTATTGAGTCCCAGCCGCAGAGACACTGCGACAAACTCAGCAATCAAGTCATCTTCAGCATTTGTAGGAATGGCAATATCCTGCTCTGGCTCATATGCGAGCGAGAGTTGGTAGTCGCCGCCCACGTCGATCTCGACCGCCTCGGCACGACTGTGAATTCCTTGGTTGGCCGCTACACGTGCCTCTCGACAGACCTCGTAGAACAGTTCTTCCTCAAACAGAGAATCTCGCATATCTCTCAGTTGCTGATTGACATCTTCTGCTTGGCCTTTTGTCGCTGTTCGGAAATGAAAATAGCCCGTTTTGGTGTTGTCGCGGATGACCGACACGCCTAGCGCCTTGCGCCCTCTGAGATGAGACGGCCTGTCTAGGTAAACGCTCCCGTCGTCAGACTGGCGCAGCAGCGCAAATCCTCGGTCGCGAAACTGCGGTGCAGACTCAGCAAAGCCGAAATGTACTCCGATGGCTTTGCGGTCACGAGGGAGTCTTGAAACTGCCCATCCATTTGTTGTAAGATTGGCTACCTGAGCCCAATACTCTGATCCACGTTCGGCATCGTTGCGCAGTCGGCTTGATGCGGCGGATAGCTTCTCTGAGGCAGATCGAAAGCTGTCCGATCTCCAGCCTCGCGACAGAGAGGCCAGCAGCCGCCTTGAGGAAGCAGGAAGTGTTTTGTTCTTTAGAGTGTGTCCAGAGAGTGTGCCCACCGGAACTGCTTCCTTGAGCGCTGGTGACATGGAACCTTGAGCTGGGACCCATTGTTTTGATATGAGTAGCGAGACAAAATCCAAGGCACACAGGATTTCATTTTGGGCATAACTACCCGAGGTCAGTCTAGCAGCAGGCACGACTGAAGACCTACTCACCTCAGTCGTTCAATCATCTCTTCTCTTCGTTTCCACAAACGCTCTTGACGCTTCTGAGGAGTATGATCCTCATCACCATGGGGCTCATTTTCCGAAATCGCTCCCTTTGCTACGGCCGGAGCCTTGCCGTGGATCTCGGCTCGGAGAGCCTCTTCAGCAACATGGCGAAAGTGGCCTTTTTGGGCAATGACGCGTCGAATTTGAGACTGGAGATCTTCTGATCGAGAACATGATTCCAGAGGGACTACGAGAGTGACGGCGTTTGTTTGAGCCATGCCTCGAACTGCTGAAAGAATCACCTCTTTTGTTGATACGAATCCGACTCCGAACCGGCCTTTATAATGTGGCACGAGACCATCTCCAATCAACCACGTCGTTCTCGCGTATCTGTGGACAATTAGGCGGCGTATTTGAAGGCTACCATAGACGACTTGTCCCGTCCTGATGGGACCGCGATGAAAGGGCTCCGGAGAAGGTATGAGTTGGTTGCGCTGAAAATCTTCACGTGCTTTGGGCCAAGGTAAATTCCGTTGGAGAGTTAGCAAGTAGCCAAGCCCTAGCCTAGGCCGTGCGCGTAAGCAGGCACTCTGGGCGCCTAGTGGCCTTTTCTTTCTTTTGTTTAGCTAAAATGGAGCTTAGAATTACGGAGACCGATCGCCCAAGCTAAATGACGTGGGGTACTCGTCCTCTGCACCTTCAACACGCCGAAAGAAAGGTATGACAAAATTCTTTGCTTTACCTATCGTATCGCGAAAAAACATTGAGCTTTATCTGCTTCTCTTCTGCTTGCAGCCTGACCTGAAAATGTCCTCTTGTGAGCTTTCTTCTTCTTGAGCCTCATCTGAGTAAAAGTTTCATTCCTTCCTTCGATTCTTGGTTCTCCTCTTCCACTGCACCTCCCTCCCTGTATCGAAACAACCCCGCCTCGTATTCCTGTCCCACCACGAATCCATCCCGGACTCTAACACACGTTCGACACCATGGCGGGGGAAGCCGTGACTCCTGCGAAGAGACGCCGGATTGGCGTCATGACTAGTGGAGGTGACTCTCCTGGCATGAATGGAGCTGTCCGCGCCGTCGTCCGCATGTCTATTCACATGGGCTGTGAGGCCTATGCCATCTTCGAAGGCTACGAGGGACTCGTAAACGGCGGGGACCTGATCAAAGAGATGAAGTGGGAAGATGTGAGAGGATGGCAGTCACGAGGTGGGACACTGATCGGCACAGCAAGATGTATGCCGTTTATGGAGAGATGGGGCAGGTTGAAAGCAGCAAAGAACATGATCCTACGAGGTATCGATGCACTAGTCATCTGTGGTGGTGACGGCAGTTTGACGGGTGCCGACAAATTCAGAGCAGAGTGGCCTGGCCTGATCAATGAGTTGGTCGAGACTGGAGAGCTGACACAAGAACAAATTGACCCCTACAAACATCTCAACATTGTCGGACTGGTCGGCTCCATAGATAATGACATGTCAGGCACCGATGCCACCATCGGTTGTTACTCCTCCCTCGATCGAATCTGTTCCGCTGTCGACGACGTTTTTGATACCGCCGCATCTCACCAAAGAGGCTTTGTGGTTGAGGTCATGGGTCGACATTGCGGCTGGTTGGCCTTGATGGCTTCCATAGCTACTGGGGCGGACTTTGTTTTCATTCCTGAAAAGCCTCCTCGAGCAGATTGGGAAGACCAAATGTGCGACATCATCAAGAAACACAGGTCACGAGGCAAGAGGAGATCGATTGTCATCATTGCCGAAGGAGCACACGACGAGAATCTGAAGAAGATTACCGCAAACCAGGTCAAAGATCTCTTGACGAACAAACTCAATCTGGACACTAGGGTGACAGTCCTCGGACATACTCAGCGAGGAGGACAGGCCTGCTTCTATGACCGCTGGCTGTCCACCCTACAAGGGGTTGAGGCTGTCAATGCAATTCTCGAAGCCACACCTGAGACACCCACACCGGTCATCACCATTCGTGAGAACAAGATCGAGAGATCCGATCTGATGGAGGCTGTGGCGATGACGAAAGCAGTTAACGCTGCTATAGCGGCCAAAGACTTTGACAAGGCTATGCGGTTGCGAGATGTGGAATTTAAGGAATACTACAACAGCTACATAATTACCACGTCTACCGACCATCCGAAGCTACGTCTGCCGGATAACAAGACGATGCGCATCGCCATTGTTCACGTCGGCGCCCCTTGCGGTGGCATGAACCCCGCAACCCGGGCTGCTGTGGCTTATTGTCTGACCAGAGGCCACACTCCAATCGCAATTCACAACGGTTTTCCCGGCTTGCAGCGTCATCATGATGACAAACCAATAGGTGCTGTGCGCGAGGCTAAGTGGATTGATGTCGATCCATGGGTCAACGAGGGTGGATCTGAAATTGGCACGAATCGAGGACTTCCCAGCGCAGACTTTAAGAAAACAGCCGAGTGTTTCGAGTTGTACAAGTTCGACGCCATGTTGTTGATTGGAGGTTTCGAGGCTTTTACGGCCGCCAGCGAGCTGAGAAAAGCCCGTGCAGAATACCCAGCCTTCAAGATCCCACTGATTGTGCTGCCGGCGACAGTATCGAACAATGTTCCCGGCACGGAATACTCACTTGGAAGCGATACCTGCCTCAATACCTTGATCAGCTTCTGCGATGCAATCAGACAGTCGGCCTCCTCATCCAGAAGACGAGTATTTGTCATCGAAACTCAAGGTGGTCGGTCCGGATATCTGGCTACCATGGCTGGTTTGTCAGTCGGTGCACTTGCAGTCTACATTCCCGAGGAGGGCATCAACATTCACATGATTGCTCGGGATATTGAGTTCCTGCGAGAGAACTTTGCCAATGATCAAGGAGCATCTCGAGCAGGAAAGATTATACTTCGAAATGAAAAAGCCAGCACGACATACACGACGGAGATTATTGCCGACATGATCAAAGAAGAAGCCCGAGGTCGGTTTGAGTCGCGCTCAGCAAATCCGGGACACTATCAACAAGGAGGCAAACCATCGCCTATGGATCGGATAAGAGCCCTTCGGATGGCCATCAAGTGTATTCAACACATTGAGGACAGGTTTGCCGGCAAGACCAAGGCTGCCATTGCGGACGATCCGATGTCTGCGGCGGTGATTGGAATACAAGGTTCCGAGGTCGTCTTCACACCTATGGGTGGCGAGACTGGACTTGAGTCCCAGGCAACGGATTGGACCGACCGTCGACCCATGAACGAATTCTGGATGCCCATGAAGGATATCGTGGACATCTTGAGTGGCCGGCCAAGGCTAGGCGACTGCTGTGAGGAATGTGGAAAACCACTTTCGGGGGAGATTTCTAGATCCAAGTTGCCAAAATCAGAGCAATGAAAGACAAAACAAGAAGCTTACTACGGGCGTTTGGGCTGCTGGAATGAAAGGGATGGCAAGACGGAAGCAAGCGCTGCAAGTGTTGGAGCAAGACCTCTCCTTTTCATCAATACCCACGAGTAAGACTTCGCCCGAATGCGGAATTTTACAACAGACGTAGAATAAGAACCAAGGAGTGGACGACGCTTCTTCTGGCATACCATCCATCGAATGAAAATGCATTTTATGTTGATCTCAGTCTACTACTCACCTGATGTCTTTCACTCACGGATTAAAGTGGATTGACTGAGTACTGACTTTACTGAGTGAATATCCTCAAGCCGACCTTTACCAATATCCTCCTTCTGATTGGTCACATAAAAGAACCTGTATTCCCAGGTCCGCCAATAGCAGTGTTCGGATTGGCAGTGAACGCCGCTCCAAACCGATTCGGTGGGACGTCATATCAAGTACATAAAGCCCTCCGCGCCCAAAAGTACACTTGAGACTATTCAACAAACCGGACAATACACAACATCGGCCAACAGGTCTTTTTCACATCTCCATTGTCTACTTGTATCCAAACGCTCCTATCCTCACAAACCAACTCCTACAAGAAAAGCAAAGATGGTCAAACCAACAACCTGCTGCGGGCGCTCCGATGCCTGTGTCTGCGCCCAAAAGGCCACATGCAGTTGCGGCAAGCAATCCGCGCTGAACTGCTCGTGCGAGAAGAAAGCAGCCGAGAACACGTTGCAAGGAGCGAGATGTTCATGCAGTAAGTTTGAATCCCTAATCCTGCGTGACTCTGCACAAGCCTGCGAATGTCCCCTTCACCTTCCCCCAAGTCCTCTGCGTTGTGTTTGTCATTTGTTTTGTGTGGAGTGCAATGACTGACATGCGGCTACGCCTATAGGAGCCCGTCCCGCCGGCCAATGTACCTGCGATCGTGCCGAGAGCGAGAACACGACAGTGACTGGTGAAGCATGTGCGTGCGGACAGCGCAGCGCGGGAAGTTGTACATGCGAGAAAGCGGCTGATGGTGGACTTCACCCGGATGAGGTTGACTTCACGGGCAAGGCCTAAATCCACCACCTTTACACCTTTACGCATGGGAGATGTCAAACCGCGGCTCAATCACACACTGATTGAACTGGCATGGCATGGTTATCTGCATATGGAAGAGGCGTTTGGGGTTTACAGAATGATACCATCATCGATACGGAGCGGTTTGGGGCAGGCACAGTCGCCGTTTTGGAGAGAGAGTCAAGGGCCTGGCTAAAGACTTGAACATATTACGAGACCCATACCATACAACAGAATGAGCATTGAGATATCAGTTCATGAGATTCGATTGAAATGAAATACAGGACCCGAAAGGAACAGAAAAGAAAACCCCAAAGACAGTGCTGATGATCGAAAGGGACCATAGGAGCCATACTGTCCAACTGCCAGTCCTGCTCAACGCCTGACCCCAAACATCCCATGTCCACCAGCGCCGCGCTGAGCTTCAGTCATTTCCGTCATGTGAAACTCATGCTTGATCATGAACAATCTGGCCTTCACCTTGAACAGCCCTAGACTGACCTTGATTTGCCTGACGTTGAAGTCTCTCTTCAGCCATCTCTTGACCCACCCCATGTTCGATCCACCTTCGAACCTGCTCTTGCACCGCCTGATGTTCAACCCTCTCTCTCGTCTTCTCCATCAGCTGCCTCGTCTTCCGCTCCTTCTTCTCCTTGTCCATCCTCGCCGCAAATCCCGGATCCTTCAGCCTCTCCATAAAATGATCTTTCGCAAACCCTTTCTGCCGCGCAACCACCGCCCTGAAGTTCTCCCTCGCCCAACTCAGCACCGTCATAAACATTCCCGCCGCAAATGCCTCTCTTACACCACGCACCAAAGCCTGATCCTTCTCCGGCACATCCTCAATCGGACCCACAAAATCTCTCCTCATTCCGGCTACCAGGCAGTTCTTGTCCTTCGGATCATCAATCGGCAATTTCCTAATCTCCGCCCATAAACGCTGCGTTTCGATTTCGCGCACGCATTTGATTTTGTGATTGTCGAACTCCGTCGCAAACTGTGCCCCAAAGAAGTCCTTGGCATCCTGCTCGACCTGTGTTCTTGTCATGCTTGCCGATTCGCCTGGTTGATTGTCTTGATGCGCCGGCAAGTACCAATTGACCCAGTAGCTGTACACTGGCCTCCTGCCTCTGCGCTGGCGGTCTTTGCTCTTCATGTCGATGGCCCTGGCGGGGTCGTGGAAGCGGCAGGTGGTAATGTAGTCCATCATGGCGTCCCACGTATTGAAGGTCGTGCAGTATCGCTCTTGATGTAGGCCGAGGTATTTGAGGGCACTTTCTGGGTTGTTGGTCATCAGCACGCGAGATTCGGTCTTGTTGTGCGCTTCAACCTCGGCGATGCGTAGGTACAATCCGGTAGTCGTGCAGGTGAGGCCAAAGGGACGGATGATGCCACCAATCATGTTCCATAGGTCACCATGTGCTTGGAAGAAGAGATGCCAGTGGAAGAGCTCGGGGTCGGGAACGATGTGGACATCGATTTGAATGTACTTTTGTTTGTCGTTGGCGTAGGTGTCGGTCGCGGTTGCAGTGGTAGTCGATGCAGTGTTGGTCTCGGTCGTTGCCGCATGAGCATGCTTGAATCTTAGAGGTAGAACGTGGCTGGCTTCGATTTTCTTGTGTACGGCTTGGTCGGACGTTGTAGTTGGCTTGTCTTTAAACCCATCCTGATCCTCCAGAGCATCCGGCTCAGGCCACTTCACTGCAAGATGAAAAGTCGTGCAGCCGTCGGTGTGTTTCCACTTCTCGGCGCCAATGATTCTCTGCAGTCTGTTTCCGATTTCCTTGTCCTTATTGGAGTCTGGTTTGCCGTTCTTATCAAACTCCACTTCCAGTCCTCTCTCAACAGGCGCTGCGACCAGAATATCCACGTCCCCATGAGATGCCTTGGCTGGTGCTTCTATGGCATGTCCGGTGTTGGCAAAGTATGGTTTGAGAAGGGTTTCGACATGATTGAGAGTGTAGCGGTAGATATTTGGTGGCATGCGCGGCGTGTGTAGCTCTTCGGCGAATACGGTGCCACCCATTCTGAGCGATGTATGAGCCAAGTGTCCAAGAGCGAACACTTACAGTAGGTAGACTGAGTGAAGGATGATGGAGTGATGGAGACCCTAAGGAGTTAGCGGTGACTACGTCTTATACCTTCTCTTCATCCTGCTGACTTATGCTTTGTCTGATGCTTGCTGGAGGTTTGTGTTTGCCTTTGCTTTCATTCGTAACTCATTGTGAGTTTGCCTGATGTTTCCATGCGATAGCACATACTTTCCTTGCTAATGATCAAGCAATTGCTCATTTCCATGTTGATGCAGGCACATGCTTGATCGTACGGCATCGTTTTTTGATATGGGTGTGGCAGTGCTTTGATGTTCCGCTATCACCTGTGAATCCCGCTGTCAAACATGTTCTTTCTCTGCGAAACGAAGCAAAATTCATCCCATACGTGTTGGACATTGATCAACTGGCTAGCGCGATTTGCTCTTCCCAGTACGCCTCATTTACAAGGTAGCTTATGTTTAGGAGAAGAGTTGATGCGACCCTGGAAAGCAGCGAGCTTTGGTGATGTTCATCAACTGGGCAAGCACCTCGACGAGGCTTCCCCATTCTCAGCCTTGTCTTAGTCAGCACCACATCAAGCCTAATCATGGGCGGCGATGTTATATCGGCACTGAAAAGGTTATGCAATTTGTTATCACAGAGCATATAAGTCGTCAATACCAATGCCCGTTTTAGGCTATCAGCGGAGTCAAGTCAATACATGAAGCGAATGAGATTTCTAATATTCCAGCGCAAACTTTAGACCCCCTTCAAGCTGATCTCCAAAAAACCCAGTGGCACACATAGCCAGGAACCACGTCTACCTCGCAACCTGGAAGTCTTGCAGATCTTAACGGCAACGACTCGAACTTCAACGCGATATCTTCATGCCAGTGGGCCTCCTGGAGATGAAACGCTAGTCATACAACGCTGTCCAGGAGAGACTTCATAAAGACATTGAATAGGTATACTCATTTGAGCCTGACGGGCTTCCAAGGTCAGAATGTACCCCTTTCTCTGGAAGCAGGCTTTCCTCCTCCAAACGTGACAACTTCTGGATCATTAGATCACGAAGTGTGGTCAACAGTGTCGCTCATCTGGTGCTGACGTAGTTTCTTCCGCGAGAGAATGACCTTCAACCCTTGCCGGCAAGGGAGCAACGTCGAGACCGGGTGAGGGAAGTGACGGTAAACTGCTGACACTGGTAGTACGATAGTGATCATTGGCCTCTTCCGACTCAGACCCTATCAGGGAAGAAAGTCCAAGTACCCGTCCCAAACTTGCCCAGACTTGGTCGCTCCTCCCAGTTTGGGCAGGCGTAGGCGGAGCGCCGGACAGGTTTGGTGTTTCAGCTGGGGTCATATTAGGTGATGCAGACCGATCGGACATGTTTTGCTGCGAGACAGAAGCACTTCGCGGCAACCTCGAGTTTCCACCACTCAGGAAACTGGGAGGATACATTGCCATGTTTCTGATGTCGGTATTAATGCCTTGTCCATCGACCTCGTGAATAGCGACCGTATGGGGGCGCCTCAATGGGGCCCCTGTATTCGCCCCGTGGTGACCGAGCCGGCGTTGAAGTCCTCCGCTTCTCATGTGCGCTCTCATTCGCGCCGGGCTGAGTAAAGTAATCTCTCTTGATGCCTCCTTCAAGTTCTTGAGGTCCGGCATATACTGGGGGAGACTGAGGAGGCTCAACTTCAGTCATGGTGTCTGAGCCGATGTCCTTTCTGGTTGTTTCTGACTGTGTAGCCCATAGCCAGGGCACAACCCAGCTCTTTCTGTGACGCAGTTCCGACGTCCCCTGACTTGCAGCCCGACGCTGTTTGGTACGACGACGCCGGCAAAAGAATAACATGGCGCCCAAAAGAGCCAAAGCACCCACTATTGGCAAAATTACAGCCACAGGAATGACCCATCCTTGCTGGGAATGATGACTGGGCTCAGAGGCCGGAGAGGATGTAAGGGTCGTAGACGGAGGTCCAGTTGAGTTCGTTGAGATTGTAGACGTCAACTGTTCTGTTGGTAGACCGCGACAAGCCAGACTTGGCCGTACCTCCAATGGCTATCATTTGATTCGGGTACGGAGTAACGCAAACATGACCTTGCCTTGAGGCTCCAGCTCGTTCTACGCCATCGGCCTTGACCCAGGTGAAAGATGGCACTGTGAGGATCGATACATCGCTTAGCGGATCTCCGTTGTCGTTGTCCCACCCCCCATAGACGAATATTTCATGATGTGAGCCACTAGAGGTTGAGCCCACAACTGTGCAAAACTGCGCGAGCGGATGAGTGGGCGCTGGAGAACCGCTATTCAGGGGCTGCAAGCTCCATGTATCCGTACCAATGTCGTATACGGGGACCTCCCGCAGAAAGCTCATCGACGCAGTGGTGTTATCTTCGCCAACGTAGTAGTTGAGATCTGCGGGCCTCTCAACTCCACCAACGGCAATGAGGAGCCCTTGGGTTGAAGAAGGCACCCAGACAAGTCCGCCCTCCGCTCGCCATGGACATGCAGAGGTCGCTTTCGCCCATATGAGGGAGACAGCCTATGAGATGCAGCTTGTTGCTGAGCTACTTCCCCAATGGCAGGACGAGGCAAGACGACTGTGGCCTGGTTCGCGTGCCAACCAGTACCTCGACGTTATCGCACATAGCGTTGGTCGGCGGGCGGCTAGCCCTGCCATCAGCGCGATCGAGTATATGGAGCTCCTGGAGCAGCCAGACGTGGCCCAGTACCTTCGCACAGATCAGAAGTGCAGGAATGCGTATGTGATCGACACCAGCGAAGCACTCCGCCCGTGCCTGCAAGCATCTCCGCCCCTGATGCCGATCGTCGTTCGTGACTACGTCGTCGGCGTGTTAGAGTATCGCCAATTCCTCCTGAATAAGCCAAAGGTGGAGGTGCACGATCTAGGGCTCAAGGTTCCTGCTAACGGACCTCCTCGAACCACCCACATCAAGCCCGGCAAACTATTCAAGCGGATGGACAAGGCTGGTAATGCTCCAGTGAACTTTCTGAACCTGGCGGGCATCGCCCCCAATCCTGTTCCTAGGGCATTGGACGGACTTCACGACTACGACATTCCCTGGAACATCCGAGAATATGACGAGGCCGGCAAGGCCGCGAAGGAACGGGTGAGGGACCTAACCAACGGTACCCGCTTTACGTTGTATTCGACCAACAAGTTAGTCCACCTGGCCCACCGAGATAAAGGTGGGGTCATCACTGCTGTTCGAGTCCACCACGGGAAGAAGTTGTGGATTCTATACCCCTACCTAGCGCCCGATGACATATCAGAATGGCAGCAATCCGATGAGCCTACCCCCAAACCGAATCCAATCGCTCTGGTGCCGAAGCCAGGAGACACATTGATTATGCCTCAAGGCCAATTCCACGAGGTCATGTCGCTGGAGGAATCTTTGCTCACGGGCATCAAGATATGGGATTCCCGGACCCTAGTGCACGTTTGTAAAGCCATTTTGGAAGAGCACACGCTTCCGGGGATCACCAATAAAGACCTGGAGTATGAGTGTCTTGAGAAGCTCCGCGTGTGTGAGGGTGAATGAGCGAGGACATTGAAGCAGGGTGGCGGGTACTGGACATTTAGTGATCAAGCGGCACTGCGGCAGTTTTCCAAGTTGCTCAGGGTGAGTCTCCATACCCTTCTAAACCCCCATCCCCAACATGTTACGTCAGTACGCCTAACCTCACTACACGGACAGCAAGTGCGAAGCATCGCTCCGACAAAAGCGTCGAGCCAAGATCCATCGGCATTGGAATCGGAATCGATACAAAGCTTGGAACGTATCTTTATGTGAGGATGACATCGGCCTACGCTTTGACGTGCAGGAAGCCCTGCCCCTGAATTTGGCGAGTCAAGCTGAGACGCATCGTCGGTCTCTTGCGTTGCCTGCTGCCGAGGTTGAAGGCGTTGTTCTGGGGAGTCATCACTGACTAATCTGCATCAGTGACTTCACTCATGTCCACCTTGACCAGGAAGTTCGCTTCATCGGTCGGTGGATTGAAATAGTCATACTTGGTGCCCTTTTGATTATAGTAACCGCCAAAGTAGAAACCGAGGTCTTCGCTTGGGGCATTGGCTCCGGCGCCGTTTGTGACTCCCGAGATGAAATTCGAGTCTTGGGGAGAATAACCTGTGTTCGGCGTGCCAAGGTCATCGTTCCTGCCTGACGGGAGGTCGTACAATGGATCGTTGACAGTGCGCGCAGCAGTGTTCGAGCCAATACTGCGAAACGGAGAACATATCTGCGTCAGGAAACGGACCTGGTCCTGGAGTGACTTGCGATGCTTGATGTCCGACAGTGACTATATTTTGTCCTGATCCGGGTGAAGACAAAGCTCGTCCAGCTAGAACGCCTCGGTGGGAAGCCAGGAGATCATAAAAACGGCCCAGGACTGTGCTACGGAGAGCCAGTTGCAAGTTCCTAATGACAAGCAATGCGTAAGGTGCAATGCAGGAGCCCTCCATTCCGCAACACGAGTGTCAGTGTGAAGACCCCGCCCGTGTGAGCGTCTCATTGGAGTTCTAGATCGGGCCAAAGACCTAAGGGTTCTCTTAGCTGCGACTCAGGACCGATCGTCAGATGCCAGTTCAGGCCGAGCGGGCTCAGCTTTCATGACGGCCCAAAATGAGCGCAGGAACGAGCCTTTTGCGGACCAACAGAGCATCAAAATTGCTTGACGCTAGGTTTGGGCGAAGGAAGATCGTGTCTGGACTTGTTAGGTTGCTGTGTTAGAGGGGCTGTCGCAGTGGGCTGACCATGAAGATAGTCTTGGAACACAGCTCCGTCCCTTCCCTTACCGCCCCGGCATGGTTTACATCAAGTGCTGCAGAGATCCGCATTCAGGTGGCCATTCTTGGGGCTGTATCAGCCAGACCGGTCGATCATGTAACGATACGGACACGTCCTTCTCACTGTCAAGCATATTAGCGCAGACTGTCCGACCAACCGAGCTGCTAAAATTCAGTTTCCAGATCTTTGACTCCAGCAGGCAGGACCTTGGGTCCGAAGCTTTTCAAACGGCTACAGCGTATCAAAAATAGCTTATAGCTCTGGGCGTGAACCATGAAGATCCCCACCTCTGGTTGTCTGCTCGAAGTCAGCCGCATTTGATACCGCTGGAGTCCAGTAAGTGAGCGACGCCTTGTTCTCTGTTCCAACCAGGGACTAGGACCAGTCGCCCACCAGGATTACCAGCGAGAGGGGTTCGTTGTTGCTACTATCTTTGCTAGTGAACTGCATTCGGGACGGCTTGTGTAGCTCGACTCTGGTATAGGGTGGACACGGCAACATGACAGACAAGGTTTGCTTGAGCACAGGAGTTCGGAAGATAGCATGACGAGCGCCACATTCCTGGAGTTCCAGAAACTGCATGTCCAGAACACATGTTCAAGTTTGGCACAGAGGGAGTGTAGTGAATGATAAGGCTAACGTACGCAGGTGAGCACGAGCTAGAGCAGAAAACACCTGCGCGTGGCGTGAATATGTTTGCGAAGCACGGAAGTACTGCCCTAGTACCCTGAGCACGGCAAGAACAGACTGTCATTGGGGCCGCACTGAGAGAGAACTTTCCTCCGACAAACCCCAACACCATCCCGAAACGGAAGCATTTCTTCTTTGAGAAGTGTAAAAGTACATTCAGATAAGGTTTCTCACCGGCCTGGTCGGCGTAAAGCTCCACGCAGTACACCGTACAGTAAGTGCTTGTACGTGGACTGACGTTATCGTTAATCTAGCTATCTATCTACGAGTCTACGAGGCTATGGGTATCCAAGCTAGATAGGGGAGAATATAATTATTTAGCGTATTAGAGATGCCAAGGGATGTAAAGACGGTTAAAGACCGTTAACTGACTCAGGAGGGTGTCGTACATGATGTACGACCTCCGGATAGATATATAGTCTGACGGGCCCCTACGGCCCTTGAGCAATGATAAGTCCTCCGTAAAATCACACTAATGGCTTGCATCAATTGACGTAGCACCACGACCTACAATTCGAGAAAGTCCTCTACGCTCACATGGTACCTAAATTAGTGTACCTGCCTTTTGACCCCTACGTTCTTCAGGCCAGCCTCGACACTGACAGGTCGTTGGACTCGCTTCCAGTCAGAAAGCGGATCTGCCACTAACAACAAAAGTCCCCCTAGTCGGGATGCTATACTGCATATCGCTAAAACTGCTCTACCGGATCTTTCATGGCTCTACTTCCAGCTTCTCGAAATGGAGCCCACTGGCCATACTACAATCATATTGAATGCCAGAAACTCCAAGATAAGGAGAGACTGGCCGCCTGATGGCTGGCTGGAGGCGGCCAGGCACCCGAGGCAATTGATCTAAGCAAGGGTACTGACGAACGCTATGCAGAGTCGGCAGCCCCATCTGGTCCAGCGCGGGTAAGTGCTAAAGATTTCGACTTCGAGCAAAAGAGTTCCCTCGAGACGTCCGCTTGCGCTGTCCACGAGGTGCTTGATGGATAAAACATGCAACCCGGACTCTTCGATGACATCGGCGGTGCCTTATCGAAGTCCAATGTTCCTGGCAAAGATCGCGCAAGATGGAGCGCTCTGTAGGTAGACGGCCGGGACTACTAATATTCACTTCTATATCACGCGCTGATGAAGCTCGGCCTCTACTCTTTCGAATCTTTTCATGAGCGATATTCTCTGTCTGATTCCATGACAGTGATTTGCTCCAGATTCTATCAATACCCAAGCTTGGCATGATGAAGCTGAGAACTGTCTGCATCCTTGCTGCTCTAAGCTCTCTTATTGCTTTGAGCCACGGTCAGTGCTATGAGGTTGTCTATGCGGGCTACGGCTCAAGTATCACGCGTACCGTATGCTCGACGACAAGTACCAGCACCACGACAACCACTAGCACAACAACATCGACAACCACGACAACCACGACTACTAGTACAACCACAATATCGCCTACCACAACAACCACGACTACTAGTACAACCACAATATCGCCTACCACAACAACTACGACTAGTACAACCACAACACCCACCACGACGAGTACGACTAGTACAACCACAACGCCCACCACGACGAGCACGACTACTAGTACAACCACAACACCCACCACGACGAGCACGACTAGTACAACCACAACGCCCACCACGACGAGCGCGACTACTAGTACAACCATAACACCCACCACGACAAGCACGACTACTAGTACAACCATAACACCCACCACGACGAGCACGACTACTAGTACGACTACAACGCCTACCACGACGACCACGATTAGTACAACCACAACACCCACCACGACGACTACTACTACAACAACTACGACTAGTATAACCACGACACCTACCACAACCACCACGACATCGCCTACCACAAGAACTACTACTAGTACAACCACGACAACCACAACACCCACCACGACGACCACGACTAGTACCACCACAACACCGGCCACGACGATCACTACTACTAGTACTACTAGTACAACGACCACGACAAGCACGAGTAGTGTTACAACATCTTTGAGCACCCCAACTCCCAGCACAACAACATCATCCCCTATCACGATAACGGCTAGCAACACCACGACTACTGGTCCGACCACAACCACTAGCCCATCGACAACGTCCATTAGGGTAACGACAACGACTACGTTGACCACAACCACGCGCAGGATTATAAGTACTACTACCAGCACAACGACACTACCGCCTGGTACGTCAATAAGTACTACGATACCGATATCCAGCTCAGTAACGACTTTCAGTCCTGTCAGTCCAACAACGACTATCAGTCCAGGAACAAGTATCAATCCATCGACGACCGTTACTCCAGTCACGACTACTAGTTCAACAACGACCGTCAACCCAGCGACAACTATCAGCCCAGTAACGACCGTCACTCCTGTGACGATTGTCAGCACAATCACGACAGTCACTCCCGGAACTATCATCAGTCCAGCAACGACTGCCAACCCAGTGACGATTGTCAGCTTGACAACGATTGTCATTCCAGGAACAACCGTCAATCCAATCACGACCATTAGCTCTGCAGCGATTGCCAGTTCAGCGGGGCCGTCAAACCCAGCGACGATCACTCTGATCACAACTTTCGTTTCACAAGTGACTGTAACCGTCACAGCAGCAACTAGCACCTCTGCAACAGGCATAACCACCTGCACTTCAAGAATCGTCAATCCGACCTATACTCCCGCAACTGCTCTGCTCAGCGATTATCTCTGGGGTTGCCCGCCAGGGACACTCTGCACACCGCCTCAGGAAGGCTGCAACTGGGAACAAAACCCACCCGCAGATACCTATATCTGCAGTCCCGATGAATGCAGGGCTGTGCCAGAAGCTCCGATACCCCAAGACTGGAACGCAACGTGGCCAACCCTCGTCGAGACCGACTGTGCCTGGTACGAGCCAGACCTTGATTACTTCCACCTCGACCCCGAATTCTTCGGCCTGACTTTCGCCATCTTCGACGTCTACGGTCAGCCAGTATGCCCTAGCAGTGCCTGCGAAACCTTGGTCATCAGCAGAAGGTTCAGACGACGATCCAACAATCCAGTTGCGGAAATGCAATGGCGCCGACAGAGTCTCGCCGTTGCTCCAGCAGCCTGTTACGTCGTCTCTGACAACACTCAGGAGCTTGCGCAGAGTATTGGTAAAGTCCGCAGCGAGCTTTGTCCGGCGGACTCCGAGTTCATGGAAGGCGTCACTGCCTGTCGCGCCTGTGCCAAAGCTAATGGTGGAACTTCTTCGACCACTGAGGACTTTCCCACACTCCAAGACTTTGTCAATTTCTGCAACTCGTGAGCTGTGGGCGTCTCACACACATACATACATGATCGGAAGGGTTTCGCTGGTAGCTGCATGCATGCATGGCCTCGTAGAGGTCAGTAATGAGGCGGAGGACGAGTGGACATTCATCCTGTGGAGAAATCTTGTATAGATAAAAAGTAACATTCGCTATCAGCATCGCAGACACGGCCCTCTGTCCAGCTCTTGGGCAGCCAACATAAATCGTCTCCGGCGGATTCTGAGCCGCTCAGCATCTTCATAGACACTTGTTAAGCCTGGAACTTTCTATTCGTCGACGGCCGAGGTCATCGCTGCACGAGGATGTGGAACTTCGCATATGCTGGATGCACTGGAACATAGCTTCTTCTCCCTAATAAACAATTACTGTACTTGAAACGAAACGAAGGACGTAACCAAAAGAGTGTAAATACGATCAATTTTTGTTGGTTGGGTATCTCTTCTTCTTGCCCCCTAAGCGACAGCCTCGTGCAAGGGATCCTCCTCGTCGACCTCGACGCCATTTTCGTCCTCGCCACCTCCATAAGCATCCTGATCTTGAGCCGCTTTCTCAACGACAACCTGTCCGCCCATGGCCTTGACTTTAGCCTGCGTCATCTCATACACATATTGACCCAGATGTTCCACGCCCTCCATCTCCGTCGCCGGCACATCATCGTCCACACTGCGCTGCGCAGGAAACATCTCGCCCGTAGTAATCATCAATTTGTCCGGTCTCTGCAACAACAAGTCCATGGCGGGTTTCATTTCGAAACACGACTCGAACAGCTCGCGTCGTCCAAGGATGTATAGTCCCAGCCTGGCCCGGGAAAGGCCAACAGTCAAGCGTCGCACGTCGCGCAGATATCCCACGGCCTTTGTCCGTGTCATGGACACAATCACGTAATCGTTCTGCTCGCCCTGGTACTTGTCGACCGTGGTCACGATCCGCGGCAGGCCGAACAGTTTGTGGTTTTTACATCGGTGTTCGAGGACATCGCGGATCAGAGCGCGTTGACCCGCGTAGGTGGCCAAGATCGAAATGCTCCGCGCTGGGTACCCCAACAGCCGCATGTACTGATACAATGCGACCGTATATTCAGCCTCGCCCAGGTTTTGGATAAAGTGAGGCGTCGGCTCTCGTTCTCCTTGACCCTGATACTCCGGTACATCGATGAACTGGTAATCATAGCGAAACCCGGCATTGGCTCGAGCAAACTCCGGCTGACTTAAGAGATGCGGCAGATTGCCCAGATTGTTGTATCGCCACTTGAAGAGTTCGGCAATTGACGGACGGCATCGGCCCTGCTGGTCCAGATGGATGGTAGGCACGCCGAGGCGGACAAACCGCAGGAAGAGCGACTGCTCGAAATTGGCGTACTGACGCAATGCCATGTTCTGGATGATGGGCGAGTTCTGTAGATGATCACCAACAAGCATGATACGCTTGAGAGGGAGTTCGCCAGTCCTCAGGTCAGGATTCTGCATCGCACACGGAATAAAGGACTCAATTTCGGTGATTTGAGCCGCCTCTTCCATGATCAGTGTGTCGTAATGGAAACCCACCTCCGCAATTTCTGATCGTCTCATGGCTGCATGCGTCGATGTCATGGCGATTATTCGAGCCTCTTTGACGAGCAGATGATTGGCTTGGTCGCGATTGCTTCGCAGAAGCTCGAAAGGACGAATGGATTCCAGCTCCGAAAAGATCTTGTCGATGTGGTATTGACAGCCAGATGCAACATCGCGGACTTCCTCAAGAGTCGCGTCAGCAGGGAACATAGTCGGGACTGGGGCGTTTCCGAAGAATTTGTAGAACTGGAAAGCGGCCAGAACACTTTCAGCAGTTGCTCCTTCGGCACCAGCAACATCCCAGAAGCGTGCCCATGCGGGCCGGACGAAAACTTGATTGAAGTAGTCTGCTGTCTCGCAGGAGCTGCCATGGGCTCCCTCTGCACCGATGGATGCTGCTAGTCGATTGACTTCGGTGAGATAGGCCTGGCGGTTTTCTAGGAACGATTCAACACGACCTAATTTACCGAATGAGGCTTCTGTCTCCAACTCTTCCTCTCCGTGGCCCAATCGGAGGAGGTGACGGGGGTCAATGTCCAGAGCAATGATCTTCTGGAAAAGCTGATTTAGCGCTTGATTGCTGTGCGCAATCAGCAGGATACGTTCCGCAGGAAAGTTATGGTATAGCAGGTTGATTGTTTGGGTAGCCACATCAGTCTTACCGGTGCCAGGCGGCCCTACAACGACTGTGAGACCAGGTTGCGTCCCAGACACGATTGCTTGCACTTGTTTCGGCGTGAAGCGAACTGTGTTCTTCTTTGGTAGATCCACCGGGTATGGCCCGGTGTTTCGAGGCTTGTAGGTGGAGACGGCGACATTCGACGAGTCTTGCTCCATTTGCTCTCGTCGTCGCTTCTTTGGGTTTGTGGGTGGGGCATCGGTGGTCTGACTCGCGGCTTGAAGAACATAGGGGGGTTCAAGGTGCTTAGACTGTCCTGAGGCAGGCTCGACGACTTGAGAAGGGAAACTGTCTGTGAGGTGACTCCAGTCGAGGAATGTGTCCAGATAGTCGATCGATTCAATGCGGTTCTGGAGAGAGCTGGCACTTCTTGGATCACCATAGCCCATGTAGACCTCTTGGAGCCACGCAGGTAGCGAGGTCTGCGAGGATACAAGCTTTTGGATTGTCTCGAGCACCGGCTTGAAGTTGTTTTCTCGGCCTTGCCTTCGTGCGATGACATTAAGGGACGCAGTGATGTCTTTGCCACCACGGCCGGGTTTCATCTTGTCCGCGTAATATGCAGCAGCGTCAAGGTTCAGCAATAGACGCCGTCTCCGAGGTCTCGAGCCATGGCCATTCGTCTGAACGTCTCTCAGAGCTCTGCCGTTATCATCCAGGACTTGAATGACTTCAGCGGCTCTGAATTCTGTGAATAATTTCTGTTCTTCCTCCTCTTCTGAGTGGCCGTTGGTCAACAGTCGCGAGTCATTCGTTGCTTTCACCATAAGCAGGAATACCACATCATGCGGTCTCAGGCTGTCCCATTCTCTTCTGATACCGTCCGTAAGGCGACTGACATCCAGGATGACTTCGGCTCGGACAAAACTGGGCTTGATTTCACCAACTTTGGGAGCGCCGACCTCGATTATGGCTGGCGACTCGATTGGTAGAGCCATTTTTGAGAAGCCTTCGAAAGTTGTACTTCCTCGGTCTCGTGCTGTCTTGGGCTTCATTCGCTTGACAAAGCTCTCCATGTCCTTTCTAATGCCGTAGAATGCTTCAGCTTGGTACAGCTGGAACGATCGCCACATAAAGTCGCTCAAGGTCAGATACTGAAGATTCAATTTCGGAATTCCAAGAGGTCTCGAGCCGTCATACTGTTCATTTCTGAGCAGAGTGGGATTGTACAAGGAGTCAGCTGTTGGAAAGACAGACAACTTGGCCACGACTTCCTGGAAATCTCGAGGTCGTGCAAAAGCCGATAGAAGAGTCTCAAGCATGACGGACTGACCAGCAGCGATGCCGGCAGATGCGGGATATGAGGTTCGAAACCCAAGATGTTGGCATAGCTCTGTTAGCTCGGTGTCCGTTAGGGCTGAGAAATGAGACTTGAGCTCGCTGCGTTTGTCTATTGAGCCATAGTTGGACAGAGCCAAGACCTTCAGCTTCGGTTCGAAATGTTGCAGGGCGACTCGTTGTAGACCGGCCAACGCCTCATAATGCGACTTGCGAACACCTTCGTGCCCTGCCTCTGAACTTCCCGTGTCATCAATTGCGAAGCTCTGAAAATGGTCCAAGAGACTCGTGAGATCGCGGAAGAGGGCCGCATCCTCCCTTTCGTACAGCTTTGATGTTCGAATGACGGCCAAGATGTTGAGGTCTAGCAGGAGAGGGTTTGTATATCGTCTCGTGGGTAGTTGACTGACGAGGTCGACCAGCAGCTCCAGAAAACGTTCGCAATATACCACTTCCTGGGTGCTTTCCACTTTCGCCTTGTTCAACCGCGCAAAGAAGGCTATCAACATGGAGTACAGCCAAGCGCGGTCGAAGCGCAAGCGACTTTGAGTGTCTTGATCGGCCGCCTCGAACCGCCGCTGTGCACCTTTCCAGGCTTTCTTTCTGCTCGCACTTGCATCGAGAAGTCTCTCTCGAGCGCCTTCATCGTGCAGATTATGCCAGGTTGAGATCGAGACAAGTGGTGCACATTCCTTCCGAACGTGTTCGTTCTCAAGTGACTGAAATGCTCCAATGACAAAATGGAGGACCGAGACTTGGGAGAAGGTGGACAGGGAGGAGTCGAGATTCAGCGATAGTATGCGACGAAAGAGGTGTGAAAAGTCTTCGGCACGATCTGTCAGTAACGACCAGTCTTGTAAGTTCGCACGTTGTTTGACGTTGAAGAAGACTGCAATGAGCAGGACATGATGGTTCGACGAGTCGGAGGAGAAGGTAGGCCACAGGAATCTCTCAAGGACTTGTAGATTCTCTAGTGTTGCTAGTGACCGCAATCCGAAGGATTCTTGTTCCAGAGGATCCCAGAGCGCAGTCTTGATCAAGTCTGGCTTGACCTTGGTAGGCAGACTGTCAAGCCAGTGTTTTCTTGCCAACTCTTCCCATGAACCGTCCTCCACGGTGTTGGTGTTGGCAATCACATCATCTGCCGGCGCAAGGGCAGGCCGAGATTGAAGACCCATTGTCCCGGAGCCAGGGTGTGGTTTGGTGGTAAGGTCGCGTGGAAGTACGATGGAAATTCCAAAAATTAAATGAAGCGCTGCGCATCGAAACTGAAACTCCGCAACCATCACCAAAAATTCTCCGCAGTGCCAGAGTAGAGCAGAGCAGAGCCTCGTCCGCAACAACAACCACCTCACATGTCACCCTGCCGTACCTCATCAGCGCAGCCACTTCACCATCTCTCGACTTGTTAGATTAGTGACAGTTGCAAAACATCGGCCAGGAACACTGCGGCTTCTGTCGCGCGACATCTCAGCCGCCAGCGATGACGAATACCCCATCGTAGCCCTCTCTCCTTACTCCCAACTCACCTTTCAATGTCCGCAACGGACGTGCCCGCGGTTGGGCTCTACAAACCCCTCATCGAAGAACATGTCCAAAAGCTGAGCGAAGAGCGAGGGGACGGCGATTACGATACTCCCGTCCTGGAGTCAGACTGTGCCGAACTACTCGACAGTATCCGCTCAATACGCAGTCAGAGTGCTCCAGACAATCTACAGCTACACAATGCCGCCATCGAGACTGTATTTCGGGAGACTTTCATCGATATAGTCGCGACGGTTGATATTTCCGAACCAGCCTTTTCGCAGATATGGGTCCTTCTCGACATCAGCTCCATCTTGTCAGACAACGAACTATGCGACCCGGGCTTGGGTTTCTGGCTCGTGGAAGAACTCCTCGACAGTCAGACCATCGAAGGATGTCGCAAAGTATTTGACTACCTCGAATCACGGCGAGAAAGGATAACAGCAAAACATTTCAAAGCCAAGGGCTTGGTCATCCTCCGGTGCTGCAATGAGTTACTACGACGCCTGTCGCGTGCTGAAGACACGGTATTTTGCGGCCGGGTCTTCATCTTCCTATTCCAGAGCTTCCCACTGGGCGACAAAAGTTCGGTCAACCTGCGAGGTGAATTCCACGTCGAGAATGTCACCACCTTCGATCCTGCGCCCAAGAAGTCCGACGATGCCATCAAGCCGATGGAACTCGACACCGAGACACCGCAGGCGACATCAGGCGCTCAGACACCAGCATCAAGCAGCCAAATCGAATCTCGCAGTACACCGGCGGCCAAAGCCACCAAAGAATCCAAACAGCAACCGCCCGACCTCGACGCCCTCTATCCCAAGTTCTGGTCGCTACAGACTCTATTCTCCTCCCCGACTCGCCTTTTCGAGCCGTCCAACATGTCCGCATTCAAAGACGGCATCGCCACGACTCTTTCCTGCTTCAAATCCGTTGCGACCAGTTCCACCTCCAGCACGAACCCGACTGACGTCAAGCGCGGTCTCAAGCGCAAGCGGACCGGCGTCGAGACCGACAACAACACCACCTCAACATTCAACCCCAAGTACCTCACAAACCGGGACCTATTCGACCTCGAGATCCACGACCTGGCATTCCGGCGACACATCCTGGTCCAAGCACTCATTATGATCGATTTCCTCTTGAGTCTGGCACCCGCAGCCAAGGCCAAATTCGAGGGCCTGACCAACAAGTCCGTACTATACGCCTACACGCTATCGGACGAGGACACCAAATGGGCGCAGTCCACTCGCACCGCTATTGCAAGCTATCTGCAGCAGGGCAACGGAAACGAGGGCAAATTTTACTACCGAATGGTTGATACGGCATTGTCGCGCGACAAGAATTGGGTAAGGTGGAAGGCAGAGAACTGTCCGCCGATATCGCGCGAGAGTGTCACACCGCAAGCATATATCGAGGCGAGGGATACTCTGACGAAGATCGCCGACCAGGCGAAAGCGCCGCTGCCCAATCCGCCAGGCGCGGGGGATCTAGCGTTCTTGTCGAAAGCGGAAAGTCTGGAGGAGCTGAAACGGCGGTCAAAACGACATCGAGTGCCGAGCGTTGAGGAGTACTACAAAGAGATTGAGGGGGCGGATCTAGATCTCGATTTCGCCGTGACAGACGACGAAAAGAAAGAGATTGAAGAGCGGAAGGCGGGGAAGCTGTGGAGGGCGTTGCGGACGAGTGGACGGCGGTTTGCGCTGTGTGAAAAGGTACAGTATGGTGGGAATCTGAAGGCTTTGGTGGAAGAGGACGAGGTGGAAAAGCCTGCTGGGGAGAATGCGAATAATGAGGCTGAGTATGTTAAGCAGAATGGGGATGCGCAAGAGGATGAGAAAGACGACGGTGGTCACGACGGTGGGGCCAGGCCGGATGATGGGAATGAGGCTCAGGCGGAGCAGACGGTCAAGGTTGAAATGGAGGTTGAGGCTGAAGGTGCGACTGATATACAGGATGAAACAGGTGCCAGTGTGGATCATGGCGAAGAACAGCAACAGCCTCAGCCTGGTAAGCCGGACGAGATGGAGGCTGAGGCTGAGGCTGATCCTCGGGCTGAAGGTGAAGCTGATGCTGTATTTGTCGAGCAGCAAGACGCGCCTGCAGCTATAGAGGATACGGAGATGATTGATGCAGGTGTCGTTGAAGATTCGGGAGAAAAGAACGGCGAGCACGACACCCAGAAAGATGCAGGAGAAATATGAGTTATACGCAAATGTGTCAAAGAATATTATTGTTCAATTATCACAAAATCTTCCGTACATGACGGGAATATGCTCTGCAAATATAATAGATGCTGATTTGCTAATGCTAACGCCGTCCCAGGGTGCGAGGGAGGGGATAACCCGGCTCAACTGCTCGCTTAATGTCCCAATGCTAAAGTGCCAAACGCCGTGCGACTCATTCAGAGTGAATCATAGTCGTGATATGTGTTGGATAGTATAGTGTACAGTGTCGGTGTGTGGTAGTCATAGCTGATGTGATGTGATGTTTACTTCTGCATCTTGCCGTAGATATCTTGTGTCCAGTTCTCGCCAACATCGGGCTGGTTCTTTGTGCCGGTGCTGTTGGCGAAATTGGCCATGCTGCCGAAACCCAAGTATGGTTGTGTCGTGGGGCGCAGGCAGTCGTACCACTTGCCCTTGGGGTAGCAGACGGAAGAGACGTGGCGAGTTTTTGGTTGAGGGTCCACGGAGGCGGTCCTGCCTGCGGTGCTCGCGGCGGAGGAGGTGGATGAGTTTCGTGATGTGGACATGTTTGTGTGATGTGGGAGTATGTTTGGATGTAGTGAGGTTCTCAGAGTGAATAGGCTGGTATTGTACTTGGTAGTCGAGTTCTTGGATGGTAGTGAAGAAATGCTTGGTTTGCTTGTTTGTCAGTGTAAAGAACAAGTACCCCGGATTGACCATGGAAGGGGGACCCATTTATAGACTCTTGGTCCCGGGGTAACGACTAGAATTTTCATGGTCATTTGGCCAGAAGGCGAAAGCTAAAGGGAATGTGATGCAACGTGTAGTACTGCGCGATTTGGGATTTGCGCCCTGACACAGACCCAATTCCTCAGCCATTCTGGAAGAGTCCTGGCAGGATCACGCACTGCCTATGTGTCAGTGTTGACGCAAAGATGGAAGCTTCTTTCATGATCTGATCACGCGTGCCTGAAAATTCTGAACTTTTGAGCGCAATGAACAGGAGATTGGATATTGGAGGGAGACTATGTGTCATGAATTGGACGAACATGGAATGAGTTACGTAGGAGAAAACATAGAACTGAAAAGAATTATCAAAAGGCTCAAGCCGCTCACCGAGGCTGCGCATTGCGTCAGTACCGAAAGCACGTGATGCACGTGACTACGGGATGGAAAAACTTGATTTTCCGTCAAGCTTCATCGGAGGTCGCCATAGATGCTCAACTTGGCATCATCGACTCGGTTAATGATGGGTGGAAGGGGGTCCAAATGGCCTGGGAATGGAAAATTTCTGCGCAAAAAAAGGTTCGTTCGGAAGTGCGGGGTAAGGCTAGACCAGTAGAGGAAGGACGGAAGGCCATACACGATACCTGATTCTCCTCGGTAACAAGTCAGTGGAAACAGATATACCTCCGTGTGGGTGGGTGAGTGTGGTAGATCAGGAGATCTTACGTACAACTTGTCCTTTTGCGATAAGGTTGAATAGCCCTATCAAGGATCACACCGCGATGATTGACTCTGTGCTCGGCGTACAAGTTCTGTGGCTGGAGGAGCAAAAAGGCCGGACGATAAGGACAAATATCGCCTAGTTATCAACCGGTTTCGCAGACGTTACACCCCGGATTTTGGGTGTGGAACAGTAAAAGAAACCCCGAGTTGCGGTGAGCCGGTCGTCATCTTCAATAGTGTCTGGGTAGAGATTTCGTATGAGGGTATGAGGAGCCCTTACGTAAAGACAGAGAAAGTCGTAGTCGGTACGAAGAATCTGTTTGAGATGTTTTGCAAATAAATTGTTCTGTGCATAATGATTGTCCTTTCGATTCAGCCTTGGAAGATCCGGGCGTCGTTGGGGCCAACAAGGCTTGTGGGAAGCCTTGTGCTCCTCAAGATGAGGGGAAGTGATGATGGCTGCGACGGTTGTGCTAGTGCCTCGAAAGATTTTCTTCGAAAGACACATACTCGTACTCATAATGCGCCGCAGGTCACCACTATTGAATCGAGTCAGATTGTGCCATCTGCAGGAGAGTTACTAGACCGAGCTGTCGGTCAAGCTGATTGCGACATGGGCACTTCTTCTTCTCGCTCGCACTGCTACTCGTATGATATGTTATCTCTGGAGGGGCCAACCTTGACGTGGCCACAGACTCCAATTGGTGTATGCGAGCGGAGGCAATGACTGCTTCTGTAGTGGCCTGCGAGGTGGAGGATTCGTTGAATCGTTAGCCCTGCGTGGGCCTGTCTCTTCTGGTCAATTAGCGCATCTTCTCAAAGCCTCGTTGCTTTTTAGGCTCGCTGGACTCCCCTCCCTCTTCCCTGCCCACCTGCGCAGCCTCGGCAGATCGTTGCCCACTTGAGTAGCCATCGTGGCCTTGCCACTTTTTGGAATCGTAACCGAAGAAGGGTGATGAGGAGTTTATCCGTACCACAGTAGGCGTGCCCGGAGAGATAAGGATCAATCGCCTAGATAGCTGCCGTTTACGCGTGCATTGTGGTAATCGAAAGGGAGCAATAAATGTGTACGAGATAATCGAAGAACAGATTGTCACTCTCTCTTTTCGCCGACGAGACAAGGTTCTGGCTGCCGTTGCGGACACGTGCTGTTCGAGGTGTCACTGACCGAGAGCGACAGACCTGACAGACTCGAGAGATAACGAATTGACGATGGATCCGAGCTGCCCTTTCCGCTTGTTGGAGTTGGAGTCTAACTTAAGAGGCCCAAAATGTGAACTGACCAGTGAAAGCTGCCAGCCTGAAAAATGTAGAGCCTGACTTGTGATTTAGTTATAACTCTTCTGTCTTCCGCGCAGCCTTACAGGATAAAAGCCTTGTCGACTCGAGTCCATAGCATCCCCTCATCTCTAACTTACTCTTTCCTTCCGTTCGTTCAATCCTCTCTTTCTCTCTCTCCCTTCCGTCTCATCTCCATCTCCTCCCACCTTTTCTGCTTCTGCTCTTCTCTTCCTTAATCCATCATCGGTGTCGCACAATCAACAACCCTTTCTCAGCCGGTTGAGAGAACACACTAATTCCATCTTCACCGTCACCTCTTTTCGCCCTCTTCAAGTCAACCACCGCCTCGTCTTGGCAGGACTGGGAAGGCTCGTAGAACACTGACAGTCACCACAACTTTTCCAATTGATCTGGTCTTGTTTTGTTTCGAATCCAATAATTCACTTCTTCATCGAAACACCGACAAATATCATCATCCAGAATCGCAACAAGAACGGTCATGGTTATTTGACGATCCTCGGTATTACTCGAGCTTTCATTCAAAAGCCTTGTCCTGCCTTGTCTCGCCTTGCCTCGTTGCCAAAGCTGGCCTTGTCCTCGCGCAACTCCGCACCACCACCACCACCACCATCAACTCACCCACCACAACCGCCCACCATAGATTTCTCACACCCACTTTCGCCCGCCAAAATGGCCGCGGATCCGAATCTCAACATTACACCGGCCTCCCTTCGAGGTAGTCCTTCTGATCGCATCATCAAACCACGTCCTCGCAAGGATTCTCTACAGTCCATTTCGGGTTCAGATGGTCATCCTGGTCGGGTAGTCAAGCCTCGGGCGCGAAAATCCCCCGGCTCTGGGGCTAAACGATCCGAACCTGCTAAACGCAAATTCATTTGCTCTTTCTCTCACTATGGTTGCGATGTCGCTCTGAGTTCCAAAAACGAATGGAAACGCCACGTCTCTATTCAACATTTGCAGTTGGGCTTTTATCGCTGCGACGTGGGTTCCTGTAATCCCGACTTAAACCCAAACGTGCCTGGTCACAAGAGAGCCTACAATGACTTCAATCGCAAAGACCTTTTCACTCAACACCATCGACGCATGCACAAACCAGAGGCTGGACCAGGTTCAGCGCCCGTCCCACCATCAGCCGGCGGTGACCCCAAGGACTGGCGAGCATTCGAGGACAGCCTCGAAGAAGTCCGAAGTCGCTGCTGGGTAGAGAAGCGGAAGCCTCCGCAACGCAGCACTTGCGGCTTCTGCGGCAGAGTCTTTGAAGGTGAAGGCAGCTGGAATGAACGCATGGAGCACGTGGGAGGTCACTTCTCTCGCGACATCGTTGAAGCCAAGGAAGAACGCGAGGATGAAGACCTTACCAACTGGGCTGTTGCTCAGGGCATAATCAAAGATGCTGGCAATGGCCATCACATTCTCATCGATCAGCCTCCCACAGCAAGCGAGCGTCCTTACCTGTCCAGAGATCGGGATGTCACCATGACTGACGCTCCGAGCTCTGATGGTTTCTCACGTGATCCGGAACAGTCCCCTTCCTTGAGCGCTTCATCCAGAAAACTGGAGTCGGACAGAGGGACTTATACTTACCCCGAACTCGAAAGCCCTCGGGAGGATCGCCGTATGAGCAATGCTTTGCCTCCTAGCACCAATGGTACTCCACGAGCGCCCTCGGTGCCATTGCTCGTCCCTGCTGGTTCTGATCAAATAATCGGCGCCGCACCAGGCTCTCCGACCGCTCAGATGCTCGCTCCTCTCTCACCAACGTCTGCTCAAGCCCAACTCCAACCACTCGGATCCCCTGAACAACGTAGAGGGTACAACCTAGCACCGCCCCCTTTGAAAGCAGGAAAATCGGGCTCGGTTCCCCCCGAGCAGGCAGAGTCTGGCAGTGGAGATAGACTCGAGGATCTCATCAATCAGCTGATCAAGCCCAAGCCGCCGAAGACCCATCGACGCTTGACTTGGAAATGTGTAAGTGCAACCAACAATTACAACCAGTAGCAGTGTGCTGACATGTGCCAATAGGACTGTGCTTTGGAGATGTCGGTCGACCTGGATGACGCAGACAAACAAGCCGTTGAGAACCTCGAAGGTATCAGCATCATCTGCAGTAAGACGACCAATCCCTATCTCAAGGTGGCGAAGACGGGCAAATACCACGTCGTTGCCTGTGACGAGCTTGCCGACTATATCTGGAAAAACACAAAACAACCTGTTGAGAAGCATGAACAGCCAACCGAGGTCGCTGCTGTCCCAGCGTGATCATGGACATGCTATGCCAGACAGAGCCGAGAGACATACGAAGCTATCTCGGCCATCCGAATGGACGACCATGAGCTGTTCTGAATCATAGCTGAAAAACGAGACCGAGTCGACCACCACTATTTCCCTTTTCCCACAATCTCTTCTTGCTATTATCGATTGACGCAAGTCAAAAAGCTATGCAGGTGCTCGACTACATGATGGGCGCAAGTAGAAACTGCAGTACCACAAAGTGTACATGTTTGGACGGACAGAACATTGGAAGAGAGTTTGCCTCAGGGCCGTCAGGCTTTTTTCACACACGGCCTTCAATGTGTATGGGTATGATGATATGACATCAAAGCAGGAGCATCCTTGTCGTTGCCTGCTTCTGGCCTATTCAGATGGACAATGAGCTTGAAGTGAGCTTCACATGTTGAGTAAGTAGAAAGGGGTCATTTTGCCGAGAGCAATGCCCAAGCCAAGAAATCCACTGGCCAAATCCAGGTGCTTTTATGCTTTCAACGTTCTCGACTTGGCCATAGTTGTGATGATGTGGTCGTGCGGCCATGCTAGGCGAAAAGAATATACATGGCTGCTATACCTTGTACATATGTGTGATTCCGCCTTCCGGGACACGTGTGGTGCACTGACCTCCCTGGAAGGGTCGCTTATCACCAATTTCGAGCCGCGTGTAGTTGTACTGGGTGGAGAAGGCCATAACCGATTCACCAAACTCACAATTGTATTTGGTGCCTGAGAATTGGGACAAGGACAGCTTCCGGGGCTGACGGTTCATGGTATGTGCGAACAGTTAGCCTACGAGCTTGCACCCTGAACCTGAGCATCGGCACCGACCACGGCGACGTGCAGCAGGCGACCGGTGGGAAGAAATCTGCATGGAGCCGCCAGATCCCCTGTTGAAAGGCTCCCAGCCAAACAATTGCCCACGTTTTCACCTACACCTGCCCCTCATTCATCAGCGAAATCAACTCAGGGAAGTCACTCCTGCCAGAAGGTGAGCACAGCAACTGCAAATGGCGCTTCATCAGACCATAGCCATCGTTCTCACCAAGACGAGGACTATCCGTCGCCTATTTGGCATTTGCAAAGCCTGCTCCTGGCATATCACTCCGCATAATGGCTTCAGGTGAGATTTTCTATTGCGGCTCTCTCTGCGTACCATCCATCTATCTTTTCCTTAGCCAACCTCGACCTATCCACCTCTGACTGGAGGCTTCCCTGGAGGGACAGAGCCCTCCCTTGAAACAGCAATACTCCCGCCTATAAGTGGACCGCTGAGGTGGCGATGTCTAGCCAGCCCAAATTCTTTGAGACTACTGACTGGCCTTTACAACCTTCACCACGTCCAGGCAGTATTGCTTCATCACTTGGCCCTCCTTCCGACACTGCCAGCGTACATTTCTCAAACTTTCCCTTACCACCTACCCCTGCCACCTCTCGTCCTCCCAGCGACAGGCTGTCGAGTGGGCTGTCGAGTGTTACAACAGAAAACACCATTCACGTCCCACTCTCAAAACCCGTTACCATGTAAGTCGGCAATAATGTCGTTGTTTCTTCCGATACCGAGCCTACGCTGGATATCATACTAAAACACTGTCGCGACGAACCTCAGCTCCTTTACCAAGGGCAGCAAATCATTCAAGTTGAAATATTCAGACATCGAATTCGACAAAGATGTAACCGGATCATTGAAACGAATCTCATTGAGTGAGCCTACGGGCATGCAAAGCATTCTTATGCACGCTTGTCAGTCGGACTACTTCTCTCGCAATCAACGGTCCGAGCTAAGGACAGCATAGTTCCGGGCACAAGGATACCGATTCCGCACCTCGAGCAGCCTGTTACCTCGACTCAGCTTCACATCCCCAGAGTTTCATTCCTTGAGGAGCAGACGGTACAGACCGCATCAACTCTCTTCCAGGCACAGCCTCAGTATTCATTCGAATCATGGGAAGGTATGGATTTGGCTTCATTGCTTCTAGCACTATTCGAGAGTGCCGGGCAGCTTTGATTGTGCCCCTTGATACTAATCTTTATGTCATCAGATTGTGTCAAGTTCCAAGAGGCATTACTCGGGCAGACAGTGGTCTTCACCGCCGGCATTGCAGAAGCCAAATCCAAAGGTCGAGGCGAAGAATGCATCAGCCAAAATCTGCGCATTTTACGGGCAAAGAACGGACGACAGGTCATACTATTCTTCACAAACTCTCAGCGAAAGGAGAAGAAGAAATACATCACGATTCCTCGTAAGTATCAAAGCCATCAAACAGCACGGTGGCGCGGGAAATATGGACGGATTTCCCATATTTTACATCACACTGACCATGGAGTAGTTGACTGCATTGATCACATCGAACAAAGCAAGAAATCTGGACGACCGCTTGCGCTTACATTACGGCCGAATTTCGAACTGCTTTCACAGCTTAGAACGCTGCATATTCTTTTCCTCGACGAAAATGGTAAGCAGAGTCTAGCCATTGCATGCGTCGTACAGCTGACAAGTACTTGCAGACCAAAAAAGATTCTTCGGCCTCCTGTGTCATGGGGTAGGCTATCAAGGTTAATGTGGCATATATATCTAGACATGACCTTTGTGTCATCATAATGTTGTATGAGCGTACGAGCCAAATGTTAGGATACCCAACAAAGGAGAGAAACTCCATCAGGAACCAGGCTGTGGGATTGATGACTTGTGGACATCGGAACTATCGGAATAATGCTGGACAACGTCCACACGATCGTGGAGAGAGTTTACGATTTTATTTGGTCATGGTCCAGAAGTTCGTCCACCTTCGTCTCATGAGTGAGCCAGGGTCGATTCCAGACCCTATTAAGCTTGGTCACGCATCGATGATCTCGCTTGTTAGCGGAGTGTCGACATGCACACCTTGTATTTGGAACAAACGGAGAAAAGACGGTGGGGGACTTATTTCTTATGGAAAAAGTCACACTTTCACACTTGTGATGGCTCCGTCCCGTCGTTGAGGGTCTCCAATCGAGTCCAACAGATCGTCGAGATCGGGGGCTCCTGTCCCTTTGACAGAATTCCTTTTGAAACTTGGTGACGACGCTTTTCATCACCAATTCGAAACTCTTTCTCAGCCAAAGAGGAGATATATACATTGTTTCCGTTTCATGCTTCTATGCAGGAGGCAGGTACATGATGTGCCACAGTAAGCCCTGTGGTTTCAAGGAGGTTCTGGTGGCGTGGACGAGACCCCTTTGAAGAGTAAAAGGTTGGTGGAGGACCTTAACCGTGCAGAAAGAAGGCGCTCGGTGACAGGGTCTGCCCAAGCTTAAGGTTACCAACCACCTTGTCGCCACCCCCACCTTGTCGCCAATTTTATGAATTCGCATATTATTGTAGCAAAGAGTAGCCACTTATATATCCTAACGATAGAGAGTCTATAACTTTATACGGGGATTATTTATGAACTTACCGAGTTAGCTATATCGTAAATAATATCTCTACTAGGTAGTGCGCTTAATAATACTACCGTATCTTCCTCCGTATACTCTCTACCCTATATAACTTCGATCGTATCTTAAATACGCTTTTTATCTTACTTTTTAAGTCTCTTTAATACGATTCGCTTCTTATTCTTTAGTATATATTTCTTAATAGTTAAAAGCTTAGTTAATAGTACTTAATAAGCGCTAAAGACTTCGTAGTAAACTCTATTTAGTTATCGTATAAAAGTCTTACTAAATCGATTTAATCTTATCGCTAGTTTCTCGTTTATCTTACTATACTTATATATATTTCGTAAAAGATAACTATAAGGTCGTTTAGGAGATAAGATCTCTAGCGTAATATATCGATATTATAAAACTTAAGATATATCGAGTACTTTTTTAACGTTAATAGACTAAAGACTACTATAGCGTTAACTCGTATTAATATATTAAGTTATTATATTTAATTCTTATATAAGTTAATATAGTAAATTAAATTAAGTATAATTTATTTATATATCGCTCGCGATAATATAGCTTTTAAGATATTTTAAGTAAAATATCTTTAGTTAACTAAATAGCTCTAAATTATATAGTTAATAAAAATAAAAGATATAAAATAAGAGATAAATTAATAAAATTTAATTTATAATATACTTTATAATAAATACTTTTATAGTATAACTATTATAGCTATTAAGAATAAGTATTCGTTAATAAGAGATATTATCTTTATAATATTCTTATTAAGACTATAAAATAAATACTATCGTTAACTACTTGAGTATATAGTTATTATTAATTTAGCTCTTCTTTATAAAGTCTTAATACTAATTAAAGTATTTATTTAACGATAAAAATTAATAATTAAGTAATTAATAGTATAATTTATCGTAATAAATAATAAAAGATTATATTATATCGCTAATAGTAAAGATCGTCTTTATAATTAAAACTTAACTCGTAAATTTATTAATAATTAATATTAAAGATTTTATATATTAATTAAAGACTATAGACTTTTTCTATAAGTAACTTATTTAAAAGTCGATTTTATTTATATTCTAAAGATTTTTTAAATATATATTATAATGTAAAATAGTTTTGTTAAAATACTAAAATTAACTCTCGAGTATATTAAAGATAGCTATTATTATATAACTCTATTCGAAAGATTTATTACGACTATACTTAAGATTAGAATATCGATTTAAAAATCTTAAAATCTAGTTTTTATCGAGATATATATTAAGCTCTCTTTAACGCGTTAATACTTACGCGATAATAAATAATTAAATAATATTAATAAGCGAATATTATAGTTAAGAGTTCTTTATATATTAATATAAGATCTCCTCTTATATTCTTAATAATTTAGTATTTTTTTGCTCTTTTAAATCGCGTAGTACGCGATCGTCGCGTTTATTACGAATTATTAATCGTAATATAGTTATATACTTTACGACTTACGATATATTATGGAAACGACCTTCCTAAAAGAGATTAAGGGCTCGTAATACTTTATCTATCTTAAATAGAGACGGCGAGGGTAATTAGTTAATATATATAAGAGTTTAATTAATAGGTAAGTAGGAAGGACATTAAAATGCGATTAGCGATAAGATAGGGGTAGCGATAAGATAATTAGTAACTTTAGTACGTAGAAAGTATTTCGGTTACTTACTAGCCGTAGAGCCTTATAGACGACCTCTCTCGAAGCTTAGCCGAGCCCGTTAACTCTACGCCTCCCTTTATTTATTTAGTCTCTTTATATATCTATACACTACTACCTTTTTTACTTTCTACCTCCCTATCTCGGGAATAGTTTACTTATAAGCTAAGTAGAAGATTATTATCTCTAGCGCCCCGTTCTCGATACGCAATTATTCCTAGCCTTATTTAAATCGCCCCTATCGAGCGATAATTTATCTATCTTACGGTACCCTAAAAAAACTGATGATATGGATAGAGAAGGGGCTCTTAGTGCGCGCTACGGATACTACCTCGCCCTCTCGATCTCCTTCGGGATAATTACGCCTTTACTTATTTCTCTCACTAGAAGAGAGACTTCTCTAGTCTCCTATATAAGCGGCGTACTATAAAGATACTTAACCTCCGAAGCCCACCTCTTTAGACTACTCTAAGGTTACTAACTACCTTACCGCTACCCCTACCTTATCGCCAATCGTATTTTAATGTCCTTCCTATCTACCTATCAACTAAACTCTTATATATATTAACTAATTACCCTCGCCGTCTCTATTTAAGATAGATAGAGTATTACGAGCCCTTAATCTCTTTTAGGAAGGCCGTTTCTATAATATATCGTAAGTCGTAAAGTATATAACTATACTATAATTAATAATTCATAATAGACGCGATAGTTATATACTACGCGATTTAAAAGAGTAAAAAAATACTAAATTATTAAGAATATAAGAGGAGATCTTATATTAATATATAAAGAACTCTTAACTATAATACTCGCTTATTAATATTACCTAATTATTTATTATTATATAAGTATTAGCGCGTTAAAGAGAGTCTAATACGCGCCTCGATAAGAACTAAATTTTAAAATTCTTAAATTAATATTCTAATCTTAAGTATAATCGTAATAAATCTTTCGAATAGAGTCGTATAATAACGACTATCCTTAATATACTTAAGAGCTAGTTTTAATATCTTAATAAAACTATTTTATATTATAATATATATTCGAAGAATCTTTAAAATATAAATAAGATTAACTTTTAAATAAATTACTTATAGAAAGAGTTTATAGTCTTTAATTAATATATAGAATCTTTAATATTAATTATTAATAAATTTACGAATTAGATTTCGATTATAAAGGCGATCTTTATTATTAACGATATAATATAATCTTTTATTATTTATCGCGATAAATTATATTATTAATTATTTAATTATTAGTTTTTATTATTAAATAAATACTTTAATTAATATTAAGGCTTTATAAAAAAAAGCTAAATTAATAATAATTATATACTTAAGTAATTAACGATAATATTTAACTTATAGTCTTAATAAGAATATTATAAAGATAATATCTCTTATTAACGAATACTTATTCTTAATAACTACGATAGTTATATTATAGAGATATTTATTATAAAGTATATTATAAATTAAATTTTATTAATTTATCTTTTACTTTATATCTCTTATCTTTATTAATTATACGATTTAAAGCTATTTAGTTAGCTAAAGATATTTTACTTAAAATATCTTAAGAGCTATATTATCGCGAGCGATATATAAGTAAATCGTACTTAATTTAACTTACTATATTAACTTATACGAGAATTAAATATAATAACTTAATATATTAATATAAGTTAGCGCCGTAATAGTCTTTAGCCTATTAATATTAAAAAAGTATTCGATATACTTTAAGTTTTATAATATCGATATATTACGCTAAAGATCTTATCTCTTAAATAACCTTATAGTTATTCCCTACGAAATATATACGAGTATAGTAAGATAAACGAGGAACTAGCGGTAAGATTAAGTCGATTTAGTAAGGCTTTTATATAATAACTAAATAAAGCTTATTACGAGGTCTTTAGCGCTTATTAAGTACTATTAACTAAACTTTCAATTATTAGGAAATATATACTAAAGGACGAGAAGCGAGCCGTATTAAAGAGACTTAAAAAGCAAGATAAAAAGTATATTTAGGATACGATCGAAGTTATATAGGGTAAGGGGTATACAGAGAAAGATACGGTAGTATTATTAAGCGTACTACCTAATAGAGATATTATTTACGATATAGCTAACTCGGTAGGTTTATAGGTAATCCCTATATAAAGTTATAGACTCTCTATCGTTAGGATATATAAGTAGCTACTCTTTGCTATAACAATATGCGAATTCATAAAATTGGCGATAAGGTAGGGGTGGCGATAAGGTGGTTGGCAACCTTAGGCCACTCAGTAGAAGAAATTTAAGGTATTCCTGTGCAGAATCGGGACAATTCGATTTCCTACCTAGGTACCTCTAGTCATCAATCAGCCTTTGCTTCACTTCCTCTCCAATTGCTCGCCTTTACAGCAGCTGCGCTACGTCCTTGCGCAGTACAATTCATACTTGACAGCTCGTCAAATTGCTCTGACAGCACGGCATACGGGTGATTCCCGCTCACCATGGACCGTTGACCTAAGCCTGGGCCCCTCTCTTTTCGCCCCATCTGCGAGCACTTTACGTACAACCTCAGCCTGACACCACATCATCATGGGCCGTTGGCGTGGCCGTCTGTACGCGACTGATCGAGCCAGAGACTTTGATCATGAGCGAGTAAGTCAGGACAGTCTACAGAGTCCTGCGCAGAACTGACGTCCTTGCCTTGTTGTAGGACCGCCATGTTCGAGTCCGTCAGATTTATGAGACCATCGATCGACAAGGGTTTCAATGGGTGGTAGTACTTGTTGCAGGCGTAGGATTCCTGGTCGATGGGTTCTCCGTATGTCTTGACCTCCCAGGATTGCCTGTTGGCGGTGGCAGTGACTGACCTGACATACAGCTGTTCGCCGGCAACATTGCCCTGCCAATGATCGCCTATGTCTACTGGCACGATGAACCGTCGTCCTTTCGTCTGACGTGTATCAACATCGCTACGCTGGCAGGGACCTTGATGGGTCAAGTCTCATTTGGGTTCATGGCCGACAAGAATGGCCGAAAGAAGATGTATGGTGCTGAATTGTTGCTACTGATTGGGTCGACGCTCGGTGTGGTCATGAGCTCGCGAGGTCAAGATGGCAGCATGAGCATCTATGCTTGGTTGATCTGGTGGAGGATTATGGTGGGCATCGGTGTTGGAGCAGATTATCCTCTGAGTGCGGTCATCACTGCCGAGTGAGTGGTTGTCCTGGAGACTTCGTCGTCGATATGCTAATCCCGGTGCGATGCAGATTCGCTCCCACGAAACACCGCGCTCGGATGATGGCCGCAGTGTTCTTTATGCAGCCGCTCGGACAGATCGCCGGCAACGTCATTTCGCTAATTGTTGTCAGCATTTCGAGGAGGGCTGGCAACGAAGACCTCACTAGGACGGTGGACCAAATGTGGAGATGGATTATTGGGATCGGTGTCGTGCCCGCTGTGATAGCCTTGTTGTTCCGATTTGCCATTCCAGAAACGCCGCGATTCTTGCTCGACATCGATGACGACCCGGTCAAGGCTGAGTTTGACGCGACGCAGTTGTTTGGTGAAACTTCGCTGGGTAGCGAACTCGAATCGAATATGTGGTGCGATTCGCTAGAGGAGTCGAATCTATCGAGTCGATCGCTCGATGGGCGTTCCGAAGGCCGACCTTCCTGGAGCATCGCAGCCGCGCCGTTGACCACGCTCAACTCGTCGTGGCGGCTCTCGAGAGACGACATCAAGCAGTACTTTTGGACAGAGGGGAATTGGAGGACATTGGCCGCCACGTCCATGTGCTGGATGCTGCTGGATTTCGGCTACTACGGGATCGGTCTGTCGAGCCCGCAATTCCTCGCGAAGACATGGGGGACGCTGAACCTTTCCGGCCCCAGTCCGTCGTGGATGACGAATGACGATCCGAACGCCAACATCTATGATATGTTCCTAAGGACATCGGTGCAGGCCCTTGTGATATTGAACACGGGCAGTTTCGTCGGTGGACTGCTCTTCATCACGTTCGCGAGTCACATCAACCGCGTCAGTCTGCAGAAGTATGGATTTCTGGCGTTAGCGGCGCTTTTCATTACGCTGGGCGCCGTGTTCATCACGATTCACCAGGAAGGACCGTTGGCTATCACGCTGTATGTCATTGGGCAGATGATGTTCAATTTCGGCCCGAATTCAACCACATACATCATTCCCGCCGAGCTGTTCCCTACCAGATACAGAGCTACGTGCCACGGCATCAGCGCTGCGTCTGGAAAGCTGGGGAGTATTCTGGTCCAGGTCTTTTCGGCATACTACAAATTCGGATCGACGTCGCCCGGCGACAACCAGACGAGGCGGTACGGGACGATCCTGGTTATTTTCAGCGCGGCGATGATTCTGGGTGCGCTCATCACGCACTTCTTTATCCCCGAGGTCCAGGAGAAGGCCAAACGGGGGAGTCTTTGGGCCGGGAAGAGCAAGAGTCTCGAGGAATTGGCGCTGGGCAAATGGGGGCCTAGAAGTCAGAGTGTGATACGGAGTCAGCCGACGAGGAGTATGGGCATATCGTAGTCTACACCCTGGATGTCATGATTTTGTGTGATTTTGTTACCTCATGGTATGGCATGACGATTTGGAGTCTTATGAACCAATGTGTAATATGATGTGGCTTATGGCTCTTCCAAGATACTTCGGTTAGAGTGTAATACTACCTGTGGATAGATGTGGAATGGCATGGAGTCCAATTTAGTTTGTCAACTACTTCTTGTCAGATTGAATATGGGTACAGTAGGATACATGGTGTTTAGATCTGGAAGGGGCGGAAATATGTTCCTTCCGGACGAGATATTCCGTTACCGATGCGCGCCTGCTTGGCATGCGTTTCCGGCCTATTTTCGACGTCTGGTGTGTTTGTGGTTTCTTCTTTTCTTTGTTCTGGACAGCGTCTTCTGTTTTTGATGGCAGACAATGCATCGTTTTGCGGGAGGACACATACCTCATCATGTCTATCTGCACATGAGCGACCTGTTCCACAGCGCCTTTGTCCTTGCGCGAGACGTGCTGTACGATACCATCACTTCACGGTCCGGACAAGTCTTCAGAACAGTGCCGTGACGCGATGAAGAGCTCTTCCTGCAGCGAGAGGCTGCCTCGGTTGGGGCAGAAGCATTAAGCATCAACGGACAGCAGCACCCAAGCACGCAAGTCACCATTGGCAACGGCATATTGACCACAATGGCCATCCGGGCGGCGGTCATGGACGGTATGCATCTGCTCCAACTCGACCATAGTCAACACACTCAATGAGAACGACCGAGCCAGACCCCGCCATATCCAGTACTTTACATTACTTTCAGCTTGGGGCTGCGAGAGCCTTAAGCTTGTGTCCAGAGACCTTCATCGCTGCCTCACATCATGCTTTGATGCTCGTCACTGTGGTCTCTTTACTGTTGTCTACAGTTCAGTCCCCATGCCTTTGCAGTATATCTACCTCCTTCCTTCCTGTCTATTCTTCTTCCGGTATCCTCCTCATCCTTTTCGCCTTTCTTCCTTCTCTCCTTTCTTTGTGCTTCCTTCTACAGCCTCTTCTTTGCCTTTCCAACCTCATCCTATTACATATCAGCTCGATACTATCAACCCTAGAAGTTTGACCCGCAACAGTATCGACATCATCAGTCGATATTCTAATACCTTGCGACGTTGCTTCATCTGAAGCGTCGCCACTTTTGCGACTTCTCACACCCTTCCACGATCAACATGGACGTTCTGGTCAAACAGGAAACAGACGTACCGCTCCAGGCAGGTTCAATGCCGGAGTATGTCGATCCGCCACCGTATCTCGATCCGCCATTCGTACGTGCTGGTGATCTTGCTCGACAGACGGCTTGTAAGATACACGATATCTACAGTACTGCGCCCAGGCCTCCACCTTCCCAGCTCATTTCAGAAGCCGAAGGTCTGGCCAAGCACCTTAATCGAGAGGAGAGACTAGTCGGTCTGGTGGGTTTGTCCGGATCAGGAAAGAGCAGCTTGATCTGTGCACTTCTGCAAACCGAGGGCATTGCAATCATCGATGGCAGTGGCAAAGCTGTGACGTGCTTTCCAGTGGAATATCGACATTCCTCGTCTCAGCATACCTCGAAATATCACCTTCAGTGTGCTTTTCCGGACCAGCCACGGGTAGAAGAACTTCTATCAACATATCTGGACGATATCATTGCGCCTACAGCCTTCGAACATGACGAACTCACTGCGTCCGAGTGGGAGGAGGTGCAGTCAAAAGCTCGCACCGCAGAGGCTGTCTTTGTAGCATTGTTTACGGGGTTGGATGGGTTCACCCTCAAGAAGCTCAACCCTGAACGGAGAAAGGTCACAAGAAAATCTGCTATCAAATTATTACATGAATGGGCTAAACACCTTCCATGGCCGGCCGAGAGAAAGGATAGCGTCTGGAGCAGTGAGGCAGCTACTGAGGAGGAGTTACGAGAGCTGCTCACCAAGTTTCGAGATAATGGTCTCTGGCCATTGATCGACAGTATGACCATATTCATGGGCGCGCCTCTCCTGAGGCATGGGGTCGTCTTGATAGACCTTCCCGGCTATCAGGACAGTAATCTTGCTCGTGTCAAGGCTGCCAGACAAGCTCAAGCAAAGTGTGATGATCTTCTTGTCGTTGCAGGCATTACTCGTGTGGTCGACAGTCCCATCCTTGACGAAGCCATCGAGGAGAACATTGCACGGCCCGACATTGGCATGCTTACTCTGCAAACTGTCACCGCTGTCTGCACTCATTCAGCAGAAGTGGAAAGACATCTCGAGAAGGCGGTCGACCCGCGCGCATTGAGAGCTGCGGACGACAAGATCAAGGAGTTGAAAAAGAGAGATGCATCTTATTCAGAGATGGAGGAAGCGAAGCTTCAGAAGCAGCACCTTATCATTGAGGCCAGGAACAAGAATGTCATCGCCGAGATGGAGCTCAGACATGGCTCCAGACTCCCCAAGGATCAATTTCAAGTCTTCTGCGTAGACAGTACGAAGTTCTTCGAGAGCAAAGAGTGGGAAGACATGAGCGGAATTCCGGCACTCCAGAGCTATGTAAAGACTCTGCCAGGGAAGACACTGTTCCAGCTCAGCAATGCTTACATTGGTCCTCATCTTCAGGCCATGGTGGCTTCTTTCGAATCTTACGTGGACGGGTCTAGGTTGAAGCCTGGAACTATGAAAGCCGTCCTTCATGGACCAGAAGCTCTTGAAAGATTCGATGATGAGCTGGAGCTCTGGACTGAGGAGATTGTCTCGAAGTTCGAGAGTATCATCATCGATCCACTGAAAGACACTGAAGAAAATATCGACGAGGCTCTATTGGAGGTGGTCCAGTCATGGAGGGCATTGCATGGGAACACTGTAGGCGCTCTTTGCCGAAAGGGTGGCAAATTACATACTGTCACCGCTGGTAAACGTGACTGGAACGCCGAACTCACCGAATGTATCACCAACTCCACCGACGAAGCCTGGTCAGAATTCGACGACGTTCTGGAAGCCAGTCTCTCAGGACTCCACCAGAAGATATGCGAGGCATTTCAGGATTACCCGGTCACATGCAAGAAACTGGGCGCACCTGAACATTTTCTGCAGTCTCTCCTGGCCAGGCAACAGATCCTGGACGATCTCTGTGCGAAGGCGCGTGAAAGCTTCCGCAAAGAGCTTGGGACCATCAAGAAGAACGCGAACAACACTCATGAAAACGCCTATGTCCGGGCTTGTATGCTGCCGGTATACAAGATTGCAGGTAATGCCAGAGGTAAACATATTCACATAATCCTCCTTTGTAGATTGGTCTGGGACTATACTGACTCTGCATAGGTAAGGGAGTGAAGGAATTCCGTCACACCACACTCGAGGAGCATGTCGAAGAATGTGCATTTGTGGCGAGCATTTGTGACTCTCTCGAGACTGACTTCCAGGACGCCACGGAACGAGAGCACAACAACCTGGTTGCTAAGGTTGCGTCCACGGTCAAATCCATCCAAACGGATGTAGACTTATTCCAAGGCAAGAAAGATGAAATCCCGCTGTTCAAGCTCGATCCGAAGTTCGGTGAGCGGGCGGAGGAACTGCTGCAGGTGGTCAAGCAGCGGCGAGTGGAGATTGATGGCCTAGCAGAGCCAGCACGAAACCGAGCGAGACAGTTGTACGGAGATGAGATCATGACTTGGGGAACGCGCACACTCGAACCTGAACCCGTAGTGATGGTCGACCACGAACCGCATGCAGGTCATCGGAAGAAAGGAAAAAAACGAAGACGAGAATGACCAGGACCAGAAGATGAGACCGGGCTGAGAAGGGAAGACAACTCAGCACCAGCTGCGTGATGGCAAGACAGCTACGAGAGGGCTCCCATGATGGTGCTGCGATGAAGAAATGTCAAACACCAGCAGCATACGCCTGAAAGCGAACAAGGGGGCGTCAAGGGCTGCACTAGGAGCTGAAAGAGCTGACAGCAAGAGAGATTAACAAACCAACATGTTGCCACACCTAGATAGCATCAATAGAACGGAACCATCATCATACAACCGCTTCCTTCTCGCGGACTCGCTAACAAGCGCAGAAGGGTTGTGAACTAACACAACACTGACCAGACTACAGGTAAAGGAAGGACTTACCATCTCGACCGATGCCATTGAAGCACACTTCCACAGCATTCATTTCAACGCGGCATGACTTGCAATATGCCGGCCACCTGGAAACAAGCAGCACTTGATTTTCGAAAGGGGAAATCGCCATGACACTGCAATCACATCCTGCCTCGCACAAAGCCCGCGGTCTATCAACGCTCTTTCTTTGACTTCCGCAGCATTACGTCTGGTAATGCCACCGCGAAGTCACACCGCGTTGCTGGCACGGGACTTGGAAACGACGAATGAGGAGAACGGTTTGAGCAGAGAGATCGACTGCCTGGCACGAACGTGGGCTACATGAGTGAGGGTAGTAGTGATTTCGGTGCCGAGACGATCTCACCCAGGTCGGTCTGAGTGGTAAGGTCCATACGAGTAGTATTCGGGGCGGTGACTAGGTGTACAAGGAAGATGGACAGGGCACGGTCAAGACCAAAGGTGAAGCAGAAGTCCTCGGACGGGGATATGCGTTGGTCTCGTTCATGGCAGGCAAATGCGAATGGACATCTGGACACACACTCAGCAGGATTCGTTGATATGTCTATTGTCTGCACTATGGACCATCGTAAATCTATATCTAATCGTTGATGAATTGTCACAGAGAAGAACGTCGCTCGCCACTGGCATATGCCTACTTTATGGATATAGGTACGGGCCGGTACAAGTGATATCATCCTCAATACAGGTGACAGCACTGAGTGCCGCCTACTTCGACATGGATACTTCTTAATATGGTCGGTCCTTGCAAGATCTGCAACATGCAATGCCTTTATTAACTGGCTTTACTGCCTGAGAGGTACCAGCAGAAGCACCCGAGATCGGGTCGGCTGAGAGGCAAACTCTTCATTAGTCTCAGCGAGACGCAAGACCTTGGTGAACCCTACCCGCAGGCGGGGGAGACGAGCATCGTGCGGTCAGTGCTATGAGATAGAGTCGTCTTCCGCAGCCACTGTTTTAGATGTCTGATGGTGAGTAACTTGATAGCCTGATTCAGACTTCCGGGTAGACGTCGGTTCTGCGCAGCAACGGAATGCCTTTCCTCACGGTCTTGACTGACTCTAGGTCGATGTTAATGGTGAGCAGGTCTGGCTCCCGAGCATTTTCCTTCTCGTCCTCGAGGTCATCGACATGGTCCAATCGTCCGGCAATCTGACCATTGGGTGTGATGACGATCGCATCGCCATAACTGACACGCTTCTCGTTGTGTCTGCCACATTGTGCTGCTGCGATGACCCAGCTTTGCGTCTCGATGGCTCTTGCTCGCATCAGAACCTCCCAATGCAACTTGCCCGTCGGAACAGTGAAGGCAGAGGGATACAGTATGACCTCAGCGCCCAAGCGACGCAATCTCAGTGCAGGTTCTGGAAAGCGTAGGTCGAAGCATATCAGACTTCCGATCTTGCCTAGTGTGTTGGAGTAGGGCGCCACGGTTTCGTGTCCAGGTTCTGTAGAATCACTCTCTTTCAGTTTGGGACCATCTGGTCGCAGATCGATATCAAAAACGTGTAATTTCTGGTATCGATGGACAATATCGCCCTCTTTGTCGATCCATATCAAGGTGTTTCTGATTCTCTTGGATGGTGGTTCTGTGGGCTCATGGATTCCTACATTGATCGATAGGCTGTTTTCTCTGGCAGCCTGTTGTAGACCGCGGACAAAAGGACTCTTGGAGGCGTCTTGACAAAGTGATACTGATTCGGTCGCCGACGAGGCTATGTAGTCGGAAGCTTCAGGGAGGAAGAGGGCCTAAATGGGGAAATGCTGGTGAGGACATGGTCAATGCCGACTTTTCGAAGGATCGACGTAGAGTCACATACCTTTGCACCAGCGGCGACAGCCTTAGATACGAGCTTTTGGCATTGCGCCAGGTTATGGGCCATGGATGCGGTTGAGCATATCTGCCCAACTGCCTAGACACATTGTCAATTTCTGAAAGGATGTTAACGGAGCGAGAAGTGCATACGGCAAGAACCATGGCTGTATAAGTCAGATATCCGTCTCAAGAGCCTAGTGATGCCGACGGCAAGAATTCAATGAGACTCTCGTATCAGCTATCAGGCTTGATGGTGAGTAGAGTGGGCGAGTGATGTTGACGATACCAGATGTGGACACTCGGGAGACCTTCCATATCCGAAGTACCTCGGTCGTCCCTTCCGAACTTCGTTTCCATAATCTCAATGTAGGTGAGCAACACAATCACGCTTTACACTTACACATCTAGGCTTCTATCTACAAGGACGTAGTGAGTATGCCGCATCTCATCGGCCTCTACACGCATGAATGCTCAAATACTTCAACATTGTCAGAGGTAGGGCAGCGTTGACATCGGTAGTTGCTCGATGGGATCGGTTCCGATCTTTTACTCCGGAAGTACCCCGCCTTTCATGCCCCCGTTCAGGTGTCGAGTCAGTCACCTTACAGGCATCCCCGAAGTCTTGGAGGCTGTGGACCTATGGGGCAGCTGGGACGTCCCCTGGCTTGTGCAGCTATGTCGATCGACTGCTGTGATTGAATCGGCAGACTCGAAGCAGTAGAGTTTCCACTCGGCCGTGAGGAGTACCTCAGCTATATATATGCTGGACCCCTGCCGCCAATCTGTACACTTCAGTGTCCTTTTGCTCGACCCATACCCCTCGAAATCCATAACTTGCACGCTACTACCCCTCCATAATGGCGACAGTTGACATTCCCAGACAGCAGAAAGCTGCAGTCAGGGTCGGCAGCGGCAAAGATGCCAAAGCCCCCATTCATCAAGTCGATGTTCCCTCTCCAAGTCCAGGAGAGATCCTTGTCAAGATCAATTGGCGAGTTCGACCACCTATGTAGCCTCGACCTGGGCTGACAGCTGACTTAGGACTGGCCTGTGCGCCTCGGACAAGTCTTTGCTGCACGATGAATGGGCCTCATTCGGCGTGGACATGAAGGAATCTGCCAAAGGTATTGCTGGCCACGAAGGCGCTGGTGTGGTCGTGGCAGTTGGTGAAGATATGCAGCACAAATGGAAGGTGGGAGACCGAGCCGGAATCAAATGGGTCTGGAGCACGTGCGGTGAATGCGAGTTCTGCACCAACGGAGTTGATGAGCTTCATTGCCCTAACCAGAAGAACTCCGGCTTTACTGCACCTGGGACATTCCAACAATACGCCCTCAGTGACGGAAGATACACCACTCGTATTCCCGAAGGCGTCACAGACGAAGAGGCCGGACCCATCATGTGTGGAGGTGTAACAGCTTACACTGCCTGCAAGAGGAGCAATGTCAAACCTGGCCAGTGGATTGTAAGTCTGCTCAGATGCAACGATGAGTCTGCTGACAGCTCATCTTAGGTGCTGCCTGGTGCGGGTGGTGGTCTTGGACATTTTGCTGTACAGTACGCAAAAGCAATGGTACGCTGAGCTTCTAGAACAACTCAGCACGGTCTCTCTAACCGGGTTCAGGGTATGCGTATAATTGCTGTCGATGGAGGTGATGCGAAACGCGACCTCTGCAAGAAATTAGGAGCTGAAGAGTTCATTGATTTCACAAAAGTCCAGGACATTGCAGGAGAGGTCATGAAAATTACGACCTATGGCGCCCACGGTGTCATTGTCACAGCCGCTACGAAACAAGCCTATGAATCGGCTCCAACTTTCCTGCGTCCTGGTGGAACAGTTGTGGCTGTCGGTTTGCCCACAGATCCATCGGTGATTGCTGGCGCACCACCTATCATGCTGGCTCTGAAGAAGCTCAATGTGGTCGGCAGCGTGACTGGTACCTTGAAGGATGTTGAAGAGGCTCTCGACTTTACCGCACGGGGCTTGGTGCACGTAAGTAACACGAATCTCTTGGACAAGGGGCTTTCTCTGACTGACGAACTACCAGCCAATATTGACCAAGGGCGATCTGGAAGATTTGGACAAGTACATCGACCTGATGATCAGCGGTAAGCTTGCTGGAAGAGCCGTGCTCAAAGTTTCGTAGAACAGACAAGTATCACATTGGCCACAAGGAAATACCGGGAGCTCGCCTTTGATCAAAGATTATTGCAAGCCCGTCCGGGTTGAAGTACTCCAATATTAGCATTATTCATCTGGCTATCCATGAGACCAACAAACACCCGTATGATCGCTCGGCATATTTCATGCATCACCAAGAGAATGTCATCAATGCCGGATTCAACACGATCGGCAACAACAAATGACTCGCCGTGACAGTGCTCATGGGCAATATCGCAATGAAATCCGCAATCACCCAATCATAAGGAACAAACCCGCCCGGATTCGTCGCCAGCACAATCATACCCAGAATACCCACCAAGGCAAAAGCAATGCTGAACTTGAACTTGCGAATCACCTTTGGCACCTCGATGAAGAAATTGCTGAACTCAGCCTCCTTACTCGTGGAACCCCACGACATGTCGATCTCAAACATATGCGCCAACAAAGCCTGCGAGACATGTAGTGACAATCCACCCAGAAAGATCGAAAGCATGACAATCCACTTAAAATTCTCCAGCAGGGCGGCGATAAACGACTTCTGTCCAATTCGGTAGCGCATGACCGCCAGTGCAATGTTGCCCAGACCATTGAACACAATGACAATGCTGAACCACACTTTCCAGCTGTCAATGTAGTACTTGTCCAAGTACCCATTAAACCAGCCGATAGCAAAGTAATTGGCCAGCGTCATGATCCATGCAGCCCCAATGGCGTAGTACGTGCCAATATAGCTGATGATTGTGATCTTGCTGGTGAACCGGATATTCGAGAACAGAAACCTGCGGAACAACTCTGTGAATGGACCCCGGTATATCCATTGTCGCAGCGGGTGGAAGAGTAACTCATTACATCCGTAAGCGTACTTTTCCCAACGCGCTAGTTCGTCGTACACCGTCAGACTGACACCTTCTTTGAACCCGCCGTGCGCCCAGGACGCAAGGCGAATAATGTACCCGTCGCACTGGAGACGAAGAGACATGTCGAAGTCCTCGCTGACATGTGATTCCGACCAGAATTTCTCGTAGTTGTCGTCGTCGATGTACGAGACTTGCTGGATGGCGCTCCAGCGCAGAATAGCGTTATGTCCGACAAAGGGTGCTACGTCGCCGTTGGCAACGGTGTACTCGATCGCCGTGTAGACCATCTCGGTGAAGAATGTGATGCCATTCTCGAAGAATGTGTGGACGACTTGCATGACGCCACTTGCGAATTGCATGATGCCGACGTTGGGGGAGTGTTCCATTTCACTGACCGCGTCGAGGAGGCAATCTGTGGGGACGCGTGTGTCGCTGTCGATCAGGAGGATGTAGTCGCCTATCCTGATGTTGCCGGCGGCCCAGGCACGGGGTGTTTCGTCGAGGGTTTGGCGCAGGCAGTCTTCGTATGCGGCTAATTCGTCGGCTTGAGTCCAGGTTGACGGCCGGTCGAGTTGGCGGAGTTTGTCCTCGACTTTACACGACAGCATGAGGCCGTAGTTCATGTTCGATGCCTTTTTGAATTTGCCGCGGCGTATGAATCCTTCGCTGCCGTGTTTAGGGCGGGCCGTCCAGCCGATGTTGTGGTCGGCGTAGAAATCGATGCGGGCTTGACGCTCGTCTTCGTCGATGATCTGAAGGCCGTCGTCGTTGATGAGCATGTTGGCTGTGCCGCCTTGGAGTTCGTATGTGGATATGGCTTGCTTGATTGAGCGGACCGTTGGTGCGATGACGGAGGACAGGCCTTCTTTGTAAACGGGGCATTGGACCGTGACGTGTGGGAGGGTTGGTGTGCGTAGGCGAGGAGAACATTTGGCGGAGAAGTATTTTGAGTTCACTTGCATTTGTCGGACGGGCCCTATGCACTGTGCCACGCAGCCGACGATGACTTGGGCGAAGAACTGTCGAGGTCTATTAGAAAGTGGGGTCAGGATAGGGGAAGCGAGGACGAACTTACCAATGTAAAGAAAATCTGTATGGGGACTAGCGACAGGAATGCAAGGCGTAAGTACGACTTGTCAACGGAAATCTCGACGGCAAGAGACTGACATGCCAGACCGAGCAGGACGATGACAATGATCAGCGTAAAGGCCACAAGAACCGTGTTCATCAGGTTGGTTGCCCGGCTGTCAGTGACCGTTCCCCCGAGCTCAGAGTCCATGTTGATGTTGACTTTGCCGCCTTTCTCGTTGGAGACGTCTTCACTCTCGCCAGATTCGGCGGTGTGCCAGACCAGCTCCATCAATTGTGCTTCAATGCTGGCCGCTCTCTTCACCACGTTGGCAGCCTCGTCGTCCCATACCACCAAGAGTGACTCTGAGGCGACGAACGCTGCATACTGATACTTTCGCGCTCGAGGGAGGTCCTGTATGGTAGGCAGGATTTGCACACGCAGGCCATCCATCAGCGGAACATCGGTGGTGTCAGGAGCCCATGCGAGAAACGTCTTGATGACCCGCGAGTTCACCGTCATGGCAACCTTCATCTCAAGATTAGCTGGGATCATTCCTCCCAAGAACGGCAGCCTCACCTGTACATTGAGTTGAGCACATGCTTCGGCAAAGTATGAGTCAAGAAGTGCCTGCGGGCATGCGAGGTATTGGCCTCTCGATTTGCGTAGTAGGACGCCTTCACGTTCTCCGCTGCCGTCTCCAATCCAAAGATGCGAGCATTGTTTTTGATAGAGGTGGCTGACCATGATCTCATGCTTGATGTCCTCGAGCAATGCGCTTTTGGTGCTGTGTGTCGATCTGCCACTGATGGAAGCAGCACTGCTCTGCACTGGAGAGTCCTCAGTGCTGAAGCCATTTTGCATTGGGGATCTAAGAGGCGGTACCGATGTGAGAGTGGCCATAATGCGATGCTCGGTAGTGTTCGATAAACGAGCTGCTGCTGAGTTCCGTGAGGTTGTAGACTGGAAGGATCACGACAGAAAAATGCATGAGTCGTCCTCCGGTGCTCAACGAGAACATTCCGAATATTGAAGCAGCCTCCTTGAGATGAGCATGACTGCCGATTGCCGTCTTTGATCTGGATTTTTAGGTGAATTCATGAGAACAGTGTCCGAGACATTGGCAGATCTCTAGACACACAGAAATGAAATAGTAGCAAATGGTGCGTTATTGGCTGAAGCAGACCATGACACCTGCTACCAATTGTGGGCAAGGCTTTTGTGCCAGGTCTCGAGCTCGTTGACCTCGTTCGTCAGTTGAAGCAGTGCTTCAAGCCCGATGAGATACAGCACCAAAAAGGAAGTAAGGAGACTTCCGGACTGGAATATCCATGTTTTCGGATCGACGGCTGAATTGCGTGGAAACCCTAACATGGCGAGACCTAGAAGTAAGCAAGAATTCACCTCAAAAGCCTCAGAGAGCAGTGGGAGCAATCAAGGTCCAATTGAGGTCGTACATTAGAAAGGTCTCGGACGTATACATCCTGTTGTAGTTAGTGCAGTCCTTTTCACAACGACACTGGATCTGTGAGTACTGTGATGGACGATGATTTCGGTCCAGACAGGAAACCTCCATTTTCGCAATTGCGGATCTGAGACCCTAGAGATCGATGCTTCAGATATCAAATGGTGGACGGCGCAAGAGAAATGATAGGTGATGATGCTTCGAATTGGTCCGAACGTGTATTGCTTGCAAAAGTCCTGAGACATGTAGTCACCAATCCGAGATTGCTTATATTCGTCAGGTGGCGCACTATGGTGGTGGCATTCGTGATGGAATTGCTTGAGGAATTTCGAATCTTGCCGTCGCTACTTTCCGACTCCAATAAGAACTGCGATCTTTGATCCCATCGATTGCTGAGAAGAGTGGAGGTATCACTTACCTGTACATTTGGTCTCCTATCATCCGCCGCCAGCTTGACATCAGCTGCTCTTCTCCCTGTAGCTCTTGCAAGCCTTCGCCATGACATCCTCTTCTCAACCAAGCAATGCTTCGTTTGAGCCACGACATCAGTTTCCGCAAATACCCTCACCGACTGGATACAATCAAGAGAAGTCTGCAAATCCATTCTTGACCCCCTATGCGTCGCAAGATCCTTCAAGAAATACCTCTTCGGCTGCTTTGGACCAGAGTGTAGCAACACAGAGATACTTTCATTCTCGAAGAGTCAAGAAAGGGGAGATTGAGCGCCCATGGACCAAGGTGAAAGATCCGAAAGAGAAATGGGTTACAATCATACCGCTCATTGGTATGCTCGTCGGATTCATCATCGCTGGGTACATGGTTTGGGACGGTCTTTCAACAGTTGTGAACCACAAGTACTGCCCTGTCTACATGAGTGATTTTCCAAACAGTGGCTTGGAATCCGACATCTGGACCAAGGAAGCTGAAGTTGGTGGGTTCGGCAATGGCCAATTCGAAGAGACCACAGTCACGACGGAGAATGTGTTCATCCAGGACGGAATGCTGCATATCAAGCCAACGCTGCAAGATGCAAGCCTGATCGAGAAGAACAGTGTGATCAACCTTCAAGTCGACGGGATTTGCACGTCTTCACTCTGGACCAACTGTATTACCGGCACAAACACCACGAATGGCACCATTGCAAACCCTGTCAAATCTGGGAGGATCAACACGAAGAAGGGTGCATCCATCAAGTACGGCCGGATCGAGGTCGAAGCTAAATTGCCTGCCGGCGACTGGCTGTGGCCAGCAATCTGGTTGCTCCCTGTGAAAAAAGTGTACGGCGAATGGCCGGAATCTGGTGAGATCGACATCGTCGAGTCTCGCGGCAACAACTATACCTACCCACAAGGAGGCAACAACATCGTGTCGAGCTCGTTACATTGGGGTCCCGACTCAGTCAACGACGCCTGGTGGAGGACCAATGTGAAGAGGAATGCTCTGCATACCACATTCGGGAAGAAATTCCATACATTCGGACTTGAGTGGTCAGAAAAATACCTCTTCACATACATCGACACTCGGCTACTCCAGGTGTTGTACACCACCTTTACCAAAGGAGGTCTTTGGGAACGTGGGCACTTTCCTGAAGCCAACAGCAACGGCACCAAGTATGTTGATCCTTGGTCGCAGACAGGAAGACCTTCGACACCATTTGATCAAGACTTCTATCTCATTATGAACGTTGCTGTTGGTGGGACCAATGGCTGGTTCCAAGATGACAAGAATGGTAAGCCATGGGTTGACGAGAGTCCAGATCCACGAAAAGACTTTTGGAATGCTAGAAACAACTGGTATCCGACCTGGAATCAGAGTGGAGAGATGGTGGTGAAAAGTGTCAAGATGTGGCAGCAAGAGGGTTACAACGGTTGTCCCTAAGCTGGTCAGCCAGGCCATGTGACAGGGTGAGTGAGAAGAAGGAGAAGAATTTGTGAATGAAGGATGGATGATAGTAAAAGAGAATTGAAAGAAGAGATGGTCTAACGTGGTGTTTGTAGAAAAGAAGAAGAGATTCAGTTCTTGGCGCGCTTTTGTTGACATTGTTTCGGACCTCTTTTCAATATCTGTTCGGGCTTGATCTTCTGCTTATGCACTTTTGATCACTGAATCCAGGGATGAGATTCCATATACCTTCTTGAAATATGGCCAGAAGATCGGTCAATCATTCATACCCTATCCAATGCCTTGATGCCCCGCCAAACACGTATCACTCTTCAAGAGACGCGTGTGTGACGCGTCTGCTGCCGATCATACAAAGTACACTTTCATGATAGAACCCCGACAAAAGCTCCCTGAGCCTTGTCCTTTACGCAGGCCATATACCGGCCTCGATGTCAGTGATGGGCCAGCAAGGCTCCCACGTTCGATGGTAAGCTAGCTTGGGCAAAGGAGGCGGACGTCCCCGAACCCAGTCATGGTCAAAGGAGAATCGCAATCCGGCATTTGGCCCGGCCTCTTTCATTGGGACCTTCGCTCTCGCGACTCAAGCGTGTCGACCGAATTCGCACATTGGAATATCATACTGATCACGCAGCAAGAAGATATGGTAAGTACAAACTGTGGGTTATGGCCTGATGACCAGGAGCATTAACTCCTCCGTCTTTCCTCTTTGAGCCCGGGGTCACGTTGCGTCCGTACCCAGAACGGACTAGACACTATATCTTGCATATTCTTGGTATGCAATCTTTCGACCAGGCGTCTCATGACCAACCACAATGTGCAACAGAGCGTGCAAGACGAAGCCAAGTATCAATTCTGGTATGCCGATATTGTCAAAGTGGACCGACCACCATGTCCAAGCTCGAAGCCGAAGTACAGCCATCAACAGCTTGCCCGTGGTCGCTTCATGAGGATGCCTGTCGTAGGCTGTTGCAATACTTCTAATTGGCTCCCCGCTCCCCCTGCTTGATGCCCCGGACTGAAAGTGGTAAGCGGAGTTGGCCTGGAGTCATGGACCTCATGTCGATCTTGGGCGACAGCGGTATTTCTGTGGTTGATCCTTCCTCATGCAGCTGTGATGAGACCTGACGATGTGACCACGATTGAGCTAAGGCTGCAAAGCATATATAGTCCTCACATCTCATACTACAAGTATTCCTCTTGGTGTCTGTACTGAATCCTCTAGCTTTTGATCGTGCCTAAGCTGCAAGCCATCCAAAATGGCTTCAGAGAAACCCATGACAGAGACCCTCGAGCGGACGGAGACAGCTGAGGCTCGCAAGGTAATTCCCAGTCGTGTTGCTGATTCAAGGACAAGTGACTGACGTCGTAAAGCTCGAGGTTGCAGAAGTCAAGGTTGTCCAGGGTAGCGAAGCTTACAACGAAGCTCTCATTGCGGAGCCGCCCTCATTCTTCCACAAAACCTCGATCCTCCTCTTCCTCTGCACTCTTCTCGGTTTCTTTTGCCAGACGATGAATGGTTTTGACGGATCGTTGTTCGGTGGCTTGACTGCCAACAAAACATTCCTCAAGTTCTTCAATGGCGAGAACAATGGTATTTGGGCAGGCTTGATCTCTTCAATGTACCAAATTGGCGGTGTTTGCGCTCTGCCCTTCGTTGGCCCAGCTATCGATACCTGGGGACGGCGAATGGGCATGTTCCTCGGCGCTGTCTTGATCATCATTGGTGCTGTCATCACTGGAACCACCATCAGCAATCATGATCAAGGTCAATTTATGGGCGGTCGATTCCTGCTGGGCTTTGGCGTCTCGATTGCTTCCGCGGCTGGACCCATCTATGTTGTCGAGACATCCCATCCAGCTTTCCGCGGTCTTGCCACAGCCTATTGCAACACCTTCTGGTTCACAGGGTCGATCCTCTCCAGTGGCGCTGTTCGAGGAGGTCTCAACTATGGCGGTAACACCTCCTGGCAATTGCCAGTCTGGCTCCAGCTATTATTTCCGGCGCTCATCTGTATGTTTTGCTTCGTGATTCCAGAGTCACCCAGGTGGCTGTACGTGCACAACAAAAGAACTCAGGCCACCAATATGCTTGCAAAGTGGCACGGACTTGGCAACCCAGAGTCAGCCTGGGTCAAGCTGCAACTGCGCGAGTATGAGGAATACTTGAACATGAATGGCTCCGTGAGTCGATTCAACCGGCTGTGAGTACGCCTTTTGGCTGACTTGAACAGGATAAACGCTGGTGGGATTATCGTCCCCTCTTCAACAAGCGGTCAAGCATATACCGTCTGGGAGCCAACTGCTGCTTTGCCATATTCGCTCAGTGGGCTGGCAATGGATCACTTACCTATTTCCTTCCTGCCGTCCTTGATACCGCAGGGTATACGGCGAGCATTACCCAAGCTAACATTCAATTGGGCTATGCATGCTTCCAGTTCTTTTTCGCTCTCATTGGTGCGAGATTCGTCGACCGCTTGGGGCGTCGTCCACTCATGCTAGGTGCAATGGGAGGAGCATCTTTGGTCTGGGTTGCTGTCACCGTCTGCACCAGCATCTTTGCCCACTCTGGACAAACGAACACTGCCGCTGCCAAAGCCACAGTGGCATGGATATACATATTTGGGGCCGTCTTCTCATTCGGCATTACTCCACTGCAGGTAAGCTGTCGATACGATGGAACGACAGTGGCGACGAGCTAACCGTTCCCACCAGGCCTTGTACCCTGTAGAGTGCCTGTCCTTCGAGATGAGAGCGAAAGGAATGGCTTTCAGCAGCTTGGCCGTCAACGCAGGAGGTCTACTCAACCAATTTGCATGGCCCGTATCGCTCAAGGCCATTGCATGGAAGACGTACATCGTGTTTACTATTTGGTGTGCCATTCAGACTGTGGTGTGGTACTTCTTCCTGCCAGAAACGCGCAAGAGGACGGTAAGTTATGCTGCAGCCAGTATTGAGCAATGGTACTGATATGTACGGTGACAGCTCGAAGAACTTGACAAGATTTTCGAGGCTAGCAACCCCGTCAAGGAGTCACTCAAGGTACACAGATTGGCCATCAGCCATGAGAACCAAGTCGTGGCCACAGAAGAAGCATAGGGGTCATGTTGGAGTCAACCACCCAATGATTCAGAAGGTGTCAGCCGATGAGAGGGCGGTAAACTCCGTACGTTGGAGAGGGAGAGAGAGAGAGAGAGAGAGAGAGAGAGAGAGAGAGGTACTTCCCAGCAGATACAAAAGGTATGGATCTCCTGGAGTACTTGCAGCCACTTGAACTTAGAGTACGTCATGGGGGCATTTTCCGTCTAAAAGTCCGAAGATGTAAAGCTATAACAGTAACCTTGTCTCGTTCCTTCCCGGTCCCACGGCTCTTTTCCGCGACTCTTTGAAGACGTCGCAGAGTACCGATAAGGCACATTCTAGCCTCAGCAACTTCAAATTGTCATCTATTTCTCTCCTCTGTCATGATAAAACGTGCTGGAAGTCTACGGATGCTCTTTCAGTAGTTCACTAGGCAGTCCAATGATACAACTCGACACCACTCGTAGCGCGCAGCTACCTTGGACCTTCCCTTGTTGATTATCTTTTGGGGTACCCCGTACGGAGACTCTGCGGTCCCCTCCATGTGTCTGCAAAGGCAGAAGAACTTAGGTAATTGCCGACCTTGCTAACTTACTGGCGACCGCACTAGGATCATCAACATGGAGATGATCCTCTATCCTGCCATCTTCATATTTGACCCCAACAACAAGCGTCCTTCTCCAAAGTCATGAGATGTAATCCTCCATGGCGGGGAAAGGCAAGTATCTCTCTTCGATGGGCTTCGCCAAATATGTCGATCGCACAGACTAGTCAGAACGGAGATGCCTCACAATCTCAAGTGCAATTTTACATGTACTAGCCAAGTTCTCCAAACCGCTATACCCACCTAGGATGGAGAAGCAGACCACCAACATATACTATGCTCGGGGTAAAGGCCTAGATCACTAGCCTACCCCTTGGGGAATGTCACCAGTGTTCTATTCCCCCTGTCTCCTAGGTGTTCTGGAAGCTGACATAAAGATCCAATCTCCTGGGACATGCTCACAAGGTGGACCTCTGCCTCTCACTCACAGCAACACCAGAAGGCATCACAGTGGCCATGAATTACTACAACTTCCTCATCGTCTATCTGGTGACCTTTGGGTCCTTAACCTATGGATACAACAGCGCCATCATCGGCAGCGTGATAGGATTACCATCCTTCTTCGATTACTTTCATATCAATGAAAAGACGAGTGCAGGTTCCCGGATCACTGGAGGTGAGCATCAGCAAGCTGTCTTCGAACCCCGAGAATGGCTTCTTGCGCACTGATATCCCGACGAAAGCTGATATGTGTCCCTAGCCACCAATGGTCTCTTCGCTGGCGGCGGTCTGCTGGGCTGTTGGTTCATAACATGGCTCGCTGACAAGGTGGGCCGAAAGCGATCCATCCAAATCACAGCCTCTATCTGTATAGTAGCTGCAGCTATCCAGGCAGGGTCCGTTCATATTGCCATGTTCTTGGTTGGTCGATTCATGATGGGATTCGGAGCCGGCATGGTGAATGTCATCACACCACTATACCAATCCGAAATCTCTCCTGCAAAAACAAGAGGGCGCATGGTCGGATCCCATGGTTTCATACTCTGCGTTGGCTACGTTAGTCAACCCACACACACGTCCTTCTCAAAGCATGGCTAACATGTTTTACAGGGTCTCGCAGGCTGGACAGGCTACGGCTGCTATTTCATTGATAATCAAGTCGCTCAGTGGCGTTTGTGTCTTGCCCTTCAGGTCGTGCCTCCTCTCGGTCTGTTGATCGGATCTCCGTTTCTGCCCGAGTCTCCTCGACACCTGGTCGCACATGACAACCAAGACAAGGCCTTCTCCATTCTTAAGCGGCTCCACCACGTTCCAGGCGATGACGAAGACGTTCTAGCCCGTGAAGAATTGTATCAAATCCAGAAACAGTTGGATCTCGAAAAGCGTGAGGGCTGGAGACAAGGTTGGGTCAAGGGATGGATCCTCCTCTTCCAAAGGAAGTCATACAGAAAGCGTCTCCTCTTTGGCTTTCTCCTGCTGTAAGTTGATCTTTCCAGCTCCATCCTTTTTCACTACTGACAGAACCAGCGGTTTGGTTCAGTCGACAGGTTGCTTGGTGATCAACAATTACCAAGTCCTGCTGTACAATGGTCTCAATTTATATGGTTCTATGCCTTTGATGCTATACGCTCTATGGGACACTTGGGCCGCCATCATGAACTTCATCAATGCTTTGTTGCTTGACAGAGTCGGGCGGATTCCCGTAATGGTCGTTGGTCAAGTATGGTCTTCCAGTCTTGTCGGGAGCCAATGACTAACTTGTGCATTAGATTGGCTGTGCGATTTCTGTCGCTGGATTCACTGCTTGTCTTGCGAGATATGGTGGTACCGATAACAAACTCGGAAACGGATTTGGAGTATTCTTCCTCTACCTGTGTATGTTACTCCAGAAGACACCCGACAGCAAGCAACTAACGTCAGCACAGTCGTGACATTTTTCGGCGGCAGCATGGACGCAAGTTCCTATGTCTACTCGTCAGAGATTTTCCCTACCTCCATCCGTGCTCAGGGTGCCGGGTTTAGTGTCTCAGGACTCTTCTGCTTCAGCTTGATCTACACAATGAGCGCTCCAGTCGCATTCAACAGCATTGGATGGAAGTACTATTTGATCTTCATCATTGTTCCGTTGTTCGGGGCTGCCTTCATGTACACCTGCTATCCGGAGGTAAGTCATAGCATAAATGCACCCGTCTCTGCGCAGATGAGTATGCTGACTTCTCGTACAGACAAAAGGACTTGCTCTCGAAGAAATCGCAGCCAAATTCGGCGATGAAGTGGCCGTGGATCTCTCACATTTGTCGCTTGAAGAGAGAGCCAGACTTGACAAGACTCTTTTCAGTGGTGACATCATGGAATTGGAACATAAGGCTTGATCGCACAGGGCAGGCAGTCTGATAGTCCCGTGAGTGGTGGGATGACTTTGCAAGGAGCACCGGGCGGCGGTCTCGTGACAAAGTGAGCGGGAGAGACTGTCGCGGAGAGCAGGTACACGATGGGAGGCGGACAGTGAGTGGGGGTCCAGCACATCAAAGTCCCATAAAACCACCTTTCGCATACAGAATGATCCTTGATGTTGTTATCTGTCAAAGCTGTGGATTCAACCGGTCCTTTTGAGAGGAACCTGTACATTCCAATGCCTCGTAAGTTGATGATCGATACCTATCAAACGTTTACCGTGACGAAAGTTATCGGTCTTCGCACGTACGAGCAGCGCTACCAAGCGAGGGACTTGAACAAGAATTGCAGTCTGTACAATGGCCAGATCGTCCGGGCGCGGATGGGTCTAGTCGGCGACCAGGGGGGTATTAAGTAGATTTACCATGACGATCGGGGGGATGATAATCCGGTTAGACTGCCGGCTTTGGTGGGCGAGCACGTAAGATTGGTGCTGTCAGACAGACAAACAAACAAAGGCGATAGATAGTTTAGGATATCATATGGTTTATTCAATATCCCGATCTTCACCGTGGAAGAACCGCAGAATAGCACGCGCAACCATGATCCCGTCATGTTTGAGCGCCGCGGTCTGCTTGCGCTCCTCGGCGAATCGCGAATCTTTGATCCCGCCGTTCTCAATCCGCATGTCCACTTGGGTGCGGACTGTCTTCTCGTCGAAGCCTAAGTGGCCCTGACTCGTGAATAGGCGATCGCGTAGGTACATGCCCTGGATTTGTGTGTGATTCGTCGTCGCCCAGACGTGGACTCGGTCTTGCGGCGACAGCAGGTCGGTGCTCTCGGACGACGGCACGGTCGTCACATGGTCCTGGTGCATCTGGTGGAGCTCTATGGTAGGACGGTCCGTCCGGAATAGTTCCTTGCCCCGATTTGTCAGGTCGAGTTCTGTATGGGCGAGTTCCCAGTCACCGCTGGGATGAGGCTCTACTTGCGCGCCCAGCACGCGAGAAAGGATCTGGTGGCCGAAGCAGACGCCGCTGAAGCGTAGATGGGGCCGCTCCTGCCATAGTTGGCGAAGCAGGTCAATCAGTTTGAGAATCCACGGATTGTCGCCATGTGCGTCGTACATGCTTCCTGTGATCAAAATGCGCTGATGTCTTCTGAAATTTCTGACGTCAGGGGGACGTGACCTTTATGCTTGGGCGGTTCTTCGACGACATATTTCATTTCAGTCTCGACGCTGAGAGGCGGACTGTGGATGCGCCCAGCTTCTTTGAAGAGTGTGTCGAACATGGCGCCGAAGCTGCCTTTTGACGCTTTTGTTCTGGGATGAGGCTCGTCGGTCTCGAGGACCAACATGCGGATCGTGGGTGTCATATTGGTACCTGATTTAGTTGTTCTGGTCGCTAATTGGGCATGGGGATGAAGGAAGAGAGAGATACAATTCAAGATCATTGCCACAGCTCATGCCTTACCTGCTCGTTGAATACCTACCGGCACATCTCGATCACGGTTCCGACGTTCTCGTCATAATTGAGCGCTACACAGGGAAAACTTCCATGCAAAATCTGACATGATGGGGAACTCATTTGTAAAAGTAATTCATATGTTGAGACGAAATATTCAATAATGACGTGAAGAGAAGACATGAAGGCAAGGCCCGGAAAACGATGCCAAGAAACGGCACGTGATCTCACGTGATTCCGCCCAGAATGATTATGTAAGGCGAGTCTTAAGTCATTATCATTGCTTCGGCGAAAACTTCGATCTCTTGTTCTTTACCAACTCTACCTCGTGATCAATCTTGTTGCATCCGTCCATTCCGGCTGGTGTTGAGCTAGCCACATCACGGAATCCATACTAAAGCACACTTCCCAGTGACAAGTTGCTTTTTGACGAATTGCATTCGGGATTCGCACGCACCATCGCGTCCTTATCAGTGGCCGCGTCCCCGGGCCACGTAAGCAGCCAAGCTCTGGAAATTTGCTAGTAAAAAGGTATGTCGTTGGAGGGGAATATCTGATAAGATAGGCGCCTTTGTTCTGCTTTCAAGGTAGGCCAGCAGATAAAAGAACTGCTCATTCGCAATCCCAATCCAGACCCTGTAATGACCTTTGCATGATGTTGTGGTCACTGCCTTTGCTGGCCACTGTGGCTGTTGAAGCTGCTGCTCTTCCTCTGGAGAGCCACCCGGTTGATGCCAGCGATGCTGGATCGCCAAATGCTAACCACATTTTCAATGCGATACATTCCTCCATGCGCCAGTGGGGCTCATCTTTGAATCACAATGGCATGTCTCTCTTTTTGGCTAAGGTACCAGCCGGAACACAATTTTACCACGGAACAAGCCAGCAAGAACCCATAACAGGAATGGAATGGCTGGCATTCGAGCCCGAACATGCAATCAATTTTGCAAGGAAGATGGGTGGACCGCGAGGAGGAGGAGGAGGAGGAGGTGGCCCTCCCGGTGAGCACAGAACATCGGCAGGATGGAAAGCGAAACATCACAAGTCTTCGTCACCGTTTGCCGACGAACTATCTTCAATCCCTCCATCAAAAGAGGACGGCCCAAGACACCACCGTCATCCGGGCCCCAAGAAAGAGTGCGATAAGTCACACAACTTTGGACGACCTGAAGAAAGTGCCCGTGGTCTTGGGCGCCTATGGCCCTTCCACAAAGACCATCGCTCGCCGCTAGATGGTCCTCGATTGTCCCGTGCCGAAAACCAGAGGCCCATGCATTTAGAGGACGATGACGATCATCGTGGACCTCCTGGCGGACCCGGTGGCCCATGCCGGTCTGATCCTGGTTGGCTACATACATACAAAACCAAAGACGACCTTCCTCTCATTTACCTCGACGGTATGTCAGCAGGCAAAACAGAAAAGGGCACTCTCGACTCTCAAGATGTCTTGCTCCTCAACTTCAGCGACACGGAGCGTGGCCACATGTTTGGAGAGTTTCAGCGAGCAGAAGGCCTCTGCAAAATGGCCAAAGACACCTGGGGAGACAAGATCAGAGGCTTCATCCGGATGGAAGCAGGTTTCGAGATCATCTTGTGTTCCTTCAAGGAAGATCTGGATTTCCTTTCTGCAGTCCGGGCTGGTTCCATTGCTCCGATTGGAGAGAAACCCGATCCCATTGACGGCGACGGGAGAGGTGGATTGGACTGGCTCAAAGCCATTACTGCACGGTACGACGGCATCGGTGGTGGTAGGGTAAAGGTGAACTATGACAACTTCTTCACCGGTTACAGCTATGATCTCGACTTGTTCAGAGGTAGCAGCAACTTCCCAAGGTTCGAAAACTTGTCGGACTCGTCACTGGTCAAGATCCGCAGTGACGTCGACGCTCTAGTGGATTCTTGGGACCTTTCCGAGCCATTCTCCGTTGACTGGCAAGGGGTCACCGATATGATAGTCGAGCGGTATGCGAGGGAACTTAAATATCTGGTTTCCGACACGCTCTCGGCTCCCGGGGACTTCTTTCACGAACTGGAAGAACTTCTGCGTGTTTTCATCGATTCTGATGCACGTAATACGACTGCGGACACGGAGCGATGCGCCGCACAATTCATTCCTGCTGCTGCCGACATCTCCAGCTCCGTTGCAGGTCGGGCTATTGCGTCTATCAGCGACAAGATCTGTTCCACTCTCTTCACTGCCTTTGATTACGACATCCCTGTGGCGAAATCTGTCAAGGAACTGGAATCGCTGATTGACTATCTCAACTGGACCACGTGGAAGAAGTGCAGTGAATGTCCTTTGGACAAGGTTTGCTTCATACCTATCTGGCCGTTCGGTTCAAAGGATGACTATGATCATCCCCAATGTCGCAATGGGACTGAGCTGAGAGGCAGAAGCGGATACTGGGGTGGTCACTTTGGTCCTCCTGGGAATGGACGCGATAGAAATGGTCCTCCACATGATGGGGATGGACCTCCAAAGGACGGAAACAGGCCACCCTTTTGAGCTCTTCACAGGAGTATCCTCCAGAATCGCATCCTTCGAGGTGTTGAGACCTCGGCCTTGACATGGGTCGGATGAAAGTTCAACTCAGGGACTTACCGTGTTACTGTTGGTTATGGTCACCGCGATGAGTTCACAAGTGGCTCCGCAAGTCTCGCAATTTGAGTGTTTTTTCCCCTCGGCCATGCTCGAAAGACTAGAAGCAGTCAATCCCTTTCTTGCAGATGGAATCCTGGATCAAGACCAGAACCGCCTGCACACTGCACACGTCTGCGACAGGGTCTAGCAGTGCAAGGGACTTTCTTATGAGAAGGCCTGGCTATTACGCACATACAGTAAAGCAAACAGGGTGGCGAAAACAAATATCTGACTACAGAAGGAAGCTTCGCCGACCTATAACATTTCATATGGGGAGAATATTCGGAGTTGGCTATAATGTCGATAAGTTATTCTTAACTACAATGTGAAAATCCAAACATACGGGTTCCAGGCTTGTCAAGCTTCAATTTGTGACTTCGAGGTGTCTCAGCCACCATGCCCCCTGTTCATTCGGCTCGGTATGGACGAATGACCTGTGCACCAATGCGGCTGAACCATTCGGGCCATGCGCCTTTATGACTCCTTCAGTTGAGGACGTGGAAGGATGGGCCAAGGCCACAATGGATCAATACCTGGCCTCCGTCAAGGAGCTGGGACCTTATCGGAAGAATTGGTTTATGACCAAGGTATCTAAGCTGACAAATTCACATGAGGACAAATTTAGCGAAGTTGACGCGGTTTTCGTGACTATTGTCGACATGGTACACTGTCGACCGTTGATTGCCGCCATTTCCACCATCATTTGGCCACGGAACCCTTCGATCATGTCCGTGAATGGATCGAGAATATTACAAACACGATTTTCACAATTCGAACTTCTAGCAATATCGATTGCAGCATGCTATTGTTTGGCCTTCCTGATCGATTGCCGCGATATGTCGTTGAATGCCTGATAGGCACTTTGGGAACTCTTTTTGAGATCAAACTCGAGCTATTCGAGGAGCTTGCCGGCGTAGAGCTGTGGAATACCTCCCTGGCTGTGCTTGCCGCGCGGACGGACTACTATTCTATCCTTGCAGATGTGGTGCGGAGCCGTTCTGCGGCTGCCAACTGCTCAGCTGACGTTCCGTTCGGTAAAAGCTTCCTAGCATTGAATGTGCCAACAGTACGAACAGGGCAGGCTGACCTCGCAACAGTACTTGCATTCGTCAGAGAGAACACTCTCAAGCCGAAAGACATGTTCTTTGACATTCTGGGGTCCCACAGGTCCAAGGCAACTCCAGTGGAATGGGCCCGACATCGTGGCGCAAGATGGGTTCTCACGAATGTTTTGGAGTCCTCCAACTCGACAGCTACCATGATGGAGCATTGTAGCAATGAGCAAAATCAGCAGGAATCCCTGCGAAGACTTGTCCAGGGACTGGGGCGAAGTCTCGCGGGATATTTCCACTTCTGGATCGACTGGATTGAGGTGACCAGGGATTACCAAGCTCACGTTGCAGAACGCGAGCTCCCCTTTGGACTTGTTCCAGATAGGGATCTTAGGCCTATACGGAACAACGTGCTTGCTGATCTGGACCAAAACCGTGATGCCTGCAAGATTTTTCGAGTCTGGCATCGCTTCATGGAAGGTGCGAATGGTTTGGTGCCTCGAAGAAAAGACCTCGAGCCGTCAAATATTGTCTGGGAGGAGTGCTTCGGGAAAGCTGAACGATATGAACAAGCTGTCACAATCCGCCTCCAGACGGATGCTGCCTTGTTGTCTCTCGAAGAGTCAAAAAAGTCTATCAAAGAAGCAGAGTCTGTTGGTAGGCTAACGCAATTAGCCTTCGTCTTCGTCCCCTTGACTTTCACTACAGGGGTCTTTGGCATGAACATTGTCCCGTTCGGTGGGCATGCGCCGATAAAATTCTGGATCACAGCCACTTTGTTAAGTGTTGGTGCGATGGTGTTATGGTCTATGTTCAAAAGACTGGAAAATATGGCCGACCTCTTGGCCGACTTCTTTCGACATTTAGTAAGGCGTGTATGGTGGCGCATCTACTATTACAGAGTAAGCGGAGAAGACTAGAAGAATTCCGTGATGGGCTTGCCGGTGGACATTGAGTGAGATTCCACCTTCAGTTCAGGCGTAGAGTTGAGGCAGACTCAAAAGATGGACAATACCACGACAAGGCTCTATGACCTGGTCCTTCGGACAAGGATGTTCAAGAAGGGCCCAGCCGATATTGAAAAAGAAGGTCAGGGTGAGCGGCCTTTGCCAACTCTTTGATCATGGCAGTTTGAACTTTTGTTCGTGTGGTAGCCATACTCCGTCTTCCCCAGTCCACGACAGGCTCTGTAGCACAAATTGCACTGGTAATTAAAACCTGATGTTAGAATCTACGCAGACTCACTGCAGGAGACCATGCTGGGATCTCGTCTCCTGGTCGCAGTTCGATTGGCCAAGTGACAGTTGCCACCTGATGGACCCAGTGCCGGCGACCGTACGGAAATATACGATGAGCCAGGGAGTAGGTGTCGAGATAGTCCTAGAGTGGGTTCAACGTCTTCCAAGAACACGACCCTGCTTAACGATTGTACATTAGGCCAGTTATGATTGCCCGTAGTTTATGGCGGAGCACTTGATGCACGAACCCCATGGAGTTTGCCGACGTCAGCCGCATCGGCAATGCTCGACCCGTGTTATCTTCCGGCATGCATTCGACTGTTTGTACCATCCTTGTCTGGCCACCTGGACACCAAGTCAGCCAGCTCCGACATGAGCGTGCACGATTTCACAGATGACTACTACAATCTTGGGTCATTCCGTCGACCCGTGAGTACCACCAGCGAAGAAGCTCAGACCTGGTTCGACCACGGCCTCGTCTGGAGCTATGGCTTCAATCACGAAGAGTCAGCAGACTGTTTCAAGAAGGCCATATCAATCGACCCCGACTGCGCCATGGCATACTGGGGCCTCGCATATGCCCTAGGTCCAAATTACAACAAACCATGGGAATTCTTTGACGCCGAAGAACTAGAATCGATCGTCTCGAAGACTCATTCGGCTGTCGAACAGGCTCGATGCAAAGCTGAATCTGCGACTCCAGTGGAACAAGCATTGATTTCTGCCCTCGAATACAGATATCCTCAAAGCACTCCCACAAGCGACTGTTCAATATGGAACGTACCCTACGCTGATGCCATGGGCTCAGTGTACACCCGCTTCCCAGAGGATCTGGACGTGGCAACTCTCTACGCCGACGCACTAATGAACCTCACGCCTTGGGCATTGTGGGACCTATCCACAGGACAACCCGCGCCAGGCGCGAGGACCCTCGAAGTCAAATCCATCCTTGACAAAGCCCTCGCGCAACCAGGCGGTCTTGCCCATCCCGGCCTTCTCCATCTGTACATCCATCTGATGGAAATGTCCTCCACTCCCGAGATCGCCATGCCCATCGCAGACCATCTGCGCGGTTTGGTCCCGGATGCAGGACACCTCAACCACATGCCCACCCACCTGGACATCTTGTGCGGTGACTACCGCCGCGCCATAGCTTCCAACATGGACGCCATCCGCGCGGACGAACGATTTCTCGCGAAAGCAGGACCCTTGAAGTTCTATACACTCTATCGATCGCACGACTATCATTTCCGTTTGTATGCAGCGATGTTCGCGGGCCAGTCTGAAGTCGCGCTCGAAACGGCGGGATGGATAGAGTCGAGTATACCTCAGGACCTGCTGCGCGTCAAGTCCCCGCCGATGGCAGACTGGCTTGAAGCGTTTCTCGGCATGCGTGTGCACGTGTACATCCGCTTTGGCCTGTGGAAGGAGATTCTGGCTCTGGAATTACCTGAGGATCAGGAATTATACTGTGTGACAACAGCGCTGATACACTATGCCAAAGGCGTGGCACTCGCTGCCACAGGGAAAGTTGACGGAGCAGACACTCAGCGTGGCGTGTTCCGCGAGGCTGTCGCTCGAGTTGCGAATACCAGGACACTGTTCAACAACTCATGTCTTGATATTCTGGCCATCGCAGCCGCAATGCTCGATGGAGAGCTTGAGTATCGTCGCCGGAACTTTGACGCTGCATTCGAGAACTTGAGACAGGCGATCACCCTCGAAGATGCACTACCCTACGACGAGCCGTGGGGCTGGATGCAGCCTTCACGACATGCTTATGGCGCACTGTTGCTCGAGCAGGGGCGATTGGACGAGGCCGCAGCAGTGTACAGTGCTGATCTAGGTATGGACGATACACTGCCGAGGGCCCTGCGGCATCCGAATAACGTTTGGTCACTGCATGGGTATCACGAGTGTCTTGTCAAACTTGGTCGGACGGCGGAAGCGCGCATCGTTAAACCTCAGTTGGATTTTGCGGTGGCCATGGCGGATGTGCCGATCAAGTCCTCGTGCTTTTGCCGGCTGGACAAGGTTTGAATCGACGGAGTATACAAAAGCCCTCGCCTACGTTCGCGGTGATGAGACGGCTGTCATTCATCGATCTAAAGTGCACTCATCTCGAAAAGGGCATTTATTCGACACTCTAGCCAGTATGGGATTCGACCACCAGCAACCTGGCAGTCGGATACTCTTTCTAGCTTTCCATACAAGATAGAAATGACGCTCAACTTTGGCAACAGCCGGTCTCCTTGCTCGGCGAAATCCTTCCTCCTCGACATGATATCCTAGAAGTGCCCACCACGCTCCTCATAGTGCGTCGGCTTATTCAACGACGGCAGATCCTTTGCCACCCAATTGGCCACCCAGTCGATCAACTTTGCAAGTGGAACAACAGGGTACCCATACAGCCGCTGCGCTGCAAGCGTGTTGTTGTACCATCCCGTTAACCTTTCTTCGCCTTCGAATATCGGTTCCTTGCCGAATCGGCGGCCAAACTCCATCGCGGCCAAGCGTACACTCATATGCTCAGCACCACCCACGTTCAACGGGCTCGTCGGTGTCGTGGCGTGGGCGAGGGCGCCGAGGATCTGGGCATTGCTGTCGCCCTGCCAGATTACCGAAGCGTATGCTGTGCCAATGGGGATTGGAGTACCGGTCCGGACCCAGTTGGCTATGTCATGTAAAACACCATAACGCATGTCGATTGCGTAATTCAGTCGAATCAGCCGCCCTGGTGTGTTGTGTTTTCGGGAGAAGTATGAAAACATTCTCTCACGTCCAACGCAACTTGTCGGATAGTCGCCTGTCGGTTCGGGCTGGACACTCTCATCCCAGCCGCCACCAGCGATGGGCGCAAAGCCGTACACGCAGAGCGTAGAGAAGGCAACGATGCGTGATGACTTGAACCGCTCGGCAACAATGGTCGGGACGTATGTGTTCATGGCCCAAGCAAAACTGGGGTCTTCGCCTGTGCCGAACTTCTTGCCGGCCATGTACACAATGTTCGCCACGTCTGGGAGAGCACCAACCGACTCACGTTCGAGTAAGTCACACTTGATTGTCTCGAGGTCCCAGCTCTGAAGCCGTTCCCGGAGACCACGTTCGGAAAATCGCGCTACGCCGATGATACGCTTAGACGGAGCCGCTCGTTTTGCCATGCGTGCTATTGTTGGACCGACCTTGCCACCGATCCCCAGGAACATGATGTCTCCCTCGACTGTTCTTAGCAGCTCGGGGAGCCATGTTGGAGGGCGCGATAGCAGTTCTTCAAGGTCTTCCTCCGAGTCAATGGCATCGGGCAGCTCTGTTGCACTGAGAAATTTGTTCTGGCTCATTTCCCCCATGGTGCGGGTGTCCGTCTCGACCTGAGTTGACCTGAGTTGAGAACGATTTGTTGCTTTGGAAGGCAACGAAGACTTCTGAAATCAAGGGCAGCACTTGCAGGGATCATAAAAAAGGGCACCCCATATCGTGCTGGAAAAATGCAGGGACATTTAAAACGCCACGTACGGACACGAGACATCAATTCGAATCTATCGTCATCTCCACCGGACTACATGATGGGCCGAGGTTACCAGGGCCTGCGCCTGTCGAATGTTCGTCCTGGATGGCGCGTTCTCAACATATCCCAATTGTGGCCTACGAGACTGTGACTAAAGGCAGTGGATGTCCACTGTGGATCCTGCTGGACATGGTCGGGTCGGCGATGTGGAACTGTTTCTTTCCCGCCCGTGCTGGGATCAGAGTGCGCGAGGGTTTGGTGCATTCAACGCTACTGTTGAACCTCCAAGCACTCTCCGCACTCGGGACAGAGTTGTGGATGTCTCCCCACGGGAAGTACGACGTCGTACGACGGTTTCCCGGCATCATCTCTGTTCATGCTTCAATGTCACTCCAACATAGTCGGCTCGGACATGACGCCGAGCACCTTCGACGCGACTTGCCTGGCGTTGTGTGGAGAGTGTGTTTACTCATGATTCTTGTTCATACACTTCTACCTCCATCTTACTGAACAAAGCAATGTCTCAACAATGGACACATCTAGTCCGCTTCCTAGCACAAGAGGACGGCCAGATCCATCTCGGCCAGGTTGATGCTACAAAATGGCCTGACGTCGGCCTGGCTACGTTCAAGGGCGAAAAGGTCGACGCAAGACTGGTTACCGGATCGATTTACGACGGCGTGGTCAACCAGCGCATCATGCATATATCACAGGTACCGTAGTACCATGTCTATACGCTGGACCATCAACTCACAAGCGCTTCTGATAGCTCCTTCCACCTCTCTCAATGGAAGAAGTCCCCATCATCCGATGCCTTGGCCTGAATTACTTTGAAGCCGCAAAAGAAGCAAAGGCGCCCATCCCCCAGACACCAGTCTTGTTCGTCAGGCCTCGCACGGCTTTGAACGGGCCATTTCCCGCGAAGATCAATGTCCCCAAAATCGCACAGGATGGCACAAGTGACTATGAAGCTGAATTGAGTATCGTCCTGGGCAAATCTGGTCGCGATATCCCTGAGGATGAGGCCATGGATTATGTCCTGGGGTATACATGCAGCAACGATGTCAGCGCTCGCACTCAGCAATTTAAAAATAGCCAGTGGTCATTTTCTAAGGGTATATACTAGGAAACTCAACCACGATCATGTCCCGCTTGCTGATGATGAACTGATAGGTCTCGACGGGTCTTGCCCCATTGGACCTGTCCTGGTATCCTCGTCATCAATACACGACCCGCATAACTTGCGTGTTCGCGCGATATACAACGACGACGTTGTTCAGGATGCCAATACTAGGTGGGTCTGACTTTGATACAGTTGCAAGCTCCAGAGTCCCAACTGACTTCTTGTGTTTGTTGTAGTGACATGATCTTCAATATACCCAAGACGATATCGTTCTTGTCACAAGGGACCACACTGGAAAGAGGCACCATCATCATGACCGGTACGGGACCAGGCGTGGGACTCTTCAGGGATCCAAAGGTTGTATTGAATCATGGAGATGATATTAGGGTTGAGATCGAAGGGATAGGAACGTTAATAAACAAAGTCCATTATGAATGAAAAGGAAACTTGTATCAGGGCTTCTGCCGGAGATTCTATCACCTTGCTGTTGACTCCTTACAGCAACCTGTTGGAACAATTTTCAACGATGACTACGGAGTGTCGAGACGAAAGAGGTGCGAGCAAGGACTCCCGGCACCTCAAGGCCGACGTACTATCTGTTGCCCACTGATTTCTACTCTTCAACAGCCTGTGTAGCCTGCGCTTACTGTTCGAATAATCTACAAGTACAATCCTCTGAACGATCGTGCTCGGGAATCGGGGGCGGCCCGTACGAACACAAAATGGCAACCAAGTGCGCCGCTCATCTTGTGCGAGATCAGCCTGTCTGGATCATTCGTTGTATGCCGGTTGCCGCGTATCCGATGTAGGCCGTGCCTGGCTAGACACATGGCCACTACTCCTCATTCCACGACCAATTAATTGCATTCAAAGTTCCTTTTTCAAGGCACCAACGAGCCGTCGAAACCCAAGCTAGGTTACGGAGAGTGGCCGCGACATTAACTTAATTGCAAACGAAAACAAGATGAGGGGAAGTGCTGACGTGCAGACTTGCAACACAGGTCTGGCTAACTTGGATCGCATCATCAAGGCTACAGGCAGGCACAAAAGCAGACAGATTGCACGACTGTATATCTGACGTTCCCGCCCGCCTAAGTACCGAGCATGTCCAATGCTCTCGACGTTGAATCTTCTATATCACACAAAGACACACGTCATCCACAGCGTCGTCTAATGATATTCGTACTCCGCACGCGCAAGAAGACCCCAAGGGTAAGTAGAGGATCTAACCTGCACCCCGGATCGGACTTGAGAGGTCGATGTGGGGTTTCAATATGCCCTAATAGCCTAGCGTTAATCCTTACAAGAGTCTAAGTCAATGTAACTATTCAACCCACTCATGATCGTACATGACACGGTTCACCATCCTTCTCCTTACCCATCACCATAGCTGTACTACTTTCTGGTTTGCGACCCGTCTCGTCCAACATCATGCCGCATGTCCCGGACGATGGGCAATCTCCAACCAATACTTGCCCACCTCATCATTTTCGCGTTTAATCTTGACGTGCTCATCCGACTGAGATATTGGATCAGCAACCTTATCTGGCGGCCCTGACAACTCGACGAACACAAGGTACGCCTGCTTCCCCGGTCCACCGCCATAGATCTTTCGTTCCGAGGTGGTGATGTTGCTCACAGCCGAGTCTGCCCGGTACAACCTGACTCTCTGCACACCCTCGGCCTCACCAACCGCCTTGATCCAACTCTGCGCATACTCTGCCTCGCCACCCTCAGGAAGGTCAAAACGTAATGAGACCATGTACGGCGCAGTGAACTTGCCGGGTGCTCCAACAGCCGCAAGCTTCGAGTATATGCTTCGCACAGGCTTGCGGAAATGCGTCAGGGCCTCGCGTGTCCAAGGTGTTGGAGCATTGAGTGCCGCCATGTACGCGTCCGACGCTAGCACAGCCGTGTCCTTGGTTTCGTAGAACATCAGAAAATGTGGCTCATCGGTCAGGGACCGGTATCGCCGGCCTTCCAGGAATCCGGGGATTGAAACCCGTTCGGGGATGTGTTCGCAATTGTGCCATTGCTGATAACGAAGCACATACTCGGCGTCGATGTCGGACCAGAAAGCCATCAAGCCTTCACCCTGCTCTTGAGCGTCTGTGGTCGTCATTGTACACGAGATGTTTGTAAAGGGTTGATCCAAATGGCGGTGCGTGCTCTCGAGATGCTGTCCTTCTGGCGAGGCAATAAGGACAACGACGAAGAATGACTGCAAGCAAGAACAGAAAGATAGGCAGGCCGGGTGGTATACCGAGGTTGTTGGAGAGTCCTAAGCCGTGCCCTTGGTCCAGTACACGTGAGTGGATTCAAGACCTCCAAAAAGCGTCGTACGAGATTCTCATAACCTTGTAAGTGTGCTTAAACCCTGGCATGTTCCGCTAGATGATAGCGACTGATGTGGACATGCAACTCGTATCGAATCAGGCAGCGGCATCTGTTCTGACTAGGTTCAATCCGAGCACACCAACTGCGCATGCCGTCTTCTGCGACTATCATACCCGCTATCAGAACATGGTTCAGGAGCAGTGATGCTGCTCGGATAAGTCGGCCATGATGGTTCGGCTCATGTCGAGTGTGACCACCCTGGACAGTTGCGAATGCTCCAAATGGGACAGATTGCTGCACAGGCCGTCTCATCGTCGCCACTCGAAGCAAGATGACACTCTAATCTTGGCCGTGACGGCTGGATTGTCCACACGCAGCAATAGCCACATGACGATGCTGGAATCGCTGAAAACAATGGCACGCATCGTGCAGCTTGCACGTGCGGGACGGCACAACCCAGCGTTGACTCTCCTCGCCTGCTCTATCCCGCATGTACCCCGGATGGGACCCCGACGCAGCTCCCCAAGTATATGATACCCCAGGCACGCACAGATTACTCTGTAGAATTGCTTTCACCCAACCCAACTCCTTGTACCAGGTGGCAAGCCTACACGCTTCGAACATCTGAATCCACCATCCAGCATGACTCCCAACACTGAAGACAAGCCTGTTACGGGCACCTTGCACTTTGAGAATGCTGTTCCTGTTGACTATGAGCCCGATGGCGCAATGAGCATAGGCCGGTACCTTTCGACAAGAATGTCGACCTTGAGGCCGACCATGAGCCTTCCCCCATCACCTTTTAAACTACTTGCCATGCTCAACCGTCAGCAGTGGCTTTATTTCGGCGTACGTTGTTGTTCTTCAGAGGCACGTTTTTCCGGTGTCGCTAACGTTCCGTGCAGGTCGGCATGTGTGCCTGGACGTGGGACGCCTTCGACTTTTTCTCAGTCAGCCTGACGCTGACGGACCTGGCGGCTTCATTCCACAAGTCGAACACGGACATCTCCTGGGGCATCACAGTGGTCTTGATGCTGCGCTCGGTCGGATCCATTATCTTCGGTCTAGCTTCCGACCGATACGGACGCAAGTGGCCCTTTGTTATTAACAACGTGCTTTTCATCATGCTCGAGCTCGGCACTGGTTTCTGTCAAACATATAAGCAATTCCTCGCATGTCGCGCCTTATTTGGCATCGCCATGGGTGGAATGTACGGCAATGCCGTCGCCACTGCCCTGGAAGACTGCCCTGCCGCAGCCCGAGGCTTGATGTCTGGCATCCTGCAAATGGGCTATATCTTGGGTTACCTCCTGTGCACGGTATTCGCGCGGGCTCTCGTCGACACCACATCCCACGGATGGCGACCTTTATACTGGTTCGGCGCCTGCCCGCCTGTACTCTTCATCATTTACCGTCTGTGTCTGGACGAGACACAGACTTTCAAGGAGCGCGAGACGGTCCGCAAAGTCAACATGCACAGCACCCAAACCTTCGTCGCAGAGACAAAGGTCGCTTTCCGACGCCACTGGCTGCTGTTGATTTACATGGTGCTACTGCTGGCGGGCCTTCAATTCCAGACGCACGGAACACAAGACCTGTACCCAACTTTGCTTAAAAACCAGTATGGCCTTTCGGCGAATGCGATCACCGTGACCCAGGTGGTTGCCAATATCGGTGCGTTCAGCGGCGGCGTCACAGTCGGGTATTTGTCGCAGGTCTTTGGACGTCGACTGTCGGTAATCGTGGCCTGTACCGTGGCTGGACTGCTGCTCTACCCATACACTTTCACCTCCAGCAAGGCCATCATCGCTGCGGCTTTCTTTGAACAATTCTTTGTCGAGGGCGCCTTGGGCGTGGTCCCCATACACCTGATGGAACTTTCTCCGGGATCTCTGCGAACCTTTGCCGTGGGAACGGCCTATCAGTTGGGCAATCTGGCCTCATCGGCCAGCTCGACAATTGAGGCCAAGCTGGGCGAGCGTTTCCCATTGACTCCTACGGCGAAAGGTGTCAAGCGTTATGACTATGGAAAGGTCATGTGCATCTTGTCCGCATGTGCTCTGGTCTTTGTCATCATATTGATGTTGATCGGCCCCGAGAAACGCGGTATAGCTCTGGATGTTCGCCACGACGAAGATATGGAGGAGGTCGTGGGCCATGTTGACATAGACAAAGTTCTTGACCATGGGATGCAGGATCGCCACGATGATGTCGAGGTGGCGCGCTAGGCTTGATTGCTCAGGGTTGTAGCTCCAGGATGTAAGTAGAGGTGGGACTTGGGTGTCGAACTCACTTGTCTCAGACTAGCTGTAACGTTGAATAGACGATAAATCGGATTGTTTGGTGGAACATGTGCCCTGTAAGATGTACCGATCAAGTCCTCATGGTTTTGCCGATTAGACACGACAAGGCATTTTCCAGAGAAGGTGGCACCGTCTGACCGCTGTACCTCTTCAGGTCCAAATAGATATCCTTCCTTGTTGTCAGCTTGGAGTGCTTCGCACACAACAATATGGTTATTCGCCTTTGATAGGAGGAAGACCATCAGCTCCACCTTCTAGTCATACCAGCTTGTGGTCAAGGCACCCACCGTCGCCAATTTGCTGAACATCGACTATGTATCGTCGAGGTACTCTCCGTCAGACGGTGCCACTTTTTCTGGAAATAGGCTTGACGACTACTTGAACTGAAGAATCATGAATGGGGACCCGTTTCAACCTCAAGATGGGCTTAGCGCGCTTAAAGCTTTTCAATCTTCGACTGCACTATCATACAAGACAAGAGCTTCCTCAATACTCTAGCCACTGGGCGATCCGACACCCTTATCGACTTGGCCGCCAGGCTTTCCCAGGACTTAAAAAGAAACAGAATGCAGGTCCCCGTGGATTTGTTTGCGTTGCGCGGTGAATCAATCACAGCATTCACTGAAAAGTAGAATTGATGCAGAATGTAAGAACGTAAGTTATCATTCCGCAGGTGAGCTTTCGATGCTTCAGCCTGTGGCATTATGTTTTGGTGTTCGCTAATAATACAAAGCCTTTCTAGAAATCCTTTCTAGGCTCTTCAATAGTCAACGTGGACGAGAGTCATAGTTTACTCCTCATCCTCATCACCGACGAGGATGTCCAAGGCACCCTTGACAGCCTTGACAGTGATGTAGTTCCTGTCACTATCTCCCTGCTTGCCAACCAAGCCACCAATGACCTTCTCGACATCGAGATCCTCACCAGCGAGCTTGACGTTGCCAACAACGCCCCTGGCGTCAATGGTACCCTGAAAGTTGGCAGGGTAGGTAATCAGTTGATCACCAGCAACGGAGTTGTGGCTGGAAGAGAACAGTCGTTCGGAGGCAATAGAGTTGACAAAGACACGCTTGTAGCCTGAGCCAAGTTTGGTGGAAAAGTCGGCACGGTGTTCGTTGTCCATAAAGTCTGCGTCAATCCAGATGGAGCCCTTTGCCACGTCGATGGCGGTGGAGTTGTAAATGGCGAATGAACCGTTGAGATGACCATTTCCAAGGTGGACGGTCGTGGTGCCTTCGCTGCCTGAGCTGATCTTGGGGATGTTAAGCTCGGCATTACCCTTGACGACGTTGACGTCGGTGTTGTTGCGGGCGTGGGTTAGGGTTCCTCGGATAGCGCCCTCGGCAATTGAAATAGTGGTGGTGTTGGTGTGGACGAGACCAGGCTTGACAAAGCCTTTAGCAACTCTGACGGTGAAAGCACCAATCTCAAGAGACTCTGGCAGTTCGCTGTAGTCGACCATGAAGCGTGGAACATCGACTTCGAAGCTTGGGATGCCGAAGGTACCAATGATGTTTGATGGGATCTGAATTCTGGCCGCAGTATGAATCTTCAGGTGGCCGGTGTTGGGGGTGCTGATGGTAAGACCACCGGCTTCCTCCTTCACCACGACTTCATGGTCCTTGTCAACCTTGTTTGTCTTGATGTCGAGGTCAATGACGACTTTGTCCGAAAGCTTGGATGTCTCGAAGACGACTTTGCCGAAGGACTTTGCACCTCGAACGCTGAAGGAAGAGGCGACCTTGGGGTCGAATTCGAAGTGGGTGGTTCCCTCGAAGGGCTTCCAGTTGTCGATGGGAGGGAAGGGGTGCTGATGGCCATCACCACCATCGTGACCGTGTTTTCCGTGGTGTCCATGGTGTGGTCTCATGCCGTGGCATCCTCGAGAGATACCTCTGGCAGCCGGGCCATGCATGAAGAGATCGAGGACGAGGAGAGTACCGAAGAAGGCAATGGTAAATTTGATGAGGCGAAGGAAGACATTGGGACGCTTGTGGCGGATGGTGACTGGCACAGGCGCAGGGAGTTCCTGCTCCAGCACCAAAGGAGCTTTCTCGTCGTAATAAGGTGTGGTCGACATGGTTGCTGTCGATGAAAGATGAAATGGAAGGGATGAGGATGGTTGATGAGGAGAATATCGAGGAATGGTGAGATGTATGTAGTCTGAGGATTAACTTACGTGGAGCATTAAAGATGCTGCCTGTTTGTTATTCGACAATGAGGTCACCTTGTCGTCACCCGCCACAATTATAACGCGCGATTGCTCCACGTGCGAAGTCAATAATACGAAGCAAATTTTCTTCTCTTCAACCTTCTACTTTCTTCATTTGGCTTACGCAACGATCAATGCTCATGTCAATCCACAATTCTCATGATTGACAAGGCTGGAGAAGAACAGAGGTGCAGATTCCCATCGATCAAACATCGTTCATCATTCATAACTGAGTCAATCCACTTCACGGCTGGGGATAAAACTGAGGATCAAAGTGAAGAGCGGATGTGGCGAAGGGATCTCTTAGGTAAGTGTCCTGCAGGGGCCTAGAAGAGTTGACGTTGCAGGTCTGTGCCTGTCCCACGGGGGATCGTGGCTGTGTTTCGGTTTCGGACAGGTTAAATAAAGCTTCAGGGTCCTAAGGCTGGAGGACTCGCTTGCTTATCTTATCTGACCATATTCTGCCTGAAAAGAATCTGCCGAGGTCAAGTATCTCTGATCTCCTCATCCAAATTGCGGTGGCAAACAAAGACCTGGAGAGGTGGTGCCAAAGTCTGGGGTAATCTCCGCGACCATTCCGAAGATCATCATTCCTTATATCTCATGTTCAGTCATGCTCGTTGTCGTTGTGAAAAAGAACCTTGAGCTTCGTCAAAGCATCCTCACAGTTTACCTCCATTCCGGTAATCACATCAACGGCCTCTTCTTTGCTCACAATGAGCTGGCAAACGAGCCAGAAATGGAAGGAGTTGCGGTACATCCCTGCAGTCTTCATGGATTCGTCCGTCTCTTTGTTGCGGAGAGCCTGCCACAACTGACGCCATCGTTCCAGTGCACCCTTGAGATCCTGGAAAATCGGATTCGAGTTGTGTCCGTCAATCTTCTCACCGAGAGAGGTTGCGGGCAAGTTGTGCGATAGCGTCATGATACATGAGTGAATGTATGTGTATAGAACTGCAAGGGGTGTTAGTGGAAATATGCTCAAAGGTAGGCGCCGACCTACAATGGATCAATATGAACAGGTCAAACGGAGTGAAATCGCCACTAGCGTCCATTGACGGCACTGTCTCGCTGGCGACACTGTTCGATCTTACCAAAGCCATTGACGAAGATAGTAGTGGCTTGGGTTTGCCCTGAAACAGCTGAGCAAAGGCTTGTGATATGGTTATTCTTGGAGCGAATATCGAGTCGTCCTGCATGAAGGGATGGCGTGAACTGAAGATGGCTTCCTTGCACGGTAGGTCTGTATCGTACTCAGCCAGCGTCATGCGGCAAGGGAAGTTCGAATATATTCGTCCTGCACAGTCCAGTAGGGCAATGCTTGCAATGGTCCGGATGCGTGATTCTTTCTGCAGCCACAAGGTCTCCGATATTCGGTCAGATCGCTGATGACGCGCATGGTGGTACTTGTACTTCCGAACAATTTTGATCACTTCACCAAGTCGCGATTCCAGGGCCCGGCGTTTGGGTATCCGTGGACCGGCCCAGTATTGAGCAATCACCATCAGAAACCCGGCCTGCAACTCCTGGAAGGTCTGCCAGTCGGCGTCTTGAGAAGGATCGGTGGCAGGACCAGCAGGCTGTTGTACCGAGTTGTCTTGCAAGGACCTGATGATTTCCGTGTCAAAGGAAAATATCTCCGAGTCGAAGATGACCAGTTCGGCGATGTCGACTAGCCTTTTGGCGGCCAGCCTTTCCGTCTGGTCTTTCGAGTACATCGCTCCGACAAAGACGATGCTTATCACCAGTGTTGTGGGCACCTTTGATGGATCGAAGGACAGTTTGTGCAGCATCGGACAATTCAGGTGCCAGTTCCGAAAATACATGGAGATGAACCTGGGAATCTTTTCGGGTGTGAGGAGGAAATTTAGACATGATGTCAGTTCTTGCCGAGTCTTCTCGTCCAATGCCAGACACCAGAGTTTGTTGTAGATCGCCATGTTGACGGACGAAACGTACTGGGCTTGTTCGGATGGTTGGAGGGGTGTGCTTTCAGACGCAATCGACCCGTGTCGCATCTCCCCAGATAGATTGGTGGACGGATTGTAGAGATCCAATTGCATGTCCGAGTAATTTGGTGAGGGGATCAAGCCGAATGGACCATTCCAAAAATCCAAGTATTGCTCATTCATGTCAATAAAAGATTCGAACATGCCAGTGTAATCAATTGATTGTGGACTGACGTCGGCCACAGCCGGAGTCGTAGGTCTCGTCTCCTCCGCTTCCTTTTGCTTCTGATGGAATTGAAGACTTTTGACCCTGAGGTCAGAAGGTGGTAGGTTGAATGTCTCGGTGAAAGTGTCGGTCCCGCCATTGAGTAAGGCTTTGATGGATACCCTGTCGTCCGTCGGGCCTAGCTTTTCGACTGCTTGAGGGGCGAATGATATTAGTCTCCAACATGGACATGATATTGCACAAAAGTCGGCATTGCACAACATACCAGGTGTATCCTCTTTTGTCGCGAGCTTCTGCTGGCACTCGACGTTCTTCTTCGTACACTGCGTGCAAGGATTCCCCCCATCACAACGGATTTTGGACGACACGCACTAAAAGTAGAGTTCAGCCATGTTCACTCTCGAATCCCAGAGTTTGACACTCACGGTTGCGCATGCATGAGGCCGACGACCTTTCGGCACTGAACTGGGTGCTTCGCGGTCTCCCCGCCATTGACAGCTGTTGTAGTGCGTCTGCAGACGATCCCTGCAGAGCTGAAGGTTAATCGAGCGTTCTTTTGTCACAAATGTCAAGCGCGAAGCCGTACTTGCGCGAAAAGTCTCGTCCACAAAAGGTACACGAAAACGGCTTTGCACCGGTATCTGATTGACGACAGTTAGCTAGGGAGACCCGAAGTCCAAATAGGAAACCCACGTCGGGTTTGATGGCGCTTGAGGTGTTCAGCACGGTGAAAGCCCTGCCCACACGTCGGACAGCGATGGCGCTTTTCCGAGGTCACGGACGGCAAGGGGGGACTGCTGGATTGCTTTACGCAAGCCGCTGAAAGGAGCGCCTGATTGCGGATCAGATCGTGGAACTTCTCCATGGTCCTGCACAATGCGCCGTCGATTCGTCTCGACAGCACGTCGGATGAAAAGAGGCACGAAGTCGAGGTTCGAAAGATTGAGCCCCAACAGCCTTAGTCAGGTTTACATGTTAGTGCACGAGCGGGCGGTTTAATGCGGAGTTCGCTATTCGTTACTGCCTCTCCTCGGCTTGTGGGATGGCGATGCGGGGTTGATTTCTTGCCGTTATAGGCGTCCAAGACTTCGAGGAGCATGCCCAGCTAAGCGCACGGGTTGGGTCCAAACACGCCGGTTTTATCTACCAAGTTCCATTGAACACAAGATAAGGTAGCCTTCTAACATATCGGGGTATAAATTCATTCAACACACTCTCGGTCCTCACGGCGCCGACACGGCCACCTTACGGTCATTGCCTCCTCCATCAGCTCTTTTCAATGCCGCTGACACCGCCAATTCGGGCACTGGTGGGAAATCTATCTGATCGCGATTCAAATAGTCCACATTGACCTTCTTCTCTCTTTCATTGACCGTCCAGCCATTCCCTATCCAAGCGCCTGCATTATCGTCCACATACTCATACACAAAATCCTCCCATCTGGGATTGGCCAGAGCCTCTGTGGAGTGCAGAGAAGATCCTGGATTCATGGTCAGCCAGCCGAACTTTCAACACTTATGAGGACAGAATCATTCTTACCCGGCCACAAGGCACTCACTCTACCATCCGAGGTGCCTCCTTTGTACCAGCTCCTGCAATCCTGACTGAACACCGTAGTCTGAAAGTACTCGTCGCAGAACTTGACAAATGTTTCTACGGCCTCCTGTCGCGGCGCCATGCTTCGGATGTTATCGCGCTGCATCTTGCCCAAACACATCGTGACATAGTCAATCACCCGCTCAATCAGAAGCAGCAGATTGCCCGTTCCTAGCGCCGAATTGGGTCCAAGCGAGATGTAGTAGTTTGGAAAGTCGTCCGTTGCGAGCGACAGGTACGTTGACGGGACTTTCCCCCACTTGTCAACCAGATTGGTATTGTTCTTGCCGATGACAGGAAAACGAGGGGAAAAGGAGGTGTCGAAACCAGTCGCACAGATAATGGCGTCAACAGGATGATGCTGCCCGTCTGTGGTAATGATTCCGGTAGCATCGACCTTTTCTATCGCCGTGGTGATGACATCCGTTTTCGCATCGGTCAGCGCCTCAAGATATCCGGGTCCTGGCGTCAATCTGCGGCACACAGGAGGAAACGACGGCAAAAGTGTATCTCCCAGCTCCGGCTTCCCAGCTAACCTTCGCTTCATGTTCTCCGTGAAGATTTCCACCGCAGCCATTTGTTCAGGTGAGCCCTTGATCGTGGCTCCATGGACAGACTGCAGTTCAAGCTCAATGTCCTTGCGGAACTTCGTGTAAAAGTCCGGGTCGGTCTTGAACCGTTGAATGTCCTCGGGCGTGAAAGAGAAGTTGTCAAGCCCTTTACCCATTTGGTCGACCTTTTCTCTGGCGAACGTCGGCGACAACCACGTTCTCCCTCGGATATAGTGGTCGACATGCGCGGATCCAGCCAGCACCGCAGGCACAATCTGGATACCACTGGATCCATTGCCAATGACAGCAAGTCTCTTACCAGTCCAGTCGAAGCTCTCGTCCCAACTGGCACTGTGAAGTATGGTACCCTTGAAATCCTCTAGGCCAGGTATGCTGGGCCACTTCCAGTCGTTCAGCGCTCCAGTGGCGGACAGCACCACGTCGCACGTGTCAGTGAAGGTGCTGCCATCCTTCAGGTTTTTGACCTCCAGCTGCCACTTGCCCTGCCGATTGTCCCAAACTGCCTTGACGATCTGGTGATTGAGCTTGATGTGCTTCATACAATCGTACTTTTCCACCACCTTCCTCCAGTACCCATGGATCTCTTTTGACGTGGCATAAAATTGTGACCATTCATGGTTGGGTTCAAATGTAGCTTGGTATGTATGCGCGGGAATGTCACATGCGCAACCTGGGTACCGATTTTCGAACCATGTTCCTCCAATATCGGCGTTCTTTTCGTATATTTGCAGTGATAAGTTCGGTATTCTTTGTGGGAGTCGTATTGATGCTAATATTCCTGATATGCCCGCACCAATGACGACGACTCGAAGAGGTCGATAGTCGTCAATGCATCGAGTGTCCAACCAGGAACGTGGTGCTTCGCCCATGGCTTCGGTAATGTTAGATTTGGCGAAAGTTCAAAGTCTACGCACCGCGATCGTTGAAAGGCTGGTGGACATGCCCAAGGTATTTATTCATGTGCGGAACACATCCGTGTCGCTTGCCGAGCGATCGGGTGGCACAATGATGGCGGCACATTGGCGACGTTAGCCACATCGAATCATGTGTGTGGATGGGGTGCCATCCGGGGCATTCCCGCGGGGTGGGTGGTGGGTGAAAGCCGGCACTTGGAGTCAGGGAAATGTCCCCTTTCTGGGGCTGCGATGTAAACCTGGAAAGCCTAGATTGCTAGACGAGGTTTCGGCAAAACCCCACGGCAGTTGCATGATTTCCGAAGTCTGGATGCCAATCATTACGCGAACATTTTTGATCCCACTTTTTGATGATATCCAAGAAGCTTAGTAGGATAGGCAAAGACGGCCCTGGCAAGACAGAAAAGCAGGACTCTTCACCGTGAGCTGTTTGTCCAAAGCACGAAACCCCGTCACTGTCATTGTAGGTGATGTCTCCTGCTAGTCCGCCGTTGGTCACCAAAGTGGATGAACCAGGCAAGGTATTCACATCGGACCGTGAGGGCATCGCAGAAGCCCGCCAAAGACCATAAGCACCTCGAATGGCGAGTCATGCAAGAGCGTCACCTCAGACCATGAGATTTTAGCCGTGCGCAGGCTTCAAACGGATCGTCAAAGTTGTCCACATGAAGCTCGACCTTATTTCCGTCTTGGTCACGGTGGTGCATCCTCGTGGTCGGACCATGGGCAACCATCAACAGGGGCAGCATCTTGTCGGCCTTGAGGGACAGATAATGCTGCGCCAGGGTTGCGAGTGTCGGGTAGCGCAAGCGATATGGTCGAGCCCTACGCACATGACGCCCTTTGGTTTCGAAGCCAGGTTGTCTCGTTTGACGATTGCACTTCTATGGTGTTCCGCGTCATACCTCAGGAATGCCAGTACGTTGTCCTGGTGCGTGATGTGCGCGTTCAGCACGGCACAGTACCAGTCGATCATGGGGTGGTAGTGCTCTGGAATCTTGCCGAGGCCGACGTGACACAGTGCTTGAGGAGTTTGGCGTTTCGCTTTGCTAATCAAGGCGTCTGACGATGACAATGGACCATGGTGGACTGCGGAGGGTGCCATGTTGATAAAAAGTGAGATTCGGAGAAGTAGGACGTATCCTGGGTGCTGTGAGGATGCTTTATAGTACTTAAGATGCTCTGTTGACTTTCTATAACCTCTTTAGGGCTGGTGAGGTTTCTCCAGCCCACTAAGGCCACGCCCAGAAACTCCACACTTTGGGGTCATCGGTCTCCTCAATACCGAGTCTGGGGAGGTGCGTGATCTGCTCGTACCTCAAATCTCACATGGTCAACGTCGGCATTCGGTGTCACCACGGCCAGCATGGACTCCGGGACCCAGTCAATACCCCGGATCCGGAGATGTTGTTTACCTTGGCCTCACCTCACTGCCGGAACTGTTTCCCGCCAAGTTGGGTTTCAAAGGAGGGCGGCACTGTCGTGCACTGACTGAATGCTAAACGTCGTCGGCTTCAATTTGATATAACCACACCATTCTTTATCAGGGTTCCTTCGCATATGATGCTATGCACTCGTCCTTGACGTGATGGAAGGCCATTAGCTCTATCATACAATCCTCACAGTTTTCGAACAACCACTTCCGCCGCCAACGCCATCATTATGCAACCGCACTTGCATCGACAAGACCGTGCGCACTACTTCACATGTTCACATTGCCCGGCGTTGCTGGACTTACAGCGTTGAGGATCTTCACATCCACGCTCCTCTCTTCAGCCGTTTTCAAGACCTCAGGAAGTCGTGTCGTTGATGGCCACTTCGTCTCGCCTCTCAGGATCTGCACGGTTGTAACCTTCGCCCCGTAAGCTTCCGCGTTGATGCCGGATCGCTCCTTGATTACGGTGCCGTCCACGGTCAAGCCGCCATAAAGGCCACACGATTTGGTATATGTCCAGATTGGCTTGACTTCTTTGGTGCTGATGTCGGCGGTCCCTCCGACAGGCCCGGCGGCCAGAGTGGCGCCAGCGCCTAGGGTCGTTTCGCTCTTCATGTAGGCCTCGACGGCTTCTTGCGTGTTGAGCACGCACACGCAGTCATACACGTCCACGCCGTATGCGAGACCCACGCCACCCGATCGAACCGAGAATGCGGACGGGGCAGACCAGGAGCCATCCGAAAGACGCGCAACAACGACACCAGAGCCCCCAGCGCCTGCAAGATACATTGCGGCCCGGAAGCCCGAGAATATGGCTAGACCCTTGGCATTCGCAATCACTTGCGCGGGTATCCTGCCTTTTTCTGTGATCGTATCAGCTTAGAAAAGTGACGCGAGACACCCCCAAGATGACGAGTACTTGTACATACCAATGAAGCTCTTGAGAATTTGGCCTGCTTTATCGCACTCCTTCACGAGATTTGCCATTATGGGAAACCGAGCTGAATGTAATTTGAACGGGTTGCACGATTAGATTGGTATCGCGCAGTAAATCGAGACTACCGGCCGGAGAATCTGGTGATTAAAGTCTGTTGGGATGATTCTTGACTGGGCGGTCGACTATGTGGACGAACGACAGAAGTCGTGGTATATGTAGACTCGCATTGAAGAAGGCTGAGCTGCCAGTGCTGAAAACTTGGCCATGTCATTGTGTCCTGCCACGAGACAGGAGGCCTTGCTGGCACATCGTAAGTGGCTTCAACGCCCGACGTAGATGATGGCAAGGTGACATTGATCGCAACGGCTTGCTCCCTCACGACTGTGCAAATCACTGAGCTAGTACGCGCATGCCTAAGCAATACTGCCCATTCGCGGTCGATAGAGACAGAAAGCTGCGGCAGGGCGCAGTAAAGGCTGGCGTTTTGGTGTGGATCTGAAGCAGGGAAGATTTTGGAATACTTACATCGCTAAGAGAGAGAAGCATATGTGTGGCATGTCAGCATTCGTATGCGTATTCGGCTGACTTTCTCGACCAGGAGCAGGAAACCGAAACCGAGAAGTTACTGACTTGCATGGTATGTGCACCTGAGGCTGTGCAGGTTCTTGCGCTTCGTGACAAATCGAGGTTAAAGTAGTTCCTGCTGATGTGACGAATCAAGGACGAGGTGAGTCCGAGCTGACCAAACAAATCTTTTGGTCACTCTTTCAATTCCCCGATGAATGTGTGCTCCATTAGTACAGTGGCAGTCGATTATCTCTATGTACAAACCCCTCCATTATTCATACCAACATGCTGGCAATGCTAAGGGAAAACGACCAACGCAATGACAATCTCGCCGAGAGATGAGTCTAAGATACCAATCAAGAATTATGCTCCTAGGAAATGGATTCGCTCATAGTCCCCTGGTGACCCGCTAGGCTGGCAGGACTCACTCCAAGTCAACTGCCCTGAATGCACCGCCGGTCGATGTACCAGCGCTAAACTTATGTGTCCCCAACGCACGATGTTAGTCCATCACGTGGTAGGTTGCAGGTTGCCTTGATGATATCGGGGTAGGGTCTCTTCCTGGTACGGTGGCGGGTGATCCGTCGAGCGACGTATTTCTTTGTTATCAATGATCGAGACCGGTCCGAATGAGCTGAATCGTCGAGAATCAACCTGTTGAGCTTTCGTGTCACGCTTCTTTTTCTCGTGGTTGCGGATCTTTTCGACGATGAAGTAGACGGCGGCACCGACTGCCAGGATAGGAAAAACCATTGAAGCGTGGTATCGAAGGTTGGGAGGCTTATGGATGAATTGACGAAGAAGTGAATGGGTGAGGAATGTAGACTGGCTTTGGAGGGTGAATTGTGACAGTGGGAAGGAGTGGTAGACTTCGAATGGAGTCTTTGTACCCGAAGCTAAGTACACAATGGTGACTATAGTATGAATACCGGCTGTGTGCTCAAATCAAGCAGAAAGGCTTCTGACGGATGTCAATAGCAACCACTGATTTGAGATTCTATCTGTCAACCTTACACGCATGTGAAGTTTGTTTTCGCTTTCGCTTTCGTTTCCATTTTATCTTATACTAGTCTGTCGAAAGGCCCTGCCGTGTTGCCCGACCCTCGTTGCTGGAGCTGGCGCGAATGACAAATACCACCAAATGCCCAGCTTTAGGTAACGAATCGAGCATCTATGGAGGCTGTGCCATACTTTCCCTACGTATTTTCCCATCTGCATCTGATTGCATCTTTTCTAGCTTGTTTCGGCTGATCAATGACTCTGTCATGGCTGGCATGTTGCCTCTGCTGGACACAGGGCTGTCACAATTCAGGAAGCTGAAATCGAGGCGGTGCCAACGTTGAAAATTCCTCTTCCAACCATATGAGCTACTGACCCGGCCGTTGTTGCTGAGGCGCACATGAGATGTAATATTGTCGCAGGGCCTGTCATTCTTTGACGTTGATTAATGGCTGCGAACAATGCCATATCATTTTTGGGTCTTCCAAATAGTATCTCAGCCTCGGGCGGTAATACCTCCCCACGACCTTACGGCTACTACACAATTCAATGCTCACTGAGTCATCGATCCGCCTCTGCAGTTTCCGACCCTTGATACTCAGCACACAGACGGTATGGGCACAGGTCCCACTGGCCCCTTACTGGCTCCAATATTGGCCTGATGCATGGTTCTAGGACCGTACTTCTCGAGAGGATAGTCGACAGCCGAATGGAATGTGCCATAATTGTCCCACATGACTATATCGCCTTCTTCGACCTCGGGCAGCCAGATGTACTCAGGACGAAGGATGCGAGATTGGATCTTGTGCATGAAAGCCCGAATAGCCACCACGTCCTCGACGACCTCGGGTTGCTCATCCACGGACGATCGTAGGAAGAGCTTTCGCACGCCTAGTCCGTGGACTTGGAAGGCCTTCTCGCCCGTGACAGGATTGATCCACACACATGGATACTGTTGCTCGTGGTCAGACGCCGGACAACAGAGATCATGGGATGCGAGGCACTTACTCGTTTGATATCCTTCTCGTCGTAGTCACCAAGCTCCTCCATGGTATGCTCCTTACCCTCATTCTTCAGCCCAAGCCCGGTCGAGGGCGCCTTGCAATTCTCTATCCACATATACGGATGCGGCGCGTACTCCACCCAGCTGTGATTGACAAGCTGCTGTTCCTCCGTGCTGAGCAGTTTGTACAATTGTGACGTGCTGAAAAATGCCGTGAGTCCTGGAGGCGTTTTCATACTCAATCCGGAGCCATCGTCCCATCTGATCTCGACATCCGGTCCAGCGGGCAATTTGATTGCCCGGAGTGTTGTAAACCATGCGGGATCGCGAGCATACAATGGTGCGTCTATGTGCCATCTTTGGAAGCGAGTGATGCCTTCTTCGAAGTCTTTGTCATTGGGCGGCTCGGCGTGGAAGTTGTTTGATAACCCGCTGATGTTCAGATTCTTCAGTCCGTAGTGGTCGTCGCCTGTTACCAATTATGTCAACCCTTGTAAGTCGTACTTTGAGTCGTCCTACCTTGATACCCTTTGCCGATCAAGCGCACGTTCTCCGCTCCTGGAATGCCATAGACATCCCGAGCTTTGGACAGCACACCACCTTTCTTCTGGAACGTTGCCAAGTTTCCGTGGCTATGCACTTGGGTAGCATCTGGGTCGAAACGTGTCACGAGTTCCCAATGTTTCTCGGGAGAGAGTTCTTTTTGTCCTTTGACGACAATAACTTTATGCGTCCAGATTGTCTCCTTTAACCGCTTGACATCGTCATCTTTTGTGATATTAGCTGGATATCATTCACGAAGACTGAGTTCGTACCAGAAATAATGTTGAGATCGAGTCCCTCCACAAGAGCGCCGAAGTCGAACTTTTGATCCTTAGGCTTGATTATCGGCTGAACCTGGAAGGATGGCTCGGGAGTAAGGGCGGCTGGCGACATGTCCGTCTGCTGGCTTCCAGATTGCAACAATGTTGTGTCGTAGAACTATTGATCTCCACTGCCAGGCTCAGTAAGGCCAGTATATGAGGCTATCTATATACATCAGATGTCGTATGGACATTGGTGATCGTGTCGAAATGGAACAGACTCCTCGAACGAAGCCAGGATTCCAGTCACGGGATCTCGGCCGACATGCTAGTTCTTATCGCAGCAGCTTCCTTGGCCGTGATTGGTGAGGCGGCCGAGAAGCATATCGCCGTGCAATGACGACTCTCGGATCTGGCCGGGGCACAATGCCCTATCTATGATAGCCCGAAATATAGGCAAGTCAGCTCGAATCAGTTGATACGGATTCGTCTGACGAGTGAACCGGTCAATGAGTCTTGCTTCTGGAAATCGCTCTTATCGCAGCTTTCATGGTCGGTGAAACTTCAGATTGTGAGGGACATTGATAGTGGCCAGCAAAAGTCCAGCATGGTGATGCTGGTCACCTAGAATGTCCGCTGCGCCCCGGAGGAGACTCGCTTGTCGCCTATGTACCCGTCGCAAGGTCAAGTGCGACAAGCAGATTCCATGTAATAATTGCATGAAGAGAGGAACTCCAGCGGTTTGTGAACGTGACGAGCCTGACGATCTGAATGCTCAGAGCACCCTACCCACTGCTCAACACCAGATTGAGGACACATCAGCTGTCAATGTCCTTCGTAATCGTGTCGCCGAACTGGAAGCCGCCCTACAACAACAAAACGAAGAGGGTGTCGCATCAAAGTCCCAAACGCCAACAACAGGACAGGCTGCGAGGAACGCGGTCGTGCAGGTTCAATCTTCATCGCCGAGTCAAGGCTCGGAAATTGAAGATGCAGTCACGGTTCTGGAGTTTCTGGCCTGGGGCCGCATGAAGGATCCAGAGCGAGCAATGTTATCGCCAGAAGCTCTTAGAGTCTCCGAGCATGAAGAGGGTGTCGGCATCAGGCCGTCGGAGGAGCTTGACCACGCTCTGGACCTCGACATCAGTCTACACGCGTGGCTGCAAATCCTGCTCCCTTCCAAACGACAGATACACAATCTTGTTGAGTATCACAACAACTGTATGCTGTGGTTTCATGGCTCATACTTCGCGCCAACGCTTTCACAAGAACTAGACTCATTCTACGCTGATCACCGGGGTAAATTCGACTCGAATGGGGTTACCCTACAATGGATAGCACTATTGTTCTCAGTCATGGCGGGAACAATTACCTCCGCGCCGGCGCACGAGGCCAGAAAATGGGGGTTCGACGAGAGCGAGGCAAGGCTTTTATCTCAGAAGTGGTATAAAGCCGTCATTGTCTCCTTGAATTCTGCCATTTTCATGGCCGACCACAGCCTACATGCCGTACAAGCAATCACGACCCTGACGAATACTGCCCACATGTTAGGACACTCGAATGCTCAGTCCGTCATGCTAGCGTCCGCCGTTCGCATCGCACAGAGCCTCGGCTTGCATAGGCTGGACGAGGATGCCCGTGGTACGGACATTGAGCTGGAGTCGGGTCGTCGTGCATGGCAGGAACTATGCACTCAAGACTGGTTCAGCACCTCCTTCTCTGAGTCGTACTCGATCAATCCTCTACACTCGACGTCTGTCGCGCCAAAGAACTGTGACGACGACATGAACGTGTTGACCGAGTCGGAACCGACCATCACCAGCTTCTGCAGGTTCTTAGCCAAGATTGCTGCAATCATGCCTGCGCTGCAGGATGCAATGGCGTTGTCCAACACACTCTACACTAAGCATGAAGCTGTCTTAGTCCACGACAAGAAGATGCGATCCTTGGCCACCGGGAGGCCCTCCTTCCTTGCGAACACGGCCTTTGATGAGAGTTGGCCGTGCTACATTCCATGGGCACGACGAGCTATTGCAATGAGTTCCGCCCATAAGATCATCATGATCCACAGGTATGTCCATCAAGGATCGACACGTATCTTGTGAGAGCTAATGTGCGCGGAAGGAAATTTCTCGGACTCGGTTTTACGAATCCTGTGTTCGCCTTCACACGTCGAACCTGCCTGGCGGCATCGAAAACAATACTGAAAGAGTACCTGGCGAGCAGCAGGGATGAATCTAGTCCGATGCTTTGGACTCACCAGGCATTCTCGGTAGCAGCTTGCATTATCATATGCTTTGACATGCTTCATTCGTCGTCTACTAGTCAGGATGAGTCACAGCTGGTAGATGAAACAATAGGACATTTACAATCCTGCCGACAAAAGAGCATGATAGCAGCTCGTGGCGTCAAAGTCTTACATGCGCTGCAGAAGCAGATAAATAACAGGTTAGAAAGTCGAAAGAGGTCGAGTAATGCTGCCAGAGGCGACAACCCAAGAAAACGACGTCGGGGTTTTGACGCTGTTGAATTTGCTCGATCTTTCTCCGATGCTCAGAATCGCCCTACATTGCTTCCTGAAAGCATCACGGACCACCAGACTCCACCCGAAGATCTGGAGCCTGTGTCGCAACGGATTGACGGTAATCCGCAAGCATTCGATGTCGAAGAGCCGCTCAATATTCCGGCAGATCTGAATTGGTTGTGGAGCATGCCACTTGACGATGAAGATGGTACTCAAACATTTGACAGCCTGCTTTCTTTCGCGAATCAAGGTCTGGGACTATAGATCTAGGGCGTTTTGACTAAGGCATACATTCGACTATTGTCTCTTTTATTGCCTCTTTTGGGAAACTGTGGGCGCTCCTCCTAGCCCTGGGTCTTTTAACGTGCCCGCTGCCTACGCCGTGCCTATGTGGCAAGGGGATCATCTAGCACTTCTAATCCACATGAACTTCATCCTCTAACATGGCTGACGACATGTCGCCGCTTTCGTTGGACAACTCGAGAGCTTCGAGTCTCTCGAACAGCAATGGGCGGATCAACTAGCCTGACGGGTGGTCAGATGCAGCAATGTTGCACTGATGCATGATTCTTGGTCCATAAGACTCGGGAAACTCGGTCTTTGAGCTATATTAGCAATGCTTCATGGTGATTGAAAGCTTCGGTCCACTTACGATGCTATGCCATAATGCACGATTGTACCAAAGCACGACATCTTGCTCATCGTGGCGATGTGCATAAATGTTCTCGGGCGAGATAGCTCGCCTCATGATTCTGCATATTCATTAGCTGGCAGATCCACGATGATTATGAGAGTACCATGAAACAGAAACTTACTTGTTCATGAAGCTTCTGACTTCTTTCAGATCGTCAATGATCCTTTCTCGCCCTTCTGGGCTGCTTCTGAGGTACAACTTGACGGCGCCCTGTCCATGCACTTGCAAGGACTTTTCACCGGTCTTAGGGTTGGTCCACACCATGGGGTAGATGCAAATTTTGCTCTCTTCGATGGGCGGGAGCTTCTCGTGAGTCAGCTCTAGGCCTTCGGTCTCGAGGATGTGCCCAAGCCTTGCGCTGTGGGCGGTTGACATCCATTTGAAAGCATGTGGCGCATACTCGATTCGCGAATGAAGAGCAACTTGTTTGGTCTCGTCGTCGAGGAGGTCCAAAGCCCTGGAACCAGCAACGTACGCGGTGGCCCCTGGTGGGATTTCCATCTCCGTCCCGGTACCATCCTCCCATCTGACGGTGACATCTGGGCCCTTGGGGGTTCTGACGGCCAATAAACAGCCTACCCTGGGAGGAGGAATGTTGTAGAGGGCTCCATCCCAGTGCCACTGGTAGAATCGACTAGCACCTTTCTCTCGTTCCTCTTGGGGAACATGAGGTGGAAGATGGAATTCATGGTGATCGATGCCCTTGACTTTGAACCCGGGGGGAAATTGATAGTGGCCTTCAGGAACTTCGCCTCGTCCAAGAATATGGACTTGTGGCTGAACAGGAATGGCAGGCCGACTCTGAATGCCGTAGATGTTGACGTTGTTGTGTGAAGTCAGAAACGGATCGGCCCCGTGGGCAAAGCCTCCAGTCGTCTCGTCCGGATCAAAGTTGGCAGTTAAGAGGTACTGCTGTTGTGGCTTGAGCATTTGTGGCTGCTCCTTGAAAATCAAGACTTTGTGCTTGTGCAGTGCATCGGATACAAAGTCGAAGTCGGCATCAGTGAGCTTGTTCAGGTCGATTCCATAGATCTCGGCACCAAAGTCTACCTTGCTTTCAGCTGGGTGTTTGAGAGGCACTATTCGTCCGTTGGTCTGTTCAGCATGTGGAAGACTGATGTCAGATTGTTTGGTTGCGATGAGCCTTGCCTTGACACCTTCCGGTGCAATGACTTCCGTGAGAGCCTCGACAACCATTGCGGCGAATAACTGATAGCGCGATTGATTGGAGCAAAGGGATACAACGGCTGATGGCAGTCGCAGTCTAGAAATCAAATACTTCTTTTCAACGTCCGACGTTCGCCTCTGACCATCTGGCGCTAAGGTCCAGTAGGATTTGAACAATTCGAGGACCTGGCCAGAGCCCATCGGCCGAGGTCGTCGTCGGAAGTTGCCACAAAGGTTTTGTTTTGAAGCATTACCGAGAGCAGAAGTCGATAGTCGAGATAACGATATTGATAGGGGGTGTGCGGCTCGGCCGATGAGCGCTAAAAAGCCCGGCCGAGATATCGCTCTGCAATCTTCGATGCCCCTTACAGTGCCCCTGCCTCCATACCGATCCGGGTACTATTAGTTCCTGAGACACGGCAACCTTCTGACCAGTAGTGACCGCGAAGATGATGGCGCCTTCAGCTACATCAAACCGATATATTACGCCCAATGGTACCGACGTCCACTACATCTCATCCGGCAAGCAACAAGGCCGTGTGGCTGTCTTGTTGCATGGGCTAGGTGGCTCGACAGAAACGTTTCGAGACCTGCTACCGATCATCCCACCCGATTATCACATCATCAGCGTCGACATTGAAGGTTTCGGCAAGACACTCTTGAATCAAGAGGAGCCTCTCTCATTTTCACGCTATGTCTCCGACTTACACGATCTCATCACACATGTTCAGGAACGTCCTTCAGCCTCGACATCAGGAGCAGTCAACGGTGCTAGCAGCAACAACAACAGTAGTGAAGAACCCGTGCTCCTCGTCGGTCACTCACTCGGCGCCATCATCAGCTTACAGTATGCGGCCCGGTTCCCCTCCCAGGTGGCAGGACTTTTGCTTTTGGGCTCTGGTAGATCTGTAAGAGGGATTCCGCCAGCACAGCAGCGCATGCGAGATCTTGCAAAAGCTGCGCGCCAGAAAGGCATGTATGCAGTTGCGGACATTGCGCTGATGACAAATTTCCCAGCCGACCGCGGAAACGACGGTGTGCACGATGAAGAGGTCCGGAAGGCCGTAAGTTCTTGCTCTGCCGAAGCTTATGCTGCAACGGCGGAGCTGGCGGCCAGTGACGACCACCATGACCCTGATTACAGTATGATCAATTGCCCTGCCGTGTTTGTGGCTGGCGACAAAGACATGATCAGCCCGCCACAACGGTCGGAGGACATCAGCAAGCTGGTAGGAGGTCCTTCAGAAGTTGTCGTGGTCGAAAGTGGGCATCAGATGATCCTGCAGGATATTGAAGGCGTGAAAGGTGCCCTCGACAAGTTACTGCAACTGTTATAGAGCGGGAGAGGAGTGTCGTCGGGCTGAGAAACTATATATCGATGGAGGAGAAAGGGAGTGATAATGTGCGTCTCGGATCATAAAACTCGACACGAATTTGAGGCTTTGCGGGCGTAAGATAGTCATTACTGTAGATTAGCACTGCATGATATCAAGCGTCAATGATAGGCATGTCGAAGCCGATTTCCAGAAAGAGCGGTACTGTCGTAGATGGAGCACATCCACCTCATAAGCTGGAATTCTGATATACGTAGCCGGTGACGATTGGGAGTGCAACTTATGTTGCCTAGGCCATTGAACTTCAATGGCTTTCTATGAACATCATACCAACTTTCGTGCTTCGTCAAGTTAGTCACGTATGCATCTCAATCCTTTGCCGCTTTTTGAGCTTTATCGCTCTGCACCGGCTCACGCTCTGCAACGTTGTCCGACTGCGTCTCACATGACATTTTGAACTCGGATCAACAGCTCCTTCATGCAACGCATGTTTTGAGCTCGGTGCAACTACTGTAAGCACATTTTTTCGATCCATCAGACACGGGATGCTTATTCAACTCCTGCCGAAAGATTCTGGCAGTGCCCCCACCCATCATCCCTCAGGTTCCCGGTCTATTTCCATTTCGTCCTCCAGCTTCGCGCTTTGAGTATGACTTGGATACCTGCATCTGTAAGAAGTCTCTCGCAAAGATTGGTGGCTCCCGCTTCCCGCCCTCTTCACAGCCGGGGATACAGTCAATGAGGACGGAACTGTCACCGTCGAAGAAGAATGGTATCGAATAGCGATCTTTTCCCGAGTAATTCAGCACCCGATGTAGAGCAGAATTGAAAGTGTGGTTCGTCCACCGCATCATCAAATTGCCTATATTGACCACGTAAGCCCCTCTGACAGGGGGAACCTGCGTAAATCAGATCAGTCAAGATTCCTGCGTCAACGGAGGACTCTGCCTCACTTCGGCCCATCTTCCGGTGACATCGTCCATGACCTGCAAGCCTCCGATGCTGTCTTTCATCAATAATGTAATGGTTCCGAAGTCCCTGTGGGCACCAGTGCCTTGAGCTACTTAGCACCGACCACCAGGTTAGACTCCTCTGCATCATTCCCACCTCGTTCTGTACCACTCGCATTCGGCGTTTGTGGATAATGGACAAGTCTCAGCCGACCCGTAGCTTTTGAGGTATAATCATCGAACCAGCCCTTGTCCAGCTCAAGAGCAAGAGCTAATGCTCTCATGATCTCCTGTCCAAGCCTGCCGTGAGTCAGTAACATACTATCTACACTCGGACGTGGTTGCACCAGTACCTGATCATAGTGGCATGATAAGACATGCAGACATCCTCAAACTTCCGCCCCAAAGCCTTCGGATACAGATTTGGACCGTAGTTCTGCGGCTCCGCGAGTGCTTGGGGGTCATCAAGCGCCATGTCGTCCCCCAGGTATAGGCTCTCTTTATTGTCCGGACCTGCCTTCTGCTCATGTACTTGAGTATGCATCGGTTCGTAGCCGCGATGGTGAGTAATTTTCCGCATATCGAGCTCAAGTTTCTCCTCCAAACTCAGCGCAAAAAAATCTTTTGCGGCTTGGATAATAGCGTCCTGCATGCTCTCTTCCACACCGTGACCGACGAGTTGGAAGAAGCCACTCTTCCTGCAAGCTTCACGTATTTGATTTATCAAAGCATCCTTCTCGTGTGGATCTGAGCTGTGCAAAGCTGGAAACGACGTTAATCCTCTTCTAAGGAGGCGGATAAGTTTTGAGACGCCTACCAGTGAAGTCCAGTACTGGCAGCGGTCTATCGTCACTGGCAGAAGTCACTGCCATACTGAAAGTGGAATTGCGGCTCGGTTCCCTACGCAAGAAACTCACCAAGTAAAGGGATTGCAATGAAGAGAATGAAGATCGCGCAGATGGACAGGTCAACTGATTTTCTGCCTGTGTAGGATAGTAGCAGCGAGCGCAATACTCAGAACATGTTCCAATTATTGCAACTCTCACGATCTTTCCCAACCACCGGCCGGGTCCGCCATTCTGTGAGTCTGTCACTCTATTGGTGTGCTGTTATCTCAAGATAAGGTACAATTTGAATTTGGCAATGAGGGTTGTATGTTCACGTTGGTGTCTCATTAGTCCCACTGTGAGAGGGTAATGTTTTCGGCAGAGGACGCACCACACCACCCACTGATAACTTATCGTTGGGCTGATAAGCCTCGATAGATCATTATTGCCAGTCAAGACGTATGCTACATATTGTATGGCTATTGCCTTCGGACGTTCATAGGCTGGAGTAATTGTATAGAAGCGACAATCTCACCACGATGAATCTTATAAAGTCTCACTGATAATCCGGTTGAGGTAGGACGAAAGCATTTCCTGATTCATCAAGATGGAAAAGCTAAAGGACAGCATCCGGAGTCGTCTAGCTGCAGTCCGTGAGGCCTGCCGCAGCAAAGACGCGTTTATCAAAGCTATCGAGACCAAAGAGTCCTCACAGGGTCGTGCGGAGCAACGAAATTTCTGGAAAAATGAGGATCTTGATGTGACGCCTCCCGAGCAGCAGACTTGGAGATGGTTCGATTATGCCTCTTTCTGGCTATCTTATGGACTCATTCCCGGTACTTGGAGCGTGGGCAGCTCTCTCGTTGCCGTCGGTCTGACCCCATGGCAAGGTAAGTAGTCATCTGCGCCATGTGATGGGAGCACCACTGACATGAAGTATAGCAACGATCTGCATCTTCGTTGCGTACGCGCTCGGGGCCATGGGCGTCGTTCTTCACTCTCGCTCTGCAGCTACCTATCATTTTGGCTTCCCGGTCGAGTCTCGTATCCCTTGGGGGATGAGGGGAGCTTATTTTCCGGTCTTGCTCAGAGTCATGTGTGCGACTATCTGGATGGGGGTCACTTTGATCGAGTCCGGCTACTTCATGGTCGTCATCCTTCGCTGCATCTTCGGCAACGGATTCTATCACATGAAGAGTTATATCCCCACGAGCAGTGGAGTGACTACCCAGCAGATCATCGGGTTGTTCATCGTGTGGATTCTCACACTCCCGCTTTTGAGCATACCAATTCCAAAGATCAAAATCTTCTTCGTCCTCCAGACGGTAATCGTACCTCCCTCTGCATTGTCTGCATGGCGTTCATCCTGTCACTCACAGCCGTCAATCTCGGGTAAGTTCTATGCACGATTCCAAGATGCATTGCTAATGAGGTAAACAGAGCCAATGTTATCCCATGGGGCGCTGACTGCACAACTCTCTTACCCCGATTCCTCAACATCAAGAGGGGCATGCATATCTCCTACATTCTCGGTGTATGTATCTGTCCTTGGTATATTCTTACAAGTGCCTCGACCTTTCTCGAATTTTTGGGCGGTTACAGCATCTTCCTGGGTGGGTTTCTGGGTATCTTCCTGACGGAGTACTACATCATCCGCAAAGGCAATATCTACGTGGATCAATTGTTCGAGGCGCATGGTAGATACTCCTACCAGCATGGGATTAACTGGCGCGCTATCGTGGCGTATCTCATTCCGCTCGCCCTTTTGTTGCCGGGATTCGCACATGTCTTTGGTCACACGGTTCCAGCAGGATTCCTCCGACTGTACGAGATTGGCTGGCTTTTCATCTGCATGAGCACTGGTCTGTTATATTACCTGCTGTCTTTGCTTGGAAATGCTAGAGAGGAAAGAACTATGCGGTTCGAACAGATCTATCACGAGAGTGTCGTGTTGCACGCTGTAAGCCCTGACAATGAAGTGGGGTCTGACGTCGAAAGATCTCAAGAGGCCGTCAGAGAGAAAAGCTGAGATCGGTGGCATTGATCATTCCATTCAAGTGGTTCCTTTTCATATATGCCCGGGGCCATTGTCACGGCCTAGAACATCTGACAGGCCTGATTCAGCGGTGCATGTAATTTGCAGAGCTTACTCTATCTGCCAGCGACGGCGGGACATCCGCGTCACATGAGAATATTGCGCCGCAAGAAGATGCAGAGCATTAGGATGTTGAGCATGCCGACAAACTCCAGAAGACACAATTCTCTTTACACCAAAAATTCCTAGATCATCTGGATGAGGAGATATCACTATTTGAACGCATTCTTGGACACGCCTCTCCTTTTCCGAATCGCGTTCAGCCATCTGTGTATGAAGCACCGCGCCTCTGAGTTTTCTCGATCGATTTGTTCCTTACGGTTCTGACAAACGGCAAGAATACGAGATGGTTTCCGGCACTATCTCCCTTGTCTAAGGACGGCCTGTTTTAACTCCGTTTAAGGGCGACGACGAGTCGTCGATCGGTGAGTAAATCACGCTGCGTGAAAAGGGTAAACGGTGTTGCTCTCATCTATCAATTCGTGGTAGGTACACATTTAGTTGATAGATGGCAGTGTCATACATAAATTCGAGTTATCTGGCCTTGAAGATGTACAGTGGTCAGACTGTGCCACCCTTCTGAGACACTGCCAGCCGTGTTCCGAAATAAATCAATTCTTCTTGTCAACCATTCCTTGCCTTTGATGACTAAGTCTGCAAATTAGCTGGTCTGCCAGTAACAGTCTAAAAGAACAGTGCTTACGAGATGACTCGCATACTCTCGTCATCCACAGTCGTGATCTCAGTGGGCGGCTTTGAGCGTGTGTAGGCATTGAACCATGGACCCTTGAAGAGGACGTCGATGTCTTCGACACTCAGACCGGCGAGTTCAGGAACAGCCACATACACGTAAATCAATGCGATGAAGCACCAGCTGGCGAAAAATATGAATGCTCCCCAGTTGTTCGTGTTCGCGAGCAGCGACGGCACACCATAGGTCATGGCATAGATGAATAACCAATGGAAGCTCTGAGACAACGCACCACCGAATGAGCGAATGCGATTTGGCCACAATTCGGCGCCAAAGACATAAGGCAGGGACAGAAGACCTGGAAAGAAGCCGTCAGTGAAATTGTTGTGATTGTTTGTCTTAATTGCTTACCAACTGCATAGCCAAATGCATGTATGAAAATCAATGCAAGTGCCGCCCTAGAAGAAGCGGCTGAGGCGTCGCCTTCCTGCTTGAACTTGATGTATATACCCTGCAAATCACGAGAAGGTTAGCAATTTGTTGTTTGGGGGAAACAAAGCTTCAATGACTGTAAAGCTTGAGAAACGAATACTTACGATGTATATGTCCGTCACCATCTGGGTGGCGATGCCAATGAAGAGCGACTTACGCCTCCCAAGGACGTCGATAAAGAGAAAGGACGCAATGGTGGAGAAGACAAGCTTCGAGACGGCATACATGGCACTGAGAAAGATGCTCCGACTTCCACCAGATGAAACGCCCATAATCTTGAGGATAGGGATGAAATAGCTGGTCACACTGCTCGCACCTGACACTGTCATCGTTGAGCTGTGTCAGTATTGGTTCGGCTGTAAGGGTTACAATGAAGGATATACTTACGTTGTGCCAGGGCGTATGAAAGAAAGGTCTGCTGTACCCTTCGCAAGTTTGACGGCACCAGAAATGTTTCTTTAATTATGCTGGAAATGTCGTTATGATTTCCAGCACCGTGGTGCTCCTTCTCCAGTGCAATTGATTGTTGTATTTCGCTCAACTCTTGTTGCATCCGAGGGTGACTGGCCGGCAGGCCACGAAGCCTCTCGAGTGTTCGCACCGCATCGTCATGCCTATCGAGAAGACACAGCCACCGAGGCGACTCGCATAGGAAGAAGCTGGCAATGACGGCGAAGAACAGAAACACGCACGGCGAGAAGAAAACAATCTGATATTGAAGGCGACTGGTTGAGACGTGCTTGAAGACACCATAGACACAGAAATCGGCCGAAACGAGTGCGACACTCATGCTTACTGTGAACCAGGCGGTGAGTAGGCCTCGAATTTCTGGTGGCGCGATCTCAACGATAGCCATTGGGCCGGTGACGGTCAAAGCGCCAATGCCGATTCCTGTGATGATTCTCGAGGCGTAAAGTCCGCCTAGTGCTGGCGCTAAGGTTGCGACTATCTGTCCAAGGGCCCACACGGCGAGATATAGGCGGTATGACCACAGCCGACCCAGGCGGTCATTGATGAAGAAGGACACGAGTGACCCTGTTGCGTAACCAATATAAACGATGGAGACGAAGTTGCGTATCGCCTTTGCATTGCTGCCGGAGCTTATGCCAAAATGTTGCTGAAAGCCCGGCAGGGTGGGTACAGCAGAGGCCATGCCTTGATCCCATGCTTGAATGCGGTCAGTGTGTATTCAATTGACCATCGTCAGGGATTACTTGCTTGCAGGTATGGCGGCCGAGGCATACAAAATTGTGGTGAGGATCAAGTTGCGATTGAAGATGACTTCTCTTGGAGCGGCTTGGATTCTCTTGCCAAAGCTTGCCATAGGAGACTCAGTAAGAAGGTTCTTGAAACCCATATCGACTGTCTTGAAACGTCCTGTCAATGATGAGGACTAAGGTTGCTCCACCGGTGATCAAATCGAAAGGCGTCAGATGCGCAAATTCGGAACTGCCCATTTTTGTCGTGAAGTGCGCTCCATTACAAGGTTATTTATTCTCCAGTAATACGAGGGTTTGACGATGTGTTTGTTAGATGGTTACTGTGAAGATGGCCGGACTTCGGTGAAAATGCTCGGCTTACCCGGTCCTCGGAAGCAGTCCGAGAATGTCAGGGACTTTATCACGACGTGAGCCGCCAATGGCGTTATCTGTGGCTTTGACTAATAATGGTTTTGCCGCGTTCGTCCTCCCATTATCTCAGGCATTGTCGATTCTCCATGCGATAAGCAAAGCCTTTGGACGGGCTGATAGGTGCGTTACTTTGCTAAACTTCAACGACTCTGACATTGCGCATACGGAATCATGCACAGCTTTCTCGAAACCATCTTCACAGCTCGGAAATCCGAAGCTGCGTCTATTAGCTCCCGCATTGGCAGAATACGTTTAAGCCATGTAGAGACCGTTTGTTGGTAACATAGAAGGGTCAGGCTTATATTGGTAGCTAGTATTTGGTCTGAGATATTTTCTATCCAAGATGTTGTCCCACGATTCGAAGATCATCATTGTGGGTGGTGGTGTCTTTGGACTGAGCACGGGACTGTGGCTCGCTCGAGACGGCTATGACAACATCACAATCTTTGATCGATGCCCACTAGACAATGGCCACTACAGCCCATTTGCAGGCTGCGACGGGGCTTCTGCCGACATCAACAAGACCTTTCGGACTGGCTATGGAAAAGAACTCCAGTATGAAAGATGATGGCCTTGCAACTCACAAGACTGATATCGTGTGACTCTAGCTATCAAAGACTTGCGATAGAGGCCAGGGAGACGTGGCTAGCGTGGAACAAGGAGATCAAAGAGAGCACTCAAGCAGAACTGCCTCATGGTTTGACTCCTAATGACAAAGTTCTCGATCTTTGTGGAAACATATTCCTTGCCGAAGGGCCAACATTGAGAGACTTCTATGTGGATAGCCTGAAGTCAATGGAGACGTCGGCGCCTGAATTTCGGAAGCTACAATTCATCAAGGTACAACGGCCCACGCGACAGATCTGATAGGCACTAATTTGCGGAACTTTAGGGTAATCCTGACGATGAAGAACGCCTTCGCAAGATCAATCCCAAGTGGGTGGAGAAGCTTCACGCTCTGGACGGAATCAACAACAATGACACCAATGGTTTCATTGACGTTCAAGGTGGTGTTACTCTCGCAGACAAGGTATATCAAAAGCGATCAAAGGCAGGAGGAAGTGCTGATGCTTCAGGCTTGCACTTACGCAAGATTTCTATGTCAGAAGGCTGGAGTCAAATTCGTTCTCGACAGCCCACAAGGCAAGCTTCGAGAGCTCCTCGTTGAGGAGAATGGCTCCCAGAGGAAAGTGACCGGCATCAAGACGTGTGATGGTCTGGACCACCTTGCGGACCGTGTCATTGTTGCCTGTGAGTACGAACCTGTCGTCAAGGCTGAGGCACTAATGCCATCCTAGGTGGTGGATGGACAGCCACAATCATACCTGAAGCGCATCGAGCCATCGAGGCAACCGCTGGCACAGTGATGTTCGTTGACATTCCAAAGGACAGGAAAGATTTGTGGGAGAGGTTCGATTCTAAGAACTTTCCGGTCTGGTCATACAGGCGCGGGCAAGGCGACGAATACTATCAAGGCGGCGGCTGGCCCATCACCAGAGATGGACGCCTGAAGTTTGGCTTCCGTGGGCGGAAGGTAAGCGAAGTCCACTACGACGAGTTCCACAAAGCTAAGACCTGGCAACGCAGTTCACGAATTTCGAAGACCATCCTACTGCTTCCAACCTGTGAGTCCTTCGTGGAAGATCCAGTTCAGGGACTGACCGCAGGCTTGTATAGCCGTGTATCAACACCACGCACCAAATACACCTCGGAGCCGATTACCACCGTGCCTCTCTATGGCCTCAAATTGGTAAAGGAGGTCATTGGCAAAGCATTTCCAGAATTGGCAGAGTTTGGCTTTACAGACACGAGAGTACGTCTGCATCTTTGGCATTTTTTGCTGGTGGTCTCGGAAGAGACGCATGCTAATAGCCGTGCAGCTATGCTGGTATACAGACTCGATCGATAACGACGTAAGATCAACGCACAGCTTTTGTGGCCAGCTACTTACCGAACGCCCTTCCTAGTTTCTCATTGACTACGTCCCGGGATACTCAGACTCGCTTTTCATTTGCACTGGTGGCTCGTAAGTGCTTCCAGCCCTTCTCGTCAAGACTGCACTCAACCATGCTGACGCTGCTACAGTGGTCATGCTTTCAAATTTTTGCCCTTACTTGGCAGAGTAGGTACATTTTTGTTGTGTGATATGGTCACTCTTCTGACGACATCGAAATTCAGCATGTCAAGAATCAACTCGAGCGTGTTCCGGATGAATTTACGCAGTTATGGAAATGGCGAACGGTTGAGGAAGGCAAAGTGTGCAACGGACTCGAGCAAGGAGAGTTTGGACCGAGAGCCATGTCCAGACTACATATGGCCGAGCGTGAGTATTGGTAAGATGATGCCACTGTGATATAGCTGACAAACCTTTGCATGCAGCTCGCGACTTCAAGTTCACACGGGAGAGCACCACTACCACTCCTCTCCAAGCCCAGCTATGAAGTACAAGACCGTTTGGCAAGCATGGTGACTAACACGACTATCCTACCGCCTTGGACCTTGGGAAGCCACGCAGTATGCCAGATTCAACGCGGTCAATGTGAAGTGAAGACCATGGGCGTGAACAAAGAGACGTGGTAAGTATTAGTATCACAGGAAGTGAAGTTCTAACTTGGGGTAACGGACTTCGGTCCTGAGCGTTCCCATCTGAAGACATAGGATATAGGTCATGCATCAACACACATTGTGATGCAAGTGATAGCGCGACAATATGTTCGAGTCAGTTCATGACACTATGAGCCGCTCCAAAAGTCTGCCAAATCCTCCTGAGATCCATTGAGATCGAAAACATCGAAGGGCATGTCGAAGGGCATGGCCGCATCACTAATCCCTACCACAGATGAAAAGTCCCCTGTCATCGGAAAATGGTAGTCTTGCATCTGGGACTGGCAGGTTAGGTCGCTTCGATACACTCGATGATGGTCAATGCTTACCATGCCTTCATGGGTAGGAACAAAAAGAGCAGGGGCTTCAACTTGATCTTCAGATAATAGATGCAACATCCTGTAGGCTTATGTTATCACTCCGACAGATGTATTTATGGCGACACACTTACTTCGAGGTCTCCGACGGGTCGCTGGACATTATCTCCTGGAGTATGGCTCGTAGCCGGAGTAAAGAATTGAGGTTAGCCAGAGCCGGATCGTCACTGCTGCCTAAGAATCGATCGGATAACTTTTCGAAGAGCTCCAGAAATGGTGCAGCACCGGCGAAATGTCGCGTATATACAGCTAAAGTGCTTGAGCACGCAACAATTGCGCGTACTGTGCGACGTGCAGGCAGAATCATAGGTTGCAAAGCTAAGCATTGAAGCAGGGTTATGCCACAGTAGAAAGCTTGATATAGGTCAGTCCTCGCTATCTGAGTCTCCGGGCTGAGACTCAAGTGTTTGACATTCTGGGGCAGTCAGCGAAGGTGAAGGGGGGCTAATCAAGGTGCATACCTCGCATGCTTCTGCTGCCTTTCCGGCGCAAAGAAGGAGCAAGTCTCCCTCGACAACTTTCTGGATCAGTACTGGCCGCATTACGAGGAGGACTGCCTGCAAATAAAACCCGGTTTTGCGTTCGTCCGATTGTTTTGGGCATCCCGGTGGCAGGTCTTGGGGTGCTGTATCTCTCCAGTGATCAAGGGCGCCTAGTAATTGCTTGATCTCTTCGTATGTTGGGGGAAAAGCGTGTGGTCCGAATAGTCTCGTTCTGGAAGGCACGGTCAGCGATGGCACTCGAATTCTCGTAGGGGTATAGAGCAAACATTATTCTGGACCTCAAACGATACATCTCGTAGTGATGTAGAGCCGAGGTCAGCTACCGTTCCATAAGCATGGTATATAGAATGGCGACTTGTGGTTACTACCGTGGTGACCGTGCCAATCTCCGGATTTGCCCCAGCTGCTTGCCTGAGCTGAAGATCCCGAATCTTCTCGCGATCTGTACACGCGACATCAACATTCACCGGGAGCTGCTGTATGATTAGCAAAGCGTTAGAGTCTTGGGGAGAGGTGCATCCCTCAACGTCTATATCAAGATCGTGAATGCTGAACGGACGTCGAGCTATCATTGACACAAGCCTTCCAGATTGTTAGCTTCCGATGTTAAGCATGAGTACTTTGTGACTTGCCGATCGAAGCTGTATGCACACCAGAAGAATCGCTTCTGGAGCTCTAGGACAAGTGGGTCATAGTTGCCCGTGATCTTGGCCGCTTTTCTGTGGTAGCCAAGTTCGACACAAAGGCGCATGATGATGCCAGATAGGTGCCTGCCGCATGTTCAGTGGTCGACGCCAATCCGCAGATTTCCAACTCACCACACTGATGGTCCACCCTTGGTCATGTCATTAGCTCTGCGTAAGAAGGCTGATAGAGTACTCACAGTTACCCGAAAGTGATATTGGCACATGATGAGTAATGCTTGAACCGTGCTCAGGTTTTGTAAACTCAAGACAGCATGGAGATACTTAAGGGCATGTGAGAAGTATGCCTGGAACGTTATTGGGCGCTGACTTAGGCTAGGAAGCACAATACTCACCCTGGGCGGGTATTCTGGGTTTGCCGTAAACCCGCTTCCGATGCTGTAAATGATCCAGATAAAGAAGGCTCCTATGAAGTATCAGGTACTCGCAGACCGAGGCGAAATCGAACTGGCCGCCTATACCTGTTTGAGAGTCAACGCCATCTCCTTTCGTGCAATGACATATCTCTTCTCGACGTTCATGCCATTCTCTGACACGAACCCAATCGACGAGGCAATATCGCGATTGAGTGTACGAGTATACTGTTTCAAGCAGTGCATTGCCGACTTCTTTTGATGGGAGCTCTGGTAATGACGTTGCCTGCATCTCCGAGATTGGGGGTCCTCCCTGTAACATATTGAAAGAGGTTATCTCTGTGGTCGTTTCTGGAGATTTCTGCCCTTGCTGGAGACTGCTGTGAAGAAGTCAGAGGAAGGTCGAAGGACATGGCAGGTGAGTACCTTTCAACAAGCTTCGTGAATGTCAGCAAGGCGAACAAGACTTCTGAAGGACGAGATCACCTCTGTGAATGAGAACCCGCCACTTCCTCTTGCTGTAAGTCCGGATCTACCTTGGTCCGCCGCAACTGTCGGACTAGGAACAGATCTGTCACCTGCACCGTATGTACGATGATTCACAAGAGGCGACCCTAGGTCTGCCCGTCGAAGCTCAGACTCTAATAAAGCAACACGGGCTTCAAGAGACGCAACATATCTACCAATAATCAGTACCCACATCAATCGATTTCTTTTTCTAACTTACTCAGGGCCTCGTGGCACACCATCAGGTGGTGCATCGAAGACGCAATCGTGACCGCCATCAGCGAAGGGCTAGAATAATGTCTCGATAGCCTACCTGCATGGGCCCTGGTACATGCAGCACACTTACTATGCAAAAGTCAATGAAGCAGGCACCATAGGTGTGTGCCGAGCATACTCCTGAATACTTCCGACAAAATGGCATTTCAGCTTTTTGCCTTTGCAGCGGTGACCTACAGTAATCACAAATGTAAGAGTCCATGGATCACAGATAGGCACACTGGAGACATACAAGCGTTCGTGCTCCGTCGAGATGGTCCCCCATTGACCTCGACTCTTTTCCGCTTCTGGAGCCTATCGCTTTGCATCGCTTGATACTCTGGGTCCTGCGCAATCGGGTCGTTCATGACACTGTCGTCGCAAAGAATGAGGGGGGAAAGGAACAGACGGTGAAGCGGTCGGGCCGAAGATAAGCACCTCAGTTAGCGGCCAATGAGCCGGGTAGGCGGCCATGCCTATAACGTACCTAAACTTTCGACAAGACGAACTTAAGGTAAGCTTTGCCTCGCTTAGGCTGGCCTTGAAGCTATCCCCTAAGGCAAGTTTGCCGGAGTAGAGTCATGAATCTCTTTGACTTTAGTCTTATTAAGACCGATCGGGTGCGAAGTCTTTATAATTTCTACTAGCCTTTTACCTCCGAAGTCGAAGCTTCTTCGATTAATATTTGATCGACCTTCTAATAAGTCTAGTCGTACTTTTGGTCTTTCCTCATTCCGCCTAAGCTAATTGACATAATTCTTTACGGTAGAGATTAACTAATTAATAGCTAGGGTACCCTCGTCGAGTAGAGATTATTATACTTCTCGTAGTATAGGTTCGGAAAGGAGTTTGGGTCATCTACACAGCTTCTGTTGAAGTGGGATAAGGAGTCCGTATATACCACGGCCTAGTGGGATGCTCTCATTGCGCCGGCCAGAGTTTCTCATCCAGTTATGCTGCAAATAACTCAATCTCCACCTGTTGGGCTCGGGCTGTAGTTTCCATTGACTTGTCCCCATTTTCCTTTGTCGTAACACTTGAAATGTGATCAGTGAAAGCCACTTCTTCTCCAAAGAGCTCTGCCATTTCTTCCAACGTCTTCCCTCTTGTTTCACTACCTTCATAGTTAGTATAGAGAGTTCTCTCCGGAGCTCGAGTTTCAATTGGGATAAGCAATGGAACGTACGGATAAAAAAAATAGTATGTCAAGGCTGCGACCACATCACAGGCCAGAAAGACAGAAAAGTACTTCCAACCAAGACTTGCAATCGCTTTGGGGCTGACCTGACTGAAAAGGACACCCATTGCAGTGCCCATGAAGGCGCAAACTACGTTCAGAGTCAGCAGTGAATTTGAAAGGTCGATGAGGCTGGGAGACTCCTACTTGCTGTGCCACGAGCGCGAAGAGCTGTTGGAAAGATCTCGGTCATGTAGAGTATCTGTAGAGTAGTATATCTGTTTTCACAAGCTTAGAAGTTGTGGCCATTTAGGGACTTGGCAACACGGACCCCAGGGAGAATGAAATCGAGAGGCAGTATATCCAAGCAATAGCAAAGCCTTGTCCCACTTTGTTTTTGCTGGTGCCGTTGGCGAAGTATTTGAAAAATACCATGATTAGTGTCATGACCACAGCTTGGGCGGAGGCTGAGAGAATGAGAGCAACACGTCGTCCAACCTTGTCGATGTACATTAAACAAGCTGTGTTGGCAATCACGCCCATCATTCCTGTAGTCTGTCAGCCTATCTTTTCTTCCTCCTGGAAGGGTGGAATGGACTTTGCTCGTCGCTGTCACCGAAGAATTTGACATACCATAGCCGACAGATACCCAAAGGACAGCGTGTCCCTCGATACCTACGCTTTCAAAGAGAATCGTCTGGTAGTAGTTGAGAGCATTAGCTCCGGTAGCCTGAACTAGTACTTGTACTCCGATTCCAAGAAGAAGACGATGCCGATAGGATGGCTTGGTAAATAAGGCCCACCATGACTTGATAGTTACCTCTCTCTCGTAGTTGATTTGCTGTTTGATTTGATCGAATTCGCGCTTGTAGAAATCGGGCTCAGCCTCGTCAGAATGAAGCTTTTGAAGAACAATGTGAGCATCTTCATAACGGGCCTTCTGGATGAGCCATCGAGGACTTTCGGGGAGCCAGAATAAACCTAGTATCAAAACAGCAGCAAAAAGGATTTGCAGACTAAGAGGCACTCTCCAAGCCGCGTCACTTTTGTTGTAAGCAGCAAAGCATCCAACCCAGTTCGCAAAAGCAAATCCTATGCAGATAAGCTGAGCCTGCATGCCAACGACAACTCCACGAATCTTTGGGGGGGAGATCTCCGCGTTGTAGATAGAACTGACGGCAAAAACGAGCCCAATGGCAAATCCAGCTATAATCCGTCCCACCAGGAACATGACAATGTTAATGGCAGCAGTTTGAAGGATGCCTCCGATGAGCGCAAAGATTGCAGCCACCCAGATTGTCTTCTTTCTTCCCACATAATCGGCCAGCCACCCACCGAGGATGTTGCCAATGCCCGTGCCTCCCGAGTAAGTCGACACAATGGCACCGATCATATCTGCGGAAGGGTTGCCAAAGTAGGGCAAAAAAGTTTTTTGTGCTAGAGTTGTACTGATGATCCCTTTCAAAGCGAACAGTCAGGAGAAAGGCATAACCGGGATAACCTCTGCGAAGAACGAATCCTACCCGAGTCATATCCCCAAATGAGCGACCTTAGTAGATTTAGCAAATCGTACGTGGAAACAGTGAGGGGGCAGATGTGACAAACCCAGTGGTCGCGAAAAGCCTGTTGACCAAGGATTAGCGAAGTTTGCTAGGGAAGGATTCATCTGGAAGAAAGAAAACGGTTGAGTCTGAAGCGGGGTGTATGGGCTTGTGCTTGTCGTAAAGACTTACGCGCAGAGTAAAGTGTACGTCCTCCCCATTGTTGGTATTCAGATCCTGAGTTCATGGACGAAAATCCTTCTTGCTTGGACACAACGCCGACCACTGAGGGCCTGCCGGGAAGGTTATAAGAACATATGTTGACACTGGCTCAGCCTGTTGGAGTGTCCAATCTCTCCTTCGTTCCTGAGCCGTACGTGAGCTATCGCACACTCATCAAAGATGTCACGCAGCTGATCCTAACGTCTGGCTTTTGAAGCGAGAGTCCAGCCAACATCGGATGTGGCACCACCACTCCGGGGAAAAGGGGGCTTCCCGAATGAAAGCTTGTTCCCTAACTAGATAACCTTTGTGCTAGATTTATACGATGTTATTAGCCTGCCGTCTGTGCCCAGAAGTCTACAAGAATTTGTAACTGGAGGAGCATGTTGTTGGTAACGGTGGACGACGAACAACCAAAGCTAAAAACATAGCTTACTGATTGATTGATTGATTGGGTGACTCGATGTTGCGGCCAACGGCCTGAACCGGGGACCGCAAGATGACTGTACAAGTAATTACATGCCGTCTCGTCTCAAGTCACCAGAGGGAACTCTAAAGGGCCCTTGGCATTCTGTCGTCGGTCCAGAGTGAAATGCTAATATAAGTTAAGGTAGCTTACTGTCTACCGTTCCCGCGCCCGCTCTCCACAAGTTCCCCTCGAAAGCCACCACTATTGCTCCAGGTTTTGTCCCGCTGGCTTCTGACAGATTTCGGGTTCAGACCAGTTCACGTAACTGCGGACTTCGTAATACACCTTCCCTATGAGCTTACGATCATCGATTGAGAAACAGTATGGGGTAATACTACCCAGCAACAAGTGTATGTGGGTTGACCAACCCACCGTGGGGCGAGGAGGATCACGCTCATCGGTGACTGTACTGCTGCTTGCGTCCGGGATGTGAACAGAGCCTACATATGTACTGGGCCGATGACATGGCGAGTTGCTGCTTCAAGCTGTTTCTAGTTGGAATTTTACGGCGTTAACAAGACTTCCAAGACAATGGGCAGTGTCACACCTCAACAAACTGGTGGCATGGGAGATTCGTTGTCCTTTGCTGAACGCAATATTGCCATCACGGTATGTGTTTGCAATCCGTCTGGTGGCGGCCTTCAATCCACTTGCTGAAAGACATTGTAGGGTGGCGGCTCAGGAATTGGCCTTGCCATCGTCAAGACACTTCTCCTCCTAGGAGCCAACGTTTACGTTGTCGATTTGATGGAGACCCCACCAAAAGAGATTGCAGACCAAGAAAGGCTTCATTTCACAGGAAAATGCGATATCACCAAACGAGAGGCGTGTCGAAAATTCCTCGACACGATCCCCGGCCGATTAGATGGGCTCGTGAGTTGTGCAGGGGTTTGTCCCTGGGAGGGAAAACTTCCCTCGGACGACCTTTACCGCCTGAACATGGAGGTAAATGTCACTGGCGTGTGGAACATGGGCACGGAAGCGATCCGCAGGATGTCTGAGCAACAGGACCTAGAGGCTCCAGGTGCTGTTCCAGGTGCAACCCGGAGTGTTGGCCAAGGGTCCATCGTCAATATTGGAAGCGGAGCGTCGCTTCGAGGTCTTCAAGGTCTGGCAGCGTATACTGCGAGTAAGCATGCTGTGTTGGGCTTGACGCGGTCATGGGCAAAGGATTTTCCACGACTGCGAGTCAATGCTGTGGGACCAGGTCTGTTGTTCCATTCACGGCTCGCGTGGTTCAGGATCAAAACTAATATTACTTCAGGTGTCACGGATACTCCTTTGGCGAGAGGTGCAATGGGCGGCACGCCTGAAGATCGCTCCGCCGTCAAATTAACACAGGCCCTGATTGAGTCCATTCCAAAAGGGAGGATGGCCTATCCCTCGGACATAGCAGACTCGGTGGTTTTTCTGCTTTCAGACTGGTCCAGTTTTATTACTGGCCAGATTCTACCCGTCAACGGGGGCAACTTCTGACAATTTTCCATCTAGCAACCTAGAAGTAAATAACAAGGGCGGTCTGTATCTAGTTTTCAGCTCACCAGGCCACGTTGACGAGCCTTTGTTCCAACATCAAGGAGTCAGAATTAGACAAAGGAGTACTTCTTTTCTGCGGTGAATATACCTCAGCCACCTGTCACGTAGGATATGACTGTAGTTTGAATCCGTACGAAGAACCACTCACATTCTAGTAAATAAAGACCGACATGTAGATGCTGGTGCTGTGACAAGGCTTCGTCTGCCCCTTAGCATTCACTGATTTCAGACGCTACGGCACCTAGACATGACAAATACATCGAACACGTAAGGGCCTTTGCATAATGTTGATGTGGCAACAACACTCCAACTCCGAGCGTTCGATCCTCCTATCTCGTTATATTCGGCCCGTAATTACCTTGTCAAATGCCTAGTCTTGTGTTGTAGACCGTTCAGATCATCCGCGAAGGGGGCTGGGACCATTGACTCCATCAAAGTTTGCCACTGATTGTCCAAGAACATGTCGAAAAATGCTGCTGCCAAACCAATGGTCAAGATCAGCAACACATGGATACAAGGATTTGTCTCTCAAGAGGGAGTGGCGAATTATCTCGGTTTGAAATATGCATCTATTCCAGCACGGTTTCGGACAGCGACGCTTCTGGAGGTTGACCGATTGGGTGACTTTGTCGATGCGTCTGCGTATGGGCCATGTTGTCCGCAGCCTGAGAACAAAAATCAAGAAAGTCGCAGGCATCTCTTTGCAGGGACAGTGTCTTGGCCGCCAGTGTCAATGTCCGAGTTCGAATGCCTGAATCTCAACATTTACACTCCGTCTGAGTCACTGCTTGATCCAAGCGGTTGCCCCGTCGTCGTATGGATTCATGGTGGTGGCTGGATTTTTGGCGCTGGAGGCCCGGAGTATGGTAGGCAAATCGGGTTTCGACGAATATCAGATTATTATGGCTAATACATGCAGATGGGAATTACTTGATCAAGCACTCTGTCAACAAGGGCAAGCCGTGTGTACTTGTGACCATCAACTACAGACTTGGACGCTATGGATTCCTCGCTTCCGGCGAGCTACAAGCCGAGGCGGAGAGCAATGCGGAAAACTACTATCCGAATCAAGGGCTTCACGATCAGCAACTTGCTCTGCAATGGGTCAGTGATAGATGCGGTGTCTGGTTCGAGGCTGGGCTAACCATGTGGCCCCAATTGATTAGGTCCAGAGATATGTTCATCATTTCGGCGGCAATCCGTCCAAAGTCACTATCGCTGGACAGTCAGCAGGAGGATTTTCTGCTTTGACTCACCTTATCACCGATATTCCTCTTTGCCGGGCTGGATGGATCATGTCTAGTCCCCTGGATCCGTTCATCAGTGTGACCCAAGCACAACAAACCTTTGATCGACTCGTTACGGGCACAGGACTGCGGCTATCGTCTTCGAATTCCGAGAAACTGACAAAACTGAGAAACCTTACGGAGCTCGAAATGGATGAGCTTGTGAGAGGAAAAATGCTGATCCGACCAGTCTGGGATCCCATCTGGTTTGCCTACCAGGAAGAGCAAAAGCCGGTGGAATGGACCAGTGATTTTCCGGAGTGGTTGCAAGGTCTCACGATCGGTTGGGCAGCAGACGAGGTCATCACGTTCCAGACACTTTGGGCCTCATGGAGTGTACAAGAACTGCTTGCCACCGTCAACGTCATGATACCAGACCAGGAGATGGAGCGAGATGTGATTCAAATTTACGGAATTGCCGGACCCCCAGAAAAAGCGTTAAGCGGCTTTGTAGAGTTTGCTTCCGATTGTCTATACACGAGGATGCCACAGGCTCTGAGCCAAGCACAGTTCCCGATCTCGATTTACAGATTCGAACAAATCGACGACTTCAATGGAAGTGTTTACCGTGGGAGTGCTTATCATTGCCTAGACAATGCGTACTTGTTCCGGCTCCCAGCAATAGCCGGTACTGATGCCCCAGAAGCGAGGAGACTCACTACAGATGCTGTTTCAGATCGTTTCCTGGCCTTTGTCTACGGCACGCAAGCTTGGGAACCATTCAAGACCGGCCAAAAAATCATGTACTTCAATGGTGCAAACAGTGGCCTTGTCGAATCGAAGGCGTTTGAGAAGCTATCCCAACTCGTGTCTACTGAGGAAAGAGAAACTATCCTCATTGATGCCGCAGAACGAATGCTGGAGCACATGAGAAGGCCTGCAGATTGATATTCTTCACTCATGTAGAGCGATAGGATGAGTCATTTTGATTGTATTACAGAGCGAAGACCTCCACGTTCTCTCATAGTGCCATCGACCTCGATCCTAGACAAGCAAAGTGAGGCCACGTCCTCTCCATCTGAAAACAGTGTGGGCTATAGGAGATGATCGCTTCATTCAGAGCGGACCGTAATATCAGAGGAACGATTACTCCGAGTAGTACTTACCATCTTCCAAGCACGACCGATAACCGAGGATTCGGCATTCCACCATACAAAGAAGATTGCCGTTATTGCCTGTTCCACTGGTCAGCTTGCTAGGTACCGCTACCATAGCGAGATTTGCTGTGTTGTTGGCAACCTTGGTTTTTGGCCGCAAACTTTACACTTGACAGGTGGATAGATCGACACATTGTCCCACGCTGGTTCTGAAGACTCTAGACCCCTGCGTGACAGGAGATGTGGTAGTGAATTGTCATGGCTGGCCTTGAAATTGCATTATAATCTGCAGATGGGGGATGACTGTACTTCGGTTGACGTGATTGCGAAGGTGGAGTGTATTAGGGGACAGGCTATGCTGGGACAGATCAGATGCTTCTGTATGCCAAGCGCCTCTGGCGTCTAAACCGACCAGATGATAATAAACGTAGAGTGTGAAGACTTCACTGTTTCAGTAAACAAGTCGACCCAATAGCCACTGTATCGCCTCTCTTGCTTCGAGACCAGCGTTTTTCAAATTTGGAGGTATGGCACCTTCCATGCATGACCCACGGGTCGAGTTCGAATCAAGATTCGGAATCACCGATCTGGATGCCTTGCCAGATACATACGGCTGGCCCAGAGAGAATGCGGATGGATATAGGATAAAAGAGCAACTATGCGGGACCGAACGCCCCATGCGCATCGTCCATATTGGTTGCGGAGCGTCAGCTATCGCACTGGCAAAGTTTCTACCTGAGATGTTGAATAATGTCTCTTTCACCTGCTACGACAAGAATGAGGAGATTGGAGGAACGTGGTGGGAAAACAAGTCAGTTGTTAAACCCTGCTTCGACACGAATAGTGCACGGCACTGACTTCACACACAGATACCCGGGAATAGCGTGTGATATTCCATCTGCCAATTATCAGGTACGTGGACGGCCGGGCTTTTGGAGACGTGGACACTAACACGGAGGAAAGTTCACATGGGCTAGAAATCCAAACTGGTCGCAGTTCTATTCGTCTGGCACAGAGATCTGGCAATATCTCAAAGACGTTGTCGTTCGATATGACCTGGACAAATACATGAAACTGAATCATCTTATCACTGGGACGTACTGGGATGACGAGACTGGTTTATGGAAGGTCCACATCGAGGACCTTATTAGCGGCGCCAAATTCATTGATCATGCCGAAGTTCTGATAAACGGGAGTGGTTTACTCAAGTAAGTTCTCTTCGGTCATGTCGGCCTCGAATGGACAGAACTAAGACGCAATTGGGATCTCAGTAACTGGAAGTGGCCGGATATCGACGGCTTGCACAGCTTTCAGGGTAAGATATGTCACACTGCAAACTACGACACTAGCATCGACCTGCATGGTAAACGCGTAGCAGTGATCGGAGTCGGTAGCAGTGGTATTCAAGTGACAGCAACCATTGCTCCCCAGGTTGGTCATCTCTATACCTGGATCAGGTCACCTACATGGGTCACGGCAGGATTTGCTCAGAAATTTGCGGGTCCTGATGGTGGGAACTTTGCCTGTGTGTTGAATGGTTGATATATTCCTTTGCCGGATCACTAAAGTACATTCCAGACACGGCTGAGCAGAAGAAATCCTTCACCGAAAACCCAACCGAATACGTCAAATACTGCAAAACAATAGAAGACGAGCTGAACCAACGCTTCAAATTCATTCTGGCCGGGACACCAGAGGCTGAGGAAGCCAAAGCAGTGAGGACTACACCAATCGCAGCAACTTGATACATCGGCTGAGGATTTTATCACTTAGTTTTCACGGAATCAAATGGAGGAAAGACTCAAAGGAAGACGTGACCTGATAGACAAGCTAATTCCGACCACGTTCGGAGTGGGATGCAGGCGTCCAACGGTAAGTGAACGGCATGCAGAAAAATAAAATGGTCGGACGAATGTTGACCTTTGACTTCCAACAGCCAGGACCAGGTTTCCTTGAAGCTCTGACAATGCCCCATGTAACGACTTTTACTCAGGACCTGCAACAAATCACCCCCAAAGGGTTTTTGGACCACCAGGGCGTGGAGCACGACGTTGACGTAATAATCTGCGCTACTGGGTATATCCTGCACTACTAGGCTTCACATCTAGTCGACTGACTAACTGACTTTAAAAGGTTCGACACGACGTGGATCCCTCGTTTTCCTATTGTTGGAAAAACTGAAACAAATCTACAAGATTCGCTCAAGGGAAAACCGATCTCGTACCTTGGTGTCGCATTCCCGGACAGTAAGGCTCAACTTTCTCTGCAGCGATCATACCAAGAGAGTGCTGACCACCTACAGTACCTAACTATTGGACTGGTGTGGGCCCATATGGACCCCTTGGTCATGGCTCATTTTTCCCGATTGTTGAGATGGTCTATCGACAATTCCTTACAATTGTCAAAAAGATGCAGACCGAGAACATTAAGAGTATCACTCCGCGCCATGAAGTCTGCGATGCTTTTGCAGCCCACGCAGATGTCTTTTTGAAACGAACTGCCTGGTCCGGTGATTGCCGAAGCTGGTTTAAGCAAGGCAGACGCGATGGACCATTGGCAATGTTTCCTGGCACCCGACTGACGTACTTCACTTTGATGGAGAAACCGAGGTATGAGGATTATAGGATCGAATATCAAAGCGGCAACCCTTTCGGGTTCTTAGGGAATGGCTTCTCCACCAGAGAGTACAACGGTAGCGACCTCTCTTGGTACTTGGGCGATGGTTTGACGCCTGGCGGTGTTCTCCCTCCGGCAGACCCCACGACGCGGGTTAGTTTTAAGGGAGTTGTGGCTCTGTAGAAGATCGATGCAGCATTGGTCTGTTAGAGACAAATAGATGCCTGGTTCGCCTGTCTCTGTGTGTGTCTGTGTGTGTGTGTGTGTGTGTGTG